AAGTAATACTAACGCAGTTCCCTCCGGCTCGATGGTGATTGCGAAAACAACATGGCGATATTACAATGAGTGTATCTTCTGTATAAAACTTTTTTTTTTTTTATAAAATACTTATAGTGTATACCTAAAACTATTTTTTTTTTTTTTTTAATTGGCAAGGAGATAGGAATTATAAAAAAATTATAACGTATGCTTTTATTGGAACGAGGAAACTGTGTGATATTTTGTGGTGAGTTCATTTTTAAACCACCCCATCCCCTTAATTGAGCTCAAGATATGCCACTAAATTATATTGTAAGAAGGCAGCTGACTACTGAAAATGAAATAATTCGTTACACCTAGCGATTGGTTATTACAGGGGTATGACGATCAGTTTGATTTTTCTGTTCAATTATGGTGTTGTTTGACGCGGATTCTGATGTCCTTTCTTGATGTAATATTATCGTAAAGCCGGAAATGATATATACCTATTATATAACATAGCATCGTGAACAGACGCGTTTACGAGTGATATTATTTTACAAACTGTAATTCAAAAATGTATTCGTTTTCGGGTTGAATGATTTCATTTTTGAAATGAACCACAGTCGTAAGTGTTGCAAGATATATTATAGCTTTATTATTTTTAACCGATTTTTCCGAAGAACCGTCGTCAGAAAATAATATTTAAAAAAAAAATAAACGCCATAGTAAATTAAGTAAACAGAAGCCTGCCTCGTAAAATATATCATTATATAATATGAGGTGTTTTATAGTAGATATAGGTATGATATGTTACAACAGTCCAGTGAATTGCACAGTACATTTTCATAAAAATAAATATGAATATTTATTCCATTAAATATTTTCATCTTTTTTAATGTTGCTGAGTATGCATTATTAAACGCACAAGATAGAGTGTTTATTAGAGGTTGAATTCTTGAATCTAAATGTGTGTGCCTACATACGGAAAATTATAAAATTAATTTTGGTAGAGTCCGGGAAATGTTTTTCTATGTAAACAATTTCTACAAAACTGTCAGCAATTTAAAAATTAGGCATCGTAAAAGCACTGCAGTATAAGTACCGAAAGTACACACTCGCAAATGGGCAACTATTATAAAATATGTCTTATCAGCGAATAATGCATTTAAAGTATTATCTGATGTTTGCACATGCACGCGTACTTACATATGGTATTTATACAGTTTAAATTACTGTTGGCTAAATTTTGCATGTAAAAAAAACATTTTTCGACAACATCACTAAATTACTCGCGTAACTTTTAAATTAGCTTCATGAAATGTGTAAAAGTATGTGTATACAAACAAATTAGTGCAAACGATATTTGGATTTCAACAATTTTCCCTTAAAAAAACATTGATATTTTCATCTTAAACCGTTATCATACAGTAAAAATATTCCCAAATGACACATTCATTTTTCGCATATTTTCCGAGAAAATTGCTGAACATCTACTTTAGAACGTAATACAAAGATAAAATTAAACGTATTACAAAGTGTGTTGGCTTTAAAAATAAATTAACTTCATTAGTTTATTTTGAACTTTAATAAAAACAAATTTTTTTTCAATTTCAATAGTTGTATTTTTAGTTCTAAAAAATATATAAAATAGAAAAACGGAACCAGAGTTATTACATTTGTCTGATCTCCGTAGAACACTTTTTATAGAAGTATAATACAATAGGTATATAATATCAGTGGCCCAATTTACCGAACTCAATAAATAAAAAAATCGTTAAATATAGTGGCCCAATTACCGTGTACCTTTTTTAAAAAGGTTGATTGCAACCCATTATTACACGGACGTCTATTTTATCGAACCGACAATTGCTATGTTATCAATTCGATAAGCAGTTATTGATCCCAGCATAAGTATGACCGTGCATCGGTCTGAATGGCTTACGTTTATTTTAAGTTGTTTGATATGTTGTTCATATACAAATTCAAACACTCAATGCTCAGACCCCCGCCGAATTATTTACAAATTTTATATATTCATACAAATCGCTAGAAAAGTTTTATTAAGTCTTTTATGCATTTGAAAAATATGGCCCGATTATAAAAAAAAAAACGCCCTATTTAAAATAATGATATAGTTGTTTAAAGTATTTGAACAATAAATACTCGCGACAAAATATTAATTTTTAAATAAAAAAAAAAAAAAAAAAACTCACAAATATTATATATATTAAGTAAGTAATGCGTAAATGCAGAACTAGAATTATTTCCGACTCTACTGACAAATACAATCCACTGGACTATATTATTATTTGTTCGTTCATTTTTTTTTCTTTTGTTATTGTTTTTGCCATACGTGTGTGATCTCATCATTGTAAAATAAACAAAAGTCTATGAAACGAAAACCCGTTTGAAAATGCAGGTGAAATATTGTTGCCTAATATAATAAAATGAAAATACGAATAATTATAAAAAAGTTAAAGGAGCATTATGAAAACTCAATTATTAAAATGAAAAATAAAATATTTATGGGATTTTTTTTTTAACCCGACAAAATTAAATTAACGTATTATTCATTATTTGCTTTACTGTTTTACAGGATAGGTAAATCCAGTATCGTGCTTATCAATATTTCTCTACAGTGTTAACGTTATAATCGTGTAATGGACCTACCTACAGGGCGTTTTTACAACATTTTCGTAACTCCCACAAAAGTTCTTGCATTTTTAATTTTAACAAAAACTTTAGTTATTAAAACTATAATACAATATTTCTATGATTAATTCAAGTTATTTTATCCTATAATATAACACAATCGCATATAAGAACATATATCTAACATGGTAGGTTAATTTTATGGCAGTTGATTATCACACTCATTATCTACACAAAATATGAAATCATGAAGCTATAGTTTTGAAATTAAAACGTTCTTAAACAATTGATACTTGGTAGTATTAAACTACTATAATAGATATGACTGACAGACAATTATCACATTCAAACTAAACGACTGAAAAGAAACATTTTTAATTTAAACCTACGTTTACATACATTTTTATCATTTTGGTGGTTTTTCAATTTTTCAATAAACTTTGTTTTTGTGTTGAACAATTTTAAAATCTAAGCAAGAAGCTCCACCCATATTTAAAATGTTCAATAAATCAATAAATTATAATAATTGTAACGTAAAAATTATATAAAATGTGTGTACATATATATATATATTATTTGTAAAAATTAAAGTTTGAAAACGTTAAGTACCCAAGTTTAGCCCGTTATTCTAGTAGGATAGTAAGAAACTGTAAAATCAAATGATACACGAAATTACCAAACTTTTATCGTCAAAAACTACTCTGAAATGGAGGTATTATAGCCATAATACAAACGAAAAGGAACAATACTATAATAGCAACTATATTCTGACGGAAATTATTTAAGTGTGAAATAGAAACACAATAGTTTTAATCGTTATGAACTGGAACCTGCAATATAGTTCTTTTCTGAGTTGCCCAAATTACTTTCCCCTTTAAATCGGCCATTATTTATTTATATATAGGTGAATATCATGGATAAAACAACTTTGCCCATAATCTCAATATAGACGCAATGGTTTTCGTTTTTCTAGACTAGTTCCTAATTCAAGAGTGACTTTAAGAATAAAAAAACAAAATAGATAGAAGACAATCGTGTTTTATAAATTACCCCATGTATTATACGTTTTACTTACAACTGGTGGAAATCATGAATGCAAAAATTGATTTGTTTGGCTTTTTAAATGCCTGTGTATACTCAATTGCTACTTTTCAATTGATATTATGAAAAGCGCATGTCATATAATTTTTCCCGAAATACGAGTGTATACGTATAATGTATATAATATTATTCTAAGATAAATATGTAAAGCATATAGGTATTATTTTAATGTATGAGCTATACATTTTTTTTAAAAGAGGGTACGTCGTCTGGTTTTCATGTTATGCACGTAAATTAAACCACTAAAAATCTTTGGCAAAACTTCGCGATATAGTAGTACTTTTAATCAGATTTTTTTTTAGCATAGTCACTACTTACTTGGTTTTACTATATTATATGATACGTTTTTTTTTATTCATTAGCATTATTTGTTTATTTTTTATCTGATCGGTTTTTCTACTATACATCTTGCTCCGATCATCAAGTGCAGTATAACTTTTCTAAAAGCAAATTTCCCTTGTAGTTTTTCGAGATTTGAAAAATACTAAAAAAAAAACTGTAGGATTTATAATAAAACCTACGGCAATAACGGTTTCGGTTATTTTGTACTTTTATTTTTTTTTTTTTTTTTGTAATTCAGTTTAAACAAACAAAACTCCTGTAAAGACCTGCAATTTTCACATAATACTTAAATTAGCCATTAGCCCTTTCTAATCGCGGTAAATTGTTCAAAACAAGTATTCATACAATATTATAGCTATTTAAATTTATCTAGTTTTTATTTGATTTTATGTGAACATAATTATTTTGGCCAAGCAAAATTACTCGAATTTGTAATACGAGGTTCGTTAGTTGTTTTACTTGGTGGTAATAGAAAAGTGGATCGTAAAGAATCATCATTTTTTTTTCTCCAATAATATTAAGCATTTAAAGTTCAAATTTTGACAAACATCGTTTAACAATCTTCTTCTTCTTCAGTATTCAATCCTGAGATTGGTTTGTAGCAAGTTTAACAATCATGGCATTTTAAAACATCACGTTTAACCGCACTTCACTCAGAATCGTTTCTCGTTCACAATCTTCGGGTACAGATATAAATAGAATTAATGAAATAACCTCAAACGCATCCCGCCTTTCTTACTCACCGGCTAATATAACTGCGCAGTAGGACGCCCGTCAGCCGCAGTATCAGCTCCAATTCTTTTTTTATTTTTTTTTTTTCTGTCGAGTTAATATTATATACAATATGCATGCATAATAATAATATGTATGATATAACATCGCAACGCACTGTATTGTTTTCAGGATACGGAAACATCACTCCGAAAACGGCTATAGGCAAAATGGTTACAATGGTGTACGCGTTGATTGGCATCCCATTGATGTTAGTGTACTTGTCAAGCATCGGCGGTCTGTTAGCGTGGTGCGCCCGAGGAATATTTACCAGGTAATTAATGTCTATTTATTCAATTTCCGTTGTTGGGATTCCATTTAATTGCAAAATGCTAATGAAACGCCACCTATATACTCGTAATGCACAATAGTAGTATTATTTCTATAACTATAACTATTATTAAAGATATTCGTTCGTGGATAAGTCGGAAGGTTTATTTTAAGTATCCCGAATTATAACAGTCATTGGAGTAATACGCAAGACTTTTCAATGGGGGGAAGGGCAAACTAAAAACAAAAATGTGTTACAAAATACATAGTTGCGTATGGCCTAATAGAGCAAATGTGCAATTATTATTATTTTATTATTGATAAGTTTACGAATAATATTGAGTACCTATACGAACAGGGTAAAAATTCTCTTACACCTTCTCTGACTGAAAAGAAAAATATTAAATATTGTAAATTTAATTGCTCCGCTAAATTTATTAAATATGGACTTGTAAAGTAGTTCATATTACAAATAATATAATATGATTATAATCTGATTATAATCTGATTAAACCGATAAACGTTGAATTTACAAACCACCTGTGTATGAACCAACTATTTACGATGAAATTTTCAAACCCGAATTAATTTTTCGATTTTAAACCTGTAAACTTGTTGCATCGTTTCTAAATTTAATTTGATTTCAATTCGATTATTACGAAACAATAAAACCTACAACTTGTCATAATTATTATTATTGAACAGAAAAATGTTTCCCGTAATAACGACAATCGGATAATAGAGATAAATATTATTGTGTTGCCATAAAATTGTATACATATAAGTTGCAACATTGTTATAAGTTTTATAACACAATCAGTGTTCGAAAATTTGGAACGAAAGGGTCGAGATTCTCTACAATTTTCAATTCTTTTTAGGTCCCATTTTTTTTTTTTTTCAATTCAGTTTTATTATTTCCTGTATATTGCCCTTTTGCTCTGTATAAAATAATTGACTCAGCCAAAATCTAATCATTAACAGTTTATGTTACGAAAATAAAAAATACGGACATACTTCACACGTAGGTGGGTCACGGTTGTAGGTGAGTAGTTGGGAAGGAAATTGAATGTATATCTGTACGGAATGCTTAATCATTGCTAACGAAAACGGTTCTGAGAGGAGTGCGGTTAATAGTGTCGCTTTGTCAACAGTATATACCTATGTCATATTATGGTAAAACAATTAAATAGATATTATATATTTTCATTAATTATATTTGTTTAATATTTTACCGATTTTCCCGGTTTTCCCGTGTTTTTATCGGTTTTTCACATTTGCTGAGAAAACTCCCGAGAAAATCGATAAATGACCTCCCAAAAGTGCCACCCCAAGAAAATTTCCTTTCAGAAAAAAATCTATGCCGTATACATTGGAGTAAGTTTTCTGGTAAAAAAAAGTGTTCACATAAAAAAAAAGAAATAAACTTCTTTGTAAAACCAATACATTCTTTGTTCCACTCAGAATCTAAAAATGAATTGAATCGGTCATTCAAAAATCAAATCCGTATCCCATACTATGTATTTACTTTAAGTATTTACACAGTGTCAATAAAGCACAACAATATAGTAAAATCGGATGTGTATTTGTTGCAGGTCGTTGTGCTGTTGCCTGTGCTCAAAGTGCGGGTACTGTTGTTACGACGAGAAGCTAATGGAGGAGAAAGAGCGACGGATGAAATTGAAGCGCGAGCGGAAAGAGTACGACATGCAAATGAAAACGTTCTCGGGACACGCGCTCGAACCGTACTATGTGCGACCCGGTGACACGGACAACGTGTTCCAGAGGGTGTCAGACCGAGCGGCAGCTATGGCGGCCACATCGGCGGCTACCACGTCAGCTTCCGCCGCGGCAGCAGCGGCCGAACTGGCCGCGGCCGCCGCGGCGGCAGACAGCGCCAGTTTCGTGCCGTTGCTGTTAGTCGGGTTCGCGTTCATGTCGGCGTACATTGGCTGTGGCGCGGCCGTCTTGTACCGGCTGGACGCCGGCAGCGGCGGAGGCGGCAGAACGTACTTGGACTGCGTGTTCTTCTGTTTCATGCTGCTTAGCACCATCGGGTACGGCAACTCACGGTCACTAGAGTTAACGCTCACCAGTACGGTGACCGTGTGGTTTTGTTCCGTGTACATACTGTCCGGCATGGCACTGACGGCCATGTGCTTCAACATCGTTCATCACGGCGTGTCCACCAAACTTAAAACGTTCTACCAGCCACCGGCGGCAGCGTCCGCGTCGTCGACGGTCAGCAGCGGCGTCGGCCCAACTCAACAATACGAAAACTGCGTCATAACCGGTGGCAGTATTAGTGACTTGACGTCGTCGCACGGTATCGCTGTCACCACAGGCGGCGGCGGCGGTACAGACTCCTGACACACGCGTTACCGCGGTGCTGGCCACCGCGGTCCGTCCGACTGCAACGTCGATGACACAGACGACTGCGGTGGCCGCGGTTCGGTTGGTGCCAGTCGCTGCGTCGACGGCGACGACTGTTGTGCCGTGGCCGTTACCGGTAGTGCCGTGGCCATGACCAACTACATCGGCCATAACGGGTACCCGCAACCCGAGATTGTGGCAATAGCTACGGGTAAATCCAGCGGCACTGCGTCCGCTGCCAACGCTATCGATCAGACTGCACTGGCCGCCGACTGTTTCGACATCAAGTTTGGGAGCGTCATGCAGGAACCACCGCCGTCCATGTCGGTGGTTGACCTGACCAATTTGGACACGATAGCGGAGGCGGACGATTCCGTCGAAATGTAAATTCACGAGATTCGCCTTTTCATAACCCGGCCGGATGGACGCACCAAGTGTAAACCGCGATTACTTATTGTGTTTTTAAGTTTTTCGCTGTTTTTTTTTTTTTTTTTTAATGACAAGTAACAGGGATAACTACTGGTATTTTCAAAAATCTTAATCTAAATCATATTATAAAAATCTATAATGGTTGAGAAACTTATAGGTAGGTACTCGACAACTCGATTGTTATGCCTAACTTATCTCTGAAAAGTTGTCTATATTGTTCTGATACTCCGTTGATCTTTATTCTATGCCTGGTTTTCATTCAAAATTATCATATTTCAACTCGGATAACGTGATCGTTTATATGTTTATAACCTCTGTGAGCTGAATAAGCTTAACCCGTTGGTTTTGGGTAAAAATGCAATGTATAAATTATACCCGATAAAAACAATATTATCTTCACTCAATTAATTAATAATATTTAAAAAGTTCGGGAATAAATTAATCTTTACTTTGTACTCATCGTTCATTTTTACTCGTGCACAAAAACAATAAACAAACAAATACGTCACTAATAATTAATAATTTATTATATTGTTATGAACATCAATCATAATTCAAACATAGGGTTTGCCATTTATCATAAACCAACGATTTTAATGGACGATTTTAAATAAATTTGATTTCTGTTTATTATAGGGAATCGTGGAAGTTTTATTTTAGTTTAATAATGTTATAACATCTTAAATGGATAAGTACACACTTTTTATTTTCCAATAATAACATCCCTTTTAACCACAGATTCAAATATAGAATATTTGTCTACAAATGTTGATATACATAACACATAGCAATTAGTTTTACCGTTTATGTGTTATATATTTGTTTATAACAACTTAGATCGAAACAGAAAGAGTATAGAAAAAGGTAATAAACTTCACATTTTGTGAACATTTTTTTTAAACTCTATTTTTAGATGATAAATTAATAATAACCCTTCCACAATCTTCCGGTCTAAAAGTTAAACTATAATCAACATATAACTCGTAAATGATAAATCCGATATTATAAGTGTTATTATATGCACATGGAAATGTTTAGAAAAATATTCTTCATTCGAATCGTTGATTAAACTTTAAAAATTTCGTGTTAAAATAAAACTTAACTTCCCAGTGATTGAATAAAACAAAAATCATATTCACTTAATATCCTCCGAGAAATCGTTAATCCATAATATATAAATTAATCACTCTGTATAGTCACTCCTATAGAATAATCAATCCACTTCGTTTCATTAATTTTATTTTATTTTTAACCAACTCTCTCGTTGTAATCGGTAATTTAAAATGTATAATATTGATGTATTTTTACACTCGGTATTTTGTTTGAATTATATAATTAAAACGTAAATCTAAAACTCTAATCAAATAACAATCTTTTTTTTTTAGAACCTTTAAATTTGTTAAGTAGATAGAAATATATTATTTAGTGTAAATAATCGAAACGTGTATACCTACCTATCGAATAAATTAGATAAAAATCATTGACACGATAGTCTTTAATATTAAAGTAGGTACTCGAAATACCAGTATTGATCGGGTTCAGATTAAGACATGCAATGGATAAAATAAATGTTGAAAAAGCAAAAATAGGTTAGTATATTATGAGGTCTAAAACTTTTGTCATACCGAGATAACTCTTGCGTTGTAAATATCATAAATTAAAAGCAAACAAAATGATTCGGTTTTGTTCTAACCATTATTATTATAAAATTTCGAAAACAATTATTATTTAATGTAAATTACAATAAATTGATTAAGTGGATATTCTTAATGCAACAATTTGATAATAATAACCATTTTCGTCGTTTTCATGATATTATTACAGTTGCATAATAATTGTATATTGTGTTATTAATATAGGTATGAATTTAACGAATTTTCGTAAAAGTTTTAAATTTTAAAATCGAAATATAACATCTATAATACATTGTGATAAAATCGGTTGGCATAAATCGTTCAAAACTAATGTGAGCACTATTACTCTTCGATTGGGTCTACTATTAAACACTAAAATAAAAGGACAGTGACTTTTCTATAATTTTATTTGAACAAATTATATATGTTAAATTTAAATTTAAATCATATTTTCAAATTAATAATACGTTTAAAATTAAATAATTTTACCATAAGTTGTAGCAAAAAGGTTAAGTAATTGTGTATGTGTATGTTTTACAAAGCTCAATATATTTTTCTTCTCGTTAATTGTATAGTATAGGTCGGTACCCACTAATCAGAATTCAGCGACCGTTGAATTGGCTCCTAATATATTAGGTAAATACTAAATTCCCTGATCGACCAATGGAATGGCTTCCAAGAAATATATTATTGAGTTGGCTCAACTTGGCCAGCCTGATAACATGAAATGTTTTCCGAATAGTGGTTCTCAAAATATATTTCAAATAAAAGTTTAAAATATACGTGACATAAACATTTTATATCTGGCGCAAATTCGGAAATAACCTAATCACTAGGTAAAATATGAATTGGACCCAGGGGAAAAGGGCTTAGGTTAATTGTTGGAATTTTTTTATAATTTAGTTTAATGCCATTTTTTTAATGTCATTTTTTTTACCTACATTGCATAAGTGTATGTATTTTCAAAATTAGCAAACTATTAATTATTGTATTACTTAGTTTATGTACTTAAGTATATTTATAATCAAAATTTAATTTTCCTGCATTGAAAACTATACAAAAAATTAACTTAAACCCTTCTTTCCTGCGACCAAAGATATATAAAGTGGATTTATGATATTTATACTATTCTGATTGTTCCATTTTTATATATAATTAAATTATCATTTTAAAAATTTATTTACAGAGATAATGTTATTTTAGTACCTAATCAATTTATATTTTAAACGATATAAGTGTTTAGGCCTTTAGGGAACTAATTCCAAAGCCAAATCTCGGGAGCCAATTCAATATAGACATAGTATTTGTGAGTGCAAAAGATACAGAACTATGATCCCTTTAAAATCCACCTTGATTTGTGAGCCAATATTATTCAATCGCACCAAACTTTAAATTTTAAAATTTTAAAAAGAATGTCTACTGTAATGATTTATGGCCGCGTAAACTAATAATTTAATTAGTTACCTATACATTGTGCATTGAGTTAAATATTCAGATATGTCGAAAGACCCGAGTTTGCTGATAAATAACTTATTATTAATCACATATTTAACAACCAATCGTATAAATCGAAATTTAAAATTGTATCGTTTTTTTCTTGTTTGTAAAATATATTACCGAAATTGTGTAGTATTAAATTATTACAATATATACATACATAGGTATATATATTATACGTATTGAATGTAAAACATATTATATTATTATAAGTAAATAAACGTGTCGTCTTATACCTTATATATCCCTGTTTTTTTTTTTTTTTTTTTTTTTTTTTTTTTTTACAATCTTTTTACAAACAAACAAAAACTTTTGAATTTTATTTATTGATTTAAATTTCTTATAAAAAAAATTCGAATTATTACCTACATACAATTTTGCTCACATAATATTTCTTTTTACGTTCGTGTGACCATTTTAAACATTATACAATATTATTTGGTGTATTTAAACTAATTACTTATTATTATATTATTTTTTAACACCTTGAGAGTCAATTGATGTTTTTTTTTTTAATTCTAGTATAAAATTATTTTATTAGGCGATTTTATTATATTTTCGTTTTTTTGTTATTATTTTAGTAGTTACAGACAATATTGTTATGTTATCAGATAGATAATCGACTATATAATTATATGTTACCACTATAGTTATATTATAATATAGTATATATATAATGTATATGTGTTACGTATATTATATTATATTGTTTACCATCGATTTTATGTTTCGTGAATTTTCATGTATTTAATGTAAATTGTTTAATATAACATATATAGTTATACACAACTACCTATTCGATAAAAAAAAAAAAAACTAGTTTACATAATATTTATTTGTACAATATTCGTATATACATATTGTAATAAACAATGTCCATATCTATAATATTAATATCAATTGCAGTTGTAATAATATTATTTGTTACTAATCGAACGATGTAAATAAAGATTTAAAGTTAAACTGATTGAAATCTTTGTTTTGTTAGATTTACCAACTACACCCAGCTATTCCGATAATACCAAAAGTAGTCAAAAGAAAAGTTTCGAGAAAAATTCATGACAATGAAGAAAGTTAATTTTTAAATACAATTAAATTAGGGTTCATATATTTTATTCTATTCTGGATGATATACTGAGGGAAATTAATAACAGATTTTTAACCACTACTCTGGAAATAATTACTTTAGTTGCTAACTTAGTTAAATTACGACCAACAAATGAAGACTATTCAGTTTTTAAAGAGCTTTTCAACATTTCTAATAAATATTTGGATTCCAAAGTCAAATTAAAAGGATTCCAATTGGTACATGTACCAATTGTACTCGCACTATTTATTTTTATTTAAATTGGTTTATGGATTCAAATAGAAAAAATATGTTTACCAATTTCTATGAAGTCATTACCATTCATATACCATTCACCAGTTGTGGTTGTGAACGGGCATTCTCCAAAATATCTATTGTAAAATCTAAACTACGGTCAACAATATCTCAAGAACGATTAGAATCACTTTTATTTTTAATTGTTAAGCAAAAAATGACCAAATCAGTTAATTTCAATGGCGTTATTGAAGAGTTTAATGTGTTGACTTTATGCAAATAATATTACCATTATAATGTATTTTTTTATGTTCATTTTCTATTACTAAAACTTTCTATTATTAAAAATTTAATTTTAAGTTGAGTAATGTAACGATTTTATTTAATATTTTAATGTAGGTACTGGGCATATACTTTATTATAAAACGATATCTAGTTATTTTTTTTAATAATTATCTATTTGTTGAAAAAATAATATAAAAATGTTTTTTTTAAAACACAAGTACTAACTAATATGAGTTCTAATGAATTGATATTTTGCATAAATTTATCCTTTTTTTTAGGTTAGGTTTTCTAAGACTCACTTAAAGGTAACACATAGTACATCCCATACTGAATTCCTGCACGCCTCTATGGTACTCAAAATAAGACACATAGAGCGCTTGGTTTTATTGGCCACTTTTCCAGGCGTATAGACAACTGTCATAATTAATACAAGATTGGTCGAAAGTTAGCATCTGTCTCCTTTCCAAACGCAGGTATTAATTATTTTTAAGTTTTGTATAGCCCTTCGACAAGACTCTCTAGAAAGTTACCACATTTAAATGTGTAACAAAACAGGGTAACATACACGACAGCTAAAGATATATAAGAATGAGGTTTCGAGTATAGCAGCCTGTCTTCGGTTCTGCAACTACTATAATCAGCGAAGAGAATTTGAATACGTATGGTCAGTTAGGTTAAGGATGATAGAAAAATAACGAAGAGAGAAGAGTGCTTCTGCTGGACGAATCCAAAACAGAAAAAAAAAGACGATGCACTAGCACGTACAGACGTGCCTTAATGCCTTCTGCGATCCTCCTATAGATAATATATAAATGGATGGGACATACCATGTATTCAAGTGAGATCAAAGAGCATACTGATTACCAAAGTGGTTACATATAAATAAAATACGGCATCAACTATAGGTGATAATAAAACGCAATTCACCGACTACCGGCTGCCTGGCGGTCACCAAAGTAAAAAATTCGGAAAATAATATTATTTATTATTTGCATTAAAACTTAAATTCCGTATAATATGTTTGATCATTTTATTTATCGGAAAAATAACTCATTGCGATAAAAAAACCGTATACAAATGTCTTATATAAAAAGCTGTCCTAGGATAATGGGGACGGGAGCACCCACTATTATAGACAATTCAATGTATACTTGTAAGCAACGACAAACTATTACTAACGAAAAAACGATTAAGTGGAGTTTAGTTGATAGTCGTGCTTTCTCAACAATATATATATGTCATATTATGGTAAAATAATTAAATAGGCATTATATATTTTCTTTGATAATATTTGTTTAATGTACCGATATTCCTATATTTTTCAAATTATCACATTTGTTGAGAAAACTCCTAGAAAAATCGAAAAATTACCTATCTAAAGTACCTCCCAAGTCTGATTTCTTTTTAGAAAAATTACTATCAATGTAAATGAGAGGAAAATTACTGGTAGAAAAGTTGTCCACAGAAAAAGAAGAATTTTAATATTTTACTTATACACTTCGTACATTTTCCCAGGTTTTTTTTCGGATTTTCATGGATTTGATGATAAAACTCCTGAGAAAATCAAAAAATGACCTCCCTAAAGTATCTCTTCATACCGATTTTCTTTCAGAAAAGATGTTACACTCAAAAATCGAAGCAAGATCTCTTACTTATACAAAACTATAAAAATAAACTTCATTGTAAAACCAACTAAGCTAAAAAAAAAAAAATTCGTTATAGAGCGTATTTTCGTAATTTTTTCCCTGCAGGTGTAAAAATGTATTAGAATTTTACGTTACCTCCCCGAAGATAAAAACATAAAAACTGATTTCGATTATCAATGAAACATTCAATAGAGCCATTCAATTATAAATTTATCACAAATTACAATTTAAAATTTAATCAATGTGCACGTTCTTTAAAATACATCATTATAGTTGGTAAAAAACAAATAATTTACAATACGTTTACTTTTTATTAAAAAAAGCCAAACAAACATTTTTTTTTTTTTTAAAATGTTTATAGTATAAGGTACATATAGGTACCTATAAGGTAGATATAGCCACATGCCCGCATAGGTACTTATTAAGTGAGAGTTTTAAATGAATTTATAATTTATACTATTTTATGGCTTTGCCATTGACATTATATTATATGTTCAACGAGAGTATGTAAATATTTCGAACACAAAGAGTGTTTCCATGCAAATAATAAACGATATGTATAAAGATAAGTACGTTACATTGAAAGATGTGTTCGCCTGTAGAAAGTTAAAAAAAAAACCACCCAAACATTTTGTAAATTACTCGACACCAAAATATATTATTTAAATTTCACATTAAAGTATATTGTGATCAAACCGAATTCTATGTTGACTACGCGTATTTTGAAAAACTATAACTAACAGAACCAATCTTCGTTACAGTTAATTATTAATTATTACCCAAATAAATTTTAGTTTCGGAACGTAGAAGGGAATGAATTAGTTTTAGTGTTTTTTATGATATTAGCTTATTCTTAGATTCTGAGCGTAGCTAGAAATGTATTGGTTTAATTATGTGTGCTTTTTTTTCCTGTCTGGGTAACTTTTCTACAAGAAATCTTACTCCAATCAAAAAATAACAAGAGAACTTTTTTAATGATTTTAAATGTATTTGGTGCATTGAAAAAGTCGTTTTTTGATTTTCTTTGAAGTTCTCTAAACATTATTGATTTTAAATTCTGAATAGAACGAAAAGTTTATAGTATTACAAAGATATGTTTATTTTTTTTTTCTGTGGACAACTTTTCTACCAGAAATTTTGCTCCGATTTTCAAGTGAAGCACCTCTTCTGAAAGAAAATCGAACTGTGAAGGTACTTTAAAAAAGGTCATTTTTTGATTTTCCCAATGAGTTTTCTCAACAAGTGAGAAAAACATGGGAAAACCAAGAAAAACTTGGAGAAAACGGAAAAATCGATACAAAATTAAACAAATATTATTAAAGAAAATATATAAAGCCTAATTTTACTATATGACATATATATTGTAGATAATATATTACTATTAACTGAACTCCACTCAGAATCGTTTTTTGTCAGCAATGGTTATCGTTGCTTAGAGATATATATTAAATTCCCTTCTATATTCTACATTCCCAACTTCCCACCTACAACAGTGGCTGCACCCACGTGCAAAGTATATCCGTCTTTTATATCTTTTATACGTAGTAATTTCTTCTTCGTTACTGGCATTTAATAATTAAGAGTTTTTACCGGAATCACGATCTCCCTCTATTTTTCTCAATCCTGAACTAATTCTCTCCAATCTTGTTCTCCCATCCTGTTAAAGTCCTCCTCCACAACATCCAATATTTTCCTGGGTCATCCTGGGTCTTTTTCACGCCGCCAATTTCCACTCTAGACCTACTCTACTTACATTATCCTCTCCTCTTCGCATGCCCCAACCATTGAAGTCTTTGTTCTTTTATGAAGCTGATAACTGATGCCATCCCTATTTCTTCCTGTTGTTAAATTTTTCCCTTTACACTCTAGCTATCATAAATTATTGGTCCATATATTATCCTCCATATTTATTTTCAAAGGTATTCAATATAATAGTTTGATTATAAATAATCGTAAATAACTGAAATTTTCAATGTTCTTATTATGTATCTTTTTCTAGAAATATTAATATTTTAAAACATGTTAACGATTTTTGAGAAATTTACAGACATTTGATAATTCTGAGTTTTTAATTTTTAAATTACTTTAGGTTTTAAAAAACTTGGTTTTTAAATTATTGTTTTAGCCGAGCAAAAATGTTTGAATATTTGACTTGAGGTTACTTATAACTTATGATTCTTAAGTTATACTTAAAGATCAACAAAAATAAATAAACAGACATACTTCGCTCAATGGGTAGACCAAAATTATAGGTGAAAAGTTAGGAAGGTAAAAGAGAAATTGAATGTAAAGATATACACAAAGATTTATTAACGATAAAAGACTCTGAACGGAGTTCAGTTATACTTGTTTTGAAAGTCATAATATTTACGATTTTAAAATAATAAATTTCGTATAATTTCCCATTGTTCCCAAGTGTTTTCCAGGTTTTTCCCATTTATTTTAAAAACAACTGAAGAAATAAAAAAAAACCTCCTTTTATAGTACAACCCCGTTAGAATTTCCTTTCAAAAAGTGTTACACTTGAAAATTGGAACGAAATTTCTAGTAAAAAAGTTGTTCACAGAAAAAAAATAAAACAAATAAATATAATTATAAAACCAATAAATTCCTTACTCTGCTCACAATTTAATAGCTAAGCCTAATGTTGAATTTTTTTGTATGCTCATTTTAAGTTTAATTCCTTCTTAGAGAGTTTCAGAGTCCTTTTTCGAATACAATGATTTATGGCTTTATAATATTTCCCCTTTAAAATACCTACATTGTAATGATCTGTGTTCAGTTTAGTGAAATAATATGCTCTTATATTGTTCCTTCAAACCAATCGTATGCTTAAAAACCTTATAATACCTACAATTGTATACAATAGAATGTAATAAAACTTTTTAAAACAAAACAAAATTACATTTTGATAAAAGACAAAGCTAAATTATTATGAAATTTTCAATGAAAACAGTGAAAAGATAAAACAATTTCCTACTCTAATTGTATATTAATGAGAAATTTGCATGGTTTACAATATTTATTTTTTTTTCTGTGGATAACTTTTTTACCAGAAATTTTGATCCGATTTTCAAGTGTACCTTCAAGTGAAGCACTTTTATTGAAAAGACATATGAATGGATTGTTGCTTTTTATTATTTTTCTAGCTATTCTCATAATGAATAGGTAAAATAGGAAGAAAATTGGAAAATGTACAAAATGAATTACTAAATACTTTTTTTTTTATAACTAATATTATTCTAAAAATCCCCACACTTTAGACAATATACCTGCTAGATTATAACTAGGTGTGAACACATAAAATACTTTGTTTTAAATTAATTTGATACCTAATTAGTAATCCTCTGTACTCCATAGAAAAATACGGTATTCCATGAAGATTACTTTGAATGAATGCTTTAACTCCTTTATTATACTTAGGTGTATGTAGAAATCTAAAAAAGTTAAAAATCTTAATTTATAATTAGTTGATAATACATTTTTTAAATTCTTAAAGTACTTATTTTTTGGTACCTATTTATTAAAATTGTCTAGTATGAATATTATATGGAGTAGTCATATTATTTAAATTGATAATCTCCTTGTCAACCAAATCAACAATCGTAATTACTAACCATGTACAAATTGCTAAACAAACACACCAGGTATCTAAGATGTTCTAAACTTATGTTTAGAAACTTAAAAGAATAAAATAACTTCATTTTTACATCTTTGTTTTTTTTTTTTAAGATCAAAATGGTTTTCATCATATTTCAATATTGAACAAAAAGTATAATTTATTAAAATTTATATTTAAATTGGGTATTTTGCAATATTACATATCTCCATCTAACATAACTTATTGTTCAATAAATATTTTCAGTAAATTTAAGTAGACAATTTGAAAATTGAAAGTCTTTAACATAAATTATTATATTTTATTCGTTTATATTATTTAATTAAACCAAATTTAAGTATGAGTATTGAAACCAAAATTATAGCAAATAATAATCATTGAACATTATACAAGTAAATAAAATAATTTAATCTCATAAGTAATATGTAATAAATATATCAAATTAAATACTGAGACATTTTATTTTTTAATAAATGATATTAAATTTTAAAAATGTGCTTAATATAAGAAACAATAAAAAAAATAATAGAAATACAAAGTGTAAAATTACACTTATATTATAATAATTAAATAACTAGTTAACTAGTTAAAAGTTAAAGTCGCACCTTTAACTGTTCCATACGTTGTTTGATTCTTCTTCTCATTTCTTCATACCTAAAATTAAAACATCATTTTTTTTTTTTTAATAAGCACCTATTAGAAAGAACAAAAACATTGGACAATTTAAACTTCTAGTATATAAGAACAACATAGTTCTGAAGACAGGAAATAAAGAACAACCTAAAAGAAACAATCTGAAAAATTGTTATAAGCTAAGAAACATTAAGGGTCAGTTGTACAATTCCACGACCAAACAATTATTTCTGATCAATAAATTAAGGTAAAAATATTTATTACAGATTATTAACTAGTATGCTGTTTATTAAGCGGGTGACTGCTTATTTTTTTACAATAAACACAAAAAAAAAAAATGAAAATGAAAATGATAAAAATGAATAAAGTACATGATAGGCCTAAGATACTCCAGATATCTTTCTTTACCATAGAAATCACTGTGCTAACCAAAGGTAAGATTAAAAGATATAGTAAAGGAAGATGTAGAAGTAGAAATTAATAATGGTTTGAAAAGAAGTGTAAAGGAAAACTTCAAAAAAAAATTAATCAATATTCTGTGATACGGTCACATAATAATAATGTGAACTTGATCAGTTGACAGTATTAAAAATTAAATGAAAAAATATTGATGTTGCAAAATTTGAACCAGTGACTCAATTAACCATAGTAATAGATGCATAAATATGAGTTACTGTCATTACTGATCTTATACTGATAGACTGGCCTTTTGAACACATGGAACGGTTATCGATAGAGGGCAGTCTTCACATGTGACTTGTGACTTATATGGTATTTTGTACATTGTATTACACATACCATTCTATGTGTAATACAATGTAAAATAAGTATAAAATGTAAATGACAACATTGATGTGATTATACTGAACACCAGTGGTTTTCATCCTTTTATGAATTGTGACACCCTAATTTTTTTTTTCATTTATGATGATCAAAAATCTTTTAATAGAACTTGAATAATACGATGCACAGTATATATATATAATACTTATGATTTCTGGCAACCCCCTATCACTCGCGACCCCTTTGGGGTTCGTTACCCCCAGGTTGAAAACCACTGCTGTACACCACTGTAATATGTCTGACCAGTTGCTACCTCAGCTACTCAATATGCAAGGCCAGTCTATTAGTATAAGGTCTATGGTTACTGTAATCTTATCGGTTAATTCTCAATATTTATTCATGGACGGTATTGTTTAAAAGTCAAAACTATTAAAGAAAATACTACTATTATCTAATAGCTATATCAAATATCAATAAATTAATTCTTTACTTTGATTGTATTGCAATTATATGTTTTTCTTCTTCAGCATCATAACCAGCCAGAATAGCTTTGCATTCAGGTATACTAAAATTTAAAAATTGAGCTACATCACAACTTATTTCATCTGTTGATCTACTTTCCATCAAATACAATCTAGAAACGTCTTCGTGTGGTCCTTGAATTAACCTTACAACCAATGGATATTCATCATCCAATAATTTACGGCGTTCTATAATTCCATTCCAATATTAATAAACAGAAAAACTAAATGACAATACTGATATTTACCTCCATTATCAAATACAAGAAATAAAGAAAATTGATACGCTTTTCCATCTACTTTGTATTTATCTAACATCAAGTTAATGACTTCTGGTGTTGTAACCAATGATGTAACCCAAACGGACATTTGACTACCATATGGTGGTGTAAAAAAACTGGTTTCCCGGTTATAAAAATGACCATTTATTGAACATCTACGTTTTAATTTTGTTCTATTTTTCCCATTTAATCTTCCTGTTCTAAAATTTAAACCAAAATTGACATTGAATTTAATTATCATTTTATAAATCTAACCCTTACCTTCTTTTAATGGCAGTTGATCCTGATTTACGACGCATTACCACATTGTTCACTAATTCATCTTGATGATCAGAGAGCACTTCATCATTACAATCATTATCACTGACATCATCATCTAATGAACGACTTCTCAGTAAACTCTTATCAGCAGTTTCTTTTTCTAATTGAGATTCAAAATTTTCGGAATATTCATCGTTTTTATCTGGAACTATAGCTTCCATATGAACTAGTGAATTAAATTTTTTTTCACCATCAACTACTTCTTTTTCTACCTAAATAATTTATTTCAAATTAAAAACTCAAATATGATAATTTAATTAATTTGCATAGCACACCAATAACAGTTTGATAAAAATTTAATTCATATTGTAATAATAGTCATATATTAATCTGATTTTATACAAATTTGTTTTATAATATAGATAAACAGAATACAAAAATGTATGTTGCACATTTAAATATTTTACACATTAATACATATTATGTTCATAAATCAAACGTAAACAAATTTAAATTTAAAAATTTAAAAAAACCTCTGCGCATTACTGTCTACCACCACTGAGTATTAATTGTGAACTTGTTATGATTAACCTAATCTTATTTAACATTTTATTTTTAGTTTTTATCAATTGCTGTCACAGTTGCATAACACAGTATCCATTTAACTAATAATTTATTGATTGTAACTTGTAATGACAGGCAGGTTTTATCTTGTATTAATATTGATGTTTAAAAAAAAAACAAAATAAAATACCTTGATTCTAATCATATATCATGGATATGAGTGTTAACATCTTCAACTACTGATAGTTATTTATATAATATATTACATTTAGGATTTGGTGACTAATATACTTCAAACTATAATCAAGAATTTATTAATTGATTATTTTTTTAGGAATTATTAATTTATTAATAATTAATTTTTTAAATTTAATCCCATATAAATGCATATTTTATAAAAAAAATAATAATAATAATTACTGCATATTAAAGATTTTTTAACACATAAGCACATTTTTTTATTATTTTTTAATGCATAAAATTCCAAGCCCTGGTAATAATAAACAAAAATGAAAATGGTTTTTTTTTTTTTTTTTTTGAGATTCAAACAATATAAAATATTATATGTTTACATTAATTTACACTTAAATATTAAAAGTAATTAATCTATTTAATTTACAAATAAATTACTTTTAAAAATTCATCAAGTTCATCTTTAATGATGTTATGGTTTAAATGTAATGGTAATGTATTGAATTTGCTTGAGGAATTGTTTCCATTTTGATGTTGACCATTTTTTGAATTATTGGTTACATATTTGCTTTGTAGTTTCTGAAAATCCATTAAATAAATATTTGTAAAATATAACCAAAAAGAGAATTATTAGGAAAATAATTTGGAAATAATTAAACCTGTTTGGAATACTATTGCAATCAATTATAAGAATGAATTGAGAAAAAAAAAAGTCCCATTATAAATGAATACATAAATTTAAAAATATATAGATCTATTTATATAACCTATATAAACCTTAACTAAAAAACCCTTAATAATTATTTGGAACAATATAATGTAGGTATACTATTATTGGGAATCTACTTATCTATATAATATTATGCATATAGATTTCTTACCATTATTATGTCTGTCATGATCAAACTAGCTCAATTGAACTATTCACTAAATTGAACAATTTGAACTAGTTCACATTTATCTAAACTTTATTACATTAAACTTAATTTTAATATAAACTGTTCACTACTACCTCAAACATTCATTCAAGTGAATAATTTATTAAAATCAAAATAGATGACCTATAAATTGTTCATTGTTCACCAGTACAGTCCGTATTGTAGGAGTACCATATTATTAGCATTTAATAAATAATAACAGATGAACAATGAACAAACAAACTAGTCCACCTGTTCACCTAATGCCCAAAATACCAAACTACTTTAAGCACTGTTAGTCAGCCTAACACAGTTTTGTTTTAAATAGAACATAAGAAATTATATTACATACATACATTGATAATACAAAAACATTTAATGTCATGAATATCAGTCATGACTAAGCTTAGGAACTTCTAGCCATCAAAAGGCCATCAATTTACAATTTGAATGTCTGATTTAAATATTTTGTGAAAATTTAAGATCTCTACTAATATGTTTAACCTAACTAAAACAAAAACAAATTCAAAATAACTGCTATTTCAAAAACTTCCCCAGTTTTTCTCAATTATTATAAAAACTATTTGGAAAATCAATAAAATCAGTATTTATTCACCAACTAAATTTAAAATGCACCAAAAATGCATCAAATCGATATTTCTAGACAGAATCTAGTCATTTTTTCAATTGGAACAAGTTTTCTGGTAGAAGTTTACAGGTACAAAAAAAAAAAATACCACATCATAATAAAACCAATACATTCTTTGCCAAGTTCAGAATCTAAAATACTCTAAATTGAAATTCTCAAATAAAGGGACACCTAAAAATCAAAACAAAGCTAAGAAAGATTTGTAAATCTTAGGAATAAGAAATTACAAGTTATCATTGGTAAGAGATAAGTGGAAAGAGTGATATGATACAATATTAGGCTTAAATGAGCTATAAAGCTAAAAAAAAAAGGATTAAAATTCTTTACCATCAATGGCACATCAGTTTCTCTGAGAATTCTATTTTTAATTCTTTGGTCGTCATCTTCTTTAAGATGAATCATATCCGTAACAGCCCAATGAATTCTTAATGACCCTTCTAAAATAGGACGCCCATTTACCTATTACAATATGAATAATATTAATATTATTTTTACATCAATTTAATCTGAAATTTTAAATACAAAATTAAAAATCAATTTTACCTCACGACTACGGATCTCTCCACTACGCCCTTCATAATATTTATTGTACATTTTAAGTTTCTCATCCAGCTCAGATCTATAATAAAAACAACTGAAATGTTACACATTTGTTAAACAATGTCAGACAATGTTAAACAAACCTTTCAACATTTGGTCCAAATGGGTATTTGTTTTCAACTCTCCCAAAACTAGTATGAGATTCCACTCTGGTTCCATGGCCATACAATTGAGGTCCAAAAAGGACACCATAACAGGGTACATGGCAATAAGGAACACCTTTATGCTAATATATAATTCATAACAGTAAAAGTAATTATGTTATCTAGGTACTACTAATTAACATATAATTTAATACCTCTGCGTGTTGTCCAGGGTTTAATCGTTTACTACATTCTTCACATCGTAGACATTCTGGATGCCAGTCATATCCTAACGATTGTTTACGTTCCGCTAAACAAACAAATGTTTTTACTCTGTGAATTACTAACAATTTACAATATCCAAACTTACCAAAATACACGGGTTTGCCACATTTATGACATTTCCACATGGCTAATTGAACTAAATAATGATTATAAAATTATAGTCTTATCTAAAATTTTAAAAATAATAAAAATTCACTAGTTTAATAAGGGTAATAGAACATTTATATCACGTACCTATTCACGTACTAATAATTAAATTCCATGGTTCATGGTTGGTGGTTCAATGTTTATTTTATCTATATTAACAAAAATAATTTATATCATAGTTTCATACTCGTAATCAAGACTATCTTAGTCCGAGCTCGTAATCGTGCTACCGCCATCTAGGGCTACCACGATGTAGATACAATTTTATCTACTTCGTGCGTGCTACCACGGCCTTAGATTATGAACTAAGATAATAAATATCTTAGTTCAATGGGTGCTACATATCATACATAGCCAACGAATTAAAATATTCCTTAAGATACCTAAATGTTAATCCGTGCCATAACCCGATTGGTCTATATTATTACCGAAAACCCAAGGTGAATACACCTTACGTAGACCTAACTATGTTATCTTAGTCCGTGGTATAAACCTAATTTATAGGTCTATGCCATATGGTTATTACCACATTATTACGGACTATTCGAGCAATTCGGGCTATTTATCCACGGTGGGTACCTGTAAAAATTTAGAAATTATAATAGAAATAATATGACGGTTTAATTATATCAATCAAGTCCAGATATAATAAATTATCTATCATGCAATACTTTTACAATATTCAATTATATAATAATTTTATCTTAAATATCCAAAAACAATTTTTTACTCGTCAACTAGATTAAAAAAAAGCAACAAAAAAAAGTCTCTTATATTATAATTAAAGCAATGAATGACAGAAAAAATGGGTAAAAATTATAAATAATTGAAATCGTTTGTTGTAAATTTGTTTGTTTTCATTTTTCGGCTTATTCCAATTATTGTGAAAACTACTTGCTTCGTGAGCATCTAGAATCCAAAAGGCTACTAAAAATGTCTCAATGAATTTTTTCTACAATAAAAACAATATTCTATAGTAGAAAAAGAAAACATAATTTGCAAAAAATTAAAAACAATGTAATAATTAAGTAACGCTGTGGAGAATCATAAACATTTTCCGATTTATCTGAAATTTTGTTTCCGGTTTTTTACAATTATTTTAGAAACCTCTTGAAAAGTCAAAAAATAACCACTAGTACACCAACTAGATAAAATTTCCTTTTAGAAAAGGTGCTACCTACTATATTTGATAGGTACGTTTAAGGGGAGAGATCAGGGATATAATATATTTCTCCCCCTGACATTTTTTCCAGTGGCCAGTTATTATTTATACGAATACACACCTATTTTTAATGTCTATTTTTTAGTCAGAAAAATTAAAAAGTGTAAACGAAGTTAATAAATAAAAAAAAAATCTTTAACTTCAAGATACCTACATTTTCTTAATACAAACGAAACCTACCCGAACCACGTTAATATACTTGAAGAAGGTTTTTTTCCTCTTTATTCTTAGAATAGGTAGTGTAACGAAACTAACAGGTAATTATAATCACTATAAAATATCAATGTTAGGACAGATTGAATTATAAAATGGGTATTTTTAAAAATATATTCTTAAGTTTGAAGTTGAATCTTGTTTTTGTTTACCTAGTATATAGGTGATACACATTATACAATCTGTGAAACAGAATATTTGAAAATTAAATATTTTCCTAAATATGCCATTGTGTCGCGGTAGGAACACGTTTTCTGTTCTAAAAGTTGTCTATAGATCACAGACAGAAAACATAACACATCAAAACCCTATCACTCTTTATGAAATATGCGTTTTTTTTAATTTTAGAAAACAAGTGTTGAGAAACTAGATATTTTAAAAAATAAGATGTATCACAGGGCATCTTTCAAGAAATAATTTGGAGTATTTTTACTACCCAAAAACTTGTTTTTCGAGAAAACATAAAAAAAAAAACGATGGCTTTCCGTTTCCGCTGTCATTTGGGTTTTAAATTTTTATGTAGACCAGTAAATATTTAAAATAATGTCCCAGAGCGCAAACCGCATTTATTTTGATCTTTCTAACTTATTATTACTATATTGCATAATTTAAGCAAATTTGTATTTAAATAAAACTTATTTTTTACTCTTTAGTTTTGGATATGGTTATAGCATAGTTCTTTAAATTTTGATAATTTATAGATCTATGGGTTGTAGTTTATTGAGATGATCTTATCTATGACCGTGGTATTAGTTTGGATCCGTAATGATTATACTAATACACAGCCTCCGGAAGGACTTATTACACGATCAATTTTCTTAACATAAAATTTGTCTATCTATTAAATATACTTATCTTTATTTTGAACATGGCTATAGATTGGATCTATAGATGTGCTTTTTAACCAGTCTAAGGTAGATTAGACTTTGTAAATCTAAGGTTTAATCCTAAATTATAAAAAAAAAATATTTAATTGTAAACAACAAAATTTGATTTCCGTCCTTACATTTTTATTTGAGCATTAAGTATCCACACTTTGTAATTGAATTTAATACCTACCAAAGAATTCAGTGATGATTTGATTCACATAATTTAATTATAATAATAAAATTTAATTTTTTCTTTTCACTTTTAGTTCATTTTCTCTACCAATGTCCAATGTCTTTTACCAAATTTTTCAGACCATAATTTAAATTAAAAAATATATTTGACATTTAAAAAAACTTTAGGTGAATTGTCAGTGATTAAATTATTATAATAAATTGTTGTCATAATGATCTAATAAGGTTAAATAAATTCATCATGATTTAATTTGAAGTCAATATGTGTTGGCAATATACCTATTGCCATCAAAGTTCAAAACTGTAGGTGATTTTGATAATTTAGATTCTGAGCGATGTGAGGAATGTGAGAAATTGGTTTAAGAATGTTTATTTTTTATTTATTTTCTTTAGGAACACTTTTCTACTAATTATTTTGTTCAGATTTTCAAATATAGCACTTTTTGATTTTTGAACAGTTTTCATAATAAATAGGTAAAACCAGGAAAAAACATAAAAAAAAAAGTACAATATTACTAAAGAAAATACATAATCCATATTATGTAATTATTTTACCATAATATGACATATATATTACTGACAAATCCTATTAATCCTCAGAATCATTTTTTTGTGAGCAATGGTTAATCATTTTGTATAAATATACATTCAATTTTCCTGCTACCTTCCCAACATTTCTCCTAACAATGGCCCACCCATCATGCGAAGTATGTCCGTATCTTTTTTTTGTTATAATTTTTTTTCATTATTATTATTAAATAATGTTTTATCATTTTTAAGGAGCAATTTAAAATAAGCAGAACATATAAGTAAATATTTATTTATTCTAATTGTCAAAACAAAAAAATTATAATAAATTATGGCTAATCTATAACTAAACAAATTTTAAAAAAATAATAAAAAAACTATTATTATAATAGAATAAAATATATAAGTATTTCATTTTTAAATTAACTATACCAATAAATACAAAAAAAAAAAACTGATTTTCCACACCCCCTTAAATGATACACTTAGTATGGTAAATAATAAACAAATCCACCTAATCGAGATTCTTTTAATCGTTTTAAATGTCTTAATATTGGAATAATGTTTAATGTGGTTTTATCAACTTTCATTTCACTAAATCTAGTAATATCATCAGCAGTCACAAAATACTGACCTAAAATTTAAAAAATTGTGTATAAATATAAACAAAATTATTTTAAGAAAATTTTGTTTTGATTCATACCTTGTCCAACATTTGTTTGTTGTATTTTCCACATGTTATACAAATTTAAGTCTTTCTTTTTCAAGGTATTTTTTGGTTTGCGCAAAATGTCATACTTATTTTCTAATGCAGCATTAATGCTGTCTATCACAACATTTACATTTATTGAACTTAAACGACCTTTCATGTACCTGAATAGAAATAATGAAATAAATATCATAAATAATAAAACAAATATAAATTACAGAAATTAACCATTACTATTGTCTTACTTTGGAACTTTATCCATTTCATCATTGGTAACAGATTTTAGAAGTGGTATATCGAACACTTGTCTACTAGACTGAGATTTTAAAGATTGGCCCATCATAGTGGTACTCATTATTGTACCATTTGACATAGTATTGTATGAAGAATAAGTATTATTCCATGTTGGTACAGGTGACACAGATAAGTTAGTCATATTCAAATTATTCCCTTCGTTTTTTTTTATTTCATAATTCTGATTAAACTTCTGCATTTCAAACTTGTTAGTATCACAAAAATTTGATGGAAAATTTACTATCATATGATTACATCTTTCTTCAATCATTTTTAATTCATCTAGTTGTTTCTGAAATGACTACAAAAAATACCATTAAAAATTTAACTTTAAATACTTTTAAAAATATGATGATTTTAACTTGTCAACTTACTGATTTTCGAGCATTTTTTTCTTTAGTTAAAGCTTCACAAAGAATATTAATTTGATCGTCAAATGACATAATTAAATTATCTAACTTTCGGAAGGATTCTAATATTTCTCGTCCACCTGCAGTATCTTTGCAACACAACATTACATCTAGTCCTATGCTAAGGTTATTGATAGTTTCATCCATTTTTTCAAGATCAAAGTTACTCATCTTGCACGTTATCTCCTATTCTAGAACAAATAATTTAATTTTTAAATTTATTTTTATAAAAAAAAATATGTAATACTCTCCAAATAATAAATATAGAACTTATTTCTTGTACTAGTAGATTCATATATAGAGTACAGTCATTGAGCTACTACATAAATATTTTCTTAGAGAAAAAAAAACAATGACTTAAGTAAATAAAGTTTAAGTAATAATTAAATAACTCTAATAAAATGTATTCAAATCCCAATCACCAGATTAATATTAATATTTATATATTCGTTTAATTTTAATAGTTTTTAAATAATATCATAGTTAAAATGAAATAAATGAATATTGCAAGATCTCCACAAAATTAAAAAAGAATATACCATAGACACAATATTGGGTAAGCCTTATCGAATGTTAAATAATAGTAATAAATACAGATTTATAGACAAATCACAAATTTAAAATATATTATACAACCACAACGTTTATATAATTAAGGATTAGAAATTAGGATATAAACCCAAAAGTCTAATAAGTATCATTGATTAATGTCGATGTTTTCTGAAGAAAAATGATAGGTATTACTTACCATGAAGTAAAAACCACAAGGCATAAAAAGTTAAAATATGAAGACTTTCCTATTTTCTTTATGCCTTTCTCCAAATCTTAATGAATATACATTAAAGCTGAAAGTTTGAACTCTGTAACTGCTTGAAGTTTGAACTATTAAACCACGGTTAGCAGTTTACTAAATAATCATGAATTAACCCGGTAATCGGTATTATCAAAACCTTGGACATTGTTTAAAAACTTATTTAAACTATACTATATTTGTGGCAACACTGAATAGCTCATTTTGATAAAGGTCATTTCAATATGATAAAAGACATTTTCAGAATTTTCACGATAAATTTTTGTAGTAATATCTTTTTTTGTGGTAATTCAGTAGTTAAACAAGATGTCTATTTTCAAAGCTATAACTTCCAATGGTTAGTTAATTAAAATTAATTATAAATACCTATCAAAACACTAATTGTATTTATTTTTCTGTTATTTTAGTCGCTATTCGTCGTTGGGCATATAACCTTTCTGGTTTCAATAGATATGGTAAATATTTTACCTGTTCTAATAATTAGTATAATTTATATATATAATATGTATAATAACCCAAACTAAAAATTTAATTTTTTACATAACACTAATTATAATACTTTTTTTACTATAATAGCATATATATAATTTACTTGTTTGCTGCTATAATGCAATCAACTTAAAAAAAAAGAACAATTTCGTTTGAAACCTATTTGAACAACCGCAATTTCGCTGTTTGTCAAATGGTCAAAAGAGACATTGTATGCTCAAATTTATTTTAATATCTTTATTGACTAGAACCATGAAAATCTAAAGACTTCTTAACTTGTTTACACTATATATTATATGTACTCCAACCTTGGTTGCTATCTATGCTTATAAAGTAATGTATGAAACAGGCTTAAATCAAATACAGAATCTTTTTAGCGTAGAACATATCTATCAACAAATTTATTAAAATTATTAAATATTAAATTAAAAATTTCCAATTTTTTTTAAATAAAATTTTAATTATTTTTCTTTATTAGGATTGCATCATGATGATGTGTTGCAAGAAAGTGATGATGTCAAAGAAGCATTAAGAAGACTACCAGCACACAAAGTAGATGAACGGACATTTAGGATAATACGAGCAATGCAACTCTCTTTACAAAAAATTGAACTACCCAAAGAACAATGGACTAAGTTTGAAGAAGTAATATTTTAATGTTTAAATAATATTAGTATTGTCATCATAATTTTAAAATTTTATGTTAATAGGATGATCGTTATCTACAACCGTACCTTGAAGAAGTAGTAAGAGAAAGAGAAGAAAAAGAATTTTGGGAAAAAAATTACTATTAGATTATAATATATGAAATACTACAGTAAAATATCACCATAGTCATCGTGTAATTTAAAATATTGTTTAAATTCAAAATGTATTAAACCGAATAAAATATTATTAAATTTATTTAAAACTCATATAATTTTAGTATTTTACCAAAAATAAATAAGTAGATGAGTTTTAATGGTTTGGTCCACAATCAAAACTTGGATTTATTTATGGTTACTAATTAATTTGCATTGTTATCCATTTAAAACTTCTCAAACTTGTGTTCCAAAACATTTTTTACTATTGTGAATTAAGTAGACATTAGAGGTCATTGTATTAAAAATGTAATTACAATTGGTATTTATTGTCCAGTAACATATTTTACAAAATGTAAGCGGGTTAAATGAATAGTATGAATGACACATTAATTTATAAGTATTTGGCATAGTTACAGATAGTACAGATCTTTTCCTTAGATAATACTTTGATCAATATAAACATTATTATTTATTGGTTCAAAAGTATTCATTGTTTTCAAACGATTTAAGATAATATATTAAATTGTGGTACAAACACAAAAAAAAGAAACATTATATTCTACGGTACAAGTTCCTGTTAACCACAATTTAAAAAAAACATTGTAAAGTCATACTACTTATAGTGCCTAAAGCCTGATTTCACAAGGTCAAATATTTGCTGAATTTCAAACTTCATATACTTGGAAAAATATTTAACCATGCAAACTGATTTTTAAATTTAATCGTGGTCAAATAGATGTTAATACCAAGACTATAAGAGTATGCAAGTATGTATCTATGTTATGATTATCTACAAAATTAGTAGTTGCCAAGAGTTTTTATAAAATTGATCAGTGACCTATTAACTATAAAACATCATACACATACGTCATTAAAAAAAAAACAAATTTACCAATAGAAACATTGATAAGAACTATTGATATTTGATAACAGAATACATAATTAGTTGTAAACATAAATCAGTGGTTTTAAGTAAGTAAATTGGTAACTATTATTGAATTTTGTATTTTTTTGCACGTTGTTCACGTTTTTAAAATTAGAAGTTTCATATTATTTTCAAACTCTAAATAAACAAAACATTTTTCTCAGTAAGTACCTACTATTTATTATCTTTGTTATAAAATATATATTATGTGGATATTTATACAGTTATATCTATATATTGTATACTATACTTATTTCATATTACATAGACACATTTAAAATCTTTAATCCAACCAATTTATGTAATAATAACATATATTATTTGAAGAAATATATTTTCTTCATAATCAAATACTATTCAGAGTATATATTACTTACTTGTAAGGACTTTTAAACCTTTTTTTTATAAATAGTTCTCAAATAATATTTATTATTTTGTGTAAAAATGTTCAATTAGTAACATAATATCATCATTATAAATCATTTTCCCAGGATAAGTAATATAATAACAGATAAAGTACAATACGTTTAGTTAATATGTTTGGATCATACAATATATTATCCTATTAATAATTAGTTGGTCATATAATTAATTACTTTAAAGTTTTTGACTTTTTGAAATCAATAATTTAATGTTTTTCTATTTGTATTTATTTAGGTAATTTATTTAATGACTTTCCATACAAATATGCTAAATAAATGCAAAACTCTGTTACCAACTTTATCACACAATCTACATAAAGGACAATCAGGAAGGATTGGTGTTATCGGAGGTTGTGAAGAATACACTGGAGCACCTTACTATGCAGCTATCAGCGCTTTACGTACAGGAGCTGATCTTGTTTATGTGTTTTGTTTCAAATCTGCAGCTCCGGTCATAAAGTCCTTTTCACCCGAACTTATCGTGTTGCCATATTTAGACAATCCAGATTGTATTAACCATTTAAAACCTTGGTTAGAAAAACTTCATTCTTTAGTTGTTGGACCCGGCCTTGGGACTAGTCCTATTGCTCAAGATGCTGTAAGACGTATTTTTGAATATGTCAGTAGAGAATCCAATTTTAACAACAAAAGAATGCCAATAATAGCAGATGCAGATTCTCTTAATATTATTGAACCTGAAACATTTCGAAATTATAATGGTTGTGTTTATCTTACACCGAATATTCACGAATTAACTAAATTATCTAGTAGACTAATTGGACGTCAAACCTATGAACCAACAGTGACTGATGTACAAGCTATATTAAACATATTGGGTGGTAATTATGTTATAGTATTAAAAGGTGCCGAAGACATTATAGTTAACAAAAGAGGAACTTTTGCATGCGTTGAAAAAGGATCAGCTAGACGATGTGGTGGTCAAGGAGATATTTTAGCTGGAAGTTTAGGGACTTTTGCATATTGGGCTTCTAAGCAAACTCATTATTGTGACGAATTAGATCCAGAAGTTCTTGCTGCATTTGCAGCCAGTGCACTCACTAGACATGCAAATAAAATAACATTTACAACAAAAGGACGAAATATGATTACCACAGATATTGTTGAATTGTTACCTAATGCTTTTCAAACTTTATTTGAAAACTAAAATAGAAAACCATTTTCCTTGTTTTATTATATATTGTATTGGTTTTTTGTTAAACATTTTTATATTTTACTATTACTATTATTGTTTTTAAGGGTAAATTTACTCTGATGAGAAACATTGATCTAACCCATATATATTATAGACATGTTGGTAAAAATATGTAAATGCCTACTTATTTATTAATTTGTTTAATACTTTTAATTATATTTGTTTTGTACGAGGTCTGACCAATAAGTAATGAGACTGTTTTTTTGCCACGCTTGTGGTAACACTGCGAATCTTAAACTTCGTTCGGTTAATCTCTCATCCCTCCTCTATCGATACATGTGCTCGCGATTTTCGTACAATAATTAGTTTTCCAGTTGTGTTATGTTTTCGACAACATAATTGTAAGGCGTGTTCCAAATATGGAACAACGTAATATTGAACAGCGGTACGCGATTAAATTTTGCGTTAAACTCGGCGATTCCGTTATGGAAACGTACGATAAATTGGGAAAAGTGTTCGGTGATGAAGCCCTGAGTCGTGCTCAGGTGTTTCGATGGCATANCTCGAACTGACAACAATGTTCAGCGTGTGCGCACTCTCGTGCATCAAGATCGGCGTTTAACCGTTCGAATGTTGGCTGATGAACTTAATTTGAAACGAGAAACCGTCAGAAAAATTTTAACTGATGATTTGTCCATGAAAAAGCTGTGTGCAAAGATGGTGCCGAAGAACCTTTCGGTGGAGCAAAAACACGAACGAATGTCCATTTCACAGGATTGTCTGGAACAGGTTGAAGCTGATCCAACTCTTCTCGATCGTGTAATTACTGGTGATGAAAGTTGGTATTTTCAGTGGCTGTCTCCTGGTGCAGCTAGACCGAAGAAGGCGAGAATGAGCAAATCAAAAATGAAAACGATGATGATTTGTTTCTTTGACAGCAAAGGAATCGTGCACAAAGAGTTCGTACCACCTGAGCAGACCGTCAATCAACATTTTTACCAGAAAGTACTCGATCGGCTGCGAAAACGAGTCATTAGAGTCCGTCCAGAGATTGCCAAAACGTGGATCCTTCATCATGACAATGCTCCATGCCATCGTGCCTTCAGTGTGTCGCGATTTTTGACCTCTAAGAACATCGCAGTGTTGCCACAAGCGCCCTATTCGCCGGATATGTCACCCTGCGACTTCTTTTTGTTCCCTCAAACCAAATTGGCCGTGAAAAGAACGCATTTTGAGTCCATAACTGACATCCAAAACGCTGTGACGAGGGTACTTCAGGACATTCCAGTCGAAGCCTTTCAGAAATGTTATGAGAGCTGGAAAAAACGTTGGAACCAGTGTATAGTGGTGGGAGGGGAGTACTTTGAAGGGGAACACATCGATGTATCTTAATATTTAAATATACGTATTTTATTGAATTAGTCTCATTACTTATTGGTCAGACCTCGTACATAAATAAACTAATTTGGGTATTTTATATAAAATTGTTTATTTGAATGTACTTAAATGTCAAAATTTAAAGAATACCAAAAAACATTATACTGACAATTCAATTTTGTTTTATATTTTTTTGATTCTAATCGAAGAATGTATTGGTTTTACAATGTTTTTTTTTTAAAAAAAAAAAATATGCACGTAAACACCCAGAAATCTCATTCCAATAACAGTAATTTGTATTATTATTATTCACTAAGACAAAATTTTTTTTTTTCAATTTGAAGGTTTGCAATCTACACATTGAACTGTGACAATTAGTTATTTAAGTATGAAAGTTTAAAAGACATTAAAAAAAAAAAAAAAACTTATAATAATTTAACGAATAAGTCATGCGATTTAAAATATTAAATATTAAAAAACTATATTACTATTATTACTAAATTACTATATACGAGTATTACTAAATATTTTGAAAAAAAAAAAAATATTTGATATTTACCTATTATAAAATCATCAAAACTTGAAATAGGTGTTTAATTCAAATTGTTTTAATAACATTCCAGCACATTTATTAGGTTTACGCCATAAATATGATAAAATACATTTATAATTTTTCTAACATTTTTAAGTCATTTTCTATAGCCTTCCCTTATTTCCAATTACACTAGTGGTAACATAATATTGTGTTTTACTTAAAATGTATAAATAGATAATTACGATTTTTAATTAAGTTTTCCCGGAGGAGGGAGATTAGATCCTGCAGTACCTCTACTTTTCATAAAAGGTAACTTTATCAAGTCTAAAACTATCAAAGTTAAATTTGCTGATATACACACAAGTAGATAATAAAAATTTAAAATAAAGTTATGTAGTAGGTAAAATAAACTTTTAAATTAATATCCCTATCCTCACTTAGTATATAAAAGCGAAAAAATGTTTGTTAGTTTTCTTTCATGTGAGAACGACTGATAATATTTTGTTTTTTTTTCTACAGCCATTTAATCTTTAGCATATAATTAAGAGACTATAATTATCTCAGAATTTGACCACTAAAAAGTGGTTCATACATGCATTTTGTCCTTAAAATAGAAAAATTGAATTACAAAATGCGAATACATATTTGTATTCAATCTTGTCAAAATAATATGAATTTTAAATAACATGATATCAAAACGAAAAATAATTACTTTATTAAATATATTTTAATGCCTATTTTCATTACATCATTATCAGTCATGTTATACAATTTCTGATTGATTAAATGTATTGTTAGTATACACGATAACGACATCACATGATTATTTATTTAAATGCATAAATGTTTCACATTTTAATTATAATTTGTTTCTATTAAATAATATAAATTAACCTAATTCTATACAAGCAAAAGATTGTTTACCTACAATATAACTTATAATATTATTTGCCTAAATACTTATACACACACACAACTTTTGACATATATTATAAATATTGGTAACAATAATAATAAATTGTATAAATTATATATTAGTAAATAAATATAACTTGATGAATCTTTATGAATAAGGTACACAAAAAATTATATTTTAAAGATACATATATAATCAATGTGTGTTGGAAAAATAACAGAAAAGCTCAGTTAAATAGGTATCTACTTTTTACCTATATAACTTCTATACTCTTCAAATATATTATCATTTATCATACTCAATAATCATGTATATTATACTAGCATATTTTACTAATTGTTTGCTCGTGAGCTGTTTTTAATTATAGTTTATGGGTGTATAATATAAATCAAAAATGTACTAAAATTTTAAGTTATTTATTAATTACATGATAGGTTGGATATGAGCTAATAATAATGATAGTGGATACTGAACTTAGACAATAAAAATAAATTAAGAAATACAAATTGGTACTAACTCAAATGTACATTTATATGAAACTATATCGAATAGTTAAGTCTATTGATAAACTTTACTTTATTATTAAGTTAAATTTAAATCTACATAATATATAAAAATAACTAAATATTTTATGCTAAATTATTTAGTGCACACATCATAGGAATTGCCTATGTAGTTTTATAATTATAAATAATAAAATAAGATATACATATAATTGTTGAATACTAATTAGGTAATTAGTACACGGGGATGCATAAAATTATAAAATACAGAAAAATAAAAATAAAAACAATCATTGATTTCTAAAATATTGTTAATTCATAAATTTAATTTCACATACATAGCACTTTTACTCCAGTTATCTACCTGACATGATTTTGTACAATAAATCGGGGGTTTATTTTATAAACTGGGAATCTTTGAATTTTATTATTTCAAACAAATAACATTGTTGAATATTATTTCTCCAAGTATGCTATCTACAAGAAATTTGTTGGTTAAGTATGCTAAGTACCTACAATCTTCTTTTACACCTACACTCTACAGGCTACACAAATATTTAATATCGCCAAAATTAATAAATAAGTATAACAAATTATTATATTTGATAGTTTAGTAACTTTTACCAATGTATTTTTCGAAGTTTCATCCAATTTTAAATAAATATAAATTAAGTTAGAATATAAAAAGAAAAGTGTGGTGAGAAAAAATTAAAAACCTATGTATGAATTTATAGATTTAGAGATGGCAAATGACAGTGCTAAGAGAGGTTTTTATGTGAATGTTAATGAGAAAAGGAGTTAAAAATCATATATTAGTTTGGTAAAGGATATGTATGAATGTTCAAATACGAGTTTAAAAAGTATTTGTGGAATAACTGAAGAATTTTGGGTTAAATTAGATATGCATCAGGGTTTACATTTGAACCCTTACCTGTTTTCTGTTGTAATGGATGAAGTTACAAAGGAAATACAAAGCAAGGTACTATGGAACATGTTTGTAAATATATATAGTTAATATATATATATATGAGTTAAATAAATCAGTTAGATAACAATAGGCTAGTGAAATATAGAATAGGACTTTCCTTAAAGAAAAAGAAGTAAGAAAAAGTAGAAGTAAAACAATGGATTTCAACTTTTTACGAACCACAACCCCCTATTTTTATTTTTCATGTAAGACAACCACTTAAAAAATTGTTTAATAGAACTTGAATAATACGATATATAGTATACATTATACTTATGGTTTCTGGCGCTCCCCAGATTGAAAAACAACTAATATAGACTATGAGTTTGGAGGAAAAGGACAAAAGGAGTAATGAAAATAAGTGATGTAACAGGCGGTTGAATTTTAATCACCAAGAAACTTTTTACTTTTGGGTTTGATGAGGATGTGAATCAAGTGGAGAGAAATGTAAAATGTTTTTTGTGGCAAGAGAATTCCCATGGACTTAAAGGTAGCGCTACATAAGAGTGGTGAGACTGACTTTGTTATACGGATCAGTGTTGGGCTGTAGACAGAAATACAGATTGAGTATAGTAGAAATGAGAATGCCTAGGTGGATGAGTGAAGATAGGATAAGTAACGAGTACATAAGAGATAGTATGAAGGTTACTTCAATAGTAGACAAAATGAGAAAAAGTATACTAAGATTGTTTGGGCATGTCATGAAGAGAGAGGAATCGGAAGCAGTAAGAATGGTAATCAAATTAATGTAGGAGAAAAGAAAAGAAAAAGAAGACTGAAAAAAAGATGATTGGGTTCGATTAAGAATAATAAATGATAGCTAATATATGTGAGATTGGATTGGATTTAGAATGAGTGGGGCTGATCCCAAATAGTTGTGATGAAAGTGAAGTTGAAAAAAATGTTTTACATTTTATAGATGTGTTTGAGGCAGTTTGGAGTGAAATAAAGCTAACTAATATTTTTTAAATAAATTGCTGACCAAGTATTATTAAAATGTTTAATAAAAATAATTTATAAAGTATGGTGAGAGATTATTATTAGAATATTAAATTCTGTAGATAGCATACTTAACAAGTATCAATTCTTGAGTAAAATATTTTCAAAGGACTTTTAATTTGAGTTATAAGTAGAAATGATTCATTTCAAATGAAAATAAACATTTTTGTGGAGTAATTTTGAAACATAAATTAGTCTTAATGAAGATTTCCTTCAGTAATAAATTAATAATGGTATATTTATGACTAGTAGATCATTCAATGTATCAATTATTTCACTTGAAAATTCACAAGACAATAACAAATTAAATGTATTGTTGTATATCGCATATCTAAAAAAAATTGTTTACTACATAACAAATTTTGGTAATTAATCACAGATTAATTGCATTAAAAACTACATGAATAATTAAATGAAATAAATTGTTTGTAACTGAAAAATTAAAAAAATATTGTTTTAAACTAAATTATTCATAAGGGTTTAGTATATTTAATATACAATACAAATGTATAAACGCGCTAAATGGGTTCTATTTATATACCAGGAAATTAAATGGGGTCTATTTTTAAACTTAAATAAAAAAATTCTTAAGTACCTATACAAAAGAACAAAGCTAAAATAAATAATTTGAGGAAACAGGAGTAGGAAACTAAAAGTCATGTAAATTGATAAGGGCCCACTGTGAAATTCCCGGTACCTGGTCAGGGCATTACATGCTTAACTATATACTTTAATTGTATATGTTACCTCGTACCAATTATACCCCTAAAAAAATATAACAAACAATTTTCCACTCTGTGGAAATATCATAATTATATTTTTAAGTATTCATTAATAATATTATTATAGCTAGCTCCAATTTCAAATTAATGTGTATTAAATAACTTCAAACTTCTAAGAGAATACAAATAATAATCACATAATACATAAGAACAATAAGATACCTATCTAAGATTCATCAAAGTCATATAATTTATATTTTGTGTGATCTAGTTCAGTGGTTCTCAAACTGTGATACATGGTAGGCAACATGGAGGTACGCAAAAATTGTGTGATAGCAATACGGAAAATTAATTGATAAATATTTGTACAAATGGGTCTATAAATATTTTATATTTTGTGTTTTGATTTAATTATATTGTAGTGTTTTACTGTCTTAAAATATAATTATTTTTAAATCAATGCATAGAGACATAATGAGTAGTTCAATTTTTAGTCATAAGTGGTAAGTGACAGATTCATAAAACTAAGAAGTGATATGCAAAAAAAAAAGTATGAGAACCTCTGACCCAGTTTAAGAATATATTTGATATATTGTATACATTTAAGTTTATGGTGTTTGTAGTTTCATATACTAATCAAATATTTTAGATAAGATGTACAAAACAGATAAATCATAGATAAATAAAAAAAATTAGGCAATAAATAATGATATTAAATTTAGGTGACATTGTAAACATATAAAATTAAAAAATCAATACCTTAAAAATATTAGTAACGAAGTACCTATTAGATTAAGGATTCATTTGATCAAATAACAGGGAAGAAGAAAGTGGTATTTTTTTAATATTTTTACATAATTGATTGGACGGAAACTAATAGGTAAACTTGCGTCCATTATACATTTTAAAGAAACATATAAAATAGATAAATAAATAACTTTATAAAAAAATAATAAAAATAATTGGTAGGAGCAATAAATCTGAATTTAAAAATAAATATTGTATTCAACTAGCATGATTTAATCTTATACTTAGTTAATTAACGTGTTTAATGTTTTTAGATTTTCTATATGCTTTTGTATTTAATTATATTAAAAAAAAAACTTATTATCAAAACCAATAGTTAATTTAGTTATTATGAGTAGCTACATAAATTGTTTATTATTTTTATTTTTTTTTTTATAGATAAAATAATGAAATTATTATCAAACTGCTATGAGAATAAATGGTAACAATTTTAAACAATACTCATTCGTTAACATGCCAATGTAGACTAGAAATTTGGTGGGTTAATACACAAGTACTTGTTGTAATAGCATAAATATGTAGAAATTACATAGCCTCGGTTCAACAGTTTAAAATATTCTTTTGTAGATCAATATTTAAATAAATTGTCAGTAACATACTTATTAGGAACTAAGTGTGTTTGGCTGCCTGCAATGATGTGTGGCATGGCTTACACACCCGCACTGGTTTTAATATTCGTAATCTTGATATTTCAGATTCATATTTGCTACACCTAAGAAAAATAAAATAATTAAATTATGATAGCAAAACTATTAAAATAATTTTATTTCTCAGTCATTAAAAAGTAGCAATAATTACTTTGAACAAAATAATTGTCCACAATTGCGGCAATGATGTCGTCTCTCATACAGAGAAAATTTTACATCACATAAATTACACTGCTCTGCTCCTTCATCTTTTAACCAATGATCAGCTACACCTTTACCTGGCTGTTCAGCTACATTCCATGTAAAAACACGACCTCTAGCGTCCCCTACATAAACTGTTTTATGGTCCCTATACACAGTCCAAATAACAATTATGATCCCATCATTTTCATTACATATTTAAACATACTTTGAAATTGAAATACATGTTATTGAAGCTGGTTCAGTATTATCTTTACGGTCATACGCTGTATGCATAGTCAATTTACTACGAAATACTAACTGACGTTGCCACTGAAAACCTGTCTCGTAACAAATTTTATTATCAGTTTTAAATTTTTCAATAAATTAAATAATAATATTTTAAACACACCATCCCTCAATCTATGTAAAGGACTGACTGGTTTAGGTTTTGGACTTAAATCATCTGGATCAACAACAATAAATGATTCAATGAGATTAGTTTCACTTTTACTTAACCGTAATCCTGAATCAGCAACTGATAAAGTTTCTTGTTGGATATTTGGCTCATCAGTAGAACTGGATGTGTTACATTCTGATTTTCTAAGCAATGGATTAGGTTTAATTGCTCTAAATACAAATTAAAATAATAATGAAAATAATTACGATTAATTAAATTATAGGTAGTTAAAAATACCTCTTTTTTCTAATTGGAACTGTAGGAGTTGAATCAATTTCATCATTTTCAAAACCTATTTTATCAACTCCTTCAATCTTTTTTATAGGGGTTTTAGGTTCATATTCTGAAAGACTGCTCTCAGATCCACTTTTTATTACTAATCCTTGCTCATTAATAGTTTCTGAGGATATACTTAGTTGTTTCACTAGCCTTTGAACAGCAATTGGTCGAGTTTTTAGTATATTATTACTTTCTCCAATGTCTTTAATCTTTTCATCACCACATTCTTTAGACACTGAAAACTCTTTTGCCAAGCTATTAAATGGAATTTTAGGAACTTGCACATATTCCATCGACCACATCTATTGAATATTAATTACTTTAAGTACAAAGTAAAAACTACTTTATTTTTAAGCACACATACTCTAACAACTCCATCCGATGACCCTGTAATAATAACATTTTGAGGATCCCAGTCAATAGCTTGTGAAAAAGCTACACATAATATTTGCTGCATTCTATCAGCACGTCCAACACTAGTATCAACATTCGCTAATTCTTCCCCATTTATAGTATAAATATGTAACATAGTACCAGCACATGAAGCTATTTGACCCTAATAATTTTTAAAACAAATTTAACAAATTGTCATACAAAAAAAATAAATAATTAAATATTCAAGATTTTATTAACTGTTGAGTTATTAATTGCTAGAGCTGCAACTGGAGCATTATGTTTCTTCAACTGTCTCACAAAAGCTTTTGTACATAAATCCCAAACTATAGCTGTGCAATCTCTGCTACCCGAAACAACAATATTGTATGTATCACTAGCAGCCAAACAAGTAACTGCTTCTGTGTGGCCATACAAATTATCAACAATTTTTAAAGATTTATTGTTTAAATCTAACTCCCATACAGTCAAAACCTGCATAAATTTAAAATTATTAATTTAAAATTGTAAATGTTTAAAATTATGTTTAACATTACTGTGCTAGTTCCAGCTGTGATAACAGTTTTTGAAGTAGGACAAACACAAGTTACAATTTCACCAGGTGATTGACTTGAACTTTCACAAATTACAATTGGTTTATCAGTTTCATATTGTGCTAACCTCAAACTATGGTCAGCAAAACCCCATGTAATAGTTTTATTAAAACTAGGTGGCATCAATGCTTTATTCTGTTCAACAGCCAATACATTCTTATCAACTTGTAGAATTTGACCAACAGGACCTTTTAATTCTGAAATCACATAAAATGTAATTGTTTAAAATTAAAATTATATATTATTAATTATTTTATCAACAAACCTTTTATTGGTTGTAATGATGGTTTAAGATTGTCTAAATGATAAAAGAAAAGCTTATCATAAAAAGTTGAATTAGTATTAGAACTTAAAATAGGATTAGCAGCATCGAGCATTGATGTTCTATTGTTGGGTTGTTTTTTACATGGATGAGGTTTTTTAAAAAGCTGCTTTGGAATTTGACCAAAATTATTTATAAAACCAATGGTCGCGTTTTTCTTCAATGGATCATCAATACTGTATAAACAAATAGAAATAAAAATAAATATTTATTCAATTTAAAAAAATTTAAAATTTACCTATATATATCAACATTTCCTTCATAAAATAAATGGTGAAAAAGATTACAAGCCTGTACAGCGGGTTGGCCTAATTGCTTATAGCCAAATATTAAATCTATCCATTCATGAAGATGTTGTGAAACATATTCCGACTCAAGTGCAGCTCTGTGTACTCGTATAAACTCATGTGGATCATCTTTAGCCCATGGTGGTAAAACTACATCATTTAACTGTACACCATTTTGCTTGCATCCTAAAATTATTTATATTCCAAAATAATAAGAATAGTATAAAAATAGCAATTTTAAACAAAATACCCAAATCAAAATTATTAGAATTAACCAAAAATTCTGGCAAATAAAAGAATTCTGGTACAAGTTCTTTTACATCAGCCATATTGGTTTTAGAAGCAGATAACCATGCTTCTCGAATACTATTGAACATACGATCTGCCAAATCAAAATGTCCTCCCTAAATAAAAGTAGTTTAGTATAAACTAATATTAGTTCTATACTACACAAATACATAATTAACTAATAACTAACTTGTAGCCTGAGAAAATGCTGAGTGAATGGTTCCATACGAACTAAATATGAACATACAATCATAGCTGAAGAATAATGTGTACCAAAATGATAGGGAGGAGTTTCGCCATGAGGGTCATCCCATTCGCGGTATCTAAAATAAAAAATTATGAAATCTATAGTATTACTACAAGGAAAAGAGCAAAAGAAGGAAAAATAGAAAGACATTGTTTGGTAAAACTCCATTTGATTAAGTAAAATTGTTTGGGGAGAAAAAATAAATTTATTTAAATGTACTATACTATGTTGTACCTTTTTAAAAACTGTTCAAGCCGCTGAGGACATTGAGCACCCATTGGTTTAGAGAAATCTCTGAAGATAGCAGTATTAGACAAGTCAAGTACATCAGATTCGTAATCATTTAATATCCAAGGAAATACTGGATATTGCATAAGATCATTGTAACTCCGACCAGCCAATGTATTTAAATGCATTAAATATTGGAAATTAGATATTTCTCCTTTCTATAAAAAACAAATTTAATACAAAACAAAAATGTATAGATAAAATACTGATGTAAAATTATCATTTTTTTACCCATGTACTTCAATATAATAAAAATAAATTATGTATTTGAGATGTTTTGACACTTATTTAATTATACACAAAAAAATTTTATTCAAAAAATATATTAACATAAAGTGTTAATAAGTTTTATTTACACAACTATGTAGTTTCAGCTTATGCCATCACCAGGTTGCTGATATAGAATGTTACTTAATGGTTTACATAGAACAATTTTAAAAAAGGAACAAAGGAACAATATAAATTTAAAAATAAAAATAAACATAATCATTTTAAAATTTAAATTGTTCTTTTTTTAAATTGTTTTATGTAAACCATTAAATAGCATTCTTTATCAGCAACCTGATGATGACGTAAGCCAAATAAAATATAGTAAATATAAAATTATTATAAATTTAATATAAGTAAAATATATGTTGAATATAAGAATAATCAATTTAAACTGGGCTTGTCCCGTAATTTATAATAAATAAAAAAATTAAAAATTAAATATGTTATTTCTACTTAAAATCTAAATATAATGAAAAAGAACCTTTTTTAAATTCTGAACAAAGATTAAGTGAAAAAAGAAGATTCTGATTTTCCAAAGATGTTTACTTTTTTAATTATATTTCTGAAAATGTATGAAAAAATTGTAGGGATAATACAAAATTGTAGACAAACTACATAGTACCTTAGGGAGCCATTTTTTGATTTTCCAAATGGTTTTCATAATAATTGGGAAAGAGTATAAGAAAAATTGGGGAAAATGTATGAAATGTATTATTTACAATTTTGCTAGACATTTTTGAGCTATTTATTTATTTATTTTTTTTTTTCTTGGGTTAATCGGCCGCTAGGACCATCCCGTGTCACAACCAATTCTCCAGGCATCTCTATTTATCGCCAAATCCTTCCAGTTTGCTCCTAAGTCTTCTATATCTCTCTTAACTAAATCTTCCCATCTCAATTTTGGTCTTCCCAAAGTCCTTTTTCCTAATGGATTCTGTTCTAAAACCATTCTTAGTAAAGAGTTCTGGCTTCGCATTGCATGTCCTGCCCACCGCAACCTTTTTTTCTTGATTGTCCCTGCTATGTTATTTTCATTAAAAATTTCTTGTAGCTCTATATTTTTCCTTCTTCTCCGCGCTCCTGTGATGTTATCTTTTATTGGACCGAAGATCTTTCGTAATATTTTCCTTTCTAGTATTAAAAACTTATTCTCATCTGATTTCCTTAGTGCCCCGGTTTCCAATCCGTACAATATCACTGGCCGTATTAGACTAGTATACAAACGTCTCTTTATCTCTCTTGATAATGATTTAGAACTTAATAGTTTCTCCAAACCATAATAAGTCCTGTTTCCCGCTTNAAGAATTGACTCTCTTAAATTTAAAATGATCTACCTCTAAAACATGATCCATCCAATTTTGTCTACCTATAATCATATATTCAGTTTTTTGTTCATTAATTTGTAGTCCTACTTTCTGTGCTGCGTCATTAAGTCTGTCACAGAGCTGTTTAACTCCAGCTTGAGATTTGTCCATCAGTACTATATCATCAGCATATGCCAATAATGGAATAGTATAATAGTAAATGTCTATTTATAGACATTTAAATTTTTTACATAATTTTTATTCAATTGGTACACTGCGGTTAAAATTGTTAGATCAAACAGAAAACTTGAAAATTTGATGGGTGGTTTATTTAGAGATTTACTATAATTTTGGACGAACAAAAAAAATAAATGTAATATGGTATTTTTTGTTTTTTTAAGTTTTAAAATCAAATTTTGATGAAAATCATAAAAATTACAGCCTTTCAAAACATGTGTATTGTAACCAAACTCTGCTCGGAATAGTTTTTCATTAGTAAAGATTAACTATTGCGTATATATATACATTGAATTCTCATCTAAATCCTACCTTCACAACTTTTCACCTACAACACTAGCCCATCTATTGTGTGAAATATGTCTTATATATTGTCATATTAAATTAAATATAATCTTTTTCCTTTACACTTACCACCCATCTTTGAGTAACTGTGGTTTCTCCCATTAAATTTGAAAGAAGACTTGTGCTCTGTTCAACATTTGCAGTTCTTTTTTGCCCAGCAACAGATTGATGAGCATTATCTGCTATAGAGGTTGAATATGCCATAAATCTTTAAACACATTTAATTTTTAATTCAATTGTTTACAATGCATCAAATATTTTTAACAAACATTTTAAAAGACTACAAGAAAAATGTGTTTGAACCAAGAAGGCACATTATAAAAATGAGCATTAACAACAATTTTAAATATGTTACCGATTGAAAACTTTATTTCTAAGTTTTCTTGGAAGAGCTAATAAATGATTACGCCCATCAGCAGAAAACAATTCAACAGCAATTGGTTGTAGTAGATATCGTCGTTTATGCACTTCCCTACATTTTTATTAAAATATATTATAATTTTTTTTTTATTAAGTATAGTTAATATTTTTGATGTACCTTATATCATCATAAGAAAATTTTGAACTTTGTTTTTTAATGCGCACCCGGTTGGGACTTCCATTTCCAGGACTTGGTAATAATGGCTCATATGAATTGGGCAATAAAGTATCAATATCTCTTATCTCTCTAGTTTTAAGTAACGTAAAGCCATCAACAATATACACATGATCTTTACCGAATAAAAGTAAACCCTCATATGTATCCAGACCTTGAATTCTTGCACACCGAAACATATGACTAATCTAAAGTGATAAACATTATGTATTAACTAAATATATTAACTATACTATAATATGTTTTATAATCTTACTTTTTCATTTGGTTCCAAAAGTCGAATTATTGTATGATTATCATCTGGTGGTGCTTGGTCTTCAATTCCACTTTCCGTATCATAATCATCAATTCCATCTTCTGGCTCAGATGTTGATCTTCTAACAGCACGTTTCAATCCTTTGAATGGCAATTCTAAAAATTGAAACGTTAGACAAATGTATACACAATAAATATTTTAATATTTAAGTTGCCAACAAGAAATAATTACATTTTGGATTGAATGCTGTTAATTGGTTAAAATATTATTATTTTGTATATATAGGTGATTATTATAGTTGTGATTCATTGTGTACAAGTACACATTTAATAATAAACTGATACTAGAGACAATTGCAACCACTGTTGTAAATAGGTAATCAGGATGTACAAAGTTATTTAAATTATACCAATAATCAACTATGAACTATTGTCAACAATAAACAATTTGAAACAAAGTTTTGTTATAGATATTTTGGAAGACCGTAATATTTAAAATTTTCATCAAAATTTAATTTTAAAACTTAGATGATTCAAAATTGTAAACTTTTTCATATTAAACATTTTTTTTTTATGTGTATATAAACTTTTACAAAATAATTATTTTAAAAAAATATAATAGAATGTTTACCACTGTCTTCTAAATTTTTGTCAAAATCAAAAGTTTCTTGACCAACAATTACATTCATAAATTTATTATTTTCATTTGATTGTGGAGCCAAATTTTCCATATCTATTAGAGAAGGTAATTTATATTTTTGACAATACTCTTTGCTATCATAACTTGTAGCTACACGATATTTTAACCCTTTCTAAAATAAGAAATAGTTCAAATTAGTAGTCATATGTAAATATATTTAATAATATAAAATTTACATTGTCTCCAGATTCGAGTTCTGGTCGATATGGGTAATGAATGTAGAACTGATGGTTTTTTACCATTTTTTTACGCATTCTACACGGACCTTCCGTCATATCTAATATCCACTTGTCTAATCTAAAATCAAAGGTTTGTTTACATTGGATACATAAATCAATATTATTTTAACTTACTTGCATGGAGTAAAATGACCCCAAAGACCTCTCTCTCTTGTTAACTCCTGTTCTATTAAATACCATTGATCCAGAACATAACGAACAGTAAATGAGTGATGCTGAGCCTGCCGTGCCACTTGCATGGAAACTAGTTCACAGATTGCATTTAAACCATGACTAGCCCATGTAGACCATTCACTTTTAGTAATTCTTGATAGTGGTATTGAAATGCTTGAAAGACTTCCACTTTGCCAACGGCTTTCATCACGTCGAAGAACTTTGTTACGAGAAGCTAATCGTGTTAAGCCACCAGTGACTTTCTGTATTTTCTATTAAGTGATATAGAAATAATATAAATAGCTTAAAAAATTAAAATACTCTACTTGTTTATTTTATTTATTACTGATTGAATTTGATTTTGCAGCTCCCATGGCATTTTATACAATGACTTTTTTTCCATGTCAATATAGGTTAGCCAATGTTTTTGAGCAGTCTCATATATAAGTTCACGAACAGATTGTAAATCTGGAGCTTTATTATTTGATGCCATTGGTAATGGAACTTTAAAAACCTAAAAATGTGTTGGAGAAAAATTCAAAAATAAGTAATTATAATATTAATGTATTAACTAAGTAGGTAAATTATACATAGTTGGATTTGGGCAAGTTACAAAGAAAATGATTTATGACTTTTGCATATAATGAAATCAAGAAACTATATATATACTTACCTAACATTTAAATATTTTATTTCACAAAAAAAATTGAAATTAATTTCTTTTTTTAAACATCATTGTTAGTTATGTAATATTTGCTATAGTATTCTAAATAATAATTTACCTCTTCAATAGCTGGCTTTTTGGATATATATAATTCTTCCCAGACACGTTTTGCTGCAACTGCCATTAAATTTTGTCCTTGTTTAGCTGTTTGTTCTTCAACTTCTGCAGTTTGATTTGGATTTATATGCCACGTAGTTTTTGCATTAGTATCCAGTCTATAGAAATAATGTACAAATTTATTAAATATATTAAAACTATAATAGCCAATTTAACTTAATAAAGCCATGAAATATATAAATAATGTAATTAGGATAAACAATTAAATATTACATTATTTTCATATCAGAAGTCAACTGCAGTAAACAATAAATAAGACAGCCAATAAAATCCAGTTCATGATTGCCAGCTCCAAATACTAATGTTCTACATTAAAAGAAATATTGGGATATTAAAATTATGTATTTTATTTAGTTTACATTTTTTAAATCATACTCATAATATACATTACATTAAACATGTATGTTTATTTACCTATTATTTGTGAGTTTATGTAATGCTTCTAAAACGGGCACTTGTGAAGCTATGGAATCTGTATTTCTAGAGAGCAAATATAAAGTAGTTCTGTTAAGACAGTGATAAAATCCTTCCATAGGTACTGAGCATGGTCTTCGCTTTGCTTGAACAATTAATTTCATAATAAAATCAAATACTTCGTGTGCATCTTTTATCAGAACGCCTTGCCAAAGTTTGTCCACGACACGGCAAGTTAAATAACAAACATTTTGAGGAATATTTTGAGAACTACCCCCAGGAACAGTAGATACAGCTGCTTGTTCCCCAATCATAATATCAGCAGCTAATAAATGGTCCATTAATGTCGATAGAAGTTCAGTTTGATATTTTGATACTTGAGATGAAGTTGCACCTTCTGGTGATGCCTATACAAATATCAATGAATACACACTTTCAATATATACTTATACATAGATAAAATATCAGTGTCAATAATTACATACATCGAGAATTAAATCTAGAGGTGGTAATGACTTGCTGTTTATTGGTAATAGTAATGAATCAACAACAATAACTCTAAGGAAATCAATTACAAATTTTCTAGATGGATGTAGAGTTAATGAATGGTCCTTTTGAACAGTTGGAGGTGGAGTTCCATCTGGAGTTTTAATAAAACAGTCATCATTTGGTGTGGATGGCTCACTTAAATTAAAATTTGTATAAGGGAAAAGTGTAGCACACAATGAGTGTAAAATCTCAGATGTCATAAAAGCTGGCATCCAATCTGGAAGATTGTGATACAGATAAAAAAGAAATTGAATTATAGTAACTGGATGATCTTCTAACCAATCTTCATATTTAATTCTGGAATAAAAATATCAAAAATGAATTATATAAAGTAAAGTTACAGACTAGTAATTACTATTATATTAAAATATTACTCTCGGTTATCTTGGTTCAAAATTAATCTCACAGTAGACAAAAGAACAGTAACAGCTTCAGAACATAGTACAATACGATCACTAACAGCTGATAAAGACTGACTTATTGGAACACCAAACATAAAAATCCAAATTCCATCAAGGTTTAACTGAATAAAATATATATTATGCATATTTTAATTGACAATTAATTTTAGATAGTATTTTAAAGAATACCCACTTTTTTTTCATTAGGTATAGTTTTAGCCGGTTGTCCCAACATTAAAGCCATCAGAAAATAATACAGTTCAGGAAGTTCAGTATGTGAAGATAAGAACCAAGTTAAGTGTTGAAAACCAGGAATGTTTAAAGCTTCCATTTTGTTTAATACTTCTTTATTATTCTTTTGTAAGCTTGGAGAAAGCTGATAATCTAAAATGTCAAAATAAAACAAATATCATACCAGTTTTAGAAACGAGTTATTATTAAAAACTTACTTAGCATAAGATTTGCTTTATTATTTTGCAAAAGTTCTGTATTATACAACCAGCCACCATTACTGGATGCTTCTCTAAATTTAATCATTAATGTAGGTACAGAACATAAAGTGGTAAGAATTTTGTAGGTCCAAATTATTGAAGAACTATGTATATTCGATTGCATGAATAACATTACCCAGTCAAAACCTAATACTCGTACAAAATCATCACAAAACCTACAAAAAAAAAGTATATTAGTTAATATATGTATTATTTAATATTGCTTCTATTTACCCAGTACACACTAAGTTTTTATTTGTGAATAAGAGTGAATGCATAAGTTGCAAACAACGATTCCGCAATAATATTAACCAAATTGTTTTATCTTCATTGGTTAGTTCAACACTATTTTCCATAGCCTTTATTCTTATTTCAAACTCTTCTACTTTAAGATTAGATTCTGTATTGAGACCAGTATTTAATGTGAACACTATATACTGACCAAAACTTAAAAATAGAAATTGTATACTGTAGTTAAAATATTATCATGTTCTATATATTAATAAATACTACTAATACAATTTAAAACTTGCATGCATTTTTAATATTTGGTTTAATACTTAATTACTTACCATAATAAATCTTCAGATAAAGGATGTTTTGCTAATAATGCTCCAAGTAATGCAAATAATACTTCTATAGTTGATGGTGCAGAAGTATTAAATACAATTGGTAAAAAATTCACCATTTTGCGGACCATTTCCATATTCCTCAATATAATTAAATTGTTTTTTTTTTCATTAGAGTCTGATACCAATTCATACAACTGTTCAAGAAGAGACCGTAAAAGACCACCTGGGACTTCTTGCCAAAGCTAAATAATTTTAATTAAAAAACTATATTAGTAAAAATATTTAGAATCATGTGAATCTAATACCTAAAATTATTTATTTTTCATTATTTAATGTGAAGGGTGCAATAAATTAGAAACATGATATAGGAATGACAATGTTAAATATACAGAGTGATCACAAAATTTCAAATGCAACAACTTTTGTTCTGTATAATAATGTTTTTAAAGATTTTTATTTATATTTAACAATTATTAGAGCCATTCAATATGACTCTAATATTTTATACATATGTCATGGGCAAAGTATACAATTCGGGTGTTTTTTACAATGTCCAGGCATTATATAAAATATCCATATTGGGCAACATAAATTAAAACTTATTTATCTATCAATTTGATTATTCAGTTGGTACCAAGCGATTCTGTTATAAGGTTTTATTGTAGTAACCTTAGTAATCCATTTGTTAGTAAAATTAACAAAAATAATGAAAAAATACTTTAATTTTCTCCTTTTGAAACATTAAAAAAAACAGATACTGAGTGAAAGATATGAATAAATTGCTTTCTATTTATGAGATAAGACCAAATACAAATTTATTAAGATTATAGTATGCGTATTGTGTTATGTGTAATATTTATTTTATAACCAAAGAGAAATCTATTTTAAGATCAATATTCAAATAAATGGTAACTGGTAAACGTTTTTATTGTTATCCAACATCCGAAAAAAAAAATGGATATTACTATGGACCTGGTACTTTGTCAAATTTGATAACTCTAATAATAAATATGTTGCCTTCATAGTTAAAGCACTGCTTTTAAAAATATAAATATAATGAATCGTAATAATTATTAATTATTGATGTCAAATTTAATTTTCAATGTACATACATTCAATTCGCAAATCAAATCATTGAATGCAACTGCATCTGGTATACTTGGAGCTTCAACATTTCTTGTTGTTATTACTAAATCAAGTATTATATGAAGAATATGAGCATTCAGCATATGTTTATGCCTACGTAAACATAATGCTAATAGCTGATAACCGCGTTTACGTTCCATCTCTCGTTTAGCTGTCATATTTAACTGTAGAACTCCACTTAAAGCTTTAACAGCAGCATATAAACTTTCCATATCTCTTGCCATTGCAATTAAACCTAAATATATCATAATAATAAACATAATAATTTTTATAATATTATAGCTACTATAAAAACATAATGTTAACTAATTTCATTTTTACCCAATAATACAGAACAACCTCCAATATTATCAATTAATTTTAACACTGGGCGAGGATAAAATGTTCGAACTCCCAAATATCCTAATATAACACCACCCAAACTTCTAGCAGATCCAGCTAAATGCCCAGCAGTGTTATGCATTATACGAATAGGTGTAGCATTTTCATGAGTTGACATCCCAAGCTAAGAAAAAGACAAATCAAATTATATACCTAAATACTTATTATTTATTAATATTTTTAGTAATTATGATAAATTATACTTTTGAAAAGATCTCAAATTTATTAACTTATGAATGTTTGTAAAGTTATATTATACTAATCGTTATTCATTAATAAAAAGTTAAATTAAAAATATACATAAATTTATAATAAAATATAGTTTTTAGTTTTTTTTTTTTTTAGATTTGAGAAATTTAAAATTTAATTAATCTATAATTATTGTAATTTTAAACAATCAAAAATATTTACTTGTTTTGCAATAGACTTGCTATCCACTCTGCTGTAAATTTTTCGTATTTTTGCCAAAGTCAATTGAGAAACTGCCCTCGCATTCAATCCAAAAATTACTTTTTCTTCGGAAACTAATGGTCCAATATGTTCTAAATCTTATTTAAAATCAAATGAGCATATGTATTTAATTAATACTATTAGTTTAAAATTTGAATTAAATAATACAAATTTATTGAATACCTTTAATATCAGGGGCTTGTAAACTTCCAAAATAATGAGGACCTAACTGATACAATATTTTTATAGCATGAGGATTTAATACCTCTTCCAATAAACAACAAGGTCCTTGTTTCCATGTTAATTTTGAATATTTTCTCCAAATTGGAGGTGTCCCAATATATCCATATACTGACGATGCAATTGTTAAATTAGCTGCACCCCCACCAGGATTTTGAGATATATAATGTAACTAAAAAAATTAAAACAAAATTTATATGCATCGCAAATATTTGTACTAGGGCAAAATATTACCTTTTGAGTATGTATGTGTTGACCATCCATATATAATGAAAAAGATGAATTTTTTAACACAGCTCTATTCAAAACTAATACAATATGATGCCACTGGCCTTCTTGTACAAGATCTGGATACCATATTCTAGCACATGAATCACCAATAACTTTTGGCTCCCAATCAGCATTGGCTGAAATGAAAATTTAATATATTACAAATTATAAATATTAAATAAAATTAATCTTGGTCAAATTGCCATTGCCGTTTCACAATAGAACCTATTTCAACATAAGGCCATTTTGCCTTCAAAAAAAAAAATAAAAAAAGCACCAGATTTTAATAATAATATATTTCATTTTTATGGGTTCAAATGATTATAAATAATATTTTAGATTAAATACTGAAATGGGTGTCAGCCATCTAACAATATTATAGTCATTTACTTCAAGTCTCTGTAAAATACAATCTAGCCATGATAAATACTACGCACAATTGGAAACGAGGAGAAGTCCACCAAAATAATAGTTGAAAATATTATACGTCGATAAAATGTTTAATAAACATTGTGAATAATTACAAAAATCTTAGTTTCACTTCACTTTTGCAAGAAATTTCTCAAAGTATATAATCTTATTATTATTATTATTAAATATTGACGAATGTTATGTAGTAACCTACATAACATCTTTAACATTATCTTAAACATTTTTTTTTGACTATTATTCAATATGTAGAATAAATGTATAATACTCAAAATATATCTTTAAAATGAATTATATATAAATATAATATTTCTAAGTTAATGTTTTTTTTATTAGTAAATTTTTTTGTAACAGCGAAATGGTTTTACACGTTAAAATGGCAAAACAGGCTCTGCTGCAAAGAGGCGATGGCGAAATGGTGACAGCTATTGTTCCAAGTTTATAATAAAATTGAATACACAACATACTCATTGATATTGGAGTCTCTTGGGTGGATATAGTAAGAGCTCGGTCTCGAGCAGACAATACTACTGCTAAACAAACTAAATGATCTCTAGTATTTTGTACATTTCTTATTAAAGTTAGAAGCCGAACTGGATGAGGATCAGTTCTTGGTTCTGAAAATTTTTCAACGCACAGCCATGTTGAATAACTAAGACCACTTTGTGGAGGGAACATTCGATCACCTTTAAAAAAAGAAAAGTATAATATAATTGCTAACAAATAACTTCATATTAATTGAAATAAATTTACCAACCAGTTCCTATTCCTCCAATTACATTCATATCGGGAGTAGTTAGTGTAGCAACATTAACAACTGAAGGTCCACTAATTGGAGACTGCGGGGCAATACTAGGTAAAAATAAGCATCCAAAACCTTCAGAAGATAAATCCATTTCAAAAAATGGAGGTAATGTAAGCATACAAGGATCTCTAGGGGTAGTCATAGATACAAGTGTTTTTACACGACTTAACGGTACTGTTCCACCTGGTTTTTTACTACTATGACTTATCCAACAGTCCAGTAAATCTAATGGGACACAACAAAGGGGTTCACCAAGTCTCAAAAATTCTCGCAAATCTTTTGGCTCTAATAACTGAATAGCTAAACGTTCTAACATATACTGAAACACTGTGTGAAGTGGATGTGTTTCTTCCAATAATGCTATTCTCCCTACTTTTAATACAGTAGTTGGAAATCCAGAATCACATAAAAGCTGTTGATTTCTTTCACCGCGCACTAAAGATCTGATAACTTCACCTATATATACTTGTAATGTAAGTGATAGCTGGAAAATAAAATATTTTAATTTAGTAACACTTAAAATACTTATAATACTTAAACATCATACTTTAGGAGCTGATGGATTGTAAATTGATGGTAATAGTTGTAACATAGCAATTACAACACCAGCGTGAACAATAATTGGATCTGGCGCAGGAGGAGTTAAATTGAGTTGTATTGTACGACGATTATTATTTTGACAATCTAGAGGTTTTGTAGCCACCTAAATACAGTCAGAATTAGTATTTAATCCAGACTTTATTAAATAGTCTAAAACAAAATCTAACTTCACTATATCGTCTGTGGGCAGGTGACTTAAATGTTACAACTGTGGTATTACTCTGCTTATCATATAAATCAAGAGCAATATCATACAGCATTCTCATTATTAGACAGGCATAAGATAAAAACTTAGGAACGTTATCTGTAAGTCTGAAAACAATTTTTTTTTAAATTTAAGATTTTGTTAATGAGCTGGACATGTACATATCAGTAAGACAATTATAATACAAACCATTTCTAATTATTGCAATTTTAAATAATAATCAATATGTTAGAATAGTACAAAATATTATTTTTAATACCCATTAAAAAATTAAATTTATATTAGTATATTTAAAGTAAAATAAACTATACTACCTATTAGCTATTTCCATTAAAAAAATCAACATAAAACAAATTAAAAGTTTACTTTTAACTTATTTATTTTCATAAATAATTCTCAACTTTAGGAATGATAGTGAATATACAAGATCTTTTTTCATTTATTCTCTCTAAATTGTCAAAAACATAAAATATGATGGAAAATGAAGTTTTTATAACACTATTGAAAATGAAATTTTATGAAATAATAATTAGCAGGTATTTATTTTGGTACTTACACAGGATTACTTATATTGCTTGTAAATATGTTATGAAAAACGTTTTCTTCTAATGATGTAGTTATCAAATCAATATAATCATCTAGTTGAGTTTCATTGGAAAAACAGCCCAATAATCTTAATGTGTCACATAAACTTGTCAAACAAATCTAAATAAAAAATTAGGATAAATAAGTTATTTATTGAACCCGTAAGCAACAATAAACTGTTGCTAATAAAATATTCATCTGAGCAAAGTTTATTTATACATGTTTATGCATCTCAAAATGATTATTTAAAAAAAATGACCTTATTATGTTCAACTTTTATTATTAATTACAACTTATAATGAAAATAGTGTTAAATTTGAAAGTAGCACATAGTACCTACCAAATAAAAACTAAAAATAAATGCCTATTAATAATTTAAAAATCCATAAAATGTTTTAAAAGTTTTACCAAGTCTAGAAAAGGCTAGTATTCTGTAAAACTTTTAACTTTCTCACTATCATAATTTACAACAAACCAAAATTGAAAATAACAAAACCATTAAGGCAGTAAATTTTCCTATTTTTTGGGGGTTTCCCAACTATTATGAAAACTGGTTGGAAAACCAAAACCCAAATTTCTTACTAACCAACTAATTTCAAATTCAATAAAAAAGGTTTCTTGCTATTTTTTGATTGTATCAATATTTTGCCTAGAAAACAGGTAAATCGTAAAAATAGTAAAACCAATAAATTCCACGATTCACTCAGAATCTAACAGTATAGTGAATAAATTAGTAGTTTCTTTAGTTTGATTTACTTACTTCTTGATGAAAATACTTAGCATTTGCTGGTTCAAATCGCATAGCTATGGTAATGGTATTAAAAATTGCATAAGCAAATTTTAAAGCTTCTTGATCTACTTGTTTTTCATCTGAAAACCAGCCTTCCATCGATACCAATGCACTTACAACATAAACAAAACCATCAACCCGACGAAACATAGTTCTCGTACGGTGGCTCTCTTTCATACAACTCAAAAATAATTTTAAAATGCTTGATTTTAGTGGTATACAAGTATGGTCAGCTGTATGAAGTGTACCCAAAAGAGTAGTCATTTCTTCTTCACCACCAGTACTCAATATCATTTCTCTTAATATAGCTAAAGAAATGAAATAACCATGTACCTTCTCATAATTAAATTGTTAGTATTATAAAAAAAAATAATTACCTGTGGCATACTGACGTGTTGATGGATATTCAAGTATGATATATAGTACTTGGGAACCTCCACATTCTTTGAAAACTTTACAATTTGTTGGTGAAGACATCATAAGATTAACTAGACATTCTGCTGTTAAGTTTATCACGCGTTTTAAATCACCATCACGTTTTTCATCTTAATATAATTAAAAATTTGAATAGATTAATCGATATAGTAAATTATATATATGGTACGATTATGAATTTAAAAACCAATAACAAGCGTTTAACTGTCAAATACTAACAAAGTATTTAAATATTAATCTCTGTTAATAAAATATTCAGAAGGTAAAAAATAACCTTAACTCTATGCAATTATTATCTCAGGCCATTTTTATCTCCTATCTTTCCAGTTAAATGTATATATTTTTAAATATTAAAATTATTAAAAACTATTCTAAAATTACCTTTTGATTCAGAGTCAGAGAGAAAGTCTTGTGTATAGTTCCTTAAATTATTTGATAAGCCCTCGAGTATGCCGACATCCCTAAATACATCTTTAAATGCACTATTATGCTTAAGTATATTTAGTAAAGTTTGCAAACATATCTTAATACATTCTGTTGAACTAAATGTTTTCAGCAATTGAGCCATTGATACTAATTCTTTAACTGGCACAAAATTAAGTTGAAAAACAATAAACTCTAAAAGCTTGAAAAATTTGTCTTGAATTTGTTGATTTTTTAAATGTATATGTTCAGCAAATTGTGGCAACGTATTTTGTGGTTCTAATATAAAGTAATTGGCATTATCAGAGTGATAAACATTTGATATTGCATCAAGAATTGTACAACAAAGCGCACTAGAATCTGAACGAATAAATGCAGTTTGAAGAACATTAAACGCAGATACATTCCGTACACTTTGACCTAAAATAAATTTTTAACTTATTAAAAATAAAATATGTACAAAAATATAAAAATAAATATACTGCTTATACATACCGCGCCCAGTAGGTTGTGGAAATGAGAATCCAACAAGTTGAAATAATGGGTCTGTCTGATCTTGACTAGGTTTTAATTCCATATAACCACTCATTGAAAGTGATGCAATTATTAGAACAAAATTTCTCATTGCTTCAAGAGCTTCACTTGATTCATCATTTTCTAGACTAAAAATTAATAAACAACATTAACAGCAATATTTCAATATAGGTACCTATCGCAAAACTTTATGCATAACTTTGGGTAGAATTTTTTGTATACATTAGTATGAATTTATATCAATTTATTGTATAAATAATTACTAATGATACCCTACTTAGAACAACAAAAAATTAATAAATTAATTATATCTTATTAACTTACCTTAAAAGAAAATCAGATAGAAACTTATATCCTTGTGCAGCATTAAAATCATCAAGTAATACTTGTGATACCTCAGAAGAATCTTTTAAAAAGTATGATACAGTAACAAACATATCAACTACTTCCAATGGACTTAAATCTGCACATTGTCGCATATTTTCAATACACATTTCAATACAGTTTTTTCCTAAATTTTTATAGTGATATAAATGTTATTATTTTATATAAAAATAGCTATATAAGCTAAAATAAATGTTTTAATATACCATGAATATACTGTATAACTTTTGGCGTAAGTCCATGTTGTGAGATTGTTATTAAAACTTCAGCAGAAGATTTCCTCCAAACAGCATTAAATAATGGACAAGAACTTGTAATAGCAGAAAATAATAAAGACAAATCATCTTTTGTAACTAATTCTTCAGCAGGTAAATGGTTACTGCATAATCGAATTAATATTTGAACAAATATTTTTTGTAGTAAAATACGACGTTCTTTTGGAGTAAAATCACTTTGTTCAGTTTTTGTATCTTCATTCTCCAAAGGAGGCAAGTCAAAAAAAAGATACAAACATTTTACCAATGTTGACGGAAGAGAAGCTGATACCATTATCTGCAAATAAAAAAATGTAAAATAAAAACAAATTTGTAAAACAATTGTGTAAGTAGACATACTTTTATTAGAGAAGCCTGATTAGTTGCTGCTAATAAATTTAATGTAGATAAAAGCATCCAACCATTACTAGATTCCTCACAATTTTCTATTTCTAAAAAACTAGCAATAGCTTTACTAGCAGTTTCTGTTGATTGATTAGAAGCCCGTTGCCGAATTTCTGCAACCATAAGAGCTGACATTTCAGAACACCAGCTATTAATATCACAGAATTTTTCAATAATTTCTGCACAAGGACTTCTACCAAAAACCTATTATAAAAAAAATTGTATACACTTATAGTTTATTCTGAATAAATTAAATTAATAAACTCAATAAATATTTACTTTGCAAAATAAAGGAATCATAGTGTACAGTTTTGTACTCCGTTCATTATCAGTAAGTATATGCGATGTATGAATATAATCAGTAAATAGTTTCTTTAAATGCATTAAGCCAAGAGCAGTATGTTGACTAGAATCATCTTCAAAAGGCCGAGGATTTTCACCACTTGTGGATGTGGCAGTATTATTACCACGCAATTTCCGCATGATATTCATTGTGGAAAAAAAACCTAAAGAAAACATTTATTGTTATAATTTTATCAAATACAAAATATAATATCATCAAACTCAAATTAATTAATGCTTATATTTATACATGATTTTATGTTTCAAAATCATTTTATCATCAGTATTATTATCTTTTTTAACATACATTACATAATGACAAATACCTACCAACTCTCTAAATATAATAAGTTGTTATAATTATGATCAGATTTTAAATCTCAAATTTATATATTTGTCAAAAATAAAAGGTATTTAAAAGTATAACATACTAATCTATAAACTACTTTATTGGTTTTATTTATATAAAACTATTGTCTAAATACATTTATTCAATCTCCAAATACAAATCGAAGAATATAAAGAGAAATATATAAATATTATATACAATGAAATATGAATCCCCTTACCTCTAAACTATTAGTCTTCAAAGGTGATACCTATATATTATTATTACATTTTTCTCTCTAGTGCCTACTAGTGGTAGTATTTGAAAATTTAAGAACCCAAATAATAAGTGTTCATTATACACACATACATAAAATACTGATTTTAAGTAACAGTAGGTTAAAAACAACTTTCACGTTTAAAAACTTAAGGTATTATGTTTCCATTTTTACATTAAAAATTGTCAACTATCTATTATTTTATTCCACTTTCTCGTAGGATGGACTCTGTTATCAGAACGCCTTTATCGGATTGTCAACAAAATAATCAATATTATCAAGGTCAATTTGAAGTTAGGTACCTATGGATAATATAATAATATTAAATTATCTATGTTTACGAATTGATTAATTGTTTTAATTTATTAAATTAGTTGTAAATTGTAATAAGTATTTTGATTTCGATAACTTACGAAAGCTCAGTTGAGCTATGTAAGAAAATTGTAACAATTCCAACCTAAATAAAAATTTTGAGTTTGCAAAGTCGAAAATTTCGAGTCGACAATTCAAAATTTTGGGATTAAAGTTGAAAATATCTCGTAGGAAAGTTGAAATTGTGTCACACATAATTTTTCTGCGTGGCACTGCTGCATTTTCGTAATAAGCGATTTTACATTGTACATTCGACGCTTATAAGTTTTAAGTAATTCTCATTAATAGGTATAAAACAAATATAGGTACTTAATGTATCTAGTTTTACACGTTGTATTTTGTATTAATATCCAGTGGCGTGTCGAAGTAGGTTCCTTTTTGAGGCAATAGACTCATTGCTATAATAGGTGACTGGGTGGGTTACCAAATATTTTAAATGTTGATTAAGATTACCTTAAGATATCAGACATCCAGTGACGGATTTACGGGGAGGGGGGATCCAGAGAGTCTGAACCCCCTCAGACACCGATATAATTTCAATAAATGTTGTCTAAAAAAGAGGCATCTATTAATAGAGATACTTTTTAAATATATATGATTTTTTAGAACCCTTCCATGAAAAATGTTGAAAATCCGCTATTGATATGAGACTTGCCCTTATAGTTTTATGTATTGTATTATTTATATAATAAATATACCTACATACAAATATGATAGTTCATATCATGTAATCAATGTAGCTAAATAAGGTTTTCACTGCTAACAAAATTATTTATAGACATATAAATGTATGTTCTAGATGGGTTGGTCCTAACTTTTTTGTTTTACTGTCTCAAGATATTCTAGGATAATGGAGAAGGGTGCAGCTACTGTTATAGGTAATTTAATGTAGGTATATCTATTATTAACAATTAATTATTGATAATATAAAAACGATTCTGAGCGGAGTTCGGTTGATAGTGTTGCTTAGTCAACAATATCACTCTTATAATAAAAGTGGTATAATATAAATGGTATATAATATTTACTAAAACTAAAGCCCTCTCCATATTAGGCTTTATAATGCATAATTGCTTAAATTTCAACGATCCTTCCACTCTTAAATGTCTTTACACCTCTCTTATAAGATCTCACCTAGAATATGCCTCAATAATCTAGGATACTCATAATATCAGTTTCATTAATCAGTTGGAGTATGCAAAATAAAGCCTTCTTTTTATCTGTTACAATTGTAATATTTTAATACCCTCTCATTTTAACTACGAAAATATTTTAAACTTGTTAAAGCTAAATCCTATTCTAGAAAGAAGAAATGTCTCTTTTGCTAAATTCTTAATCAAAATTTTAAACAATAAAATTAATGACCCTTTTTGTTAAGCCATATTAATTTTAATCTAAAAAATCAAGAGCTAGTTTATATTCCAAATTCGTCACTTATATACATAATATATACATTCATTCCCCATAAATATGTTGTTAACCAACAAAACTCTGTTGAGGATACTATTGAATTCCTTATTTATTAATTTTGTTTTTATTTTCTCTCTTCTCCTTTCTTCTTGTATGTAAATTCAATTTTATTATATTATCTGCCATTTTGTATAATTTTTTTTTTTATTATTTTCTGTTTTTATCTTTTTTTTTCTTTCTATTTTTATATTATATTTCAACTTTTAATATAAACTTTCACTATATCAATTGCTGAATATTATTTAAACTTTTGGATATGGACTCTGTCAGTTATTATGAATAAATAAATATATATATATATCATATATTTCATATTGTGATAAAATAATTACATATGCATTGTATATTTTCTTTAACATTCTACCTATTTTCCTAGTTCTCCAGTGTTTTTTCCAATAATGGAACATTCCTGGAAAGATCAAAAAATGAACTCCCAAAAGTACCTTCCCAGTCAAATTTCTTTTAGAAAAATGCTATTGTAAATCGGAGCAAAATTTCTGGTAGAAAAATTGTCCACAAAAAAAAAAAAAAATTTGTAAAACCATAAGCTTCTTCGCTCCACTCAGAATCTAAAATAAATAGGTGCTATCATGCCAAAATATTATTTAATTTAAATACTGATACAAAAGAAACTCGAAGTTGTATTTGTTTAAGAATCTAAGTTCAAGTTCTTAGATTAAAATATAGATATGTATGTTTAAAGTGGCAGGTATCAGGTCGAAGAGACAAAGACGATGTTATTTTTACAATAGTGCTCTATTATTCAGGGATGTACAGAGCTGATAGGCGGGTAGGCAATCACCTACCAGGCTTTTAAGATTTCCGGGCCTTTACACTATATTGAGCTCATGTGCCAATACAGTACACATATGCAATTTATATAATTATGTCAATATGTCATATACTCATACCTTATACAATATTAATGGTAATACCATAATAGAGCAGGTCATAGGATGTCGGTAGTAAAGGTCGTGGAAGAACATACTTTAAGATATTTGTTTGTATGCCTCCTGTCACAGAGCCTATTTTGTAATATGTCGTATTACACACTATTTAGTTTAGACCATAAATGAATGGTCACAAAATAAAATTTGCCCCCATACCCTTAAATACAGTCAGTTCACTAATTTTTCTACCATTTTAAGTTGTTTACAATTTTTTTTAAATAAATATTTTCAGGTTTAAACTTTATTAAGAAAAAATGTATGGGTAATGTAAGAAGTAAACTTAAAAAAAAATATTACAACTAGTTTGTACTTAATTTAAAACATTATTCTTTCAACAAATTTGTTCAAATAACGTTCGTATGGATTTAATTCCTTATTCAAAATCAGTAAACTAGTTCTATCAAACATTAAGAAAACATCATAATAATAGATAACAAATTTTAAAATACTTAGTATTTGATCAAACTCTCCGATATACTTATTCTAAATTGATTAAACAATTAAAAAATACTATAACAACAAAACATAGTTTAGATATATTTTTATATAACACTACAAGTTTTATAATTTCGTATTACACATAACAGATATGGTATAACACACAAAAGTAGACCCTGTCCTGTCATAAAATCTATATAGGTTGATATTTGATATTGGTATAATAAGGAACCTTTATCTACGAATATCCGGCCCAATTTTTATTTATTATCTATAATTTTTTACCTCAATGATCTAAAAATTAATTTATTATCTAATTATGTAAAAAACTCTTATGGTCCTCTTATCGTAAGAATTCTTTCTTATAAAAGAAAAATGAAAAGTCACTATTATGTATGGTTTGTACCATAGAACATTATTATTTATTTTGTTATCAGCAATCGAACCATACAATATCGCAAAGAAGTATGCTATGGTAGAAGTAGAACTTCATTTACATAATTCATACATTTATTACAGAACTACTAAATTAATACAAATATGTTTCTCTTGTTTTCAATTGTATGAAAACTTGTATTTTTTTAACTAAACATTATTTATTATAATAATTATTATTATTATACATTTAAAATTATGTCAACTGAAATCAAAAATGATGGAAATAATAAAAATGTTTTGTCTACTCCTGAAGAAGTCAAGTTTACTGAAAGAATGAGAAAGGCTACAAGAAAAGAACACCGAATTAGTGATGCATTAATTAATGCAAAAATGACTATCGGTAATATTGAATATATTACTTTTTATATTGCTATTTAGTAGTAGTAAAAAATCAGTGATTACATATTTCAACTAAAAAAAAAAATTTTGTTAACTATTTATTAAATCAAAATAGTTGAATGATGACAAATTTAAATTTCAATTTCTACATAATTGGCTATTTCTATTAAATATTGGAAAATACTGTTTTAATTTTGGAACGAAATGATTAGTGAAACCTTGTAATTTGAATGTTGACGATTGTCTATTTCCAAAAAGTTTGAATAAAATTGAATTATCTATGCTTTAATACTTACACATTGTTCAACAGTTTTAATAATTAATGTCTGGATATTTTTTGACTAAAGAAATATACTTAAGTATATTTTTGTTATTCTATAAAAATAATAAAAATAAAGAAGTCTACTTACCACATTTATATTCTAATTACAATATTGTATTCAGCCAAATGAGAGACTTAAATTTATTTATCAAAAGAACTTATTAGGGGCTATCAATAGATATATTTTTGTCATAGTTATTTATGTATAATAATTATAATTTTTGCTCTCAGAAATAATTCCAAAATATAACTTTAAATTTCAGGTATGACAGATAGCAAAGTATGGGTAGAAGGATTAAGACGTTTTTATATAGTATATCAATACCTAGAGACAGCAATGAAAAAAGAAGAAAACTATAATTTACATAAATTTGCCCAAATCAATGGGTTATTTCGTACACAACAATTTGAAAGCAGTTTAAGACATTATTTAGGAGAAAAATTTCCATTAGGATTAACTAAAGCCATGGTTGAATATTCCAACTATTTATCATGTTTAGAAAAAGAAAATCATGTATTGTTATCACCATTTATTTACCACATGTATATGGGTATTTTGTCTGGAGGTCAAATATTAATGGCTAAACAAAGAATGGCTTTCTCAGACGGAAAAGGATCTGAAGCATTTTACTTTGATGTTAATGTAAGAGAAGCAAAAAATCAACTAAGAAATGAAATGAATGCATTGGCACAGAAACTAGATGATGAAACAAAACTAAGATTATTAAAAGAAAGTAAAATGGTATATTTGTTAAATAATAAATTAGTAAAAGAAGTCAAAGTTCCTATGGAAATCTTATTGATCAAATTAATATTTGTTATTGGAATTTTGATTTTAGTTGTTTTATTATGGAAAGTTTCAAAAAAGTTTCTTATGGTATTATTTTAGTATATAAGTAACTAACAACTATTCTTTTATTCAATATTTAAAGACTCAATTTTTTAAATTTAGATTATTTAATAGTTTTACTTTTGTTTAGTTATTATTATTTTTTTTTTTTGTACATTATAAATTGTTTTTGGGTAAATAAAATGTTAAAATGACATCATTAAATATTATACAAAAATGTGTACATTAATTTACATAGTAAGCATATTAATAGTTATCATATGATTAACGTTTTATTTATTTTGATAAACTTTTCTACAATTTTAGTTAAAACTAGAATTTTCTAAATGAATAGATAATTTTGTGTCTTCAAAATAATAGATAGATTTTTACAATCATTTCTTCTTTGAGTATTGGTTGGTGATATTTATAATCATATTATCAGTTGCAAAACATATATCGATATTTGAATGATTTATACTTATAAAACAAGTTTATTAATTTATGTGATTATGGGTGTTCCACGGAGCTATACTCATTGTAATATCTCCAGAGATAACAAATAATCAATTTATGTTTGTTTTTATATTACTCACAGGGATAAGTACTATAAGACTACAAATATTTATATTTGAATTAAATTTGTATGTTTTAGTAAAAAAATTTAAAAACAACTTTATATTTTCATTTAAATTTGTGAATTATAATATTTTTTTAGAGTTCAGAGAAAAAAGTATATAATCAATTAGGTACTTTTAATAATAATAAGAATTATTATAATTTATATAAATCTTATAAAAGTAGTTAAAAAAAACAAAAGTTAATTATCTTTATTATCTCTGGGGATGATATTATTTTAGTGTGGGTACATATTTTTGGGATATTAATAAATGTCCACTTGGAAGACCAAGAACAAGATTGAAAGACACCGTAGAAAAGGTATAGAGATTGATAGATGGGAGTCCAAAGTTAGACTGGGTTTTGGTCAGAGAAAAATGGAAAGGTTTACTAGTGGTAGTGCAATTCCTGAATAGACCATTAAGCTGGGAGTGATGATCTTTTTCGGGACATCTTGTATAATTTAGTTGATTAAATTTTATACCTAGTTAAATGTTTATTGAACATGCATTTTTTCTAAAGAATACTTGTAATATATTTATAGTAGTTTTAAATTAATCTACGGAGGAGGGTTATAATAAACTAGTGCTCATCTTGGGCCTCATACTTGTTATTTTTACAATTTCTTAATATAATATAATCCCAATTTTAGATTCATGAAGCAATGGAATGTACTGATTTTACACCTTTTTTTTATTTTAAAAATTTTCTTCCAGCAATCATCTTGCTCAGATTTTCAAGTGTAGCACATTTTTATAAAAGTTTATTTAACCTGGATGGTAATTTTTGTTTTTCCTAAGTGTTTTCATAAAATAATTGTTATTAATTAATTTAAACAAAATATTAACGTAAATAATGTGGATCTATTGTAATCTAATTAATTAAAATAAATATATTTGTATAAAAATCAAAAGTACATAAATACTTAAAAAAATATCTTAACTATAAAGTTAAATTTAATTGACTGAACAAAAGAAGGTAACTGGCAGTAGTAATTATTATCTGAAAAAAAAAAAAAAAAATTGTATATTAAATATAAAACTACCTTTACTCAGTTTACATATGAATATTTTTATATCTTAAAAACAATTAAGCAATGCTCCTAAAATATCTTACAGATAAAAGTGTTTCTAAATTAATTGAAAACATCTCATAAGCATCCAAATCAAATTTTAACTTTTTGACTTGATGATTAAATAAATATCTCTGAAATAAATACAAATAAAATATTATTACCCAAATAAAAACTATGAACTAACAAATTAAAAATATACCTGGTGTTTATAATGATCTCCAGGTAATAAATTTATATCCATTTCATTAATCATACATTTAATGCCATTTTCCTAGAAACAATTTAACTTTGAATAAAAATAGATATGCAATATGTATATAAAGTGGTTTACCATGTTTGTACTCATTGATCATTCTATTTCTGCTTTATTTTTAATATGCATTACAACTATACATAAGTATATAATCACATTGTTTACTTTTTTTGTAAAAATATTAATTACACAAAGTTTTTTTAGTGCCAAACATGGTGAAACACTACATCATTTATTATAGATAGTATAAATAGTATAATCAATGATAATATGTTACAACTTACATTTTGTTTAATCAATTCGCTACAATAACATAATAATGTTACTTTTTGAAATGTTGCCATACTCTCTATAAGTTCCATCAATGCATAACTTGTAATATAAGAATACAAGTTTATAGCAAACAAAATCCTGGACTGAATAATTATGGCAAGTGTATTCAGACCATATATTCTGTTTACCTTGACCATTACATTAAATATCTCCATATGTAACAATCTAGTATCCTCTAGACAATTTGCAAAATAAACTGGCAAAAGAATTTTTGTATCAAATTTGTTTTCCTGCATGGGAATACAATAATAAAAATTAAATTATGTACAATAATTCAATTTTAATACAATTCTATATTTGCCATTAAAAGCCGTAAAATAAATAAATATGCCAATATCTTAATAAGACAAGAATTTTAAGACATAAAATGAAAAAAAAATAAAAAAATTGTGGAATTGAATAGAATAATTGTACTCGCATATTTGATCGTAAAACCAAAAAAAACACTTCCTCAAACTTCATTTAAAGAATTTAAAAAAATAAAATTTGTTTTTATGACTTAATTATTTCAAATCAAAATAATGTATTAAACAATATAAATAAGGAAATAATAATAAAAAAATATTGCATACATTTAAAACCAATTTTTATCAAATATCTTTCCATCTAATGAGATATTATTCTCTAGAATATTGAAAATTTGTATAAATCATTATCAATTTAAAATTTTTTTTTAAACAGATGAAAAATATAAAATCTAACAAATATTATACAATTATCTTTGATTAATATCGCTCTACCTTGATCATATGAAAAAAGTCTGATATCCTATGAGTGATCATTTCAAGTGATGATTTCACCAGCAATAGTATTACGTAAAATTGCATTTCAAACAGGAAACAGACGAAATCTTGAGCCTGAAGCACTAAATTGGTGGCAGGCTCTTGGGTCGTAACTGAGTTGACAAAAAACACAACCAACCAAAATATATGCATACCACTTATGATAAAAACAGATGACATTTTTAAACATGTATTTTTGTTGTAGGACAAAATGTCCAAACATTTAACATAACATAAATATATGTTACGCCTGTTGTACGCACAAGATAAGAAATACAACATCAAACTGACAGTTGTCAAAATGGTTTTGATTGTTGTTAATAAATCTTCTATAAAATTGCTCTGAAAATAAACTTATTTATACATATATAAACTTAAATGAACCGTCAAAGAGACAAAAAAAAATAAAAAAAAAATAATATAAGACACACTTACTTGTTTCAAACTCCACAATAATAAAATACAATTAGAGGACAGCGAAAGAAGGCCTAATATAAAAAAATACTTGAAATCTATTAGAAAATTTAAATTCAATGATCTTGAATATAAAACATTCAGATTCGACCATAATAATCGGAACATACTTAAAAAAAAAAAATCAACAGTTTATAATATATCCACAAAAATAATTTTTTTGAATGCTATCAATAGTCATAGAAATGTATACTAGTATACTATAGTTGATACACAAAGTTCCTTGTAATTTAAAATATTAATAATTATATTACATCATCAAAAATAATATTTACACACACACACACATATATTTTTCAATAATGAACAATGATTCAACATCATAATAGAATATTAAATGACTACTAAAAGGATTATTAAAGAAGAAAATGAATTACTTTCATTTATGAAAAACTCTATTCTATAGAACTCAAAAATGTTGTATACATAAAATATATAAGTTTAATGTATTACTTATAAAACTATAAATAAATAATTATTTTTTGCCCAATGAATTTGCAAATGTAGATGATTTAAATTATCAAGGTAGCCCCAAATACAAAACAATTTTTATTTAATATTTTATAAAAAATTAAAAACAAACATTAAAGAAAAAAGTTCTTATAATTAAAGACCAAACAGCATAAAAAAAAAAACTGTTTGAAAATGTATTATACATTTTACACAAGAAAAAACTTCAAAAAAATTATAATCCAGATACCTGCAAAATAAAGGGTCCTATGGATATTACAATTTTATTCAGAACCCAAAATACTGTTTCCGATTTGTTATAAAATCCACAAACTAAATAATTTAAAATAATAACTATTAATTGCAAAATACAATAGAACATCAACAAGTTAAGTGATACAACAAAACTAGAGTAAAATCACATACATTTGATGAACAGTGTATACACAACCAAACAAAGACTTTTATATTATTATTTTTTCAATATTTTATTATTTCTATTTATTTAGTTTAACAACCAGTACAAAGTGCTGAATTTTAAAAAAAGGGATGCAGTTATTTATTTTACTATTATTGTATTTAGCTGAAGAAAAAACTACCCAAAAAAAAAAAAAAAAAAAACATTGAAGGACTGTTATTTTCACACAATGTTTATTATAAAACAGATGTTCATTGATATTAAAAGGATGTATTTAAGTAAATTAGGAACAATATTAGATGTTTATTAATCAATCAATTTTAATATTAATAAAAATGATGTTTTCTTAATAGTAAATACTATTGGTGTACAGAGTAATTTTTTTTTTATCATTGTGGAATCAGAGGGACACAGAGTCGAATAGAGAATATTTTTTTTAGAAATATTAGTATTTATAACACTATTATCAGATTTAACACATGAGTTATAACAGTTTTAAGTTTAGACTAGAGAAGTATGGTAGAACCATAAATTTCATCTGTTTTTAAATGATAATTTGATAACTTCCCTACTCCTCTTGTTTAAACTTTTAATGGTATTAGTGTTATGCATACTAGAATTTTTTTAAAAAATATTATCATTTCGAATCTGTGTCCAAAAATGGAGGGTTCTATATGAAAAATAAAAGTATATACATATTCAAGATATATTGCTTAGGGGTGAAAAATTTAAAATGATTTAAAATAAAGCTTAAACGATTCCATAATGATTACAATAAACAAATCACCTACAGAAATCTACTCAAAATCTTCAAAGATTAATTGCTGGTTTATTTGAAGAAAAAACACTGTATACAAAAATGAATTGAAAATATTTTTATAACATGTTCCATATCTAATATCTCAAAATTATTAATTAAACAACTGATGTAAGGTTGCAGGATATAATATTAAGTGAGTTTATAGGGGGGGGGGCTCTAGTATAGGTATTGATAGGTTATGAGATGAAAGGGTTAATATATTTGATGAGAAAAGATAGTAAAAGTGGTTTTTAATTAGTTAAGACAACGCAGTGCGTGAATTTGCTGTTTAATGGACAAGTTAGTAAAAATGTGTTTGTGACTTCCAGTTGTACCAAGACCTCATTGGTTGTATAAATTTGAGTTTGATGTCAAAATAAATAAATACAAGGTAAACAGTTAAGCTATATGATTTCATTACTGCAGTCGACAGCAGCAATGCGTACATACAGATACTGCACAGTCGATTGCAAATCATGTGTTCCAAATAGTAGTATAGTCAAACTCCAGTTTTAGTTAGCTGTAAGAATAGTTTTACAATAAATGTGCTAGAAAGTATAATAAGGGGAAAAACAAAATGGAGAGAATTAGACAAGATTAAGTGATATGAAAACTGCTAAGGAGTGTATAAATGTTGTAGGAGACCAAATTTAAGTATAAATTTAATAACTACCCCAAATAGTTAGAAAAAAAAAAAAAAAAAACAAGAGAAAAGAACGTGTAAATTTAATACTTATCATACATCAGATGATTGATAATTATAATTTAATGAGTTATAACATAATAGTTGATATACAATGATAAATATACTTAAAACCATCTAAAAAAAAAAAACAAAAGTTAAATTTGTTGATAAACACAATAAACTATTTAATATATATATTATGCTTTTCTATTTATTTTTCGTTCACACATAATCAAGTGGCCATTTAGAACAAATTTTAGTAATACCAGATATTTAACTTTAATATACTGAATGGAAAAAAAATATTTTATGTTTAACTCAAAACAATTTTTTTCATGAAAGTTATACGAGTTCAGATATTAAATGGTATTTATTTTAATAAAAGATGATTCATTTTTAAATTTTGTGTATCCCCTCCAAGTAAATTTTCTTATAAAAAGCCTTTTAATGTGCATTGCAATTGAGAATAATAGACATAATATAAATATAACATAATTAAATCAATAAAAGTAATATTTATAAAATCCAAATTTTAAGTCGTGTCTAGTTATATCAAATATTAATATGAAAGATTTTTATTTTACCAACACATGGAAAAAACAATTTAAAAATGCAAATAAATGATAAAATTGATCACTTAGTACCTCTAATCAAAAAGTGTTACATAGGATATTTTGGTAATTAGAGATAAACAGACTTTTAATTTAAAAAATAAGACATGCCTGTATTATAAGGGATGTCGAATATACCTCATCAAAGTATCATAATCAGTTACACAAGATTACACTTTTATAATGTTTAGACAAGTATCACATAGAAGCAAATTTATAAAATAAATAAAAATGCAATACCTAAGTGAGTATCAGGTTGAGGAAAGTTCAAAGTATAAAAATAACAACCAATTAAAATTTTATATGTCTGATCTTATAATTTATTCTCACACACCACTAAAGAATACACTTATATAAAAAAAAAAAGACAAAATTGTATTAACTACTAATTGAATTTTATTTATTCAAGTTATTGAAAGCGCAATAAGAAAATAAGACTCAAGAATATAATAATCAAAAATATAAAAATAGACCAAGAATAAAATGACAAATACATATCTTACTTCTCCAAACGAGATTTATATTTTTATTTTTTGTCTAAGACACAAATTCAATCATAAGCCTATTGGAAAAATAATATAAACCTACAAATTCAACATCTGATAAGGACAATAAAATAGGTTACAATAAATATTGAATTAACCTAGCTTACTACATCATATTTAATGACAGTCATTTAAATTAAGTATTATTTTTGAGAGAAGTTATAATAATAGTTACTTACACATGCAGTTAGAAATAAATTACTTCAAGTATATGACCATTAAATCTGGATAAATGTTTTAAAGCTGAAAATAGCGTCATTAAGGAAAAACTATTAAAATTTTGAAATTATCTTTACCATTCCCTTTTACTAACTTTACATAGAGATATGAGATATTTAGTATACTTATATATGTATATACAAATAAATTTTTTATAACAATAACACTCCAACAGTAGCATAATTTTGTAAACTAGTCAATTGCAAAATTTAAATTTGAATTTGGTTATAACATATTTTTTAAAATGTAACATTGTTAAACAGAATTATGCTACTTTTACTCCTAATAATTTGGTTACAAATTACCTAAATTATATTAATATTTTATAATGAAAAATTATAAAATATCGTCAATGTTTCTAAAATATATACATAAAAAGGATACTTATTGCTCTTTCAGCATCCCATTCATGAGCAAATCTTACAATTCCGAATCCCTTGCTTCCAACTTCAGCAAATTTAATATCTCCACAGTCCCGGAAGAAATCTTTTAAGATTTGCCATGTAGTATCTGATGGTAAATTTTTTACCATAATTGTGTCAGATTTTTTTTGGCCCATTCCCATGTCTCCTCCACCTAGAATAATAAAATTTAAATTTAAAACCTAAATCTAGACAAATATAGTGTTTTAAAGTAAGATAAGTGAGTGGGTGGGATTAGTTTAAAACATTTACCAAGATACCCCTTAGAATAATTGAAGAGGATGATACATTTTCTCTTATGGATGTCAAGAGGTCGAATTTTAAATAGGAATATTTAATTTTTCAATTAACTATTCATCTAATTAAAGTAATAATTGTGCTTAAGTAAATACTAAATACATAAAATGAAATTATCTAACTAAATTAAGTTAAGACAGTAATTTGTAGAAGAGGAGTATGTGGAAATGTGGTATTAACTAGAATTTTAAAAAAGACCTGAGAAAGTGAAGGAGAATAAATTTTTCTAAACATGAGATTAAGAAATGAAAAGGATGTTAAAAAGTTTCTGCGGTCTGATAAATTAGATAAACGTATTTTATGGAGGATGAGAAAATATACAATTTGTAAGTTAAAATTAAAAAAATAATAATAATAATAATAAATTTAAAATATTAACTATACCATATTCAACATCAAGAAATTAATAGAAAAATAAACTATTTTTACATAGAAAATATACTATTTTTACATAGAAAGTAAACTTACTTTAATAGAAGACATTGCAAAAATTGAGGTTAAATGACATAGATATTTAATTTTATTTATTATCTATTAGGTATAGACTAAAATTTTTAAAACTAACTTTCCAATTTTTTACAGTATAAGATAATAAATGCAACTCTAATATAAAAATAATAAAAGTGTTTATTTAGATATTTAATATTTCTAAGCTGTTATTTATATTGAAATTATAATTGATTATTTTCTCAAATATATTTAGAAATTTCTTACCATTACATTTTACTTATATACATAAACAAATTTTTCATATTTACTAATTAATAACCACTTTGTTTATTTATTTGTTTTAGTAATATAGCATACTACTGTAAAGTAACATAAGGAGGTTAATAATATGATAGCTAAATAAATTAGTTTTGTGGTTTATCTGCTTGAAGTACAATGGTATAACTTATCCAAATCTTTATTTTTATAAAATATTAAAACTCGTTTAAAAAAAAAAAAACATTCATTCAATTATTTATTTTAGTTGGCACTATAAAATATTTTAATAAATTAAATAAATAATAAATAATTATATTCATCATATATTTGTTTTGTTATGTATATTCAAAAAAAAAATTTGAATGCAAAAATTGAAAATGTTTAGATAATAATTATTAATTACCCAATCCAGATCTAAAATCTGCAGCAAAAGGTCCACCACCACTATTTGAGCTTCGTACGCCAAGTGATGCTGATAAAGAATCAAAATCACGACCACCTAATGAATCTAAAAAATATTTAACATGATTACATGAGTCCAGAAGTGGTCAAACCATGGAGATAAATTCCCCACAATATTTTTTTCCGATATTAAAAATAATTTGTATTAAATTAATTTTTAAAATATATAAATATAAAAAAAAAAAATGTAAATAGTTATTGTTAAAAAATTAGCCTATATGATAAAATCATTTGACCATCATCATATAAGTCGTCCAACATAACTAAAATTCATTATTTTATAATTTTATACTAAAAATTTAAAAAAATGATGAAAATAATACTTTGATGTAATGAAGAATTGTTCATTGATCCACCTCCACTAGTGTTTAAACCAGATCCATATTGAGGTCCTAGGCCTCCAGACCCAATGCCTAAATCACTGGCACTCAAATTTCCAAGTCCATTAACTCCGCCAACTTTTATGAAATCATAGAAAATTAATTATAAATAAACAAATAATTTTAAAAATTTGATCAAATTTTACTTACGAGCACGCCGATTCTGGGTTTCTATACCCAATCTATCAGCACTTAGACCACTCAGCACTGCTAAAGCAGAAGTGTTCACTGGTGTACTTAATGCCGGAGGTTGTATTGGTGAAGTATTATTTGATGGGAGATTTCCTATTCAAAAGAAACAAACCAATTAAAAATATTAATAAGGATTTATTAGGAATATAAATTTTTAATGGAGACAACTTTTTTTTGCTGTCATTGTTTAACTATTTTTTAAACATTATGAAAACTATTGATCAAACTAAAAATGTTGAAGAATTTTTCAAATAAAAATACATTTTTCTTTGAATTATTGAATATTTAAATGTAATAGGTAGTAACAATAGTTCTTATTAGTAAATAATCATCACATACTCTCAACATCATGCAATGGTGTTCCACCAGCACCTAAGCCCATTCCAATTGATTTTAAGCCTTCAGGAAGTCTTGCTAATGGATCTTTATCAGTACGATCAAGACGTATAGACATTGGGCGTTCAAACAAAAATTGATTGTTAAACATGGCTAAGATAAATTATTAAGAAAAATCTAAATTTGAAACATAATAAATGAAAAACATTAAAAAAATGTATTTAAGGATACAAATAGCTTGAACAGCTTCAACTGGATGGCTATACTCGACCACCCCATATCCTTTACTTTTTCCTTCTTTGTCTGAAAATATTTCGACTTCTAATACTCGACCAGCTAGTTTAAATACCTCTTTAAGTTTTTTTTCGTCCACTTTGTAGTCGAGCTAAACAAATTTTAACAATGAAATACATAAATATCATATAAATATAAATAACTTTACATTTGCAACAAATATACGATTAATAAGAGGGCCACGTATATTAAGTGATTCAAGAAACTGAGGAGAAAGTCCATAAGTATTGTCCCACTGAAAATCATCTGATACAGACATTCTGTTATTAGTTCTAATATCTCCGCTTCCAACACCAACATTACCGCCACCTCCAGTATTACGAGATCCATTTGGCATTGGGCGGCCACTCTTGTCTCTTTCAATATCATCCTAAAACAAAGTTTAAGTTAATCAAAAAATAATTTAAATTACTTAAAAATAATACTAGAATAAAAATAAATACATACCTCTTTAACAACTAATTTTCTTCCATTTATATCAAACCGATGCATCTTATCAATAGCTTTTTGAGCGGCCTCTGCTCTATCAAACTCAACAGTACCACAGCCTCGAGATTTTTCTTTTTCATCTGTATATACTACAACAAATGTCACATCCCCAACTAAAACAAAATCAAAATATATTAATACATTATACATAATTATATAGATTTTTAATTATCTGTATATAGAGCAAAAGTTGTATTATTATTATCACATAGCACACTAATACCTTCTTTTTTGAACAACTCTTTCAACTCCTTCCATTTGTATTCATAAGGTATATTAGACACAAATACCTTTTTACATCCACTTTTCCTAGATCTCATGGGACTACGGCTTCTGTCACGGTTTCTATCACCCAACCTCATTTTAACTGCAATACATTTTAAAGTACAAGATATAAGGAAATAAATAAATATTTATATCAATAGTTAACAAGAAATTATGTACGTGACAAACTAAATCATTTATTAACGCACTTATCAATAATCACTATTATATACATACATTATTATATATTTAGACACTATTATATATATATGTATAGTTAATCTACAATATAAAAGAAATTTAATGAGAAAATAAATTACCGATTTGTACCGAATGTATCAATTAGGTATATATGCAAACAATGAAGAATATTTCAAAAATATAAACGCAAAATGATTTTACCTCAACGGGATCAACGACAACAACAAATAAAATCTTCCACGAAATTAAATACGGTAAAAATTGGGTGATGCAATCTGTAGACACCTTTATTCTTGAGAGAAATAAATAAGAAAGAAGTTGAAAAACCAATTAATGCTTTAGTGTCATAGTGTGTATGAAAATTGAAAAAACTTTATGTTTAGATAGACAACGCTACGCCTACCAACATAGTACAACCAACTTAACATTACAAAGTCTCATCATACATATAGTGGTATCACTAGGTACCGCCATTTTTTATTTTTACTATCGTTGGTATAAAAAACCCGGGACCAATTATTGAATTCAAAAATAATAAAATAGTAAATAGTTATTATTAGTTTTTTATACAGGACTAACAAACAATTTGAAAGAAGTGAATATGAAGGTACTAGATAATCCCTTAGTTACTAAATAGATAATTGTTTTTTTTTTTTAGAGCATACGTTTTATTATTATTATTTTTTACCATTAAATTCCTAAATTCTTATGTATTGTATCAATTTATTTTATTTTAACACCTAGCTTATATGTTGTCATATGTGTAGTATATTACCACCTGAAATTAAGAAAATGCTTTTCCCTCTCACTATACATCAATTATCCTAAATATATAAAAATAAACTAATTCTCAAATTGTTGATTTATTTTATATTCATCGTATTCAATTACACAATTTATTTTATTAATTAATAATAATGATACAGTGGCAAAATGGCAAAAATGATTGTATAAATAATATTTTTACATCTATGCCTTTTGCATATCACGAATAACGATAACAATATATTATTCTGAGAACCTATTTAGTTGATTTTTATCAAATATTCGGTCGGAAAATCCCAAATTTGTTTATTTTATGGAACTTTTATTACTAGGTACAATTTTAGATGCCAGCAGCTGTATAGTCTGTACTATCGTCTATCAAAAGATAATACTTTGAAATTGTTATAGGCGTACCTTTGTCACATATCTTTCACAAGTTCTAATATTCAATTGTAAAAAATATTTATTATTTTTCGTCTCTTATATAGTACCTAACTTTAAAGAATTTTACAAACATAACTTATTACATCATTTTTAGACATGTCTCATATTAATTGTGTAAAAGTAAGTGTACTTGTTTAATTTCTTTATCTTTTCGGGGAAAAAACTATTAAATACGACAATAATAATAATAATGTGTAATATCTGTGTATTATATGATTATAACTTGACAGTTATTCATCCCAAAAGAAATTAATTACTTGAATAATATTTATTTTATTTATTATTTTATTTTTTATTTCTTGTTTTATTATTTAAAATTAGGTAGATATTGATTTATAATAAGATATTAAATAATTATAATAACTAAGTATTAATTTAAATATAAAATATTGTTTACAAGCATTTTAAACTCTGGCTAGGGTAATATGAAAAAATATCAACATTTTAAAAAGCGTCTTATATTACGTTTATTTGAGTACTCTCCAGATCTTATCTAATTTTGGTTTTTTATTTTTTCATCAATTTTGAGATTAAGAAAAAAAAATCAACATATTGAAAAATGTTACAGATATTTTTTTAACTATTATTCTTCTACAGGTATTTTAGTTAAGTAAGTGAGTTGCTACAAGATCTAAAAGTATTTATTTTGTGAAAAGTAGTCCGAAAAATGAAAATCTGATCATGTATTAATTATCTGGGTGAATTTACAAACAAATGTTCTTTTCAATTTTTTCCAATATCTATCTAAAAGTCATGGAGTGTCATTGAAAAGGGATGATATATAAAAAAATAAATTAAAATCACATAAATTGTCTGGATGGGCACCTAAACATATGTTATGTGCAATATTTTTAATATTTTAAAATTGTATCCTTTTTTATTTACCCAAATGCCGGAATTTCCGCTATTTCAACTACTTACTTAGATTTTAATATTTCCCATTTAAATAATAATATTTGTTGTTTAGGTTAATATGCCTACATTTGACTGTGAATGTTTTGAAAGTTCATTGCCAAATTCAAGCAACAAAAAGACAAAATACAAAAATCTTAAACTTTCCCAGAAGCGTTTAAATGAAAAAAAATTACCTGTAATTGATTCAATGTTTCAAATTAGTTATGATATAAATATTTATCCAAAAAGTACTGTAGACAATTTCATGTCTTTATACAATAAAGTGAGTACATTTCAAAGAGATTATACACCTCTGCACTTAGCAATTGAAATGGGTAATTTTCATTTAGTACAATTATTATTAAAGCTTCCTACCATCAATGTTAATACTTTTACAAGTACTGGTTTCACAGGACTCCATATGGCCATTAAGTCTGCCAATTTGAGCATTGTTAAATATTTGTGTGAATATTCTGATGTTGATTTAGAAGCAACATCAAGTTGTGTTGGTACACCATTGATTTATGCTACATTAATTTCTACTCCAATTATTTTGAAAATATTAATCGATCACGGAGCTGATGTAAATAAAACATTTACAGCAGATTGTTTGAATTCTTTGATGTTAGCCATCCATAATGAAAAAAAGGAACAAAGTTGGATATTGGCTGAAAGTGGAATTTGTCCTTTGCATACAGATGTAAAAAAATGGAATGCTTTACACTATGGTGCTTTATTTAAAGGTTCAGTCGAATTACTTAGAAAACTAATTGAAATAGGGTGTGATCAAAATGGTATAACACGCGAAGGCATGACACCTTTGCACCATGCAGTCATTTCTGGACGTATTGATGCTGTTCGAATACTTGTTGAGATGAAATCCGATCTTAATAAAACTGATGAAAATGGACTTACCGCTCTACATTATGCTGCATATCAAGGCCAGTGGGAAATAGTGAAAATATTGTTGGGAGCTGGGTCAAGGCCAAACAAAAAAACTAATAGTAAAGTGACACCTTTACATTTTGCAGCAAAACATGATCGTTATTTAGTAGTTAAGGAACTTTTAAAGTGCTATGTTGATGTGAATGCCATGACTATGCAGTGCAATACACCGCTACATTATGCAGCTTGTAATGGAAATGCCGAAATGGTTGACATTTTACTAAAAAATGGAGCCGATTTAAATATCCCTAACAAAGATAATGATTTGCCTATTCATCTTGCTTGTTTACGTGGTGCTATTGATGTGGTTAAGTCATTATGTTTGAATGAATCAAATATAGATTGCAGAAATAAAAATAATATGTCACCATTACATAATGCAATTCTAAGTTCAAATGAAGAGTTAGTAAAGTTTTTGTTGAAAAAATATAAATTTAGTATTGATAATGAATTGTATCATGTAACTTTGCGTTCTGGAAATGTAAATATAATTAAATTTGTAATTGATAAAACTAATGAAACGATGTTAAAAGATGAAGTATTTTGGTACAAAATAATTGGTTATTCTGGATCTCTAGAAGTAGTTAAGTTATTCTTTAACCGTGTTCAACCTCCTACATTAGCTATATCAAGTTTAGTAGTATATGCTATACATTTGGGGTATGTTGATATTGCACGATATTTACTTAAATATGTTTATGGATGGAATGATCTTATAGATGGAGAAGGAAATACAGCATTATATTATGCAATAAATAAGAATGATACAGAATTAGTTCGTTTACTTATAGAAAAAGGTTCAAACGTGAAACATATAAATGATGCAGGTGTTACATTATTACAATGTGCAACAAAGAACAGTAATCCAGATATCTTAAAATTGTTATTATTAAAGATATGACTAATTTTTACACCTAAATTATATACAATTACCTTTAACATATCAGATTTTAACACATTAATTATTTGGACAGAAAAAGTAATATTTTATTTTAAAATTAATTTTTATTTAAACATTTTAAACTGTTAGATTAGATGCAAACAATTCTATGTATAAGCAATTTATTTTAATGAGAACTTTTTAGATAGCATTAAAACATTTTATTTATTTATAATTCAATTTATGTTTGTAATAACATTTTTGTGTCTTATTATATTAATTATTTTATAATAGATGTTATTATAGGGAATTATTTTTACATTTATTTTTTTTTTTTTTTTTAATGAATTTTTCTTTATTTTACATTTTAATAATTGAAATTATAAGACATTTAAACATTTAAAATGGGTTAATTATAGGTCATTATTTAAATATTATTTTATTTTATATGTGAACATAAAATTACAAAATGCTTAACACAATTGTTTTTTTCTTGTAAGACTTGATATACTAATATTTTATTTTTAAGAAATAAGTCGTATACTCATAAACTGATATGTATTAATGGTTTTTAATTTGTAAAACTTATTAATTTAATATTTTGTGTAACTCATATTATTATGCAAAATATGTATTGAAATTTTTAATCATCGAAAATAGGGAAATACGTCCATTAAAATGTGTGTGTCTTATTCTATTAATTATTTTACAATGTGTCATAATAGAGAATTATTTCAATTTTTATATTGCTTGTTTTACATTTTAATAATTGAAATTATAAAACATTTAAACATTATTTTAAAATGTATTCATATTATAGGTACTAATTCAAATTTCAGTTCATTTTATTTGTAAACATATAATTACAAAATGTTTTAACTTTTTTTTTTTTCTTAAGACTTAATATACTGATTTATTTTATTTTATATTTTAAGAGACAACTTGTATATAAATAAACCTATATGTGTTCATGGTAAAATGACTTAATTTATACAATGTATTAATTTGATATAATTTAATCACCAATAACAGTCGCATTGAACTTTAATTAAAGTTTTTGTTATAGAAGTATGATACCATTATTTCTGTATTCAAAAAAATTATTATACTTCCAAATCACCAGCGCTCAAGGTGCTTATAATACTATAAGTGCCTTGCCAGTGCTAAACGATTTCAAAAATTATAATAAATTCATTATGCAAACAACTACATTGCATTTATGATTTAGCCTTTTATAGTGAATAATGATAAATAAAGGATAAGAAGTTATATATTATTGATATAGGTATAAAAATGTATAAAGCTTAGAAATGAGTATAATATGTATATGTTATAAATCAATTTATTAAAATAGTAGATATTTAATAACTGTGTAAGTTCCATGGCACTGAACATTCTATTCTATCTTCAGTAATCTCTAACAGAACTGTCTGATTCTTAGACCAATCGTGGTCTATTATCAGCCATAAATTCTGTTAAAGAATCAGATAAACACCATTTTTTACATTGGTTAGTACGTCCCTAAGATAATTATATCAGATCTTAGACTTTAAAGCATCTTGAAACAATATTATATAATATCTATTTTGTGGTTATACTGTTAAATACAAATATATTATTACTTAATTAATAATTTGCTTAGGTTCATATAATTGACTAACTCGATCATCAAATAAAACGGTATGACAAAATAAATAGTTAATTGGTTATTTGAACAAATAAGGTCATGAATATTTATGCATAATGAAAAATAAAATTACGTGAATATTGTACAAATGGATATACTGTTGTATACGTATTGATGTTATCATTTTAACTGAATAATGTCTAAAAAATGTAATGTTTAATAATTTGTACTACAAAAATTCCAAACTATCATTATTCATTTTTATTAGTCATAACTATTAACCTTAAACTCAAAAAAATACAATTTTCTCTTCATTTTTATTAAAATTATAATTTCAAAATAACTTCATCATGAGTAAAACATTTGTAACGGTAAGACATTTTTGTAAAATTATGAATTAATAAAATTATATTTACCTAACCTTATAAAATACTTTATATTTAATAAAATTATTATTAATTTGTATTCATTTACCTACAGGCATCTTATTCTGACGAACATCTATCTGGTAAGTAAACTTTGTATATGTAATCTTAAATCATAAATGAATGTACTCGCCACATAATATGTGTACCTACTGTAAGTAATGACTACAATCTCATTACCTTATTTGGGTCTAATATGAAACCCGTCCTCATAAGTAAAAGACATTTTGTAACAAGGCTAAAAAATGAGCGTTTTCATTTAATTTTGTTATACAAATATCAGTGTATACGTATATTGCAGAGTACCTACATCTTAATAAAAACACTTCTACAAAATGTATTCTTATAATTATGATACTGTAAAAGTGATTACTTCAATGGACGGTAATAATTATTATTTCTATTGTTATGATTTTTTTATGTACATATGTTTTTGTTTTTAGAAATGCAAGAAGCATTTCAGTTATTTGATATTCGAGGCGACAACAAAATTCATATATCACAAATTGGTAATGCGCTACGTGCATTAGGACAAAATCCAACTGAGTCAGATGTTATTAAATTTACTCAACAGCATAAAGCAGGTAAATATTGCTCTTATTATTTTTCATTGTTTTACTATGTAGAACACAATGAATAATAATATAATAACTAAAAATAAGTATAATGATGTAAACATAACTTGTCTAATTTAATAATGAATTTGAGTAGTGATTATCATATTTCAAAATGATTTAAAGTAATACCTAATTAGAATTTGAATTGAAACACTAGCTTAAAAAATTTACGAATGTTACAAATTTAACATCCTTTTATTAGTGTTATTGAAACTGTAAAATTTAAAGATTAACTATTAAAATATTTTTATTAATTATTTTTGGAGAAAAAAAGAGAACTGGACTTATTTGTATTATATTATGTGACAATGCATATACAAATTAAAATTGTGTAGTACCTATGCAGGGTCATTAAAATATCATGATACAGTCAAATTTGCCATGAAATCATTTATGTAGTGACTTGGAGCGTGACATTTCAATAGTACTCGTATTACTCTTTCCCTACCTAAACTTGAAAGTGGAGTATCTTGAAGTTGATAATGGTGAATTGACAGAAATCGAAATGTTTAACACTAAAATATATTTAAACTAATACATCTATTTACGAAATTTGCAATTTAAATTTCCATTTGAATATTAAAAGTTGGTAGTCGTTTTAACTCCAAAAAGAAACCCAATATAAAACTTAGAATATATGATAACAAAAGATTTTTTTTTCTAAATAATTATTTCTTAATAAATTTAACTATATAATGAAATGTGAATAGCCCTTAATACTTTATCTTAATGAATTTATTTATATCATGAAAACATTAAATTCAAATTTGTACAACAATGTACAGCAATTAATTTTAGATTCTGAGTGGAGCGAAGAGCTTATGGTTTTACAAAGATGTTTTTTTTTTTTTTTTTGTTCTGTGAACTACTTTTCTACCAGAGATCTTGCTCTGATTTTCATGAGTAGTACCTTTTCTGAAAGAAAATCGGTATGGGGAAATACTTTTTGGAGGCCATTTTTCGATTTTCTCAACAAATGTAAAAAACCAAGAAAAAATAGGAAAAACAGGATCCATTTTAATTTTGGAATTTGAATAATTGTAATTTTACCTTAATATGACATATATATTATTGACACTCAAGCGGAGTTCAACTGAACTCCGCTCAGATTCTTTTTTTCGTTAGCAATGGTTTATCGTGACTTACAGGTGTACATTAAATTACTTATTCTAGCGGTTGCACCCGACCCCATTATTCTAGTTTGTCTTTTTGGGATTAGAATGCCATGTATATCCTACTGGGCTGTAGACATAAATTAATTATTTTTATTTTTACAGATGAAAGAATAACGTTTGAAGTATTTCTACCAATTTATCAAGCTATTTCTAAAAATAGGTCATCTAACACTGCTGAGGATTTTAATGAAGGATTACGTCATTTTGATAAAGACGGCAATGGCTATATTTCATCTGCTGAACTGAGACATCTTCTTACCAGTCTAGGTACTTTTTTTTTTTAACATCATAAAGATTTAATACTGAAGTATTATCAAAAAATAATTAAATTAAATAATAAGAATATGAAATTTGATTCTAATACTTTTGAATGAATATTTTTTTTATCAGGTGAAAAACTAACAGATGATGAAGTTGAACAATTATTGGCTGGACAAGAAGATTCCCAAGGAAATGTTCTTTATGAAGAATTCATAAATATGGTTATGTCTGGTTAATTTTGTATTATTTAAATTTAATACACATTATGATATTAAAAAACATTTCAATGTTTACTATTTTACCAGTATTTAAAATATATAATTAACATAATATAATAATGCAATTTTGTTATAATTTCAATACTAACCATTTATATGTGTAAGTTTAATGCATTTTGTTATTCTCATTTGAAATCACATTCCATAATAGCTATAAACCTGTCGTGAATTGGTAAATTTGTAATATTTATATTATATTTTATATTTATTGTTTTATTTTTGTATTGCCATTGTTTACTAATCAAAATAAATATTAATCATGATTTTTAAATATTTTATTATTCTAAGAATGTCATAGAATAAAATATATTATTATTGTAATAAAAAATGTATAGTCAAGTCAGTATAAAAAAAAAACCAATTACAGTCTTAAGTAGACAAAAGTGAAAACTTCTACTAATAAATATTGATTATTGGTTTAAATTAAACTTAAAAATGGCAGACCTAATTGAATCGGGGTATGATAATAAGCATAATTAATTTTTTATATCATTATTATCAGCTTATAACTAATATGTGATACAAATATAAGAGATTTAATATTAAAAGTTGAAAATGTAGCATCTATTGTTGTCCCACCTTTTGTTGCTTCCAATCTATTTTTATTCGTAGACAAACAACGCTTTTTTAAAAAAAATCTTTTAACAGCTATGCACTTTATTTATTTATTTTGTATGACATGGATCTCAAACACATAATACACTATTCACTTTCTAACTATAATAATAAAATAAAAACAGAACATAAGGTTCTGGTAGCACACATATAGCTATTAAATATATTATATAAATTGTAAATGCAAGTAAAATAAAATAAATCAACATATAATAATATTGTTATAAATAGTAGTTAATTATAAGTCTAAGTCAAGTTCTATTAGCCATTCTATTGCCTCTTTGGTAGCTTTGTGGATTCCTTCAGTCCCTTGTTCGAATAACCTCCTGGGACACGATTCCACGATGTGTTTTATGGTCTGTTCCACTTCCCCACAATCACACGCTGCACTATCTTTGTAGCGCCATTTGAATAATAAAGATCCACATCTTCCCNTTTGTAACATGTGATTTTGTCCACTCTTCATTCCATAATGTACTACTACAAAATTGTGTGTTGATTAAGTTCTTTGCTGTTAAGCCAGGTGGTTTTCTGGATTTTAGTCTATTTATCGGTTTATCCCTTAGCATTTGGAACAGTAGTGATCCTTTGTAGTTTAGGCATGAAGTTATAGTGTTGACTAGAGCCTCTTTCCTCTGGATGTGGGGTGGTGCTATATTTGTCAGCACTGGGAGCCAAGGTGTTTGGGTTGAATTTACATATTAATGCATTGTCTTTAACATATTTAAATAATGTTTGGAATTGTTGAAAAACCTCATTTGATAGTGGAACAAATTTTGAAAGCAATATTTTCAATAATGTGTGCACTGTTACCCCATTAATAGCTACTGCCGCCTTTCCAGTGGATGCGCATGTTACGTAAGCATTGCAATAGTCATCAGTTTTAGAAAATTGTTTGTAACAATTCATGATGAATTTAATAACAAATGTCTTACCATACCCTGCTGGTCCATCAAAAATAACTGTAAAGAATCCTTCTTCAATGATAATGAATGTGAGATTATATTGAAAATGAAACTAAACTGTTTTTCATTGACTGATCTCATCAATTTAAAGAATACTTTATTATCCATTAATTAAATTTTCTCGCTTTTTTGCTATTGCTAAAAGTTTATTTAGCTAATCGCAAATCTACAATAGAAACAGCATTTGGTTCACTGAATATTTGCTAAGTAGCTTCAAGAAGTTGTTTTCTCATATCTGAAGTTAAAATTCTGAGTTTCATCAGTCTTATAATAGAATGAATAAGACAATTGCCATCTCTAAGAATGTCTGTTTCACATATTAAAATAGCATTGGGCATTGAACACGCGTGAAGTTCTTCATATAAAGCTACTGGAGTGCAATCACTAAAACCATAATATTTAAATAAATAAACAATTTTCAAATTGCAATACAAAAAGTTAAAATTACATACAACTGTAAGACTGTATTGATAATTGATTGTAATTTTTCAAAACAGAAAAATCATGATCATCTTCTTTTAAAGTTTTCCCGCTCATATTCCCAGCTTGATACATTTTGCATTCACAAAAAAATTTTTTTATTAAGTAAATACAAATTAATTAAAATTTTAAAAAAAAATCATGGGTAATATATGGATAGATTATGAATATGTAAATATCATACACACCTTTGTAAATTGCCAAAAAGGGACCCCTATGATTCACTTGTCAAATTTTTTATCGCTGTTCATTTTCTTTTTGACGCTGGGCATGGGATTTTTTACGACGCAATTAGTACGTTATATCAATGGTAACATTTTTTTGTTACTGAAAATATATAAATATAAACATTCCATTCCAAGCCAGCATGATTTCTAAAGCCCCTTAATACGTCATGAATGTTACTCTACATAATGACCTTCGAATCCCCACCATAAAACAAACAGCTATAACATATTACTTACGCCTACTGCCTGTACTCCAATATGGAACACCACTCAAAAACCCTCATCGCTCAACTTTATACAAATGCTCTTCCGGACAACTTACCCAGACGCCTGAAACATGAATCACACTTAACATGTTTATTATTATTTCTCTCTAAATTACCATCCATGTCCAGGAGTTTCTAATGTGAAACTCAATTTCTATTCATTGTCTTCTCATTTTATATTTATTCATTTTCAAATTTACTTAATATACCATTTATTGTATAGATTGTAAATTTTCACTAAAGTATCGACTTTTAGAAAAAATAAATAAACATATATACATATAAACATTCATGTACAAAGATCCTACTTACAAATCAATTAGTTACTTATTTGAAATATTGAAAAATATTTATTATACCTAAAAGTGTATAAATATAAACATTTATAAATGTTTAACATGAATTATGCCACGATATATGTCAAGACTGTCAATCATATCATACAAAGAACAATTAAAATGTCATCAAATTTCTACTCCTACAGTTTGAATTTGCCGCATTTAAAATACAATGAGTATACTGAATATCGATAACGAAGAAATATAATAAATACTAGCTGTATCGGCTTGTTAGAGCGTATTATGTTTTATATTTCGGTTAAAATAGACAAAAAAAAAAAATGTAAACTTCGGAATAATTCGCATAGAACTAAAAATTGGTACATTCCTTAGATACCTCATCAGTCATCATAAATAATATCTCAAAAGTTCCCATCGATCCTCCAGCTGCTAATTTTTTTATTTAAGTTCAAAGGTCACAAAAACAAGTATATTTCATTTATTTCTTAAACTTTAAGTGTCTTAATAAAAACAGCTTAGGCACAATTTGCAGATCGTGTAATTTTCTAAAAAAAATTCTTATCTTCATAATATTAACCATATTTTTCCCATACCATGCTTTAAAGTACATTGATTGCAACATATTTTTTGTAGTATCCTTTGAAAAGGTAATCTACGACTTTATTTTTAATAAATAGATTTGTTTTTAATTTTGATAGTAAAAAAAAATTTACTGTACATAATTATTAAACTTGAACTCTTTATCATAAACTAAGTACAATAGGTAAGCATATATAATTGATTTTTATAAATTGTCTTATAATAATTAATAATAATCTTTAAACACTTCTTCGACAATGATATTACTTTGTTCTTTTTCATTTTCTTCGTTCTCTTGTAGCTGAATTTCGATAAGTTGCTCTACGAAAAGTGATAAATTAAACACCTCTTCGTTGATAAATTCTTTATAATCTATTGAATTTGATTCAACATTAGAGCAAGACTGACCTTGACAATTACTACATACAATTGAACAAAACAATTCGACTTTCTTACAACTACAATTGTAATTGTAATTGAGAATTCATAGTTTTTGAAATCATGATGAAGGTTGTCACACACTGTAGCGGTGGCGGTAAAATTGTGTCCAATTTTATTTTACCATAACCGCTTCAGTGTATGTGGACCTTAACTCATGAATTATTATTTTTAGGTAAAAAAGTAGATATAATTTTTTTTTTAAAAATTACTCTATCTACAAATTTTGTCTAAACTATTTTTACGAAAACACTTCAAGTTTAAGAGATAAATGAAAAAAAACGGTTTTTGTGACCTTTGACCTTGAATACAAATTTAAAGCAGTGGTAGGATCGATAGGGACTTAGGAGATTTTATTTGTGATGAGGTACTTAAGGTGTGTACCAATTTTCAGCTCTATGTGAATTATTCCGAAGTTAAATGTTTATTTTAACTTGACTATTGCGGCATTTTCTCTGTCCTATAAGATAGTATATAAATGTATTATAAAGAACGTTATAATATTATATATGCGTAATCCGCTCTTTGGAATTTTTTTATACAAGATGGTATATAGACATGTATTATAAATAACGTCAACACTAAAAATTAAAAGCAAATAATGGAAATTAAAATAGCAATTTTCACTTAGATACAGAATTCTTTAATACGAGGTACGTCCAGAAAGTAAGTTCCGTTGGGCAATAAAAACATGTAAATGTGTAAATTTTAATATAAATTTTATTTGAATATAAAATACATGTATTACTTTATTTTTCAACATAGTTACCACCATTGTTTAAGCACTTATCATATCGAGGTACTAATTTTTGTATCCCTTCATCATAGAAAGATAACGCCTGTGATTGTAACCATGCGCTAACAGCCTTTTTCACATCATCATCTTCGTTGAAGTTCTGGCCACCCATAAATGATTTCATGTGTAAAAAAAGATGAAAATCACTGGGTGCCAAATCTGAACTGTAGGGCGGATGATTAAATTGTCCCCAAGCAAAATCTGCAAGAAGTTGTTTCGTCACATTTGCTGTGTGCAGGCCAAAGATGGTCGCCTAGTTCGTTCTTTATCGTGAACATTTGTACGGCCTTCATTGAAAAGTCGCACCCATCTCCTAACCATTGCCACGTGACGTACGTACACTAATTAGTCACGGAATGGTTTTAAAATGTTCCAAATAAGTAAATGAAATAATCGGATATGACCGTAATTAAGATAAAATCGCAAACGCGATAAAAATAGAAAACGGAACTTACTTTCTGGACGTACCTCGTATTTATGTACTGACACTTTGTGCAAGTAAAATTAATAAGTATATTTTCGATAGAAACTTACTTAGTTTGGATTATAGAGTATAGATAAGTTTGGATGGTTTAGATACTATGTTTTGCTGATTCTTCATGTGTTTTATTCATCATTTTATTATAATAGTTATTACTTCAAAAGTCATTGAATTAATAATCGTCGATCACAAACACTAAAACCACGTCTATTTAGAAAAAACGTTTCTTAACTGATAGATTCTTTTCAATGCAACATTAAAAGAAATCTTAAATATTGTTCCGAGTATTGACATTATTGTAATTAGTATGACAATAAATGGACATTCCTATGTTAGTAACCATTGACTTGAATTTAAATATAACAACAAATTAAAGTAAACTTTATATAAATATAAACCCAAAAGATATATCCATAATATGGACTTTTAACATTTATAATATTTATAAATCGACAATAGATTATTACTCAATTGTAAATTTTAGGTACCTACCATTCGTAAAGTTAATACTGATCACTATTATTGCTTATTATTAGTTATTCGTTGTAAATTAAATCAACTAGGTAATTAAATTACAAACTAATTAAGTAGCCATCTATTTTAATTTTTTAAGTTTCATTTTTATATTGGCACCTAATAAAGGTCAATAATATAGAAGTATTTTATAAAAACTTCCAAAACATGTGTTGTTTGTTAGTTATGTATTTTATATTTATATTATTTTTATTTGGTAATTATGTGGTTTAGTACTTTTTGATATATTTTTATCACACTGATTAAATTTCATTTGATAAATATGTCTATAGATATTATATTGATTATTATTATTACTATTAATTAAAACAATCAAAGATAAATAATTGAATCATTCAATTATTCTTATTACAAAAAAGGATTCTCAATATAGTACAGAAAATAAGTTTATAATAAGTTCACCTAAAATATAATTGGAAGTTATGTTTAATAAAGCTACTATGTTGAACCAATTGTGCTGTGAGTTAAACAAAATAATAAAATTTAATAAATATCATAGCACTTTTAATTTTGCATCAGATTTTTTAATACACTATTTCCATACAGTAAGCGACCTGATGATATCACAGTTATTTAAATGCTCATATTATTTCATCAGTTTAATTGGCTTTTAAATATTAAATATAATTCTTACTGAAATTTATACTATGAATATAACCATCTCAATTATATGAAATGTATTATTTTTTTGTTAGAAAACTTAAAACATACTTTTCAAATAGTCTTAAACTAATAAAAAGTGAATAACATTAATGTAAAAATCAGTATTACCTTTTTTTTTTTAAACTCATATGCTATAATATATAGGCTACACCTATTTTACTCATTATTAACCATAACATTTTTGTAAACAAAAATTATACACAAGTAATTCTTATAATTTATTAATTTAACAGTGATTATTTTTCATTAAAATATAAAATAAATCAATTTTTTTGAAAATTATTAATTTTATTTAGTTTTTAAAAAGCCAAAATATGTACAAAACATATTTTTAAAATAAAAAACAAAGGCAACCTAAATTAAATTACATCTATTTTGTACAAGAATAAAATAAAATAAAATTCTAATCAACACATTTTGAGTATCTATACTTATAATTAAAAGCTTGTAATTTAGTTCCAAGTTTACTATAAATATATGAATATTTGTATATCCATATACCCTGTAGTAATTTTTTTAAACTTTTTTTTTTGGAAAATTTAAAATATATTATGCAAAATATTGCAGTATTCAAAATTCATTTGTTTAATTTTATTATTTTCAACAATTAATATGGGTAAACAAATATAATTTTAATGGTTTAAACATGGATGCTGCCTGTAATAATCAATAATTGATAGTGATTTTACATATAAATACACAGATAAAGATACAGATAAAATTTAAGAATCAGCCGTATTTAATATTTTGATACATAAAAAATTAATACTTTCTAGAATATAATTAGTGTTTAGAGTGTTCTGAATTAATCTAAATTGTATTTTAAAAATTGAGATTCATTTATTGATGTAATTTTTAATACAGCATAAATTAAATGATCTATTTTGTAATTTTACTTTAAACTGCAATTAATCTTGTAGACCACCATTCAATAATAGTATAATACGTTTTATAATTTACTATTACATAACATTACCTTCCCATAAAGTGCTTATTGAAGTTGCTTAGTAAATTAATAAAAGTTAAAGAATATATTTTTTGAGCTGAAATTTAAATTAAATATTTTTATTTATCACACAAATTGTATACTATACTATAGAGTTTAAATATGCCAAATTAAAATACGGTAATACAAATAAATATTATAATTTTTTTTTTTTGCAACAAAAGATCAGTCTTACAAACTAAAAACGTGAAAACAAATACTTAACCAGTAATACATTATAATATTTACACTTGTATAAACCAAAAAAATTACTAAATATATAAATGTATATACAAGATCGTATGAATATATTTTCTGGGGGAAAGATTCTAACTGATGAGTATTATTTCATAATATATTTTACCAAAGTTATACCAGAGCAAATAAAAATAATTAAAGTTTAATTTAGAAACCCCCACCCCACAGAATATGATCTTGTATATAAACAATATTTTAAAACTTTATAAAAATAGTACAGAAAAAATATTTAAACTAGTTCATTAAAAAACTAAAATATTCAATTTGAATAAAGCAAATACATATATAATGGAGGTATTACATGATTTATTTTAGTATACAATATTTAAACCTATTATACATCTGGACGGTACTTTTTATTATAATTATCTAGTAAAAATGTATTCTCCAAATGCATTTAATGCTATTAAATAGGCAAGATTTAACATTTCTTACTTGGCAGTTAAGAGCTAATCTGATGGATGAATAATTATTGCAGTATTTCGTTTAATACCATCTACAATGTTTTAATCTTCTCAAGCAATCTTTCAATAAATTCCTTTAAAAAATAATTTAACACAATAATTAAAATATTACAATAATATACTTAATATAAATATAATATTCATAAGATAACATGGGGTTTATTTCTAACCAAATAGTCACATATAAAATACATTTTTTATATCCTTATATTTATGTTTTAATCAGAGTAAAAATTACACCATAAAATTAGTGTTTGGACTGTGCCTGATTCATAATTTAGGTCTAACAGTAACTAAATAGTGCCTACTAGGTAGACAGATCAGATTCTGAGGCTAACTTCTGATATTTTTTTTTTAATAAGTGTCCTACTAAGAGTTCTGTCACTTATTGAACACTAGTTTTTTATTTATACAGTTTTCATGCTATTGTTGATTTTCAAATTTCGGTGGTATACAAAGGACTAACTCCAGAGGTCTAAGACATTTTACTGCAATTGTTTTACCGCTTGTCATTTAATAGATGTTTTGAATGTAGGAAGAATTAACAGAAAGGGGGGGGGATTAAAAAATTAACGTCAACTAGCAATTTCCAATAGACTAGAGAAGTACTTAAATCTTCAAGAGAACTTCAAAAGATCTCACAAAATTAAAATGTCTATAAATATCTCAAAAATATTGAAAATGATTTGAAAATTTTACCACATTTGGTAAAGACAAAATAAGTTTTCTGTCCAAATTTTAAGTCTCTACAAAATACTTTTAACTGAACTACAACAAATAAAAAAACAAAACTGAAAGTGACGCATTTCATAAATTTTCCTGTTTTTCCTATTTATTATGAAAACCTCTTGGAAATCAAAAAATAATTTCCCTAAAGTACTACCCAGATTAAATTTTCTTTCAGAATTCTAAACTTAAAAATCGAAATATGATTTTTGGTAGTTGATCATAGAAAGAAGAAAAACAAATACATAATTATAAAACTAAAATATTCCTCGCTTCACTCAGAATCTAAAATATGACACTACTTTAGATCAAATTAAAGTATATTTAATTTTGATCTTCTAAACTTCATTATTGTGTTAAAAATATATTATGAATATTTTGTTTTATTTCACAGAAATTGCTACAAAATTGTGTATTATATAATTAAGTATAATATAACACTATATAATTAATATGCAGCAGGTAGATGTATTTTATTGAAATGCTAAGTTCTGGCTTAATAAATAATGCATATTAATATTTGTTTAATAATATATAATACATAAATGTTATACCATATACTATATTTTATGTATTTTTTTTTATTATTGTTTCCGTATAACCATGTTAGTATAGACATTTTAGTAAGTCTATTAACTATATAGATTTAATTGATAATGAAAATTAGTTATTAGATTTACTGAGCCTAAAAATACTGATCTAATTAAACATACTTTAACATTTTCCTTAGATTTTGCTGATGACAATAGTTCCTGAAAAATATATATTAGTTAAAATTAATTATTAATAATAATTGAATTCTCTATCAAATCACTTGAAGAAATTGAATTCGCTGATGATCATCATCCATGTCTAACAAATCATCAATATCAACTTCTACTTCACATTCGATTCCTTCAACTGCTGGGTCTCTCTAAAAGTAAGCAAATTACAAGCATAATATAGGTATGAATATATGATTATAACTTATAATACTTATATACTATTTAGAGAGGTTCAACAGATTTTAAATAGTCCTAAATATTAATCTGACCAATTTACAAGTAAAATAATAGCAATGTAAAAACATTAGAATTTTTTTGTAAAAAATTACATTATAAAACATCTTTTTTTTTTTTTGTAATTTTATTTTCAATATTATATTAAATTTAAATAAGTTAAATTTTTAATAAAAAATTGGTACTTCTTTGTTATTATGTTATCACCCCACCAGTACACCATAATAAATTAATCACTTCATCATTCTTTTTTTGTTAAAAAAAGTCCATCCTGCCAAACATACAAATAAATTGTATATTATTATAGTAAAAATTGAAAAATTATTAAAAGAATATTATATAAAATTAAATAAAAATAATATATAATAATTATTATAAATTAGGATACAGGCCAAAACTCAAAAACACCTTTTAATATAGTTTCAAACGCATACACCTCTCTTCCACCATCCATTACTTCATAGACCAATATGGCACTGGTCTTTTGAGGCGATATCAAATTATATTCTAGCTTAATAACATAATTCAAAAAATCGCCAAAAATTATAAACTAATTAAAAGCGACGAAAGACCAGCACCATATTTACGCCAGTTAATATTGTAGTTAGTTTTTATAATATCATGGATATTTTAATATTTTAGTTGAAATTTGATAAAGTGATACATTTAAAACTAAGTATAACGCGGGGATACCAATAACTATACTATAAATACTATACGTTTCCAAAAATATATTTTTACATTTACAACTCTCCCACCCAAATTAAATAATCTGAGTGTATTTATGTAAAATGCACAAAGACTGTATGACACAGTTATTATTTCCTAGTAAATTATCAAACATTTTAAAAATATTTAATGCAGCATATAAATTGGGTATAAATTATAAAAGAAAATTTGGTAGTTTCACAAATTTGTAATCAATATTAATATATTTAATAAAAAATGAGATTGATAAGTAAATATATATATTTTAAGTAATCGGTAATTAGATACCTAATACTTAATAGTAAACAAATGTCTAGGTATACTATAATAGTCATCAAGATGTAGGTATTACCATTATAAAACGTAATGATTAAATACATTACAATTTCATAAAATAAAATAAAGTGTATACGCCACTTATTGATTTTACAATGATGTTTATTTTTAAAATTTTTTTTTTTTGTGAACAACTTTTCTACTACTTATTTTGCTCCTATGTGTTATGTGTAGAACTTTTTCTGAAAAGAAATTTTATCTAGTTGGTACATTGAGGAAGTCATTCTTTTGATTTTCAGGGGTTTTCATAATATATAGGAAAATGCGATGCTTCGAAAGTCACTAATTATAGACCAAATTCTATTCTCAGCCACATAGGTAAACTTTTTGGGTATTTTATCTTATCCCACTAATAGTTAACGCCTTTCTAGTTGATAAACAACATCTAATTTAATTTTTACTAACTATATTTTTAATGCATTCGAACTTTGTGCAAGTGGTTGTAATCTCTACGGATTTTAGGAAAGAGTATGTTAGAGTTGACCATAGTCAGTGGCACCAAACAGGTATGAAAAATGGGGTAAATACACTAGAACATTTTAGGTAGGTGGGTGGGTCGTGGGCCGTGGATGACTGTTTTTATTATATAGTACAGTATAAATACTAAATAGTATACAGATAACAAGAATCAGTATTTATAGTCTAGACTCTAGAGATTCCTCAACGCAGTATGCCAGTTAGACTAACCTTTTAATATGGATTATGTAACGTTATCACGGCTATAGATATAAATGATTCCACGCTAGCCTATGCTAGAAGGATCGGTAAGTTCCCACATGAAACAGCAGGTAAGTGAATTCATATGTAAGTTCCGACACGAAAAAAAATATACCCATACGTCAATTCCTACATGAACAGAAATAATAATTATTATCAGAAAAAAACAGAAAATAATAACACATTTTTTTCGTTTTTTTTAAAACGAATTTTTCGATTATTTAGTGATTAATATTTACAAACAAAAAAATACGTACGTTATAAAATAACTTTAACCAAAAAAAAACTTCCTCTGTAAGGAACCAGATCCAAAACAAAAAAGGTCTTTTAATATAAACATATATAACATAAATTATAAAAATATGAAATCTTTATGCCGTAAATATTTGTCCGTTTTCCCCATTTTATCCAAATTATTGTGAAAACTACTAGGAGAATCAAAAATGACCTTCCTAATGTACCTTTCCGGTCAGGTTTTCTTTTAGAAAAAGTGCTATTATTATAAATTGGAGCAAAATTGCTTGTAGATAAGTTGTTCACAGGAAAAAAAAGGCCGAAATATTTTTCAACTAACACCTACATTTCGTAAATTTTCCCGTTTTTACCATATGTTGAGAAAAATCCTGGGAAAACCAAAAAATGACTTCCCTAAAGTACCCCCCTCCCGTCAGATTTAACAGAAGGTTCATTAAAAATCGTACTTTTTGGTCAACAAAGAAATGTGAGCTTAATGTAGTATTTTTTTTTTGTAAAAGAATTTGAATATCATATTTTTACGAAAATCATTTGAGTAAAAATTATGTGCAACAAATCTAGTTACTAGTTCATGCAAATTTTTCAATTTTTTTTGTTTTTAACATATATTATGTATATTGCAGATTTAAAACGATCAGAATTGAGAGACTCACTTAATTTCGAAAATATAGCTTTTTGAAGTTATAATATTATGCAGATATTATATGTGTTATATTAAATAACACAATATTTTCATTATTAGTGTATCTATTGTAGTTTAGTGGAGGTGTACGTACCTGTCACACGCGTGTATAAGGTGGGAGATTCAACCTTTCTCTCCCCGAAATTTCATGGAAATTATGATGAAAGTAGATAATAAGTTTTTAATACAATCGCAAAATTGATTTCTATTAATGAGGAAGATAAATTCAATTTTGGTTTTATTTTAATTTTATTACTAGACAGTAGGTCTATATATATTGTTATTATTACCATTCAATAGTATATATAACGATATCATTTTGGCTATATTCGTTAAAACAATATTAAATGTAAAATTTAGTAACAATTTAAGTGTAATAAAGAATTTTTTCGATAATAATTTTAATATCAAATCATAAATATTATCGCATTTCAAAACATGTGTAACCGAATCCCGCTCAGAATCTTATTTCATTAGCAATGATTAATTGTTATGCACTGATATACATTAAATTCTCCTTCATATTCTAACTTCTCAACTTTTCATCTCAATAATGTTCGCACCCATCGTACAATCTCCGTTGTCTGTTTTTTTTTTTTTTTTTTTTTTTTAATATAAATTTATGAATTTATATTAAAGGTAGGTTTAGTAAGGTTTTTTGTAGAAAAACAAACGGAACAAATTTATAATAATAAAATCGTTGCACCATAATTTGAAAAAATCGTATTTTTGGTTTTTCACAATTATTATGAAATATACCTGAGATATCAAAAAACGAATTTATTTGACAGTGGCTCAATACCGTCGCCAGAAAAAATTTTCTGGGAGGGGGTACATTTCATTTTTCTAACTAGTTTTATTAAGCTAGAATAATTATAAATTATTTTAAGACTCCTTTATTCCTTCATCACTTATTATTTATACCTCCTTAATTTTACTAAAGTAAAGTTAAAACAGAGTGTGTAACCTTGCATGAGAATATATGAATAACTAATTTCAGAAAGGGCCTAAAACTTGATTTTCAAAAGGCACAAAAACTGTCTAGGCAAGATTGAGAAGCAGCTTAGCATACAAATGAATAAATCATATTATTGTCCACATTTTTAAAAATTAATCATTATGATAGTTTTCTAAATTTAACATAACCATTGGAAATCATTTTAAATTGTTTGACATATCTTCTTTCTGCATTTAAAACACAAAGATAAAAACATATTTTTATTTTGTAATGAAAACCCTTTTATTCTTTTATTCGGAAATGTAATTATTTAGTTATTTATTTAATATGGAAGTTTATTATTTAAGTTGCTAGCGAAATGGCCACTCGTAAATGTTTTCCCGAAATCTGGAAACAGAATCCTTTGGGTGTACAGCTTATTGAGTAACTGGATTGGCAAAATATTTTTTTCTTTTTTTTTATAATTCATGAATATTTAAAAATCAAAAAGATTGAATAATATTTTTACAACATAAACTCAGAAATAGATAGACTAAAAATAACATTAATAAATTATGGATAACAAATTGTTGCCTATTAATGATAAGATCTGAACAAAATCTTACGACTTTATATAAAAACCACGTTATCACAGTAATTTATTAAGATATTTAGCTCAAAAAGGGGATATTGTTTTGGAATTGTTCACTTTCTACACTAAACACTAAAATTAGCTGTTGAGGTTTCCATAACGGTTTGATGGACTAGTCCCATTTTTACATAAAATATGTACCTATTCAAAGTAAATAAATATAAATCCAGTAATAACTCACCCCCAATAATGCCCCCTGGCTATAGCACTGCAGTAGCTATTCATTAAAAGGAACAAAATCAATCTCTTGTCATTTTCCGATTAGGGCAATATTTCTGGTAGAAAACAAAAATTGCAAAAATTAAAAACAATGAAAACGGTAAAGCCGTAAATAATTACCGTTTTACCTATAATTTCGGTTTTTGCACAATTATTTTGAAAACCCCTAAGAAAATCAAAAAATGACCTCAATGCACCACAACTAGACAAAATTTCCTTTTAGAAATAGTGTTACACTTGAAACTTTGGAACAAATTTTCTGATAAAAAAGTTGCACACACAGAAAAAAAAAATTAAAAAAATTCCTTACTACGCTCATCCAAAAGACGTACCTACCTATTTCGACAGATAGAGATTATTTAATGTATATATCTGTACGGAACGATTAATTAAAACCGATTTTAAGCGGAGTTCAGTTATACATGTTTTGAAAGGCGGTATTTACGATATTCAACAAAATTTGATATTAATATTTTTTTTTTTGACCTCAAAGTATGACTTAATCTTTTGTTAAATTTTCAAGCACTTCTGTTTGGTCTAACTATATTTATAGAGTACCTACTGAATATAAATTATGTAAAAAACTTTTTCTCCATTTTGAAAACCTCTTAGAAAATGACTTCTCCTAAAGTAGTAGTACTCGAGTAGTCAAATACAATCTCCTTTCAGAAAAGCTGCTACACTTTAAAACAAAAGCGAAAATTCTGGTAGAAAAGTTGATCACAAAAAAAAATAATGAACATCATAGTAAAACCAATACATTCCTCGTAAGAGATGATAGTGATACCTGTAAAACCATTTAAAATAAACAAACAAAATCTAAAATAACCGAACCATTATTATGTACATTTCCCGATTGTTAAGACATTTACTGGAAAAATCAAAATTTCTTAATACACCAACAAGATATTTGTTTTTTAAAATATGCAACACTTGAAGATAACAGTAATATTTATGGAAGAAGTTTTTCATAAACTCACACACACAAGGTATACATCATAGTAAAACTAAAAATGTTTTTTAACAATTATAATATATATGTATATATTTTTATTTCCTATACCTATAGGTCTTTTGGATAAGACTACTCTGACTATTAAAAGTGGATACATATTACATACTTAATAAAGATAGTATTGAAAACGATATTTTCTATAAACACTCGAGTTTGTAGGCAAATAATTAATGACCAATTATTTCGTAGTACAGATCACTATTTTATAATATTGAAAATAGATTTATAAATAACAAATCGATACGGTAGTATGTACATTAATCCAATGCCAAAAACTTTAATAGATACCTACCTGATAAAAACCTTAAACATAATATATTGATATTCTATAGTTATGTTCTTGAATGAATACAAAAGAACAATACAATAATTTTATATCATAATAGAGTAGAATAAAAGTTACGCAATGACATACAGGAAAATAAAAAATTAATGATTGCCTAGGTACTTACAATGTAGTAAGCATTCAATTGTTACATTTTATTAATACAACACAATAAAAATATGTATAATTATCTATTTTATTTATTACCTAAATGAATTATATTATTTAATAAATTAGAAAATTTTAATTTATTATTCTCAGCAAATTATCTAAATAAAAATCTTTTCAATGAATTAACTTTTCTATTACATTAAATAGATTTTAAATCACGTTATAATTTATCAAAACTTGTGAAAAATGATACTAGAAAATCACAGAATTAAATGCATACCTACATTAGATTTAATTTTTAATAAGACAATCATAGTATAATATTATCTGTAATAATATAATAATTATAAGCGTGTGTTGAAATACTTAGTGAGTTAATTTCACATAGAAAAAATCCTGTACATAAATATGTTTTTATTTTATTTTTTAATTAACTTAAATAATACATTATTTTTAATAAGACGAGGATAAATTACAAAAAGGTATTATGTTCTGTAAAAAGTTAAGGAGATTCCTTTTTACCTTTCTTTGCCTAACATACAATGCAGTATAGCAATTTAGACCAATTTTTGTCTACTAGTCTGTTCGAAATAGTGAAGTGATATGAGATCTGGAAACAGATTCAAATTCAGCGTAAAGTGTATGAGTTTGACCAAAACACTTTTTCGAATAAATCACAGTTCTTAACTTCCAAAAATTAATTTGAAAATTTAAATTAAAAAAAATAAAATAATGATAAATCGAATAGGCCAAACTTACATAGACTTCACATTGAATAGAAATCTGTTTTGAGAACTCATATCACTCACACTACACCAATGGACAACTGTCTATCTGTTTACTACGGTACATATGTGTTAGACAAAGAAAGATAAGGGAAACATTTGTTCTGTTTTGAATTTTCTTAACCATAAACATTGTATACCTATATAATATCACAGAAAATATTATTTGATTATAAATACTATTTTTTTTATAATATTTATAATCAATGATATTATTTATATTGTTATACAATGTATTTAACTATTTAGGGGGGAAAAATGATTAAACATAATTTTTCTGTTTACAAATTTAAATATGAACTATATGATCATAAGGATAACTGGTTTTCATCAAACCAACCAGTCCATAACATTTTGGAATTTTCAGAGGTCAATTAACTAATAATACATGAGTCATATATAGATACCAAAGTATAATAATATTACAAGTATTATTACTGTTATCCTACTGATTCTGTTTTAGTAATTCATAAGTATTTAAATGATTAAACTTTGACACTGTAATTATTTTGCATAGAAATTAAATTTAAATTTAAATGGATCGTATCGTAGTGAGTTTAGTATAGACAGTATAGTAGAGAAAGCTATTCTTGTTATGCTTCTATGACTCTGACGAACAGGATTGAGAAACGCAACTGTTTCTAAACAATACAACCATTCAAAACACTTTATTATTATTATTACATATAAAGGTAGGTAGGTTGTTAGGTATAATATAAAAAAATTACTATTGAAAAAAAAGGGAATTTAAGACTAAAAAATTAATCTCTAAAAAAAAAAAACTTAAGTAAAACATTTACCAAAACCAATACTAGCTAAATTTATATAAAAACTTCAAAGTTATTTAGCCATGCGTGGAATTAATTATTTATTTTTTAATTGGTAGGTTAAGTCAATTAAATAAATTATTTACTATTTTGAATATTATTTACTCTTTGATTAACTAATATACATTTTTAATTAAATTGCTACCTAGTTTACAAGTTTATTAGTAATCTAAGAAAAAATTAATAAACTGACTGATTTTAAATTTGAATATACATTTGTATTGTGAAATTCTTTAATATAAAATTCAATTTTACACATTTTTTCCGAATAAGTACCACCAAACTTTTTATTACACCGTGAGTACATTACAACATAAAAGGATAAAAAAAACCTAAAAAATATTTTAGATTCTGAGCATATTTAAGAATGATGTGTTTTTAAAAGTTTGATAACAACTTTTCTACCAAAAATCTAGCACCAATCAAAAAACAAGAGATATTTTTTTAAAAAATATATTCTTTAGTTAAAACATTGGGGATGTCACGTTTTGATTATTCTTGAAGTTTTCTTAATAATTAGAAAAAATGAAGAAAAAAACTAGGGAAATTTATGCAATGATCAATTTTTTTTTTGGTAATTCAGTTAAAAATAAACAAGGAGACCGAAATGTTTACTAATTACTTATAATAGATTATTCTAGTAGTAATATTTCCATAACATTCTGACTTTTTATACTGCCTTGTTAAGCAAAAGTGCAATAACTGGAAAAAAAAAATTAGGTAGCTGATTAGTAGCTGATCTAGTAGCTGAGAAATATACCAAATTTGCATATTTTCTATAGAAAAAAAAAACCCTGAAATTGTATTGAATAGGCTAAAAACATAATTATCGTTCATTGAAAAAAATTAGTGGTACTAAGTAAGAACACTGTATCTTACTAAGCATAAATAATTTTGTAGATATGAATATTTTTTTTTTCAACATTTTCATATTTTATTAGTTATAGCAGTATCCTATACTTCTTTTATCAGTTATACTGATTAGCATTTTTTTTTTTTTTTTTTGAGGGGAAATTTTTTTTAGATAAATTTATTTTATATACAAAATGTAGTTTTAAAAAAAATATTCTAAGCTCGATTAAAAAGAAAAATGATATGAAAATATCAGATATAGTTGGATTTTAACCATTGAGTGGACATTATGGCATTCCTGTAAAAAAACGAAACAACATTTTCGACAATTTAAAAGTTCTATCACAATAAAGGAAACAGTTTTGGCAAAATATACACCAATGTTTAATAATAATTTGAACTAATTTACATTAATTTTGACAATTTTATTTGTTAAAAGTTGTTTTATAATATAATTATGATATTTTATACTTTATCTTTATTAATATATTTTTATTTATTGTATATTAATCCTAAATACATTTATTTATATACAATTTATAATAGGTACCATAAAATTTATCTATAGCGTTAAATTATTTATAGTAAATACATATATAGAAAACACTACAATTTACTTATAGCATTTTTCATTAGTAAATAGAAGTGTATACAACCTTTGTTACCAAGTAATAACATGAAAGTAACTTTAATTTCCATTGTAAGTCAATACTACTCTTTTATTATTATTTCATTTCATTCTTTGTCAAAAATATTTTAAAGGTGCATAAGTTTTATATTAAATCAAATAGAATATAAAATAATAAAGGTGTAAGAAACTGAAAAATAAAAACATGCATTTATCTCAAAACCAATATATTTATTTTTATAACACTTTTACTTGGCAAGGCAGTAGGCAGTAGGGCATAGGCATTTTACATTTTAGAGTTTCTAAGTTTTTAATTAGTAGATTTTATTTTTTTAACCCGACAAAAATGTTCAAAAATTTAACAGAATGTTCATTATAAATTGTGAGATAGATTGTACATAATAATAATAATAAAAACAATCGAGTGTAATATATTTTTTTTTATTTTTATAATCAAATTTTGATGAAAATTGTAAAATATCATACATTTTAAAAGGTGTTTAATATAACTTTGTTTAAAATCATTTTTCATTAGCAATTATTTATTATTAAATACAAATAAAATCCTACCTTCTCAAATTCTTCCTTTGAACTATGTGACTTGTAAACAATATCCATTACGCTACTGCCCCCCCTCTCTAGAAGTATATCTGAGATAGACCTACAAGATATAATATAGGGGTAATTTAGTTTAGATTATGAATGCAACAATAAATCTCCAAATAAATTGTGGTAAATCATTACAAATAAAGTGTGATTCTGGGTGGAACTTGGTTAAATATTTTTTGATTAATTTGAAATGAAAATTGTATTAATTTATAACTATAAAATAATTTTGTTTTCGTGTTTTATTGAATCTTACCATTAATTTTAACTCGAACCATGGTTATAAAAAAAAATGATGACAATTGTAAAAATAAGAAAAACACTATTAATAAAAAAATTGTAATTAGATTTCAAAACTTTTTTTACTTCCATTTCCCATAAGAAAAACCAAGAGAACAACTTATGAAAAAACCTTATATCAAATTGCTGAGCACAAATGTCAAACCAAAACATTTTTAAATGCATTATAAATTTAAAATATAACTTGACATTGTATTAGCTATGTTCATAGCTATAAATTGCCATATGAATAATAATAATAATAACTATAAATAAAACAAAAAGTTAAAATACTTTATAATATAATTAAAAAATTATACCATATTTAGAGAATTTGTATAATATAAAATAAATTCCGTGAAATATTAATTGCCTATATAATATATTAGGTATCTAGATGAAACAGTAATAACCTGAATTTTAAGAAATATCTGCTTAGTGAAATGGCATTCTTCAGGTAAGGTTTTTTCAGAGGGTAAAACACTTAACAATATTATGTACACCAGATTCCAGAATACCATGACTTTTCCAATGACTACCAAGATTTCCAGTAGGATTACCAAAGATTTTCAAACATTTGTACACTAATTTCCATTACTGATTTACCTTATGGTTTTTTAAATGTTTTATGCTTGTTGTTTAAATATACAAATAATATTATAATTATCATCATTGATTACAAATACTTATTATTACAATTATAATTAATTAGTTTATGTAAGTATTCAGGTATATATAAAAAATATAGATTTACAAAAAAATGTTGTTTAAAAAAAATGTTTTAAGTTGTTAAATTATATTAGGTCTTTAAAAACTACTGTAGGCAAGTAATGATGGATTTCTGAAGAGTTATTTAATTAATCAAATACTACAAAAATATGTCCAACAGTAATTACTACTAAATAGCCTTATTGTATATTGTACGAGTCGATTCCCAAAAAAACAGGAAAAATAAAGTGATAATAATAGTAATCAAAATAAACTAAAACTATAATTCACAGTTAAATAATAAAGTGGGAGTCCTCATTTGCCAATCGCAATCTGTAATGTGAAGAATAATTTTGTTGAAAATTAATGGATTAGATGAGAATAAAAAAAGAAACATGAAATCTCGTAAGACGAGATAGAACCCTAAAGTTAATAAGGGAAAAAAGTATAAGGGAATCAATCATAGGAAACATTATATTGTTGATTGCTTTGTTTTAGCATTATATTTAAAAGCCCCAATAAGTACATTTTACTAAATAAATGAAAATACAAAAAACAAAAATAAAATAACTCATTGCACATCCAACTACTAACTGGAATGCCACTAGGAATATTAAAATATTATATTAATTTATTTAAAATAATATAAGAATATAAAAAAAATGAATTTCAACTTACTTTAGGTAAATCGTAGAGTTTCTGAAGTTCTTCTAATAACCACATTTCAACTGCTAAACGTTTTCTAATTAAACTCATTTGATGAGCACCATACTTGGCTGTTAAAAATTTTTCACGTTTTTCTTTTACTTCAACTTTTTCTGTAAAGTTTACATGTAAACCAGATTTTGCAGGGCTTCTATTACTCGATACGGTAGTTGATGATTGTGTAGCATTACTAGTATATGTTGAAGCTAAACTACACTCCATATCGATGAGGATTAGATAATTATAACAAATTTTATAAACACGTAGTTACAATACGAAATTTACAATTATTTTTGTACGTCGACACGATGAAAAAAGTATAAGAAAAATTTAAACTATTGATAGTGGCAAAAATAAATTATAATTAAAACTGAATAAAAATTATATAATATAAAAAGATCCTTTATTCAAAACAATTTGTAAATAAAAATACGAAAAAATTAATAAATATGTAATAAGAAGTAATTCAACAAAAGATAGAGACCAAACGCCTTATCAAACTGAACTGCAGTCTGCATGTCTGTAACCTGTGCAGTGGTGGATCATTGGGATGATCTAATCAAGAGATTCAGTGTGTCTCAAAATTTTCCGTTAAAAAGTCGTAATTTCCTTGCGCTTGCTGCTGACCTCTACAGTACATTTCAAGAAACTGAGGGTTTTCTAAACGGGTGACTAAAAAAGCGCGGTAATTTAAAAATGACGCGGTAATTAACCATCGAACAGTCTGTGGATATACATTTTACCTTCCACTGCCAAACATTTTATAACCACCATATATATTATACAATAAATAAAATAATTATTTTTACTCATATTTTTTAAAAACCGTGCAGTATTCCAAATTGCTGCGTATTGTGTGCAAGTTTTAGAAACTGCGAAACACTGAAATTTCACCACCGGAAGCGCCACTGCGGAGTCGCTAGTTTCGTGAAATTTACAGTAATAGATTATATTACATTATTTTTTGGTAATTAGATATGATATAAATTTTTAGCATTATATTAAACCATGGGGTTGCCGATTGGTGGCCAAAGAATAATTAAGATTTAGGGACGTTTGATGTGCCAGGCCGACACTGCTTATGGTATTATGTAAAAAAAATCACTCGTTTCCGTTGTATAATTCTTAACCTCAACCCGTAATTGAATTATCAGCACCAATAAGCAACCGTCATATGACATGAATTATATGGCAATCTCCTCTTCTATAACTCATAAAAACAAAAATTTTTCTTAACCAATCTTCCAAGTCGCCTAAGTTCTTATCACCCACTATCGTTAATATCCTTTTTCTTGACTATAACCGAAACACTTTCCCCAATTTTACATTGTACACAAATAGTTCCGTTCCCCGCTATCTGCCGTCTACGCCTTTTCATTCACGATATACATATCTATTTTTCCAATAATTTACTCTCATCCGCCTCTTCATACACTACTGTATGAATGTTTCGCAATCTTAGAATCCCTTTTAACCATATCAATCTTCACCCTCAGCAAATATCGTATCTGACTATCTAGTCTCCAAGGCCTCTCCTCCAACTTCTTTAAATCTCACTCTTCTTCGTATTAACTAGGATTAAACAGCTTTTCTACGATTTGAACCTTTTGAAGGATTTTCAATTGATTTATTCTGAAAGCCTAGTCACTTCGACCTCAGGGACAACGAGATAGTGGAATCCATCGCCTAGTCCACCCCATCTCTCTGCAACCTTTCTCCAGCCTTAATTCTATGGACCGATTTTCGCCCCCCTGTTAAAAATCTGCATTTTTGTATTATGGCTAAATTAATGGACCAACCTGCCTCTCAATTATGCCTCCTGGTATAAACATATATCCCCCACGATACCCTCTAAACACCTAAGAACAATTATATCTTTCTCACGCTTGAGACTAGGCCACACTCTACTCCTATCACACTCTTATAAAATATCTCCTATTGATTTTCCTCACGTTTTATTTTATTATCCTTCTCTTACACTCCAACCATAAGTGTAGGGTAATCAAATATATTGGGAGAACTGAGGTCGTGCAAACATTTTTAATGTGTTATAAATATGCTCTAAAAAAAAAATACAATGAAAACACGTGCACTTAAAATAAGTGAAATAAAAACGTTATACACTTCATTAGTTAGATCTACATTGGAATAATGTTCAGTTATTTGGAACATATAGGGTTGGTGGAATTACTTGACCGAGTGTAAAGATTTCTACGTTTAATCGCATATAAAAGACGTATGCATTCCAATGATTCCGTATCCACCCGATTCAATATCTCTTTATTCTATACAGGCTTCCCTTAATTTAGATTACCTTGTTAATAAATTAAGATATACCACATTTGATTTTTATCTAAATTGGTAAATGAAGTTATATTTTGCCCAGAACTATTACGGCTTATAAACATTCATGTTATTCGATTTCATTCGTGTTTTTGTTCTATTTGAAATTCCTTATCATCGCACATTATATGACATTAATAATCCAATTGATCGGATAGCCAGAGAATGCAATAATTTGAAAAAATTTGATACTATATGTGAGTTGCATAATTTTAATCCTTGTTTTTCATCCGTTTGATGTACATTACTAAATTTATTTCTTATATATTATTTTTTAAACTTAATTATATTATAATGTTATTTAACTAGTACTATACTACTAATGTTCTTTGTATATCTTTATTCTTATCATGTTTTTATGTTTTTATTGAATGTATTAATTTATATCTATGTACTTGAGCCCACTTGGGCGTTTACCCAATAAATAAATAAATACCTAACCTCTTTAAATGCATAAATCATAGAATAACCACAAAACTACTGTTAATTTACTAGTAATTTAATACAAGGGATTTATTACCTTATTAATATTTAAACACGATTATAATATAATATTAATAATATTTTAATTCGTGTGGAAGAACATAAAATCTTGTTTAGCAATAAATCTAATCAACACCATAATCTAAATCAAAATAAAAAATGTATTTTTTTAACATAACCTATAGGTATACCTCAAAATTGTTGGTATATTGAACACACACATTTGCTCTTGTTTGTGGCTTCTAAAATATATTATTATGTAATATAATATTAATTTAAAACTTATACAATTTCAGGAGACCTAGCTTCATTACATATAATAAAGTAACATTGTGCACTTTTTACTTCGTTGATATATGTAGTCATGAACATAATTTGAACAAATGTCAATAAGATTATTTTTAGTTGTAGCACTTGTGTAATTTATAAATTTCTCATATTGATCTTAATCTTTGAAATGGGGAAGTTAAGCTCCTCTTCTTATATACATATGCCTTCAATATAATATCCTCTACCTTAATAACCTCTTACAATATTCCTTTTAATGCTCAGTCTATTTTCTTCTCACAAATAATACCAATTATTACTTCACTAATCCCCTTCATCAACCAGTCTGGTCTTAAATTAAATCTAAAATTATTTTTGTGTTCCTTAATTTAATATTATTATGTAAATCAGAGGTCTCCAACCTTTTTATGCAGTGGGCCACATATTATGTTATATACACAATATGTTACACACATATTGCAGAAAACACATACAAAAGTTTAGTTTTATTATTATAATTTATAATTATATTTTAAATTACTAAAAAATTATTATTATTATTAAAACATATATAGATTAACATATTTTAAATCAAATACCTTTTTTTAAGACTTCTCCTTAAAAGACCCAACATCTATAAAATAGATTACATCACCTTGATCAGTGTCTATTTCACTTAGAAAGTTTTTAAATTCTCTAGGATTCAATCATCTTCATCTAATAAAATGTAGGTATTATTTTTATATCTTTCATAACAGTTTGAAAACAAACAAATTGTTCACATATATTTTCTTGGTGAATAATACAGTGTTATTGTATCAGTTGTAAAACACCACATGCACACATTTCTTTTTTTTATTAGTGCTACAAAACCTTTGTTTTTTTAACTATTGATGGTGCTCCATCTGTTATAACTCCAGAAAGGTTATTTGATTTGATATCGAAACGGCTGTGTCAATTTAAATGCATTCAAAATATCACAACTTTTAGTTGTGATTTTCATTGTAAAAAGTGTGGCTAATTCTTCAGTAATATTAAAATTAGAATCAATACACCGAATAAAAATCGCTAATTTAGCAGTATCCAGTACTCTCGTTAAGGGCCAATGAATAAAAAACAAGTTTACAAATGAGTTCTTTTAGAGTACTCTCAATATCAATTCCTAGTTCTTCTAGACGCCTTGCTATATTGTAATTAAGAGTTACTCCTGATAAACTCATTTTGGAAAAAATTGTTTTTGGACTGGACATAAAATTTCAGAGGCTGCCTCATGCATCTTTTATAAACATCAGTTTAGTTTAGTTCATTATTCATCATTTAATTTAGTGGAAATTTTTGTGCTATAATATAACTAGCTTTGACAATGGTTTCTGAGTCTATATGACATTTCTTTAAATACCGACTCCATTTATTTAAATTTAGTACGACCTCGAGCCTACTGGTCTAACGAGATACATAAATCCTGTAGCCAGTCTGCCACTGCCAATACCTATGAATATATGCACTAAAATTTAAAATACAAATAAAATAATAGAAATATTTGTTCCAAGTTAATTTAAAATTTATCAATACAATGTATTTAAAATGTTAAAGATAAAAAAAGTAAATTACTAAAAAAAACACAGTTACTTAAATACAAAAATATAAAATTGTATTGAATAGACATTTCATCAATTTAATAATTGAAATACATTTAAATAATAATTATACAATTATAAACATATTTTATTAAGTGTTTCCCAGGAAAGAAGAAGATCCTTAGTGTATTCATACAATAGATGTGGATCTGTCAATGCTAAAAAACAAATTTGAATTATTTTTTTATAACTACAAATATTGTAAATTATTAGTTATAGATATGCCCAGTTTTAGCAAAAGCCACCATAAAAATATAAATAACCGATGTAATAACAGTTCACGAAAATATTATTTTTAAATCTACAAATAAAAATCAAATTGATATACTTCGCACAATGGGTGGGTCACTGTTGTAAAAATTTTAAAGGTAGAGAGGAAATTTAATGTATATCTGTAATATTACGGTCTTTCAAGCCGTAATATTTACGATTTTAAAATAATACATTTTGTACAATTTTTGTACAAAAAAAAAAATTGGGCGTTAAGTACAATTTATTCTAAAAGAATTTTTAATACAGAAATTTTGATGAAAACCATTAATATTAAGACTTTTTAAACCTGAATCAGAATAGTTTTTCATTACCAATGATTATTCCTTGTGTGCAGATATACATTAAATTCCCCTCTATATCCAATCTTTCCAATTTCTTACCAACATTGGCCTACCCATTGTATGAAGTAAGTTTTTTTGTTATAGATTTTAGACTAAGGCAAGGGGAGGTTGTATATACATAACTAAATTTACTTTAATTAATATAATTATACAATTTATGTTGAAATTGAAGTTAAAACACATATAGCAATATTTAAAAAGAGAGAATATTTTTGACCCCTTTTAAAAAAGTTATGTACATCAAAAATATTCTCTTTAAATTTTGTTATTTGTGTTGAACATTAATTTTTAATAAAACACCACTATGTTTATTAATTAGACTAAAACATTAAATTTGGGTTTAGTGACCTTTTAAAGTTTTAATTATGAATTAGGAAACATAATAAAAACTATTCCATGTTTATGACAATACCAAACAAAATAAATGTTTGTTTAATCAAAGTATGGATATGCTATGACTTTTTGATAAACCATTATTATATCTTACCAGTTTCAGATATTTTGGATTTATGTGGAATATCCAATAATGTACAATAAGCGCTTTTAATTAACTCAAATTTTGATTCTTGAACATTTGCTGTGTCCCAACATGATTTAATTGATATGTTTTCTTCTATTATAGAAAATAAAAATAATACTAATATTGTTTATTCATCAATCTAAAATATTTGTTTACCTTTTTCCCAATTTTGAATTACAGAATCACAGGTCATTTTAATTGAAGTAGCAAATAATTGAGGAATTAATTTTGACCTATCATTCAAACTTTCTTTAGAACAAACAGTTGTACTTGCTGATTCAATAAATAATTTTAATTGCCAACAACAATAGCTACTTGGTGGTTGAGGTAAATTATTTAGGGTCTAAAATACAACTTGTATATTAATTATTTATTAAATATTTTTATAAAATAAATGATTTTACAAACCTTCATTATTGGCATCCAGAAAGGCAATAAAAATACTTTATCGTGTACAATGGAATTAAATAATATTTGAGCATACTGTCGAATAACAGAAACTTGATGTGGGTTGTTAACATAATCCCCTGTTAGATTTAAAAAGTAACGTACCATTTGAACAATTTTTGGATCAGAAGAAAAGCCATATATAATTTCTGGCTAAAAATAATTTAACATTTTTTTCTTATAAAGTAATATATAACATATGTTTAGTTAAAATTTGAAAATCGAAAAAATACAACTTACAGAAACTGACCAGGAATTAAAATCATCTGAACTTAGGGTTTGAGCTATGAGTGATTTATAACCATTTGGATCTTCTGCGTACGACAAGTGACCTGCTTTATGCTTGACATTTAAGCAACTTACATTACTTAACATGTTTCTAAAATATTTTAATGTGAAAAGTTATTTATACTTTAGAAATAAACAATAAACAAATTTTCATAAATGTTGATATACCATTTAATACAGTTTATACAGTTACAAATGATCAAACATTTTTAAATAAAACAGAATTTAAATAGATTGACATATTATACACTAGACACATCTCAAAGAAAAAATTAAAATTTGTAATTTTTGTATGGATCATTAGTTATAAATTATAATTAATGAATGGATGCTAAATTGAATACCAGAAATGTTTTTTTTTATTTAGTTCAATAAATTTTTGGTTTTCCTAGACTACAATAATTATTAAAAAAAAAAAAAAAACTTAATTCAAAATAAAAAAATGAATGGTTGTCATGAACAATACTGAAAATCATCAGGGTTCCTTAAATGATATCTAATATAGAATAATTTATACTTTGCTCTTGATTTAAAAATGTAAAATTTTCTTTTGGTTAAAAACAAATTTAATATTTTCTTACTCAAGCTTATCCCAATTTCTATTACGTTCAAATACTATTGACCAATATCTTCCATCTTCAACATGAACTTCTTTTAATAATGATAATTGTGGTAGTAAACATGGAGCTTTAACAGTATAAGACTGGTCTTTGTAATATTTAGAATCAAGGAATATAACCTTTAAATGGACATAACATAAATTACCAGAATCAATATCTCTTGGTAATATTATTCTGGGTTCAGCAGCTAAAATATAAAGATGTCTGAAGGCTTGTAAATGATATCTAAAAAATAATAATTAACAAAAACAAAACAACTATCATAAAATTCAATCAAACGTTAATATTTATTCTACAAATTTTTACCTGTTATCATTACTATGAGTTGGGAATTGAGGATAAAATGCAATAATTAGTGCAGCTATTGCTTCAGGTGTTGTCGAAAGAGTGTATTTTCCACCACCTAAAAATAATAACCCTAATGCCATATGCGTAGCTAAATGAGATCCATATGTAATAACACTATGGGGTGAAATGCTAACTCTTGATCTTAAATATCTACATATTCTTAGTACCTCCAGATCGCCAGTACCTGCCATTACCTAAAAAGTGCAATAATAAAGGAAATTATTTTTAGGTGTTCACGATAAATAATATCACAAAGGCGTAAGAGTAACATTTACCTTCTCTGTTTATCTATACAGAAAATAATGTGTTTTCATACTTCCAATAATACTCAAAATATAATAGATCTAAATCATTATTTTACCAAGTTAAAGACGACAACATTCATTAGGTTTCCAAATGGGGATTTTTGATATATATTTCCCAAATGATCTGTTTGTACAATAAAATTTAAATAAAAAAATATTTTTTATTCATTTTAATTTTAATAGAAAGTTATATAAAAATATATCAAAAGAAATCCTTATTGAAAACATAGTTAATATATTCATCTTTATTTTGAAGAAATTGTTTTAGTTTTAGGTCTATTAGATACAGAGTACTATTGGAAGTACGAAAAGATATTTTTACTATATTGAAAGTAAGAATTTAAGTCATATAATCTAAGCGTTAGATAGACAGAGATAGCACATGTTACTGTAATGTCCTTTAACCTTTGAACGGGTGCACCAATATGTGGAATAAAAGCACATTGTAATTTTTATAACAGTCCTAATATGATATAACCACACCCATATCAAATATTAATATATTTACAGTATTTTAAACTTTAATTCAGTAAAAAATATCTGTAGAGATTTGAAATTTAGACAGAACACTTATATTTGTGTTTTCTAAATGTGGTCAAATTTTCAAAACATTTTAGCAATTTTTGAGCTATTTATAGACATTTTAATTTTGCGATTTTTTTTATTTGGTAGGTATTCTAGGGTACACCTATAAAATGTAACTTGTACACTGCTGCATTAAGATGTTTATCTACATTTTTTTGTTTGTACACTATTAAGCCAGAAGGGAGTACAGTACTCAGTTGTTGAGTATAAGGTACTTATTCGGTAATGTATTTGCATCCGCCCTCCATGTGGAGCCAGCTTTAAAATGATGCTCTAACAGGTCTTAATATTTGCCGATAATCTGGTTAGGTGTTCTTTTATATGTAAATGTTCTATTTAAACCACTCCCAGGTATTTTGGGTGATTGTTATTTCTTACTTCCTGTTTACCGAAGTTGACATTTATTTCATGACTTGCTCTTGTTATTTAAATGGAACACTGCTACTTCTGTTTTTGTTGGGTTCAGATTAAGTCTCCATTGTTTAAAATATGAGTGTAACTTGTCCAGATCATTGGTCAGTGGCTTTTCTAGTTTATTGAAAATATTATTTTGGCTAGCTACAGCAATATCAACTGCATAAATAAACTTTATATATAGATTAAACACTAATAGGACCAGAACTAAGCCCTGTGGTAAACCGTTGTTTAGCACTCTCATCTAACTTTTTCATTCTCCTATGTAGAAAATTATTTATCTATTTTTTCACTAGTATTTTCATTTAAATACATGAAACACTTTTGTAATTAAGCATATACTACTGCCTATTATCAAATAAAATAAATTATAACTGCAAACCCTTATACTTATATTAATTTATACAAATATCCATCAGATAATATTTTACACATACAGATACACTAACTTTAATTCAATACTTTAAAACAATTATATCACAGTAAATTAATAAATTTGATCCAAAAATTTCTTTTAAACCTTAAAGTAGTATATTGATAAAAAGTATTCTATGAGAATTTAACTTGTATTTCATTAGTGTACAATTATTCTTGTTAAGCCAATGTTAACTTGGGTTCCAAGCACAAAATTTGTTTTATATATCAAAGAATAAAACATAAAACTTTTACTTTGGATTTTTAGGTTTTTTAAGGCATTTTTTTTTCTTTTACAAATTTTAAAATCTACTCAGAAAATTTTATAAAATTTATTTTGATTTCCTCCTAAAAGAAAAAAAAATTCATAATTCTATTTTCAAAAGATATTGGATAAAGATTTACTGATTGTACCAGATAAATATGATGCCAGCTGCAATTAAGAAAACTATAAGCTTTTTATCGAGTTGTAATGTAGTCATATTGAACTAATGGTACTTTTGTGTTCACAAAATGTATATACCTAATAAAAAACGAAATTTTTAACATTTAAAATATTTTTTTTGATCATTTTTTTTATTTTTAAATTGTATTTTTTTAAGGAATTTTTCATGGTTTTTTTGGAGCATTCAAATCCACGCCCTATTTATCATTTAATAATCATAAAATCTTAAATGAGTACAATTTTATTTTTGTATAAGTAATTAACCAGGGTAAAATCTTTAGAATAATAGATAAAGCAAGAAAAATATTTCCGAAATAACTTACCATAGACAATGACAAAAGAGTAACATTAATGCAAGTTTCAATTGTCGATTTTCCACATAGTTCAGCAACTGATTTACTGCATAATGCTATAAACATTTTGCAGTAAGCTATAAGAGTATCAAAAGCTTCTTCATTAGCAGTTCCAGCAAAACGCAAACCAATGGCCATACTACAGCCTGCTACGATGTTACAGTATGATTGACTAAACATACATTTTTTTTTTTAATACAATTTAATTGCAAAATTACATTTTTATTTATGTAATTTAAATACTTAATGGTTTCTAAATCAGGATTGGCCATTCCTGGTTTTGGTTTTGTTATACAATATTGTATAATATATGGTGGCACTAATTCTTCTACCCAATCTTTTGTGGGTAATATATAATCCCACATTATTAGACCTCTTGCTAACATTTTAAGTAATATAAATTCAGGGTTAATGAAATCCAAGAGATATGGAGAGTCTGGTATGCTCATCCAATTTGCTACTGCTCTATAAAATTAATTATTTTATATTTTTCTAACACATTAAAACTTAATATTTATTTTTATAATCAACTCACTCATTTCCAGTTTTAAAATACATCATGCCTAAGGCTAACGTAGCACCTCTTGATGTAACATCTACATTTACCATCTCTCCTTCTCGAATTTGATAACTTGGATTAACATATTTATCTTTTTGTGCACCTAGAAAACAATTTAAAATATGAATTATTATTAATTATATTTATAAGATACAATATATTCAGTATTTGATTATTACTACACTATGGTCTTTACTTACCAGTAAGAGGCTTTTTATGTCCTCCAACCATATAGTAATGCAACATATCAGCGATTGATAAGTCACTAAGGCCAACAACATCTGAGCCCTTTCCTAACACAACTAAACCAAGTCCAAGACTTGCAGCTAATGAATATGATTCTCTATCAATACTATTATCCATTTCTGGACCAGGTGGACGACCTATCTCAGATAATAGTGCTTCTGCTATATGTCTATGAGCAGTTTTTTGATACAAAAGACCAATACTTAATAATGCTGATATTTGCAAATTTTGACTCATATCTAATTCAATTGTAGTAGGAGGTAACAAAGACTCAATGAAGATGCATAACATACGTGTAATTTCTGTATCCATTGTACCTGATACAATATATTGTATAGTGTATAAATATGTTTTTAATTTTTTTTTTTTTTCAAATATATATTTTACTTTTTAACTGTAGAACATATAATTTAATAATATTTAAGATATTAAATTAATTATACCTCTTTTAGCTGCTGCTAATCCAATAAGAATAGCAATACTGATCATTTCATGAGATCTACATAAGTAGTCATAAGTATTCATAGTAGCCAAATTAGTAATATGTCCATTTAAACCCAACGCCATAAGAAATCCAGCATGTTCCGGTAGTGCTTCTGGAACGCTCTAAATAATTTTAAATAAAATATTATTAGTAAAGAAATAAAAATATAATTTTAAAGAATTACTTTTGGTTTATTATAAAGGATCCAGGTTGAATCAATATTATCTGCTGAAGGCATTATTCGTAATCCAGCAGCTACTCCATTATGAAATAATGGCCAAAGATTCATATTAGGAACAATGTCTATGTGGCTAAGTTCAACTGCAGCACCACGTGGTGTTTTACCAGACAAACAAAGTTTTGGTAATGGAAGAGGTTCAGTTATAACAGGTTGAATTGATCTCATAGTAAACATTCCTCTGCAAATTTATTTTATAAAATTATATGGAATTAAATGTTTTATTTGTAAATTTTAATTAGCTATGAAAATATATGTACTTTTTTGTCTGATGAAAAATTCTAATGATTGAAAAAAATGAATAAATAAGTTTACCTCCCAATTGGTAGAGCCATTGTTCTTGCACAAATTGAATACAAATATTTTTCTTGTTCCTCAACAAAATCATGATCACTTGCTTCCGGTGGTTGTTTAATACCTATGGTAACTGGGTGACAAGACTGTAAACAATTTCTTACATCTGTTATACGATGGTCTTTATTCCACAATAATTTCAAAACCTATAATAAAAATAATAATTTAACATGCAGTGTCATTTAAGTATTTTTAAAGAAAGTAATAATAAAACTATTTTACATAAAGATTAAAATTGGGCCAGATAAGAAAAAAAAAATATTGAATTTTTCAAAGCTACAAATAAAATTTATTTTAAATAAAAATCACATTCTTCTAAATTATACAAATTCATACAAAATCAATTTAAAATTAGAAAATTAAATAATTCATACTTCATGATTGGATAAAGTGGAGAGAAATATCAGGTCATAAATTACCTGAATGATAAGACAGAAAATTAAAACAGAAAATATGTGTATCAGAGATGAGAATGCTTAGTCGGTTGAGTGGAGTGACGAGAGAAGATGGAATAAGAGATGAATATATAAGATATAGCTTAGACGACGTGTTTTAAATATTAGACCAAATGTGAACAATTAAACAAAGATGTTTTTGGCATGTCCTGGAGAGAGAGAAATCTGAAACAGTAAAAACTATAATGAAATGAACATAGGAGGCAAGGGTGGAGAGAAAAACTGAAAAAGGTGGTTGGATTTAATTGAGAATGATTTGATAACAGCCAATGTATGCAAGGTGGTAAATCGAAATCCAGTCATAATTTAGAACAAGGGTGGCCATGTTAGCAAATTGGAGTGAAAACGAAGGAAAAAAAGAAATATTTGTATACTTCATCATCCAGATTTTCCATGCCATCTTTAACTACATTATCTGTTTCACTGCCATCATTCCAATCAATCAATTTTTCAATATTTATATTTTTTCCTTTTGTTTTACTATGATAAAATGTATTTAATGATTGAGATGCTAAATCTTCTCGCATTATTAATTCATATGTTGATTTTGACCAATTTGTAGGTGGTTTTTCTCTGCATTTATCAATAACTTCACATAACAACATTGCCACTCCAGGTGGATAAGTTAATATAGTATGTTGTGTTATACCTAAAAATGTATCATTAGAATACTTTATTTTACTAACTAGTGCAAAATATATCATATTAATATTTCTTTGTAGTTTTACCAATTTTAGACATAAAATATGTGGCTTGATGATATTTTGATATTTTAGATTTCATATTTACACTTCTCAAAGAAATTTCTTCATTTTTAATTAATTTTACTTCTGAAGGATTTATTATTTTAATAAGTTCTTTAATGTGAGATTTCTTTTTAATGCATAACAAACCATAAATCTGAAAAAAAAATTATACATACTTACAGTTTTTTTTTTTTTATATAATTAGAAGTCAGTTTGTATTTTTATCTAAACCTATATCCAAAATTTGTATTATTGAATTAAAATGAATCAATTATAGCTCATTTGATTTGAGAAGATATAAAGAAAATTAGGGAATCTGTTCCAGATATAAATATAATGTCTAACGTGAATTGATCCAGAACACTAATAATTTATTTGAAATTTATATTGAATAAGGCTTATTAGTTTTATTACTAAAACAACTCACAGTAATAATTTATAAAGTGTCCCACAAAGGTATACCTATTGCAGTAATATCTTGGAAAATATTAGTTTTACTTTGAGGATTTTTTTTACAATTTAGAAAAACAAGGAGCTCTAAAATGTTACTTTATTTTTTGTCATTCTTATTTTTGAATATGAAACAACTACATACCTTTGATCAAATGGTAATTTTAATTTAAAAATCCATAAATAGTATTCTCTCTCTACTCAAACTTAAAAGTAAAATATCTCTATAACAGGTTGACAAAAATCAAAAATTTCAACATCAAAATGTATATAAACTAAAACTCCATCTATTTAATGATTCTCATAACTCATTATATTTAATGGATTTTTAGGCTACTATGAAAATCAAAAGTAGGTAGTTATTTCACCTCTGAAAATAAAGAGGATAAAAAATAATGGCAATGTAACATTTTTGAGCTGTTTTTTCTGTTGTTAAGAAAAGTTATACTTTCCAAGATTGGCAATGAATATATTGCTGTGAGACACCATCTAAACATAGTCGATAGTAAACACATGAAACATAATATAAATATTCTTTTTAAAATTTTTTGATCTACTTCTACCAACACTTCAACTATACTTAACTTCAATAATAAAGAGCTGATGCTGGGGACACAAGTGCCACTATTGTAGGTATTACAATGAAAAAGTAGGATACCTAAAATTATTTAATCTATATGTGTAAAGAACAATAAACCATTAGTAAAGAAATATGGTTTTGAACAAATTTTAGTTATGCACACCTATCCTACAAAATTTGTTTTCTGAAAACATGTTACACATAAATTTTGGTAAAAAATCCTAATTAAGTAAATTTAAGTTGTTAACAACATAAATTAATTCCCTTTTCTTTTGTTTTTTCTAAATTATTAAAAAAAGTGCTTCGATAATTTTAAAACAAGTTTTTTAGAATAAATATTATAAATAATGAAATTGATAATGGTGTTTCGCCATAGATTTTTGTCAGTTTTTTTATATATTTTTTCCAATTATTGTGAATATTACTTGGAAAATCAAAAAATGATGCCCAAAATGTACCAGCAAGATTTTTAGGAGAAAAGTTGTAGTCAGAAAAAAAAAATTTAAAACGCACATATAAGGAAAATATGTTCCTCCACTATGCGTGGTATTAAAAAATAAAATAACCATGATGATCATACAGCATAAACAAACTATTTGTCACCTATAGTCTGGTTGTTCTGAGATTGATATCTACTATAGAGTATAAACTACCCCCCCATAATTGAATCTGTATATTTCAGGTTATTGTTGAAGGCGTGGTAGAAACCTTCAAGCGGTGCCCCTGGAAACAGTGAATGTAGCATATATTAAGATCCCAACGAAATATCTACACAATGCAAAATTCGCTGGCCAATTCTACCATCCACGGTCAAGTGGTAAATGGGCCTTTTCAGGGCGCTGTAATCAGTGTAATTCTGTGTCTAACAGAAGTCGAAATATAAGAGAGTGACGGATAACCGAGGTTTAATTACTGTGTACCAGAATATAGAATAATTATTCAGAATAAGATAAAATATGAAAATTATATCACATAACTGAATTAAAACAATTTTTTTTCAGAAGAAATTAAAAACACAATGCTTTGTAAAAATTAAATAAATTTAAAGTACAGTAGAATAAAATAATAAAATATACATTTTTTACCTGAATTATATTTTTGGTCCTTCTATTAACATTTTCTATACATGGATATGGACTGGCTTTATAATATTTCATTAATAAGAAACATAATCTGAATATGTTGGGTGGACTTGGTTCAAAAAATGATGGTATAATAAGCTTTTTTAAATCTTCTTCTCTCAATTGACTAGACTAAAATTTAAATAAAAATAATATGTATTATTATTTTCTGGATAACTAAATTTATCATTTATTAAAATAAATAGGGGCTTTAAAAATAAACTGAACTCTTCCCTACCAGTAGTCCACATTTTTTTAAATAAAACTTCTATGAAGTTAATCATTTAAGTTAAAAAAAAATCTATTGTAGGATAATGGGGACAGGTATGAGCCACTGTTATAGGTAATTTAACATACACCTGTGAGCAACAATAAGCCATTGCTAACGAAAAACGATTATGAGCAGAGTTCAGTTCATAGTGATGCTTTGTCAACAATATACATTTCAAATTATTGTAAAATAATTAAAAAAGCATAATATACTTTCTTTAATAATATTTGTTTAATGTTCTGATTTTGCAGTTTTTCTCCATGTTTTTTTTTTACGGTTTTTCACATTTGCTGGGAAAACTCTTGGGAAAAATGACCTCCCTCAGTACCTTCCCAATCATATTTCTTTTCAGAAAAAGTGCTATCATTGTAAATTGGAGCAATATTGCTTGTAGGAAAATTGTTCACAGGAAAAAAAGGCCAACATATTTCTCAACTAATACCTACATTTGGTACATTTTCCCATTTTTTTTCACCTTTATTGAGAAAACTCCAGAAAAAATTGAAAAATGACATTCATAAAGAACTTCCCCAGTCCAATTTCCTTTAAGGAAAGTATTTACATTTAAAATTCAGAACAAGATTTCTGGTAAAAAAGTTGCGTACATATATATATATATAAAAAAAACATTTTTGTAAAACCATAAGCTTCTTCACTCCACTCAGAATATAAAAAAAAAATGTATTTTTTAATATTGCTTGATGAGTGGAGAACAGGTATACATTAGGGTATATTTGGTTCTGTACAAGGAAGTCAATAAATTGCTAATATTTATATAATATCTAGTTTATTACAATTAACTACTTACTCTTGAAGATATGTTATATCTATTGCAAAAAAGTGGAAAGTCTTTCCAATAATGATAAACATATTCCTCTAATTTTAAATCTATTGCTAATTGATATAATAACTGTACAATCATTGGCAGTAAATCAGTTTTCATTGAATTAAGTTTTAAATCCTTGAAAAAGAAGAAAATAAAATAAATACAGTTGTTTTATTGAAGATTATAATACATACTTCATAAACTAAATGGAAAGAAAATAAAATATCATAAATAAATGGAAATAGTATTGAATTAGAATCAATATTGTTTTTAATGGTCGATTTTTGTTGAAACCTTGGAGTATAGTTAATAATATTATTTTTTAATCCAAGAGAAGTTGCTAATTTATTCCCTTGAAAACTGTTAAATGAAGATTTTAACATAAATAACCAGTCATCGTCACTGCCAGTGTCCAGAATTCGCTGTTTTTTTGACTTAGCTGGAGTATCATTATTAGTATTTAATGAATCTTGTGTCAATGGTAATGTTTCTAAATTATATCCAATAAGTCCAAGTAACATCTGCAGAAATAAATTCCATTCCTCTTCACCTGATATGTTCTGTGTGCCAGGTGCATTTCTCACAGTATACCATTTTATCATTAATTCCATGACTACTGATTTTTTTAAAATATTTTTTAATGTATTCAAACATTTAGTAACTAAAGAATAAAAAAATTAAGTTTGCATTAATAATTAAAGAAAATCTACACATTGCAACTAACCCAGTGGTGATGAACTAACAACAGGAAAATCAACTCGAATCATACTTCCATCAACATGAACCTATAAATAATAATAATAATATATTAAATCGATACATTTCATAATATTTATTACAAGTTATGACAAATGGTCAAATAGAAAATATTTACTAATGTTACACGTGAAGCAATAGGATCTCTTAAACATTTTAATTCTACTTTAGACATAAAACAACATATTGAAGACTCAGAGTATGGTGTTTCTAAACGTGAAGTAAATTGTGGTTCATACTCATAAGATGATTTAATATTCATAATATTTTGATTTATTTGCAAATCCTCATTTCTTGTAGACGACAACAAACTCCTTTGACTTTATAAAAAAAAATTATATTAACAAATATATACTATTATAAATAAATAAAATTAAAAACATTGATGTCAATAAAATTCTAAATAAATAACTTGTATTCATTCAATATTTAGTAATAATTTAGAAACATGTATGAGGTTATTTATATTATATAATATATATATTTATACATTACTTTATTAATGGAGTTTCAAGAGTTGATCTATTAGTTGCTGTAAAGTAAGAAGTATTTTCACCAAATACTGCCGATGACATACTTCCCAATTGAACTGAACCAATTATTATTATTCCAGAATATAGTGAAATATTGTTTTGACAATCCATTAATACAGTCAAATTTGTTGACTAGAAAATAAAAATATAAATTTTCCTTCAATTAAATATTACCAATAAATACTTGGTTTTAGAATAAAATATAAATACATTTTTTTAAAGTCAAAGACTAATAGTATATAGAAAGACTGAATATGAATACAATATATATATTGTAGAAACTGGAAAATAACGCTGAAAATCAGACGGCCGGACTGGGAATAGAATCAGTCTTTCACTTGCCAGTATATTGCTATACCAAAGTTACCCAGTACCTGACCTTTAACAATAGTGTTTAATGTATATATATATAATATACATTATATATTGAAGACAAAGAATAATATTGAATTTTATTTAATGATTCAAAGCACATAATTAGTTTAATTTTAAAATAACTAAACTTCATGATTAATATAAATTTGTTCTAACTATATAAAAGTTATATTAAAAATCTTTATTTAAAATATATATAATTATAAATTATACCTACTAAAAATATTTAATTAATAATTACTGGTAAATAAGCTGCATCTTTTGCTAAAAGAACTGTGACATCTCCTAATATATCATTTATACTTGTTTCTGAACGCTCCAATCCAACACAAATTAACTGGTTTTTAGAAGGTAAAAGATAACATAAAAATTGTTCTTTAACAAAGTTTGAAGCAATAAATACTTTTGTAGAAGCACCACATAATTCTTGACTTCTAAATAACAATAAACAGGTTGAAAACTTTTATCAGATTTATAATTAATGAAATACTTATTATTTAAGAAATTTTTATTCATCATTATTTAATTGAAAAATTAACAGATTTATGTTCATCCATCTAATTATTTTATGTTTTTAAATATATTCACTTTTTAGTATTTTGGTTTTCAGTCCACAAATATTCTAAACAAATATCTGGATTAACAGGTTTAGAATTATTATCTCCGTACATACTTCCATGACCAAGTCTAGCATTAATAATACAAGACATTGATGTTGGGGTGTTAAATAATTGACTATTAGTTATTGTAGCATTTGGACGCCAACTTCTTCTTGAAGTATTTGTTGGGCTATTCCAAATAGAAGAGTTGAAATGACTAAAAATAATTAAATAATAAAAACTCAAACTAAAACAATTATTTGGGATATGATAGGTAAAATATTAATATTAACCTGATTGCTGTCATAGGACTAAGAGTATTAAATGGAGATAATATATTAGGTGTACTTCGCCTATTGTTTAAAGTAAATGGACTAGAGTTGGCTGGTTGATTTAATGATAATCTAAAATATATATATAACTCAAAAAATGTTTATAAAAGTCTGCCTAATAATATAAAACTTGCCTGTCTTGTAAAACCCCAGACCCAGCTACTAATGAGTTTGACATGGTATTTATTTGATTATTATTACTAGGAACATATGATGGATTAGTTGTAGTAGAATACATTGAATCTTGACCACACATAATATTACATTCCTAAAGACAAATATAAAATAAATAAATAGAAACAATTTTTATTAAAGTATATTATACTACTAATTTACTTCAGTTGTGGGCTTCCTAATTTTCCATACACTATGTAAACCATTTAACATGTCATACATTAAACATATATTCAATTCTATACTAGTGAAAACTATAGTAGTTAAACAATCTCTGGCATATTGTAATATACTTCCTAAAATATAAGAGTTATTAATATTTAATAGACTTTATGTAGTATTAGGGCAGATATAATTTAATAATATGCTAACTGTGATTTAAAGGTGATTACCACAAATGACAGCTCTTTATTTATTTCAATAAATTAAGAATATATAGAATAATATTTTAATTAAGTTTTCAATTAAAATATTTGGACTGAAAGTAATTTTAATATTTCAGTTTTATGAAAATATTTTGGCTGTCCTTGGAATAATGTTTTATGGATTAATTTATTTTATACAATACTGTGTCCCCATAAAAAAATTAAAAAGTAAATATTCATTAATGGAAATATGCTAATATACATACAATAACAATAACATGAAATATAAATAAAAAAAAGACTGACATCTACTGGCCTAAACCAAGGTAAATATTTTCTCCCTCATTCTTTTTAATTTATTACTAAAGAAAATAATAAGAAACATACACGTGATTGAAGGAGCTTAACTAGGAAATATGACAATAGACATACTGGCATGAGCCAATAATATAGTCCTACTGGGTAATAATTTAGAAACTGTAAAACTACACTGTAAGACTAATAAATGTGTCAAATAAAATAAGACTAGTTTAAACATCAATGACAGTAAAACGGAGTACCTATATAATAATAGGACAAAGAGATAGAAAAATGTATAGAGGTAGAGGACTATAAGTTTAAGAGTGCCATACTTCTCAAGTACCTAGAATCAATAATAGTACAAGATAATGACTTAAAAAAAGAATTAAATAATAGATTACAAATGGGAAATAGATAAGTTACTACGGACTAAGAAGTATGTTCAGCTTTAAAGTATTATCTAAGACTTAAACTCCAATTATATAAGACACTGATACAATCATTAGACTTATATGGATCTGAGACATGAATCCTAAGAAAAAGTGAAGAAACAGACCTGCAGTGTTTGAATGGAAAATACTTTGGAGAATTTATGGACCTTACATTGATGACAACATAGGGGAATTGACAAAACCTTCGCAAATACAAATGGTCATTGATGAAGAGTTAATTTTGAATAGAAAGATAGCGGTAAATTGTTTGTAGGACTGGTTTTAAAGGCTGAAACTCAAACTAGAAGAATACTACAAACATACAATTGAATACAATATACAATTATAATAACCAACCTTGCTTTAGTAAGAACAATGGTAAAACTTCTTTCAATGGCTGGCTTAATGAGTATAAAGTAGGCAACGGTAAAGATTTTCCTGTCATATCAATGGGCACTTGTCCTAAATCTCTTTCAATTAATATTCCAAAACTTGTATTCCATACAGATGTAACCTGTAAATAATCAAACTTATTTATATTCATGGGTACTTTTATCTATTCCAAAATTATATTATTTTAGTAAAAATATTATTGTAAAACTAATACATAGCTTCTTTACTTTACGTAGAATATATCATAAAAGTCATAAAATAGATTCACACAAAATATTGGAAGTATAGGATAAATATTAGTTTATTTGTTACAATTTGTAATATTATTATAAAAATAAAATTAGTATTAATTTACCTTAAAATATAATGGTGTATGCCAAACATCTCCTCCTTCAGAATATAAGCTTATTTTTTTTGCATCAACTATACATATGCATGGAACTGTTTTATCTAAAAATAATAACACACATTATTAGCTTAAAATAAATAATTTCAAATGTATTTATAAAACTTTTCAGTTTTATAAATACATTTGAAATTATATTTACTTGGCAGTCTATTTATTTGTATTTTATTTTATTATTCAATAAAAAAAATAAAAACAATACAATTATTATGAAACAAAAATTTGATATTGAATCACACTGCATATTTTACAGACCTTTTCTCAAGAAAAGTACTAAATACATCCAAATGTTAAAAAAAATATTTTGAATACAATAAAAATACAAAAACTATAGAAGTTAAATATTGAATTAATTTATATATGTATGGTCAAATTATAAAAGAATAATTTTAATAATTCTATAACATTTGTGCAGGGTTTTCTCAATTTGCATTAAAAATTAGAAGTGTTAATAATAAATTACCTTTGAATTTAATTCCATTATCATTTTCTTCAGGTGATATATTAAATTCACTCCACAAAGCATGACTAACATTAGTTTCCATTGTATAAGTACAGATTAAGGATCGGCAGCTTGGAATATAGTCTTCTTTATCTGCAGTTGATTTACAAGCATTTCCTCGACTATGCACTACTATTTTACCAGAAACATATAACTCTTCTTCAGCTCCATCTTTTTCTCTTAAAATAAATTTTTCTTGATTCTAGAGCAAAATTGACACAGTAAGTATAGAACAAATTTATGAAATGCAATACACAACAATTTGAATGTTGGTAGTTTAGTTAATATTTACACTCTATTTTTACATGACTATATGAAGTCTGTTTAAAAAGTTCCAGGCCTGAAACAGGTTTGAATTTACTCACGCAATTCAGAACTAGAACTTTTTCAACAAACCAATATACTAACATTTTGAAAAATTTTAATCACTATTTTTTATTGATTCAAATACTACATGTAGGTTAGGTATACTATAGGTAGTTAAATACTATTAGGGTAGTTCTTGATAAAATTATTGAAGTTATAGTATTTCAAACTAACTATACTGCAGTATATTTTCACAATTCAAAGGCTAGAGTTTTAAAAAAATGTGTATCCAATTTTAACTAATTTTTTTTTGAAGATATTTAGTACCAATTTTAACTACGTTTCCAAATTGTACAAATAAAAAATTAGAATATTATATATTTTAAAATAATAGTGTGATTTTGAGTAATTTGTGTAATTATTTAATTAATTATTAATTATTAATTAATCATTTATTTAATCATAATTAATTAATTAACTAATATTAATTAAAGCTTTAAATTATTATTTGAAAACAAGTATCTACTAAAAGTTTGAAAGGTTTTAAGTTTTGAAATTGATTAACCTGATAAAAATCTTGGTTGTCAATTGTAATATTTTTAAAGTGTATACTAAATTTAAGTAAAATAGGCTGTAATGCTAACTGGGACACAATATTCAATATGGGAACTGACTAATTATTTGATTTCAAATTTATCGATCAAAGCAAAAATTAACATTTACACGTTTAATATAATAAAAAATACTTACATTTATATTAACAGATTCATCCAAACATAGTTCTGTTACTTTTTTGGACAAAAATTCATCAGCATGTAGTTCAGGACGATCATAATATCCAACGGATGGCGTTTTTACTTCACCTATGAATCTATTTCTCACATGTTGCCGCCCAAAAGGTATAAACACCTAAATGACAAATTAATTTCCAAAAAAAATGTAAAAACTTTTTTACTTTACTTACTTGTGGGTTGGTGGCCGCCAACATTGCGTTATGTTCATCCAGATTTAAAACATGCAAAATATCATACGTATAAAATAGTAGAAAGTAGAAATAAATATAAAATTTACAATAAGACTGACTGCAATTAGTGCAGATTGAATTCGTTAATTTCAAACACAGCTATATTTGAAAACATAATGCCAGTGATACGCATACATATCACGTCATAGGATACAGAAAAAATATTTATTATTAATCAGGTTTAAAAACTTTATGAATGATAACTGATAAGAAACATACGATATTATTTAAATGTATGGCTTTTTTGGTTACGTACATGAGTTAAGGAAAATAGTTTTGCAATAAAATAAATTAACTAATATAGTGAAATAATGAAATAGAGGAAAATATTATAAAATAAATCAAAACACAGAGTAGATATCATAGAAATATTATGTTAACATTATTAATCAGATATGAAGATTTTTCATGATAGTATCCATAGAATATGAAAAGAGTAAGTATATAGCATAGAGTATATAGTAAGACTTCTGGATGTCTGGTAGGAGCGGATTAGACATTCGAAGACAATATTGGTGAACAGTTTACTTGTCTGCAATTTGCAGTCACCTTTTTGGAAAGTTAGATACCTATACCCTATTATAACACTGGCACTAAAAAGTACCTTTTTTTTATTAATTCCCCAAAAACTATTTGTGTGTGTACTATGACACAATTTGTGCGCTATGAAATCCCAAACTTGCACTAGGTACAAAAAAATAAAATACGCACTTGTCATTTGCTATTTTATTATAGACGATCTACAAGATCGTCCTATGTACCTATGTACCAAGTACTTATGTAAATAAAACATTTTTTAATTTATATATTTACAGAGTAATAAATCCTCCATAAGACACTCATTATCTCAGATAGTATTTTCAAGAGTATCTATTTAATTTTTTGGAAAAAAATTTTTTTTTCAACAACTTATAAAAAAAATAGCTCTAAAATGTTATATTACCGTTAATTTTTATTATTCTTGTTTTCATGGGTGAAACTACTATCCGTTTTTGATTTTTAAATAGAAACCTACATTATGAATTCCATAAATACATAAAGTTTTAACTTTTAAGTAGGTATAATACATGTTGCCTATTTTGATACTGAGATTTTCNGTCTGAAATAATAGCCACTGAAATTTTTCACTAACTACTTAGAATAAAATATACCAATTTCCCTCAACGTATGACAATATAGATGACCCACGATACAACATCTTGCATATAATAGCAGGACACATACAAATCTCACGTTATGATAACATAGTAGATACGGTTTCTTATAATATTAAATAAGTACCCAGGGAAAATGGCGGAATTACTTCACACGTGGGTGTAGGTTGGAAACCTTTGTTAACGTAAAAATGATTCTGAATGGAGTTCAGTTAAAAGTGATGCTTCGTCAACAATATGTATGTCATATTATGGTAAAATAATTAAATAGGCATTATATATTTTCTTTAATAATATTTTTTTAATAGTGTACCGACTTTTCTGTTTTTCCCGGTTTTTTACATTTGTTTGGAAAATCGAAAAATGACTGAAAATGACCAAATTTACTGAACTGATGTTATAAAAAAATCAATTCATCGTTAAGTTATCGCACAAATGTTGTAGATAATACAATATAATCATAGTGAAAAGCAATTATGTAGATAATTTTGTTTTCATTTATTTTTCTTGAGGGTCTAAGTATTTGTTTAATATTGTACCAATTTTCCTACGTTTTCCTATGTTTTATCCCGGGTTTCACATTTTCTGGGAAAACTCCTGAGAAAATCGAAAAATTACTTCTCTAAAGTACTTCCCTATTGAAATTTCCTTTTAGAAACATTGCTATCATTAAAATTTGAAGCGAAATTGCTGGTAGAAAAGTTGTTTACAGAAAAAAGGCCTTAATATATTTTAACTAATACTTAAATTTCTTATATATAGCCATTTTTTTTCGGTTTTTATATTTGATGAGAAAATCGAAAAATGACCTCTCTAAATCACTTTCAGGTAAGGTGTTAGACTTAGAAACCCGAGCAAGTCTTCTGGTATAAAAGTTGTTAATAGATAAAAAAAAAATTAACATCTTTTTAAAATCATAAGCTTCTTTGCTCCACTCAGAATTTAAAAAACTAGTAATTAATGTAATCTACAGTTCACTAAATTCAAATTTTAGTTGATATCTGGCTATTTTAACACTTTAGTAGCTTGAAAATTGTATTTTATTGACTACAATTTTTATAGTTACTTAAATATTAAAGTCTTTTTTCATTTTTCTCATATTTTATATGTATTATCAGTCAGAACTAAGAATATAACCACTGACATACTTTATTTTTCAAACTTTTGACAATATAACTGATTAATTATAAATGTTCAACTCCCCCCCACATTGAAAAATCCTGCGTATGCCACTAATAATTTAAGCTCTATTTAAACAATTGATAGACACTTTAATTTTGTGAGAAATTTTAGAATCTAAGTGGAACAAAGAAGCTTATGGTTTTACAAAGATGTTAGTTTTTTTTTTTATTTGTGGACAACTTTTCTACCAAAAATAATTTTACAATCATTGTGTAAACATAATGTATATCACTGACAAGATAATATCACAGATTATATATTTTCCATAGACCTTATATTATACTGTTAACCGGTAGAGATGGACATACTACAGTCGTGTACAGTATAGATCAGCACGGGCCGGGCCCGTTCGATCCGGCCTGACCCACACTGGGCTTGGTCCGGGCTTGGCCATAATTTAAATATTACGAGTTGGTTATAGTTGGGATCGTAATATTATTCATTGGGTCAGGTCGGTCAAAAATAAAACTCATTACTTTAATTTGTAACATTATGTTTATGTATTCTATATCTATAAATAATTTTATTACTAAACTGTATGATATTTATAAATAGATAACTGCACTGATAAAAACCAATAATATTTTACAGTTTTATCGTTATTATTGTGCGATTATGTTTTTTATTTAATCATTTTATTATTTCGCCGACTGGCAAGACATAACAATAAATTAATCCACTATTCTCAGAGTGGAAGGATGATTGCTTGCCAATACACTCTTATAATGATTTTAACAATGAATTGAACATTTATTAAATAGAATCATATAATCAAAATCAAGATATTATACAATAGTAGAAGGAACACAGTGATAAACTGCCTCTAATGGCTAAACTTGCATCAAGAATTTTAGCGATACCTGCAAGTGAGAGGTCTTTCAGCACATCAGGAAGAGTTATTGAAGAAAGAACTCGACTCAAAGGTGATACTGTAGACTCCCTTTTGTTTTTAGATGATTTTTACAAAAAGAAAATGTAATTATTATTAATTAATTAATTGGCAAGTTTAAAATTATATTTAAATTTTAATAAAATTTTAGCATATTTTTTTTTAATATATTTATTGTCTTTATAAAATGTTTTTGTCTACTAAGTAAATACTGAAAGGAAATAAAGTTGATGTATAATTTTATTTACAAACGGGCCTGGTCAGGCTTGACTTAAAATAAATAAAATATGGACCGGGCCTGGACGACGACAGTTTATAAGTTTAAGTTTTGGACCGGATCGGGCTGAAAAAAAACGGCCCGTGCTGATTTCTACTGTACAATATAATCACATTAGTTTTTTCATTGTATGTATAGTACAATGTATAATATTACCACGTAAAAGTCACAAGTCAGCGCTCTCTATCTATGACGGTTCTACTTATACAATAGGCTTGTCTATTAGTATAAAGTCTATGATTATTTCATATCATCTGTGATAATATTAACTTGGTTCATGCTATATACAGAGTGATCAATTTATCGTAGGATACTCATTATCTCGAAAAGTATTCACTCTTTTGGAATTTGTTTTATAAACAAAGAGCTATACAAATTCTCATATATATTATTATTTGACTTTGTTATTTTTGAGACTAAAACCACTAACTACTTTTTATTTTCAAATGGCAACCTACATTAAAATGTCTATAACTAGATGGATTATTAGTTTTTAAATGATAAATGTTGCTGTTGACATTTTTGATTTTCGCCAATCCGTTAGCGAGATATTCCACTTTTAAGATTGGGCTGAGAAAGAACAGTAAGTATCATTCATGTGCACGAAGCTTTAATAATGCACCACTTCGCTTTATTTTAAGAAATCCATCTATTTATGAAATTTTTAAAAATAGATTCTCATTTGATAATCAAAAGTAATTAGTGGCTTTAACCTCAAAATTAAGGGTGACAAAAAATAACATAATTGTAAAATTGTTTAGATACTTGTTTCTTAATTATTTTAGTTTTGTAGAAAAAAGTTAATACTATCGAGATATTGAATTTCTAACGATAGACTAATTACTCTGTATATTATCTTAATTCGTGATAACCATAAACAGTGTAGCTATTTGTGAAATAATATTGTACAGTGTGTAAATAAAGACGTTTATGTTTACTCATTTAATATGTCTATGTGTTTACCTGTGTTTTGTGGTAATATGATATAAATCGAAGGTGACCGTCCTACCATAATACCGTGACTCTATTGTTCAAAATCGGAATGTTCGAACGCATTTTCCATTATCGTTGTTCAATGACGGTTACAATTCCAATTGTAGTTAGTAAACATAATATATTATCGGTAATTATTAATAGAACAATAGAGACTAGAGAATAAAAATTGATCGTTATTGTTTTAATTTTCTCCAACTAATGTTAGTGAAATAATTCCATTTATCGGTTCAATTAAAAGTAAGTTTTTATTCGTGAACTCCAAAAAATGAATATGCCCAAAAGTATAATTTTTATTTTCATGGTGTTTATTTCATTGGCGAATGCTGATAGAAAGGTAATAATTATTATATTCTATTATTATAAATTACTTAACTAAATATTTATTTTCATTAAAATAGCTGCACGCTGAATTCAATCCAGGATGTAAAGTTGACCATTGTTCAAGTCTTAATCTTGCATACATACGCTCTGATGGTGATAATGACACAGTGCATTTCTTATTTGATTTTACTGAAAAACCGTCTTTAGTTATTTTAACATCGGCCAAAGATTCTGTTATTAAAGTAAATTACACTGCAACTATTGAAACTTTAAAATTTACAAAGACTCCACTTTATACTTTTGCAACAGTGTTTAATAATGTAAGTAAACATCATTAATAATAACTTATTATTTTAATTGTTTTTGGAGGTAAAAGATACTTAGTGAAATATTTTATTAAATACTAGATAGATATGAACAATATTATCTAACATGTTATGTTTTGTTTATTAATTTTACAGTATTTGGTCTTTAATATAAATAGTATAAATATTTAGTATGTACTTTTCTGTTAGGCTGTAATTTTGCGCGATGTTTTGATTTATTTTAAAAATAAAAGTTTAACAAAAAAAATTATGAATATCATGCTTATAAAGTTTTTATACATAAACCTTGAAAATAGCATTTTTTTATTAAGAACGTTTAGAATTCAATATTTTCAAAATATTATTTTGCTTAAATGTGAAGTTTTCATGTTTAATCTGTTGAGTTACCTTGAGTACCGCAGTGTGACACTCTTTTCTTGAGGTAATATAGACCTAATAGTCCTACAACATGGTCTAAATGTAATACTGGTCTAAGGCAGTTAGTATTTCAAGTAGAACCTAAACCTTTTCATCTTAGATTGGGTTTTGAATCACCTTTATTCTCACGTCAGAATTTTTATTCAAAATGTAGTCTTGTTAACATGAAAGTAAATTTAGTTATACAATAATAAAAAGATAAAAAATTGACCAGCAGAGCTCCGTCATTAGAGTCCAATATTTGTCCTGAATGTATTATGATAAGGAATTGAACAAACAAATTGTAGTTTTCAAGAGTTTTGCTAATATACAAACAAACAGTGAAAAGGTTTTAAATTCAAACCTTACCTTTAAAAAGGCGCGATTCTTGATAACAATTTATTTATACATATTTTAACCAAATTATTACACATTTATTTTTATAGTCTATAATAATATTTTTTAAAATTGTTTTTAATAAAACAATGGCTTTAGTTTAAAAGGAGTTGTAGTATCAAACCTGGGTTTTTTTCTTAGATTTCCAATTTTGAAATTGGAAATAATTTCAATATTGATTATTAGTAGAAGAGAATTCAGAATTGTAGAGTTACTAGCATTTACTACAGAGCTGTAGTAAATGTACTATTAAGTAGAACATAAGGTCCAGTTTCAAGGTCTCCCATGTGTATATTATCAATATCTAAATTAATATCTAATAAATGAATACTATGAAGAAATAAATCTTGTTAGCCAATGGCCCAAGTCACCAAGGCAGCTTTCATTAATAAAAAAAAATGTATATAATCTAATTATTGACCTTCAATGTTTTCAAAAAAATTTCAAAATCATATATCATCCATCAAACTTGTATCTTGTTCGTCACCAAATTCTATGTCATCTTTAAAATCTAATTTTTTGTCCATCAGCCATTGTATTATTTAATTAAAAAAACTTATACTTAATAATTTTTTACTTTAATTTAAATTTATTTAATATGAGTATTTCATAGTCAATTAACTAGAAAAAAAAACATGATTAAATTATGTATGTTTTTATTTATTTATTGTATATTAAGGTCAATGTTGAAATATTGTAATAAACAATAATTAATAAAATCTACTCATTTTCTTAATGGTATACATATTACTATTGAGGGTAAAATATTTTGGTCATAATTGAGTTTATCATATTTTGTTGTCTTAATTACTTTAAGGGGGTTTCATCTCATTATCACATCACAACATTTGTTTTCTCTGTTTGTCTAAACATAATATAGCTACAAAGGCATTTCTCATTTCTATATTTGTAACTCTGATAAACTTTAGGGCAAATTAATCTATTGATATTATTTTATAAAAAAAAGCATTTATAGATCCCATACATTTTTATTTTATTTTAATTTTAACTATTAGGTTCCTATTAATAAATTAAAATTTTAAAAAAGTCATTCATAGGATCTGTAGTGAATACTCTTCATTATAATGGATAATAAATCCCTTTGACTTAAACTCAAATAACTGTGAAATGCCTTTGTTTTTATATTACACAGAAGAGAAAACAAATGTTAATGGTAAGGCTCTTAAAGAAATTAATCAACTTGTTTGTCACTTGTGTTTTATTTCAGTTATACGAGTTTAATGATGTCAATGATACAGCAAAAATAGAAAACGGTGAAAATATTATTACCATGAATTTTAATCAATTTAATTGGAAATTGATATCATTAAAAAATTATGATAACAAATCTGTAGAAGTTAATATATCTTCAAAATATTTTAGAGCACCAGGCATTGAAAAACATGGCAATGTATCCATTACAGTAAGAATTTATAAAGATAGTTGGCCTTGAGCTCATTTACAAATAGAACTAATTGATAATAAAATAAATTTATGTGTATTTGGTATGACTATTTTCAACGACTATTCATTTTTCAATGACTATTCATGACATTTTTAAATTTATAGACATATTCAGTTTTATAGTTATTTATTTTTTTCATTATTATTAGATGCTTGAATTGTATGCATTATTTATAAACATTATACAATAACTAGGTTCAAAGCAGAAATAATATATTATGCAATAATATATGTGTTACTGTTTGATAAATTTAGTTAATATGTATAACTAGTAATTTTATATAGTATTTAAATTGTTTACAATTTTGTAAAACTTGCTTTACCAACTGGTAACTTTTTAAACTAACAAATCACTCTGGTGAATGTGGTAAATTTATAATTATACATAGTTGTCAGTACTTTGGTTAGTATGATAAGGTTAGGTTGTTAGATTTGGTGTAATGGCAAAAGTGGGTCTGCTATTAGCAAAAAATGCAATTGAAAAAGTTGTTCAAAATCAGAGAGATCAGACATTCAAGTTCTTGAGTTTGACAGAGGAAATAGTGATTCCAGAAATATCTTGGAATTATTTTAGAGGTAGATGAGGAAAAAGACTTGTATGAGATAAGTATCAAAGAAGGCCATTTGGCACAATTTCAGGAATCAATTTAATATTTGTCAAAAAAAGTTCATGTGTAAAGAGGATGTTGTAACATCCCATAAATAGTAAATTAATAAAATAATATATTTACTTAACTTCTTTTTATTTTATAAACAATTCGCAGAGTTTTGTCTGTAGCTATTTTATCTATTAGAAAATGTGTAGGAACCAAATAAAAATAACAATAATACAACTTTTTCTTTGATTTTATTTACAATTTTGATAATCTAGTAGTAAAGGTTAAAATTGTTACTAAATTTATTATAAAATGTATTATGTGAGAAACTTGTGTATTAAACTATTTTAATTTTCAACAACATTTACACTACTTATATATACACATACATTTAGTACATATTACTTATTTAGTATTTAGGTTTACAATTATGGGAAAGGAAGGCCCAAAAAGAGGTCTTTAGATGATATTAAGAATGATGTGAGGGCGGCAAATAAATGAGAGTGGGTGATCAGATACGAGGGTAGCCAATCCCAAATAGATAGAGGCGAAAAAGAAGAATTTCGGTCTCTATTTATTATATTTGTAGTAGTTTATATTTTTATGATTAATAATTACTTAATGTGTATATATAAAAGAATTTAAAATATTTCAGTTATTTTTAATGGATGGGATTGAAATTTAATATTTTCTTCTCTTATCTAATACATAATATTTAGTTTGTCTATTTAGATCAATTTTTCGGCAATCAGTCGGCATAAAATAAGCCATAAGTTTAGTAAAGTTTTATTGACAATAAAAAGTATATTCATGTTACTTTTTAAATTTTAGTGCTCTGAGTAATCATACACACCAAATTCAAATCATTTTCTGAATTCCTATTATCACTACATAAATCCTACTGATTGCCAGAGAATTATTCTGCTATGTGCTATATGCTATGTGTTAGACAAAGAAGTTAAACAAATCAAATATATTTTGAATTGATTATTTTATCAAATATAAACAAACGATAATATTATAAAATGCCTATGTCATTGAAAATTTTTAAATTAAGTTTTTCTCTAATTCTTTTTTAATTATACATTCTATAAACATTTATTTGTTATTAAATTATTAACTTGATCATTTTTAATTTTAGTTAAAAATATATGGAGAAAAAGGTATAGGATCAAAGCTCCCTTGCCTTACCCATACTCCTGAATCTGGTGAACTTACAATTACACTTGATCAATTGAAAACCAATTTTACAAAATCACGTTTTGCTGTTGAGTTACTTTCTCTGAGCTCTTTTCCATTTAATAAATCTGAAGAAATATCAGTAGATACATTTTCGGATGATAAATTATCTGGTGGTACATTTTTGGTAAGTTAATAAATTATTATGTAAAAGTTGTGCTTTTGCAAAATATTTACATTTAATTGTTTAAACTATGTTTGTAAATACATTTTTGGAAATTAGTCTGATACATAAATATGAATTTAAATAATATAATCTACTCCTAATCATATTTTCCTTTCAGTTACTGTTTATTTATTTCAACATCATTGGTATCTTCGCTTGCCCAAATCACTGAATTATCTGTTTCTTGTTTATATGTTTTTCTTTAGCTATTTATTGCCTTGTCAAATTGACGCTCTGAGTTTCCTCAAATATTTAAAGGATAAATTACAAATATTGTATATCTTTTATTTTACATGATGTAAGAAATTTCATGAACTTATGATTTACATTTTAGAACTATTTAGTGACTACAAAAGGAGATGATAAAGAAGGCGGAGGTGGTTATCTAAGTTGGAAACCAGTAATGTATAAAGCAGCTGATACGCATGCATTAAATTCTTCATCTACAAATCAGTATGCGGTTTTAGATCATTTTGATGTAAAAGATTGGACTAAAACTCCTTTATTTACAATGTTTAATAATTCAATATTCGATCATAGTTATCTTCTGAAAGCAACTAATGTGTCATTCGGACAGCCCAATGATGATTTTTATAGAAAATCAAATTATCTATATTGGTAAAATTTATATTTAAATAATATTTATTCATTTTTTCATTTAATAAGTATAATATCTAATTTTGTTTCAGGACATTTTTGGTTGGAGTTGGTGCACCTCCCCATTCCCGTATAGGTTTTCTAGAGTTGTCAATCATTGCCAGTCTTCTATTAATGTCAACTATTACTATGATTATTATGTTTTGTGTATTTATGCGTTGGGTGTCTAGTAAACGTAATTCAATTATTTATGGCCAATAAGATGTTACTTATACTTAAACCTATAAAATTTTAACCAAGCTTTTTAGTGATCATGCAAAGCTTGAGTTCAGATTGTAATCTCTTAAATTAAGTTTATTTCTCTATTAATTTATTGTCTAAAAGATTTGAGCTAGTCCTTTATTTTTAAGATATTTTTGACAAAAATGTGATTATGATAAGGGTCATTCCATATTTAATTTTAGGTTGCTCATATGACAATCAATTTTTTTTCTCAGTTTTAAAACATTTTTACTTTAAGTGGCTCACAATTTTGGTTCCAAGACATGTAAAATATTTAAAAAATAATATTTAAATGTATTTATGACTAATAAAGTTTTATAAAAGAAGAAATATTCTTTATATTAAAATTTGAAGTATTAAAAAATAATATATAAATGTCATGTTTTTATGAAATTTAATCGTCTGAACTAAATCAGAAAATTCAAATAACATGTAGTGCCTATTTAACTTTAAATTAAAAATTGTTGTTTTATATATATATATATGAAAAAAACTATTTAAATTTGTCTTATTTATTTAAAACGGGTGCAATTAGAAATGTAATATACTATAATTTCTAATATTGTATAAGTTTGGAAACTATATTTTTATATAAAAAACCATATTACAAATTTAATATATATATATCTTGTATAATTAAAAATATTAAAAATACTTCATTTTCTGTATGTTATAAATATTGTGATAAATGGACTGAGAAATATAAATGTTAAATAATGAAGATTTGTATAAAATAATGAACTATTATGTCATGTAGTTTTTTTCCACTTAAAACTCATACATTTGGTAAACTAAAATATAATATATATTTGTCCAAAGTTATTAATGTCAAATTGTAATTTACTAAATATCTCAAATTGATAATTTGTATGCAATTAAATATAACTACATTGTATGTAACATTAATATTATTGTGCTAATTACTTACAGTTCCCTTTTATTAAATATATTATATAATTAATATTGTATCATGTTAATGTAATTTATTTTTTTAATGTATAATTGTAAATGCTAATTACTTCTATAGTTAACCAACTTTGAAATTTGTATTCCTGCCAAAACATGTAATTGTATGCTTATTATATATATATACTAATTTTAATTAGATTAATTAAGCTTAATTAATTTTATATATACATTATTCATATTTGAATACGCACAGCAAATATATTTTAAATAAAATAATTATAGTAGCATATAATGTATTTTTTTGAAAAAAATTTATTAGAAAAAAAAAAAAAAAAAAAACCATTATTCTTGAAATAATTAAAATTTAAAAGCTTGATATTATTGGGAAACATCATCAGAATTTGTTGATGATGATGCAGGCGGTGCTGTTGTTTCTTCCTGCTCAGCTAGTTTCTCGGAAGCTACAAACAAATAATTATTTTAAATTAGTTTCACGTTCCTGTAATATTTAAAAGGTATTACCAATTAATAGTAGTAAGTTAATTGATATGTTAAATGTAGAGATATAAAATATTAGCATTTAAATGATGTATTTTTAACTGTATATTAATATACGATTAACAAAAATTCATATTTGGGAAATATTTTATATCAAGGTATAGTAATAAAAAAATGAGTACATTTTTAAGAAACTAAACCTCAAAAATAAAAATTAAGAAATGTTATTTCTCAAATACTATTGCTTACTGCAATTTTTAATTATATTATCTTTCCAATCTAAAGTTTGTTTTAACAGTTTCAATATAGTTAATTGATTATTACACACTTTCTCAAAAAATGAATGTGTTTTTAATTATTCCTATACTTTATTCAATTAGTACACCAGGTGGCGGACAAAAATTGTTAAGCATGCATTCCCCACTCTTATCTTGCCGTAGTTGATTAACATATTTTGCACAAATGCTTTGTTTTAATTTGAATAATGATACAATTTTAGTTTAAAGTAATATAATATTTCTTTGTTTCCTGTATTTTCATTGGAATAGTATTTTATGTGTGTAATTACAATAACTTGGCAGTAGGTATTTAGATATTATGATTCACTATGCACAGTGGTACTGGTGACAACCATGGCATACAGTTTATAGGATTGTATTACATAAAAATTGTTTCTAATCAATCAATTAGGGGGCCCGACAACGTTTAACACTCAGTTGCATATTTTTGAATACAAATAAAAAAGTTTTCAAAGTTATTTAAAATTGTGTTACGAGTCGATATTTAAACACTAAATGACATTAATTATTGAGATAGGAAGTCATATTTCTTTAGCTATTAACAATTTAGGTGAATAATTTAAATGGTATTTTAAAAATAATGTGATTGAAGGAAAAAACACAAAGTATTACCTGTATTCATTTCAACAGATTTTCCTTCATCAATTAACTGTTTGTTTTCATCGTTTGGTTTTTCAGGTGGTCCAGAAATAGATTGTGTATTATACATATTTTCAAGTGGTGGTTGATTTGGATCTTGATGATTTACAGAACTAATTTGCTGTGGATAAGCTACACGTGGCGGTGGATGAGGGTATTGTTGATATGGTGCTTGATGATAATATGGATGAGGTGTATATTGGGGATACTGTTGAGGAGGGTACGCATAAGGTCTAGGTGGCATGGGTTGGGATGAATAAGGTTGCTGTTGAGGATATGGAGGGAATCCAGTTGATGAAGTTGATGATTGTGTAGCTTGAGAAGGTGGTGGAATGTGAGGGGGTTGCATCATACTTGGATGTGGATGAAGAGGGGGTGCAGAATTTTGAGGGGGTTGGTTTGAAGGATATGCATTTGGAACAGTGATTTGAGAATTTTGTGCAGGTTGAAATGGTGATCCTTGGGTATAAGTCTGTGATAAAGAATTTGGAAAAGATTGAGGTATAGGAGCAGAAGTTGGATATACTTGATTTTCTGATAATTTAGGTGGCGATTCTGTAGTAGATGAAACAACATTAGACGGTGAATCTGATCCCAAAGTTTGCTGAATAGAAGATGGCGGTGGAATCATGACTGAGGGGGGTTGAGGAGTTTGGGCCTGTGGAGTCTGTAATTGAGATTGCAATTGTTGTGGTGGCTGTAATTGCTGTGGCTGTTGTTGCTGCGACAGTGGCTGTAAATGTTGTGGTGGTGGTAATTGAAGTTGTGGTAACTGTGTTTGTGGCAATTGTAATTGAGGAGGCTGTGGTGTTAGTTGAGGTGATTGTAACTGTGTTGTTTGTGGAGACTGCATCTGTGCTTGAGGGGATGGCAACTGTGCTTGTACAGGCTGCAACTGTGGTTGTGGAGGTTGCAATTGAGGCTGTAGAGGTTGCAATTGTGGTTGTGGAGGTTGCAACTGTGGTTGTGGAGGTTGTAATTGAATTTGTGGAGTTGCAGGTGATTGCTGCTGTGGAGATTGTTGCATAGAAGTATGTTGCTGTGATGGTTGTGGCTGTGGAAGCTGCTGTTGCGGGAGTTGTGCTTGTAAAGATTGTTGCTGTTGGGGAGAATGAGACTGTAAAGGTTGTTGTTGTTGAGTAGGATGTGGTTGCAATGATTGTTGCTGTGGATGATGTAACTGCACAGATTGAGGAGCTGATTGTTGTAACTGAGGTTGTGGTTGAGGAGAGTGTTGTGGCTGAAGCTGGGGTTGTGGAGATACTTGTCCTGATTGTAGTTGTAATGTATTTTGTGGTTGTAAAATATGCTGTTGAGGTTGCAAAGATTGGGTTTGTGATAGTTGCTGTTGAAGTTGAAATTGTGGTTGTTGATGGAATTGTGTTGGTTGAAATTGTGGTGGTAGTTGCTGTTGTTGTGGAGGTAGCAGTTCTTGTGATAGCTGTGCTTGTTGTGCAGGAGTCGTAATATCTCCATTTTCTCTAGTTTCTGCTATAAGTGGTTCAGATTTAATTGAACTTTCTGAAGATATTGCAGACTGAAAATTAAATTTAAAAATAATAATTTTATGCTAATAAATAAAACTTAGGTCATAATATCACTTAAGCTTTAATTAATTAATAAATGAATATATATATATTTTTTTTTACTTTTAATAAATACAAATTTTTATATTTACAAAATTATATCTGATCAGTAATAATTTTGACTTACTCTAATAGACAAGGTAGACATTTGGAATTCATGCAACCCAAACTATAAATATTAAGATTTTGTCAATTTTATATATATATTCTTTTATTATCATATATTAAAGGATTTATCAATACAGAGAATATCTCATTTAAATGAATTTTTTTTTAAATTTGAATAATTTTGAAATACATTTATAGACATTAATTTGTTTGAAATACAGAAAACAGGGGCTCAACTTATTGTATGCAACTCCATAGATGTAAATACGATTAATGTCATTATTAACTATTGAGTTTAAATGGATTATATCATGGACGATATATATTATATTTAATAATTGATCCTTTTTAATTAAACTAAATATATTTAAATACTTTTACAAATTTAAGAACAATTGTTACGTACCTCTGCTTCCATAGTTGAATTATCATCAGTAGTACTAGAAGGAACAACACATGCTGAAGTGTCTTCCTCAACTAATGGTACAGCTCCATTTTGTTCTAACTGCTGTTCACAATGGACCTTAGGAAATTCTTCTGAAGGTACTGGGAGACACACTGTTTTAGTTCGTTCTTTTTGTAATATATCTACCTGGCGTTCTACCATTTTTTGAAATGCTTCCTCTGACACAGCTTGGACACAATGCTACGAATTACATAAATTAATTTCAAATAAAGTGTATAAAATTTAAAATGTTGTAATTACTTTTTTTAGTTCTTGTTGGAATGCATCACTACATTCAATGAATTTTCTTTTTTTAGTATCAAATTTTTCTTCTATTTGTTGTAATTCAGCTTCTAGTTTTTTCTAAAATTGTGTGACAAATAATTTTATAAAGAAACAAGTAAATAATTTTAAGAAAAAATAAGTTATTTTACTTGGTGCATTGTTAAACTTTGAACTTGTCGTTTTAAAACTTGCATGCGAGCGGTAGTAACAACTGAACGTACATCAGGAACAACGCTATCAGAAAATATTTCATTTATCAATCGATGATTTCTAATATACCTAGCATATGCTACATGTTTTACACTGAATCCATCATCTTGATCTAAAATATTGAATTAATATTATTTTAACATTTATCTAGATGTTTAATTTATTGTTAAATTAAAATTTAATATACCTTCTTCATCTTCAGCTGGTTGTATTTCAATTCTTCGATCTGCAGCAGCTTGTTTACCACCACCAGTTGACCTTTCATGTGGTTCTCTATCTTCTACTTGATTTAATTTACCTTTATTTTTTGCTTGTAAATAGGCTAAATAAGCAGGAGATGTATGATATAATTTCATAGCTTTTTCATAGTTTAACTAGAATATATAATTATTTTAATTAAGATTACATAGACATATGTAATTCAAACTTAGATTCTATTAGTTCAATACTTTTTCAGAATCATAATCATCAATATATTCTTGTTTATTATCTTCTGGAAGATCTCTCCACATTTGTCCAATAATTTTACCAATTTCCCATAATTTTAGATCAGGATTACTAGCTTTAACTTGATCCCAAACTTTACGACTATATCGCATGTATGGCATAAGTGGTTTTTCAGGTGGCTTGGGAGGTTTAATACCACGAGCATCGGCCTTTAAAATTGTTTACATAATAATAAAATATTAAATTATTATTGATGATATGAAAAAATCTTACAGCAGCTTTTGAAATTTTTTGTGGATGAAAAGCTGGATTTCCATGGCTATTTGGAATAAATGGACTTTGATTTTGATCTTTCTATAAAAGAAATAATATATTACTGCTTTACAAAAAATTTTTTTTATATGAAAAAAATAATAAATAAACATAGGAGAAAAGAGGAAAAGAAAATCAAAAAAGTCGTTAATTGGAATTATATGATATGAAGACATCCAATGTATGCAATTTGGGAATCGGGTCATTGAGGATGTCCAATCTCAAATAGATGTGATGAAGACTAATAATAAGAACATTTGTTATACGATAATCTGTTTTACTTAGATTGACGATTGAATATTATAAATACAATATAATAAATTTGTATTTTAGATCTTGAATGAAATTAGAACAAAAAGTTTAAGAAAATTTAAACATATTTTCAAGTAAAGTATCGTTAAAGGAACAAATCTTTCAAGATATGACAAAAAAATTAAAACACTTTTATGAGATGAAAGGGCAAAATGGATAAATTAAAGAAATTTAAAATAATGTACAATTTTCAGGGGAAAAATGTATTGTTAAAAATTTATATATTGGTAACATTATTATGTAAAATAATGATAGAAGTTGTAGGGTTAGACGATAAAAATGTACCATTTACACATTTTTTTGTTTTTATAAAACTATAAGGATACAGATTTTTGTTGAGTATTAGACCATGTAAACCTAGTTGGAAATAAGAAATGTGTTTATAAAAGGTAGTTTGGGAATTCTAGGGACAGTGGGGAAATGAAAGAGATAAGAACTGATGTGGTTGGTATGGTCTTTAAAAGGAGTAATTAAGATGAAATTATTTTCATTCTATGTGTGTGCAATACTAATAAGACAACTTTTATATCAATAAGTATCAACCATATTTAAATTTTTTTTTTTAATATTATCATCTTCCTTATTTAAAAAAAGCTGATGTTTTAAACCTTTTGAAAATATCAAGTTTGCTGGCCAAAAACATTCTTTAGAATAAAAAAACTATATTACTGTAAAACTGAGAATTCCCAATGAAGAACAAATATTACTTAACCAAATACTTACAGATCCAGATAATTGACTCGAACTTCCACCAGGTCTTAAACGTTCTGTAATAATAAGTAATATTAAATTATAAAACATTAATAAATTTATTAAATATATTTTCATTAGTTGGATTATTTAAGAAAATCATTGTTATACTTTACAATTAATTTCTCTCAAATTTAATACTCATCAAAAGAAATATTCTAAAAAAAAAAGAGTATACAATTTGAGTACACAATGTTTAGTTAAGTTCAATTTTGGTTTTTAAATTTAAAAAAATAAATAAATGTATATATATTTTGAATCCTACATTTATTAATAAAATATGTATTATGATAAATTTGAAGTAAAAATTATACAATACAAACAATATAAAATATAGATGTATAATTAAAATTAAACAACACTTAAATGTATAGGATACATAGATGATTGTGCTATAAGATAATTCAAGATAAACATTATAATAATTAATATTTAACAATATCTACTGGAATGCACGCTTATAAAAATATATTAAAAACATGCTCTAAACAAAAATCTACAGTTTACAAATTATAAGACAGCAATGAAATATATTAGTAAGTGATATTTGAAAAATTATTTCATACAAACATATTGCAACGTAATATTAACAAAATTTTACATTAAAATGAAAAATAATACAAAATTTATCCAAAATAGTTAAATTTATATTTGTTGATTATTTCCAAAAAAAATTTGTTAAGTCAATACTTACATTTTAAAATATATATTTAATGTCCAATAACTTAATCACATACATGGGTATTAAAGTAAAATTTTAAACTTGATTTTTCACCCCATAAATTATAAGTAATTAATATATTTTTAACTATATTGAAAGTACGAAAATTGATTTTCCAATAATAATATGTATTATGTGCAGAGACAGAAAATGTTGATAATTTATTTTCAAGAAAAAAATTCACACATAAATAATAAAATACCTCTTTTTTTTAAATATCACTTATATTAACATTCAAATAGCATATTTACCTACTTAGCATTTAAGTAAGAAAAATTCATGCATATTAGTACAGAATAAATAAAATAAGTAAATAAGACTTACTAACCATTTTGATAGGATCCCGTTTTAGTCGCTGAAAAAATTAGGAAACTATTCACAAATTATATTATTTGTTTTGAGGTAAAAATCCTCACTATATGAAAACATTATTTTTGCTCACATTTATAATTAAGAAGTAGTAAATAAAAAAAAAAATTAAATTTGATTAAATGGCAATAAAAAAAAGAAAAGAAGAACATTTAATGTTTAGATTTGAATTATTAATTTATGCGGTAAGGTGTTTATACTATTATAAATATATGATTAACATATTTATTAAGATAATTGTAATTGAAGCCAAGTTTTCCTATAAAAATTGAAAGTTTTTAATCGTGCACTGATTTATATCCACCACCATTTCTCTTGCACATAAAATAACTGAATAATACATTAGTTTGTTTCTATTTATGAACATATATGTATACAAGGTTATAAATAAAATTTAAAACAAAACAATAACTCTTTTATATTAAATTTTAAGATAGATATTTATGAAATATATTTTGTTTTCATTTATTTGATTAACATTAATCCTGTGATACAATGACAGAAGTTGATTTCAAATGTTTGTTGATTTTAGAATTGTTTATATGATGTTTTAAATAAATTGTATGACATAAAAAACATAGATAGGTTTAATTAGCAATCTAATGGTAAGATAGACAATTTAAACTTTATTTTCAGTTATTTCTTACTCAATTATAGTTTATTAATACTAAAAATTGTAAAGAATTGTACGCAGTCTATCATCATATAACAGAATATTATTTTATACATTTAAAATAAAAAACAAAATAATAAATTAAAATTCAAAACTTTAGGAATTAACAATAAAATATTATTGATAACCCTATATACATATGATGTTAAAATATTTTATAGTGGGCAGGTACTACAAATACCAAAAATAAAAGTGACAGATATTTTTATAAATAATGTGATTTATGGCATGTGTGCAAAAATGAGTGCATCTTAAACTTTATATGGTTTGATCAAATAATTTAAAATAAAAAAAAACTAAAAACTTTACCTTTTAAAATGTTGAATGTAACTGGAGCACCTGTGGGCACACATTTTACAAGCTCAAATTCAAAAAATTAAAAAAAAACTAACTAAAACTATAATAAAAACATGATACATGCAAACTGAATAGTAAAATCTATAGGCATAAAGTGGTTTATCAATTATTGAATGATATAGAGTAGATGAACAATGAATATGTAATTAAATATAATCGAGCAAAATAATGGATTATCTAATTCTAATATTGCTGTAATTGCTGTTGAATTTAAACATTTTGAATTTTTATTTTACTTTTAAGTTGAAAAATATATAAGTACTTTAATAACGCAGTACAAATACAATATTTTTATAAAAAAAAATTGCTTTTATTTAATAATTAGGCTCTGCAACCGATTTCAATGCTCATTAACTCGTATAATATAATTGATAAAATAGAGAAAAAAATATGAAAATTAAAAAATTAAAAAATATATTATTATGGAAAAATCTGGTTTACAACCCAAATTTGTTATTCAAATTTTTTATTTTTCAAAATTTGTGTTTTTGCCTGTACATTAATTTTCTAAAAAAAAAAATAGTCTGACAAATTTCGTTTGGTAGTTATAGAGGAAAACTTCATGCAGTACGGAATTTCTCAACTCACATATTTCTCAGTTAGAATTTAACATTTTCAATTTTTTTTTTCCAAAATAAGTTTTTTTAATATTTAAACCACAAGTATAATAAAAATTTATCATAATTATTGTATATCATAAACCTTAAAAAATATTTGGAATTAATTTAGAATTTGGTCAAAAATAGATTGTTTTTATTATTACTTGTAGTTATTGATATTTTGATAACTAAGTTATTTTTATTGAAATCAGAATAAGTTTATATGGCTTAGTTTTAGAATTCAAACATTCAAACACACCATTGTTCACTGAACTCACTCGGACAATTGTTTAATTGAAAATAACCTTCGATTTGTTGTACAAAACTATGTCTGGTAGGTAACAGGGTAAATGAAAAAGCATTATAGGTGAATAAGTTTATGTAAAATAAATATAAAAGTAAGTATGATAGGTAAGTTTATATTATACCAATGGATTAAACATTAAAAAACAAACACACATTTTGGAAAAAAAAAAGTGAAACGAAAAATTTGAACTTCATGAAGTCATTTTTTTTTTTTTAGATTTTTAATGTACATGAAAAAACACACATTTTGAAAAAAAATATACTTTGAAAAATTAACTTAGTTACAAAATTTGATTTATAGATTTTTTTACATATTAGGTAATATATATATATATTTTAATACACATATTTTTAATAAACTGTAATAATATAGTAGTTGTAAAAATTTAATAGTAATAAAAAAAAAATAAGGTAATAATTAAGTAGGGGTTATTGATTATTTTAAATACCTATTGAATTATACCTAAATAAAAAAATAATCTTTAAGAAAAAAGCAACAATAAAAAAAAAAAAAAAACAGGTAAACCTGGGTAGAATTTAATTAACTAATAACAAATTCTTGTATTTAATGTAAAATACAAACAGGTAATCAAGTTCAAATTAGAAAGATAATGCTCTTTTAATACTTACGAGCAGGAGTTGTTGGTTGATTCATTGCTATTTGTTTATATGTTGGTGGTAGTGCCATAATTACAGTTATAGGCCGATTCTAAGTTCTAAAATAACAATGAAGTAGGTTTATGATTAGTATGAATTTAAATGAAAGTCATTTGAAATTATTTAAACTAGGCATGACTAGTTATACACAAAATATAAAATAACCTATAAGTCATCATAAATGAAAATTAATAAATATAGGTACTCACATATCCAAAATTTAATTAGAAGAACGATAAATAATTGGCTCACATAATTTTGAATTTAAATATATAATTCTAATTAGAATACAAATATTTAGCTATAGAATTCGAAAGACCGAATCCAAGAATAGTTATTTAAAATGGTTGTTTTCTATAGAATTTGGTCGTTCGGCGTGCAAAAGAAGATGGAGATTTTATCATACAACAATAGTAGCGGCCATGATATAAACAACGTTGTAGGATTGTAACGTTCGGTTGCCTGCTAGTCATATCGTTCGATAATCTCGTGACGTCATTTAATATTTTTTATTATTATTATTAATATTGATATTATGGGTAGATGCGTGACGTAATGCGCAAATTCGAACCAAAATTAATTTTTGTGGTCATACCACGTAGTATATTTCATGGTAACAGTCTTGGTAATAAACAATACAAAACCATTATAACCGTGGTAGAATAATCACACCACCAACAAATAATAGTAGAGCTTCCTTGACTTTTCAATTTTTATAGGTTAACATTATCCTTTTTTGTTGAGGTTACTAAGTTTCTATTGAATTATTTGATGAATATAAGTTTTTCATTTGTGTATTATATTATTATTTTACCATCCAAATATACTCACTACTAGCTTTTGTATTTATTCTTTGTTGATCAGAATAACATTGAAATAATGGAATACGATCAGGTAATAATAAATTGTATTTAACATTGTAATAAATAATAACATGTATGTTGTATTAAATGTTTTAGGGAGAGTACGATGGTGACGGGTACAATAATTATGAAGATAGATACAATGATGATCAATATGAGGGCAAAATGCCTGAAATTATTAAAAAATTTCTATTATACTTTAGAAATGTCATTAATGAAGGAATGGTGTATGAAATGCAAAATTTATATGAAAACACGTATGTTTATTATTTGCATATATTATGTATAAGTATATACTGTGATTTTTTTCTTCTTGAATCAGCAGTTATTTTTAAAGGTTTAAAGTGAATTTCTGTTTTTTTTTGTAAATCCTTGTGGAATTGGTTGAACTTTATCCATACGTTATCATATATCTTTGTCAACACGTTATCCATATACCTTTATTGTTATTATTTTTCTAATAGGACCCTCCACCCTCTCTTTTTAATACAAATTCAATGTTGGTATCCATAACACTAATATTTGATTTATCCAACATTTATGAGTTATGGCTGTTCAAACATTTAGACTAGAGGAATAAGAAAGAATTATCATTTAAAACTAGATATGCAATCTATTATACCCTTCCCTATTCCTCTGGTCAATTTTAAACTTGTAACTTATTTATGGTAAATCTGATATGTTATGGACCAAAATATCTAGAAAAATATTTTTTATTTTTATTTGTGTTCAAAAAGGGGATTCCTATTTAAAAAACAAAAGTATATACTGATTTAAGGTTTATGGAGTAGGGATGAAAAATTAAAAATAGTCATAAAATAAAGCTTAACCAATTCCACAATAATTAAAAAAAAAACAAAAATCAAATTAAATTCATTGAATATTTCTGAAAAAATTGCTGGTTCGTGATATAATAATTACCCTGTATGTATGATATATTGATTTTTTTTTTAATTTCTGGTTTACACCAAGATAACCCAGAGAGCTACAAGAGAAACAATTGCACAGGAACAGTTTTTGATTATTTAACATGGCTTTTATTATATAAATTAAATTATTTTGTGTCTTGCAAATTTTGCAACTACAATAGTGTTACACTCATAATGTTAAGTATGTCAACGATGTATGTTTTTATCATTTTCTAAAAAAAATAATAAGCACCATAGGTAGATTTTTCAATGTGTTAAGCTAAAAGACATTAGAAAAAATACTCTTTTTATTTTGAAATTTATTTCAAAAAAAAACCTCAAAAATCATTATATTTTTTTTTGTATATTTTGTTTTTATGAGAAAAACCTCTGGTTTGTTTTAAAAATTAATTAACTTTGAAAAGATAAATAATTTTGAGTGCATCTAAGGTCATATACTCAGACTGTTTTTTATTATAGTTTTCAAAATAAAAAAAAGCTACAATTTGTCTATTTATTTTCAGTTGAGTGTATTAAAACACTCACATTTTTAAGAAAAAGAAAAATTAAAAAATGAGCAATGATTATGATCTGTGTTTATGCTCATTTTTAAAGTTAATCATATATTAAGTTAAGTATTGGATGATTGTTTTTATTGTATGGCTGCATCTGTAGTTTAAACATTTGTGAATGAATTACTAATATTTGGAATTAAACATGAAAAATTAAACCTTTTATTAATATATTGTCTATAATCCAATAATTACGGCAGTGTTGTCAATGTACAATAATGAACACATTTATTCACATAACCTATTTTTTATTAAAGGTTTCCCAAATTATCTGACCAATATTTTGAAAAATCCCCGTGGCCTAGTGAAAAACAAGTCCGGACAATAATGGATGATGATAAGGTATTGTAAAAATAATATATATATATATATATATATATAGTAATACTAGTGTTATTTTAAAAATATTTTAATTTCAGACATTTTTGATGTTGTATAAAGAATTGTATTATCGACATATTTTTGCACGTGTTACTAATGGGCCGACTACTAAACAGCGTTTTGGATCATTTTATAATTACTGCGATCTATTCAACTACATCTTTAGTATGGAAATAGAATTTATTTTATTTTAAGTTGCTAAATCAATGTTATTTGTTTATTATTTCAGCCTGTGAAACTCCAGTACCATTAGAATTACCTGACCAATGGTTATGGGAACTTGTTGATGAATTTGTGTATCAGTTCCAATCATTTACACAGTTTCGGTCTCGTAGTCGCAAAACACAAGATGAAATTGATATGCTTGCTTCTAACAATGAAGTTTGGAATGTTTTGTTGGTTTTGAATGTTTTGCATTCATTTATTAACAAGTCTAATATCAAGCTACAATTGGAAGTTACTGCAAGTGGCGGTGACCCAGATTCTGTTGCTGGAGAATTTGGTCGTCATTCTTTATACAAAATGTTAGGATATTATTCTATGATTGGACTTTTACGTTTACATAGCCTGTTTGGTGATTATTATTTAGCTATCAAAGTTTTAGAAAATATTGATATGCATAAAAAGGTATATATATATATATTTTCTAGTTTAATGATTTAATTTGTAACAATTTTTTTTTTTTTTTAGAATGCATATAGCTCAGTACCAGCCTGTCATATTTCTACAGCATACTATGTAGGATTTGCTTACATGATGATGCGCCGTTATTCTGATGCAATTCGTACATTCAGTTCAATTTTGTTGTATATTCAAAGAACAAAACAGCTTTTCCAAACTCGCAACTATCAAAATGATCAAGTATAAAGTTTTAATATATATTATACTTTATATCATTATATTGTTTTTGATATTTCCATAGAATTTTTTACTATTGTCTAGATATATTTTTCAATACAGAACCTACCCATCTTTATTCATTCATACTATGGTTTATTAATATAATTTTTGTAATTTATAGATAAACAAACAAACTGATCAGATGTATACATTGCTAGCTATGTGTTTAGTATTGCATCCTCAATGTGTTGATGAGTCTATTCAACAAGTATTGCGTGAAAAAAATTACACAGATAGGATGTTTAAAATGCAGTATGGTGATTTGCAAGAGTTTGAAAATTGTTTCCAAATGGCTTGTCCAAAATTTTTGTCTATGGATCCTGCTGAAGATTCAGTAAAAGAAGCAGAAAAATATCAAACTTCTGTTTTCATGGCTGAAGTAAAACAACAAAAAATGTTGCCTACAATTCGGAGGTATAAAAATTGTGAAAAGTATTTTTATGTATATTATTATTTTATTCTTATGTACATATTACTTTCAGTTATTTAAAATTGTACACAACTTTGCCTATTAACAAACTGGTGACATTTATGGCTCAAGGACAAGCCCAACGTGAAAACAATGAAGTAACCGATGATAAAGACAATTTAATAAAACATTTATTGTGTTTCAAACACAAAATGAAGAATATTGTTTGGAACAAGGGAGCTTCTGGATTAGATGGATATTTTCATTCAGGATCTGAGGTTTGTTAACAATTTTGTATGTAAGTTTTTGAAAACTAACGTTTTTTAATCATTTATATTTTTAGTTGGACTTTTATATTGATCGTGACATGATACACATTGCTGATACTAAAGTGGCTCATCGTTATGGTGATTTCTTTATTAGAAAAGTTTTGAAGTTTGAAGAATTGAATCGTAAGCTGAAATCTATAAAAGTTTAAGTAAACTTTGTTAAGTATTTTTTTTTTTTTTTTTTTTTTTTTTTTTTTCTTATAAGATTTGTCCTAATTAATTTTTTTATCATACATCAAAATAATTAAATTTTTTGGTCATAAAGATTATATTGTTTATCATTTAGCTTTAATAAATAATTTATAATGCCTGAAGTCTATTATACTCATTAAAAAATTGACTTTTCTTTATTGAATCCCATACTTTGGCACAATAATGAAACCTATAAAAATATACAAATTTATTATATTGTGAGTCATTGTAATTTAACTAGTAATTTGAATAACAACTAATAATAAATATTCTCTCATTATAGATATATAAAACATTTTTTCACTTACCAAGTTCTTTCTGTTAATTGTGTATGAGTGAGGGGTGATATTGGTAAACTTAATAACTGTTTTCTGAACTCTTGAATTAAAATGGACCGACCTGGTTGCATTTTATGAAGTCCATTAATTTCTAGACAAATTTAAATTAATCAATAAAGTTTCATAATGTCTATATGAGTAATTATTTTCCTCTTAAAATGATAAAATATATTTACAGATAATTGTAGTTTACATTATTATTGGTTTATTAATTTATCACCAGCCTGGGCATAATTTTACAATATACTTCCCCTTTGTTGCCTTCAACCCAACTATTTAGGGTCAGCCATAACTTAAATTTTAACTTGACCCGGTATTTTACACTGTCCACACCAGCTTTCTTTTCCTTTTTTACCTCTTACACATTTGTAGCGTTTATAGATTTGGAAAAGGCTTTCAATAAGGTACCATGGAAAGATTTATTCTAAATTTAAAAGGAATAGGAACTAACTTCAGAGATAGGACAATATATAATTTAAACAGAGACCAAACAGTCACAAGAAAAGTAACGGACAATACAGGGACAGTGATAATTAGAAGGGCTGTAAGACAAGGATATCCACTCTCACCAGCTTTATTTAATATTTATGAAGAACCTATTAAAGAAATAAGGGAAACATTTCTTAGAAATAAAATAGGCATAAAATTGGACAAAGAAATATGGAGATTCTTTTAAACCTTTGATGATCAACTGGTAAAAAACGAAAGTTATGATATACCAAAAATCAGACCAAAAACTTAGAATTAATATCCAAATAGGGAATTGGCTTGAACAAATAGAACATTTTAAAAACCTAGGCAGCTCAATCATCCAGGACGGCAGATACGTCATGGAAATATAATCCAGAATCGCACAGGCAAAGTCCGCGTTTATGAATAAGAAAAATTTGTTACGCTTCAATAGTATGGTTATTGGGGTGAAGAAACACTTTATAAAGGTATATGTATGGAGTATGGCACTATATGGCTGCAAAACCTGGATACTAAATAAAGCAGAACGAGTCCTCAAAAACTTTGAAATGTAGGAATGGAGAAGGATGCTATGAGCGAGTTGGATTAAACTATACCAACAAAAACATACTCAGTGAAATAGATGAACACAGAGATATACTCAAATCTATCAGAGCAAAACAATGGATGGAACATGATTGGTTATATATTGAGGCATGAAAATGAACTAGTTTATAGAATATAAGGGAAAATTGAAGGTAAAGAGGGTCCAGGACATCCAAGAACTTCATTTGTCGAACAAATGATTTCCAATACTAGACTATTGAGCTACACTGAAATTAAGACATTTCCCCGAGAACAGAGAGGAGTAGAGAGCACATGTCCAACTGCAAAACTAACTATATGGGTTGAATACAAAATCTATTTTCATTGCAATTCTTAATGCTTCCGATTCATCTTTTCGTGACATACCCATCCATCTGTTTTTTTGTCCACTATAAAAGCCACATTAAAGCTTTTTATGTACTCATTCCTTATATTATCTTCTCTTGTCACTACTTGTCCACCAATATATTATCTATATTATAATTTTCAATCCACAGCAGCCCACTTTCCAAATCATGTAACAGTTTCATCACACTTTTGTAGAACTTACCTTTCAGTCTCATTGGAATCACATAAAACACCTAATGCTTCTCTCTATTTAATCCTATGTTTTACGCTATCACCAAAGTTGCCATTCTTTAGAACAAAAGATCCTAGATACTTAAAGCTCTCAACCTCGCGCGATGTCACCACTTATTATCATTAGCCTACCTTGTTTTCTAAATTCTTACTTTTTATATTCTGTTATATTTCTACTTATCCTTAGTCCTTTAAGGGTTATTCTTCATTCCTTAAGTCCCCTGTTCACTTCCAGATTTCCTGCTATTAAAACTATATCATCTCCAAACATCATACACACTTCTTACACTGATATTTGAACCTTATACATAAACATAATCTTTATCAAACTAATATACAATCTCAAAATCCTTTTATGATTAACGCCTACATCAAAATCTCTCTCAGGACTGTCATAACTCATAAGCTTTCTCTAAATCTATAAAAGCAACATACAGGTTTTTCTTCTCTTTGTAATTTTCTACAATATTACCATATACAATAATATAATTACAAATAAAATTATAGGTCCCAGAGTACCTTTTAATTATTGCACGAGATCATGCCCCTCTCATCATTATAAAATTGAATTATATACAGAGTGATTCACTAAGCGTGCTCGGCTCATATTCTTGGATGTAGTGATAAGTTTTGCATTTATTAAAATTCTAATTTTTGGAATATTTAAGTATGGTTAAATCTAATATGTATATTTAAATACTTAGATTTTTAACAACATTTAAGGAGAGCATCTGTAGTGATACTTAATTTGGTTTTTCAAATGAGAACCTTTATTTAAAATTACAAGATATTTCATTTTTAAGTTTAGGTAGGCGAAGAGTAGTGGAGTATCATTCATGTTGCGGCATGACGCGCGCTGTTTTGTTATTGCTCTACTAATTTACTACCTAAACTTGAAAGTGGAATATGGGGTTTTCAAAAAAACCTCAAGGTTCCCTCAAAATGTCATGCCTTACTAGGGAAGCATGTCCCCTAGGTTGAGAACCCTTGATCTAAATCAATGCTTTTTAAGTACATATTTTAAAAGTAAAACTTTTATTTTACATATTTAGGGTAAATTTAAACCATTTTGTTAGTTGCATTTGTTAATTTTACAAATTAATAGTTTTAATTCATGTAACTCAAACAATTTAATTAGTTTTAGATATTCTTCATCAATACAGATTTTTAAACATTTTATTTATTATTTTAATAATGCCTTCATCTTAACTTCATTAATCGATCATCCAGATTTATCTTCAGACTCAAATAACAAGAACCGTAAACCTAATAATTATCATTTTAAAGGATAATAATTTGTTGTAAATACATTTAAATCAGGTTCCTAATTATAAAATATATATAAAGGTATGAAATAAAATAGTAACTTAATTGATAATTTTAATTCATTTTTATAACAAAATGCTAATAACAAACCAGAATTTTTATCTTTCTCGATATTAGCCAAGACAAATAAGTTAATTGGTTCACCACAATTTAATGGATTCAATTCACTTATGACATTGCCATTTGCGATACTGATTCCACTTTGAATAAGAAGACGAGACCTTGCAAATAATTGGGCATAAACATGCTAAAAATTTAAATATTTTTAATAATTTATTTTTCTTGAATATATTATCTTTTTACTTGTATCTGTTTAATATTTTCAATACTGAAATCAGAATAGAATGATTTATTTTGCACAAATATAATATGAGGAAAATATTCTACCAATTCCTCGTTTCGATGTGTAGTAAGCATTGGTGGTTTCAACATCTCTGCTGTTTGTAATATCCTAAATTCAATAAAATATTTATATTTAGGAATAATATTTCTGTAAACCATTAGAATATTTACTTGATTATACTAGAATCAAAAAACCAATCTTGTACTACCAATACTATATGACATACTGACATAAGGAATGCAGTCAATTGCAAAGAAACAATTTCATTATCAATTATTAAACCTGATTGATCTATTGATTGACCCATTCGTTTTTGACTAGCAGAATAAGCAACAGATGACGATAATATTGGTTGACAATCCAATAAAATGATTCTATTTTTAGTAATATATGCATCAATACCAGAAGTACAATTTTGGGATGTTTCTAGATATTCAGAAGAAGTAGTTGTAAACAGATTTGGCCTGTCAGTCGAATATAAAGAGAATAAAACAAAATAATTATTTGAAAATTTCATAAAACAATTCTAGTTTAAATAAATAATTAAGTTATAATTTACTTGTTGGCAATATCAGACATAAGTGTAGATTTTCCAACACCCTGTAATCCCAGACAGCCAATGACTAAGAAATCCATCTGATCAAGTAAACTGTTACTTAAACCTTCATTTATAAATTGCATATAGTCATCAATCATTTTAACTGGTGCTTTCATTTCAGCTGGAGGTAATACTTGGTCTAGTAATAATTCATTATTTTTGGTTTAATTTTGCATACTTAAATAATATAAGTTATATTTACCTTCATTCCCTGGTTTTTGTACAGGAGTATAAGAGTCTTCTTTCTTTGTTCTGAAATAGTTAATTAGAAACAATGTGCATTGTTTTAAAATAACTTTTAACTAATGTATTACATGAATAATATCGAAAAAAAAATTTATATATATAAGTAGGACATAATGATTAAGAACAAAAAGATGTACAATGATAGGCAATATAGGACCACAAGAGAAATAATGGTCAAAAACACTAAAGGAACTAAAAACTTGAACAAATATTTACATCATTTGGGGATTCAATTTTTGAGTAGGTGACAATGGTCTATTTTCTGTATCTCGAGGTTTTATTAATATTGTAGGTTGTGAATGAGATTTTTCAGATTCTTGAATTCGTTCAATAGACCCGTCATGTTTGGCTAAAACTATTGGTAATCGCTTGGAACCAAATTGTTTAAGATCGTCTTTTACCTAATAAATATAATAAAAAATCAATAAATAAATTATATTCAAATAAATTAATGTATAATAATATACTTTTTTAACTGGAGACCTTTTCCCTTTATAATCGTCAGGATAATCTTGTGACATTTTTGTACTTAAATGATTTTATTATAAAACTATTTCTAATTAAAAACAGCAATTAAAATCAAATTCTGTAAATCGTTCTTATGTTTAAATCAAATGTCATAATTATTTTGAAATATTGCACTTAAGATATAACAAATCATTAATCACTTATCAGTATAAACAATTATAACACTTAATATCAGTAATTCATTATCTCTAACAAATATTTAACTACTTATTTTTTTTTTTTATACATTATAATACACAATTGTTTTTTGAAAAAGAATCAATTTTATGCATTCCAGATTCTATAAGGAAATATTATCAAGTAAATTTAAATTAAAAAAATAAAAACATCATTTATATCATTTTATTGGTATCAAAATTTAAAAAAAAAACTGTTTGTATATTATATCACTGATAAAATTACCTGTCTATTTAGAATCATGATTTAAGCATAGACCTATGAACTATATAGTTATTAGGTCCTTATGAGGATTTAAGATATACATTTATATATTATATCTTAAATCATGTTAGAAAAAAACGATATAGTTACCTCACTAAAGGAATATAGCATATTCTGGCCAACAGCAGTTTTTTTTAAAAATGATAAGAAAAAACAAAAAATAATATCTCCTACCAACCGAAAGAATGTAAATTATTCCAAATAATAATTTAATATGTTTGTGTATCAGGCTGTACTAAAGTACTATAAGTGCTTCTATAGTGCAGCTCTAGTTGTACTAAAATGTATTTATTTGCTTTATATTCGACATGAATTAAATAATTTCTATTTTCTCTGAACTATTATCTCTGAACTCTGAACTTATTAAGTTATTTTTTTACCAAAATATAAGAATTGAATTCAAATTTAATTATATGAAGTACTTATCTCTGCAATTAATGTTAAAATTAAAATTTTTAGAGTTCTGGTTCATAAAAATATTAAGTAAATACATTAATATCGTTATAATTGTAGGTACATATCTGGCTACCTATACAACCTGATTCTGAGAACTGTTTCTAATAATTTTGATTTCAAAGACATAAAAGTTTTATATTTAGTTTATTGAAAATATTTTTCTCATAATTTTCTATATTGACCTACATTCACCAAAAGTACTATACAATCAATGATTATATATTTATACAAATACATAAAAATAGTACAATGAAATATAATTATCATTATGGTAATGGTATAAGGATTTTAGATTTAAGTGTTGGTCAATGTTATCTGATAAAAATTATTTTTTGTTATCAGTTTTAAGAAAACTATTATGACCTTAGCATAGCATGATGGGGACACTTTTCCAGAAACTATGGAAAAAAAAATTAATACACTTAGATAATAACAAATTACGTAGACTAAATCGAACATTTTCAAACGGGAATCTAAAACTATTAAATGCACAAACATAAAATACATTATGTATTTTGACTTTATCCTGTTTAATGTTAATACAGTCGTAAATACCTAACCTACTTAGACACCAAGCGGGGTCACTCGCTCAATCGGATCGTTTTAATTGAAAATAACGCTTAATTTGTTGTGCAAAACCACGACGGGTAGGTAATAAGGAAAAGTGATAATAATTTGCTGAAAATTTAGTTTTTTATGTTGGTGTAGCTGATTCAGATTTTATTTTCTTCGAATTCTTATCTTTTGGAAAAGTTATCAGCTGTTAAATGTTATCACTAGGTACTATAATTTTTATGACCATCGATGTTATTTTAAAAATTGTAAACATTTTTATTTCTATAAATTTATATAAATCGTAGTTTAAACAGCGTGGTCATATTCTACAAAGAATAATAATTAATTATTAGGTGAAAATATAATCAAAGATTTATCACTTATTTTGGTGCATCTATTATCATTTAATTAGCTTGTGAGCGTTTGCTGCCCTACGTGGATGGGGATAAGCGTTTGTGAGCACGGATCGATGACGGAGCGCTCAGATTCAGTGATGTTATGGTTGTAGTCCTAGTTCTATCAAACGTCAAACCGAATGGTGCGGTGGCGGTGATAAGCGTTTAAGCGAGCTACATGAACGCACCCCATTTACTATGGATAGAGGTATTGACTGAATATTTGAAGTAAACAATACTCAGTTGAATTGTGTCAAATGCGCAGGCGCTAAATGTATATCACGCGCAATTATTGGTCGAATTCACATAATCATGTGTGATGTACCTACCATTACTACCTGGTGGTATTTAAATGGTTATACAATTTATACATTAAATATGCGACAAGTATTGATAAGCTTGTGCAATAGACTTCATTCAAATTAGCACTCGTTAATAATGATGTCTTCAACTCGTAGTACGCGTTTATCATGCAGTAGCTCTATCCATAGTACATAATCATAGACTAATATTTATTAATCGGATTAGCTCAGAGAGCTCGTGCATTTATCACTGCACCTGGGGCAAGAAAATGGTAGGGTGCGCGCATGCGAAACATAAAAATCTGCACTAAATGTGTACTAATATTCTATATGGAACATATAAATGTACATCAGTGCAGTCAATGTAATTTGGTGGAAAACATTAAAATATAGTATATGATCTTAGAGATAAGGGTAGCGGCCATTTGATTGGCGACAATTATAATAATAATAAGTCGGCTATCTATAGTCTGTCCCACTAGAGATCGGGTCACTTATCGACCAAAACCAGTTACTGACGCCCATCCCCACGCCGCTACTATGCCCGTCAATTACCCGACTGTCAACACTCAAAGTCAGTTTTAACATTATATATGCGCAGAAGCGGCCTAATCTCTTGTGGGACAAACTAGTCTGGCAACTTGAAAGTAGAATCCGTACTCTTAATGACCGCCAACCGGACAGGGAATACGTTTCACTATCTAGCGAATTAATGATTGTAATTATTATTTATTAAATGAGGAACTCACTCTACAGCTGTAAAATTGTAAAATCAAATATATTCATCTCCCCACCATATCTAAAACAAACAATAATTGCGCCAAAAGTAATAAACTTACAAAAACAAAAGTACCTATATTGTTAAGTAATTTAACTTAAACGATACCTATACTATTTAAAATGTAAGCCAATGTGTTCATTATTTTAAATGTTTATTTCTAAAATAAAAACTCAAGTTGTTTGTTTTTTTAGATTTTGGTACTTTTAGTCTACATCCTACAATCGTGTGGAAGGCCTAATTTTTTAAAAAAATATAAATAAATTGTATAATTATTTGTTATCAGATAATATTGACATTAAATTTATAAATTATCATACATCGTTGGTAGTTGGCAGTACTAGTATATTAAAGTTACCTGTTCGGTCAATAAAATCACGGTGATTACATGTTAATTTCATTGAGTTGCATAGAGCTGCTTCATAGACTTATATTATTATTATATTACAAGTCTATGGGCTGCATAGATCTATAAATATATATTATCAGGTCTATGGTCTATATATCTATGAGATAAACTTTCTTTATTATTTATGGGTATGAACACAGGTACCATGGTTATGGTTATAATTGTATTGCAATATAACAATTTTTTATCACGTTAAGCCGACGATAATAAAAATAGATTAGCAAGAAGAGTTATAACTTAATATATTGGTATTATTCGTATTAACTTTTTAGTAACTAGTGAACACAGATTAACATAATAAGTATTTTATTTTGTACAAGATATTTATTTTAGGAATGTGTATTAGTTCTCAATACATGAAATATATTGAAGTTTAAAATAATATTTATGTTGCAATCAATATGATGTCTATAACACGATTATTCGCAAGTCTTGTGACTAAAAAATTGAATATTTTAAAATTAACATCAAATTATGTAAGAAGAATGTATTCTATTAATTAAAATATAATTATATTTAATTTATCTTTTATTTATATTGTAAAGTGATAACTAAAGTAATTTATACTATAGTTTTTTGTGTTTTTTTTTTTTTAGGTTCCTAGATGTACATATGGTTTAAACAATGTTGGAAGTAATGACCCAGGTATTGAAATTGAGGAAAAAAAAATTGTAGAAGAAAAAACTAGTTTAGCAATGCGAGCATATCTTCAAAGAGCTACATTATATAGTAAGTGATATTAAACTGTACTAAACAATTTTTAGGTATATAATAAATGCTATTTGTCACCAACCTTGATTGACATACAAAGTTATTGTAGTAACTAAAAATTAAATTAATTTATTTTTAATATTTCCTTATCGATAAGTAACTATAGTTAAAAGAGATTATACCTATCTTACCTAGTTAATTTTAAAATAGAATTAAAAATCAACAAAGTATGAGTTAGATTCTGAGCGTAGCAACGAATGTATTGGTTTTATAAAGATGTTTATTTTTTATATAAATTTTTTTATATTGTGTACAAAAATTCTACCAGAAATCTGTTCCGATGTATACGATGTAAATCCTTTTCTGAAAAGAAATTTTCTTGAAGTAGTACTTTAGTATTACTTAATTTGTTTTTCAGTTGCCTGAATGATAATTATAATTCATATATTCTTATCAGTTTTTTTTTTATACCTGTAGATAAACAATTACAAAACAAATAAACAAATAATTTTGTTGTCTAAAATAAGTAATTTTTAAAAAATTGTGAAACTATTTTATCATGATCATGTGAACGATTGATAACCATGTTATTACAACTATTCTACAATAAATAAATCATATAATGAATATTACTCCTGTTTACCAGCCGTAAATAAGGGGAAAAGTACCCATATTTAATTTATAAAATTTGTTATTACTAATAAATGTTATTTATATTTATTAGGGTATCTCTTAGTATTATTCTTATGCTAATAACTGTTAATATTAATTTTTTTATATTTTTATTTTCATTCTATATCACTGAAATAAATATCATTATTTTTCCATTTTTTAAATTTGTTTAAAATATATTATCCTAAAAATTTAAATATATCATACTTTTATATATCCGATTAAAAGTTTCTTAGCAATGGTTATTTTAATTTCTAGATAACTGGCGCGAAAACAATTAATTCATAATAAAATAATACTTTATGCGATAAGGAATCACAACCAGCAAGATAATTCTATCAAAATATTCTGGATATTTTATTGAATAAAAAAAAGTAAATTTTTTTTAATAATTAAGGGATAGAAATAAAAATTGTATTTGTCTCTAAATATATCTCTTACAAAACCCGATTGAAAAAAAATGAATATTGCCAGAATTATAAGCATAAAATAACACTGTAGGACACTGTTAATATTAATATTATACTTATTATATATGTATTTATAAAATAATAATTTTTGTATAACTTTCTACTTTATATTTTAGATAACTTTATGGAACAGCAAACACATGAATTTCAGGTTGGAAAACGACATTTAGCTAATATGATGGGTGTTGACCCAGAAACTTTTACTCAAAAAGATATTAATGTAAGTTTCTTTTCTGGTATGCAAATTAACTATAAAAATTAATTTAAATTTTTTATTTAAAAATTGAATCCTTTTATATGAGATGTTTATATTTAATTTTAGGAAGCAATTGAGTATTTGTTTCCTTCTGGTTTGTATGATCCAAAAGCAAGACCTTTTATGAAACCACCAAGTGAAGTATTTCCACCTAAAAAAGATGCAGAGTTTGATGAATCTGGACGTCCATTTCATGTTTTTTTTTATACTGGAAAACCAAATTTTTATTTAATATTACATGTGAGTATTACAATAGCAAACTATTTTACATTTAATTTATACAATTTTTTTTCTTTTGTAGAATATCGCTACTAAATTATCCGAATTAAATAAGTTTGAAGACAGTTTGAGGAAAAATAATATACTTCCAGATGATAACAAAAAATTGTATGATAAACATAATTATACTATCTACTTTTAAGATTTTACTTTTAAATTTTTAAATATATTTTTATAGATCATCAATAGGAAGTCAATGGCTATCTAAAGAAGATGTAGAAAAGTTGACTGTTGAAAAGTTATCTGATTATGAAGTAAACAAATTAATTCATTTTTTTCCTTATAATATCTTGGTGACTATAGTTGCATTGAGGCCTGTTCTTACAATGTCTAGACCATAAGTGTTGATTAATGCTAACTGGAGTTTATGCTGCAACTTAAGGAACAGTTGGTTTTCAGTTAGTAAAATTTTTTCCGTTTAAATGAAAATCTCCAAGTTTGTGTTATCAATAGTTACTTTTGGTGTGTATACTTTTTATAATTAGGTATTACTGGTAATGAGCTTTGGATTTCGATATTGAACTGTATACATTTTGTTTAATTTGTTTATCTGTTTAAACTTTTTCATTAAAATGTATTACGTCTACAGCTATGCAAAACTATGTTTCATGTTGCTAAGATAGTAATTATTTTGATTTTAAAGATAAAATGTCAAAATTTTATGTGTACTTAAAAAAGTGATAATTTATTAAAAATGAAAAAAAAAACACTTTCAAATATCAGAGGAAGACAGATTTAAAGATTGTATAATGATATATACAATATAGTATATATCATAATATAATATTATATAATATTAATATTATCTACACTACATTTTATTATAGTGGACACCACTTCATTTTATTAGTTTATAAGTTAATTTAGATTAATACTAATAGTATGTTTTATTATTATATGAGATATTTAACTATAATACATACTATTAGTATTAATCTAAATTGACTTATAAACTAATAAAATAAAGTGGTGTCCACTATAATAAAATGTAGTATAGATAATATTATATTATGATACTTATTTTATTATATTGTAATGAAAAACAATAAAGAAGAGAGAAAAAAACGTTTGATATTAGTAATAATAATAAAAGTAACAAGAAATAGAAAAACTTAAATAAATATGAATAAGAAATTAATAAGTGTTGTGTTATACATTTAGAAGTAATTATATTTAAAGATTATCATAAAACCAGTTTTCTAATTTATATTTACAATGTGAATTATTTGAACTTAACTGACGATTTAAGAGTTAACTAATCAAAAGCTTTACTGACACTGTAAGAACAGACCTAAATTTATTAGTTATCACTAATATTAATATTTTTAAATTATATGAATACTTTATAGTAATGAATGTTATTAAATGGTCATAAACATTAACACGTTCAACGCCGATGACAACACGGTGTTGTCACGGTAGGCAGCGCGCTCATTGCCGATGACAACACGTTGTTGTCATGCGAGTAGTTTATTTTTGAACAGTCTTTTTTCCGTCGGCTTTGTGCATACACACATAATTTTTCTTAATCCTATTGGTGAACACTTCAGCTACATTTTGGTGTACTTGGATTTAAAATTGTGTGTTTATTTGTCATAATTTCAAATAAAACAAAAAAAGTAAGTTTTTTCTATATTATATTTATTTTATCATAATAAAACAATAATCATTAATATTTTTGTTATATGTTTATAATAAATAATATTAAATCTAACTTTTAATGAATTTTTTAATTGTTTTTTACAGTTAAAATATTTAAAATTATTATTATTAAAATGGACCTTCCACCTGGCCCATTGTGTAAAGATATAGGGAATGTAAAAAAAAAAGTTTTGACTGATGAAGAATTGTTAAACATTTTGGAGAACTCTGACGAAGATTTAAATTTTAGTTCAGAATCAGACCTGGGAGAAGGAGATTCAGCCGATGAGGATTGTGATCTTCAATGCAATGAAAATTCTTGTGTAGAAAATGAAATAGTTAATAATAAAGCAATATTAAGAACTACAGACTATCAGTAATTTCGAGTTTATGTGAATCACATAATATTGTACCTAGTTTGTCATTAAAATCTCAAACAAAACCAATTCATTTGCCAAAAAAATTACCAAAAAATAAAAAAAGGTGTGTACTTAAAGAAAAGGTGTAAACTATGTTATTCTAAAGGGATAAAAAGAGTGACTACTATATATTTCTGTCCTCAGTGTGATGGTGAACCAGTGCTTTGTTTAGAAAATTGTTTTGAAGAATTTCATACATAATCAATTAATTTTAATGCATATATTTATAAACTAAGACTAAAATGTAATTTTAAGACTACAGTAGTTATTGTTTTTTATTTTATATTATTAATTTATAAATAGGAAATTTATAAAGGAAAGTGGCTGTAACTTTATTTTTGATTTTATTATATTTTAATAAAATATCTGTGTGTAAAAATAAATAAAATAACATCTTGTTCATGGAATTATATTTCGTTAGAATATTTATAGTTTTAAATTTGTCTGAAAAAAAAATAACAATAAAACAGTATAATGTTGCCTACATGGCCGGTGACAACACGTCATTGTCATACCTTATCGCAGCGGAATTTCTATGTGGCTATTACAAACAAAGTGATAATACGGTAACGGCATTGAACGTGTTAAGTTTATAAGTAATAGATTTTCAAATAGGTCATGAAGCGCTTTAAATAAAAAAAAAAAAAGGTTTTTTTCATAATATAACATTATTGTTTACTAAATCTTTAAAAATTATATTTTAGTACAAACATTTTACTATTGCCATTGAACGATTGTTGAAACATCCATGTTCATATAAGTATGTTGAATTCATTGCTCAGTACCAAAAACCAATGATAACAACTAAAGCTATTATGGAATCATCACCAGTAATTATACATATATATATTTTGTTTTATTAAATGTATTATTCAATATACATATGCAAATATTTAATATTATTTATTATATACTTTAAGGTTGAATATACTAAAGATGGAAAAGCTTATGTTACTGTAAAAGGTAACTAAATATTTTTTTGTACAATGATTTTTGATCATTAAAATGTTAAATTTTAAATTTCAGATTGTCCTAGAAAAAGTGCAAGAGCTGATGTTACAGTTTTTTATCCAGGAACTGGTAAATTATCTATAAATGGAAAAGGAATTGAATTTTTTGATGATATTCAAGCCAGAGAACAGGTAAATTCAATTTAATGATATAATATTAAGATAATCTAAGTTCTATCCAAAATAAGAATAGTAATTGATGGTGACACAATATTTACATAAGTATTTAAGAGACAGTGTACAATCTGTTTTTTGATCAAAACCATGTTTTATGAGGTGAAGAGTGGTCTGATTTTGGTCTTTTTCATCATGCCATCTTTTTTAATTTTTTTTTTTGGAAAGATGAAAACTTCTTACAGGATATTAGACTTGGATTTTAAACATTTTATTTAGAATTATATTTCTGCACACTAGCATTAAGAATTTAATAACCAATTTTATAATTTTTTTAGCTTATATGTAAATTTTGGTTACATAATCAAAAATATAAACCCCATAGAGAATTATCCTCTTCACAAAAAATAAAAATAAAAAATTTAAATTGGATGTTATTAATTGAGTCAAAAGTTAACCCTGTAAACACATTAAAACTGTTTGCATTTTTATGAAAAAAATTGTTAAAAAAGATTCTCTATTTGTAAATATCAATTAGCTATCAGAAATTGTAAATAATATTTAAAATAAACCACAGTGTTTAGGGTCCCTAAATACTTTGTATAATTTTCAGAATATTCTGGCATTTTTAAGTTATTAATACCTATTTAAAATTTTTTAGATTCTGAACGAAATGAAAAATGCATTGGTTTTACAATGGTGTTTATTTTTTTTTTAAAACAACTGTTTCACCAGAATTCTTGCTCCGATTTTCAAGTTTAGCACCTTTTCTGAAAGTAAATTTTATCTGGGTTGATTTTCCAAGCGATTTTCATAATAAAACCGGGGAAAAACTCGGAAAAAAAAAATTTATAAAATGTATTATTTTCATTTTTTGTATTTTGTGTTGAGATGACATTTTTAGTTAAAAATATTCGTAGAGATTTAAAAATTTAGACAAAACACTTATATTCACATTTTGTAAATATAGTAAATTTTTAAAATGTTTAGTCATTTTTGAGCTATTTATAGATGTTTTAACTTTGCGAGTTTTATATTCGCTATGTACTCCATAGATAAAGTTGCTAGATTAAATAGAAATACCTAAAAATTTAACTGGAGGTTCATTATAAGTGCTTGGGAGTTTAAAAAAAAAAATTGAATGTGCAAATTATATTGCTTCTCAAAACATAAATAACCAAATTCCATTCAAAATCGTTTTTTGTTTGTAATAATTAATTGTTGTGTACAGATATATAGAGTTTAACTGAACTATTTTTAAATTTGTAATGTAACTACAATGTACAAATATCAAATAGACCTGTTAAATCCTGTATATTAAATTACCCTCTACATCCTACCTTCTCAAATAATCGCGTACAACTGTGACCCACCCATAGAGCGAACTATGTTGAAGCTTTTTTTTTTATGAATAATAATTTTTTTATTTATCTTTATTATATGTTAAAATTTGTTTAAAAAAAATTTCCTCACCTATATCAGTAGCCTACTCATGGTACAAATAATTTTTTGACTTTTTGTTACATTAAACAACCCTGCTATTAGAAAATGTTTTTTATTCCAATTTTAGGTAGTGCATGGTAGGGGTGATATCAGGCCATCAAATTTTAGAATATTTACTGGTCCATTTTAGAAGTAAACGGTTCATTGATTCACATAACAGTTTCGCAAGTAATATATTATATTGAGTATTGTTATTATGTCATTATTCATTATCAGGGTTGGGATTTAAATGCACTAAAAATCATAAAAAAAAAATTGTTATAAGGCATTTTGTCGCAAAAATACTCATAAAAATTACCTATAATTTTTTTTTTTATATTTGATAGTTTATAATTTTTATTTTATTTAAAAAAAAAAATTGATACTTGAAAAATTGAATTATTTATATTTTGTAGTTGATTTTGTTGTCTTATTCATTCTAAACATATAATAAAATATAAATTTAAGATTATATTAAATTCTATGTTAAACTATTTTACCTTTAACATTTTCTTATTAAACTAAACATCAAGGAAACCTATTATTGTCTTAAGATAATATTTCAAATTAAATAAATTTAAATTATTAAGCTGTTTAATTGTATACATGTATGAATTGGTACATTTAATTATTATATAAATATATATTAATTTAGATCACTATATTAAATATTAATTTAATTATAAATAATACATGTATACATTGTATAAATGTATAATTGTGCTTAGTAAATAACAGAAGGACTGAAAAATAATCTAAAAATGCAAAATAAAAGTTTCACCTTGAAAATATTACATAAAACAAATTATCTACTTGGAAAGCTCTGTCGAATATCATTCCCAGAAGGATTGATATTGAAATCCATGCCTTATTCATTATCTAATAGTTACTGCAAGATTAAGTATAAGTAAAATAGAAAACGTTTAGATAAATTGCGTACGCAAGTATTTATATTCATATGAAATGTCCCTATAGAATTATAGACATTGACAAGTACTAAACTACTTCATAGGAGTCTATTGTTTTATTTTTAAATTACTTAAATTAAGAGTTTATATTCTTTTTTTGTAAAATAACCAATTTTTTCAAAACAAAAAAATAAATATGGAAAAAATACTATTTGAACGATTCTAATTATTTTAAATTTCTCTTAACAACTTTGTCGATAAATTCATAATATGTCAAGTGTATATTAAGTTTTCAAACCAAAAATTGTTTATTAATTTAGGTCATTGAGTTTAATATAATTTAAAATTTTGGCATTAAAAAATATCTTAAATATCTTTCTTAAACATCTATGTGTTCATAAATGTTTAAATATAAACATACATGTGTTTATGCATGTCTTCTTAAATTATATATAAATAGTATGGAATGTAAATTATGCATTTACTTTATTTGTTTTTTAAAACAGCATGGTATCTGGATTTAGTTTATTTACCAATAGTTAAAAACACATTGTTTGTATAATATAACTCAAATAAAATTCTGTAGATTTTAGATTTGGCTTATTTTCTGTTTATATTATTTTTCTAAACAGTGTATAAATGTCAAATACTCAGAATTTAATTACAATGTATGATATTTATATTTGTAAAATTTGCCCTTATTATAAAATGGAAATTCACTGGAGTGCCCATATCTAGAATTGTATTGTTTGAGAATAATATGTTTTGTTTTTTTTTTTTCTTAAATGTAGGTATATTAATATATAATTAAATATTACTATAGAAAGTAGATTGCAACTAAAAAAAATTATCTTTTGGTTTTTTTTTTTTTAAAGTTTTATTTCACTTTTTTGTCAAATTCATAATTTAACTTTTATATGACTACTTGATATATAGAATTGTTTTGATTTTTAACAGGGAAACACAAATATGACTACTTTTATATCACACAGCTCTTATTACTTTTAAACAAAGCATGTAATGTAATTTATCAAGATAAATGTAATAAGATCACTTTACTTTTCAGTATTATTGTTATATATATTTTATGATGTATAATATATCAGTAATATAATGAAGTAATATGTTTGAACCAATAAATCAATTTGTTATTCAAATACAACATAAAATAATTATAATAAATTAATATATACAATTTTAGACTAGAAATATTTATGATGATTTATTGATAAGCTGTAATAAGAGATCTTGTTGATGTTGCACAATTTCTTTTAGTTGTTTAATTTCTTCAACTAGAGCCTTGTTTTCCATTTTATTTTCTAGTACAGCTTGTTTATAGTCAACAGTATTTAATCGTTTTTGTCTAGCTATATTTAATGCATCTTCCATTATTTCTCTTGGTAATCTTTTTTCTGTAGGATTTAATGGTTTCACATAAAGAACAACTCGGTAGGCTGATGGAGTAACTCTAGCACTCCAGTTGAAAAAATTGATTACTCGCCTTGGTAAACAACCTTGAAATAATGCTTGTTCTTGGGAATGAATAAGTTGAGTTTGTCTAACAAGTTTTGAAAGGTCTGCAGTTTTGTGCAAACCTTGGATATCATGTACTGCTATTCCGACTAGTAAATTCATTAATACAACAGTGACAAATATTATAAATAGTATAAATGTTATATAAGCACTTACATCAAAAATTATTGGAGAATCATCAGATTTTAATAATAAATCTATGTCAAGTTCTCCCGTCATCATTACTAGTACTTTTACAATACCAATTAATGGATTATTAAAATCACTCGATGTAGGAAATAATGTACAAAAGCTTATTGTAAATCCTATAAGTAAACAAGAGTATGCTAGTAATAATTTAGCAAATTCTTTTTGAACTTTGGTAAACATAGCAATGTATGTTCCAAATATAGGTAATTGGCCAATCATTACCATTAAGTTTGACCATCCAAACAAAACAGCAAATGCTCCAATAGGATTTTGCCAATCATAAGTTTTATTATTGTATAAAAAAGATGTTAGAAATACACTTGCAACGACAAACCATTCAACAATATTAGTTATGTTAAAAAAATATTGTTTGATTGATGTGAATCCCGTTGTGCCAATCAACTTTCTTATTATTATTATAATTGTAAATACTAACAATATATACCAAACAAGTTCTATAAGTGTATGAGTGATTAGTTTTGAATCGAATATATTAACCTTCAAACGGCAGGCATTTTGATTTTCCAGTTGGTTTAATTCTTGGTCCTCTGTTATATTTTGGTCATTTATTATGTTTTTTGATTTATTGTAACAGTCATGTGCTAGTGCTGCCATTACATAAGAAGTTAAAAGTAAAACAAAAATTGCATCAAAAATAAGACGTACAAAATAAAATCGACGAATTTTTTGCCATTTCAAATACAAAAATGCTTTACATAATGGATGTTCAAGCATAGACTTTTGACCGCACTCTTCCAAAGTATGTAATAAAATTATTTCTCCTTGACTAGGATTTTGTAATAGATACCGAAAATCCATTATTAGTTCTACTTCTTTGGCTGAAGCTTGATCGTTAAGGGTAATTGCCTGGTCAAATTTTTTCTTAATCGTATTTATACTGGTAGGCGTCTTTCTATTTATTATACTTAAAGCACTCATTCCTCCAACTGTTCTAGAACTAATATCTGCTCCTTTAATGATCAGAAAATCCACACATTGAGATAATTCATTTAAAGCAGCAATATGAAGTGGTGCATAGCCATATCTATCTTGAATATTAACATTTGCACCCCATTTTACCAATACTTCAACGACATGGAATGATAAAAAAGCTTTGCAAACAGCTGAATGTAAAGCTGTCCTTTTGTCTATGTCTAAAGCATTCACTTCTGCTCCTAATTCCAACAATATTTCTACGGATTCAGCGCATTGTGCTTTTGCTGCTAAATGTAAGGGAGTTTGATTCTTATCATTTATCACACTATGACTAGATCCCGTGTGTAATAGTATTTGAACGCATTCTGTATATCCATTTTCAGCTGCCATGTGTAAAGCTGTCGATTGTTTGGATTTAGATTTTAAATTTATTGTTTTATTACTTCTAGCCAAAAGAAGCTTTAAACATTCTGTATATCCTTTTTCTGCTGCTAAATGAAGTGGTGTATTCCCATTGGCATCCAAAGTATTTGGATCAATACCAATGTGCAGTAAGTACTTGACACATTCTACAGAATTTGCTTGTACTGCACAGTGTAGTACTGTATCAGTTACTTTACATCTCTCATCTATTAGAATTTTTGTAGTTTCTAAAGCATTACCCATAACTGCTGAATGTAATGGTGTGTATCCATTTTGAATTGAGTCCATGTCACATTTTCTTTTTATTAGCCACCTGTAAATATCAAATAATTTGGATTTTAGTAAGAATGTGTAAATTGTATTATTCATTTATTAGAATTATTAGTTGGTAGAGCCCAATTTGTGTTGGTATATGCATAACTCTCATCACACCATACCACAATTAATAAACAATGTAAAAGTATAGATCACAACCCAATAAGTATTATTAGTTGATAATATTTTTGTCTTATTGACATTAAAATCTATGATTAACACTTTTTAAATTTTATAATTAAACTACAATTTGTCATTCGGGGGAATATTATATCTATACAGTGATTATTGTATTATCCTATTATATAAAAAAAAAAAGCGATTTTAGAAAATATTTTAATCTTCTTAAGGTTGTAGTGATGGTCGACCAGTACTTGTTTTTAAATATATTTCTATAATAATTCAGCAAAGGTGATAAGATGAAAAAATTACCACAATACAAGTTACAATAATATAATAATCAGTTGCTAACTCATTGTTAGTGTGATAAATACTCAATGGCGGATTAATAAATTTGCCGCCTACAAGTAGAAAAACATTTGCCACCCCTTTATTTTTTCAAACCTGCAGCCTTTCTACGATTTATGGGTTTTTCGGTAAAACATTTTTTTATATCATTTAATATTTCGATAAATTTTTTCTAATTATTTATAAAAGCAGAACATGCATCATAATAACGACTAGACCATCTTGTTCTAGTAACTCTTTTTACTACCTTATGACCGGGTCTCAATTTCTCTTTCATTAATTGCCATTGATAAGTAGATATTATAAAGAAATCATAGATGGCTTTTAAGTTATCAAAAAAAATGCCGCTTCTTTGATAGAATCGACAGCGGATATCCCAAAAACTCGAATTGACTGCGTTCACTGAAACCGTTTAAGTGAGTTATTACCAAATGGCTAATACTTATAATATAATATAAGAAAATATTATATATACTTAGAAATATACATACATTTTAAGTGTGGCAACTTTGCCCCCCTTAAAATTTTAATGCTCCAATTATTACTAAAAAAATTTTTTTTTTAATATCTAGCTGTGTTTTTCTAAAGTTTCTAGGTACTAACCTACCACACATTATTGTTTTTTTATACCTATTTGTAAAAATTATAAATTATTTATTTATCTGGTTTAATAGGTATAATTAAAGTTGCCTTTTTCGAACATTATATTATTATATTTAATTTTCTTCCAAACAATACTCTCTGTTACATTATTTATATATTTTGTCTGATATTATCTTATTTCTGTTTTACGATCATTAATTCCGCAGACTGATGTTGAAATATAATAATCAAAAAAATTATATTATGGTTTTTAGTATGCACAAGGGTTGTATATATTACTCGGGATAATTGACAAGCGGTTTTTTTTATAAACACCTGTCTAATAAATTATCCCCGATGAATTCATACAATTTTGGTCATGGTACATAAGTTATATTTTGTTGGCTAGGTAATGACTTTAACTTTATTTAAATTTTTAGAAAACATTTCACAGTTCTAATGTATGCGTTTGTCTTTATCGGATAAGTTGTATAGTAAATAATTTTTAAACATTATAGTTTTATTAATTTATTTTATTACTTATTTAATAATTATTATTTTAAATTGCAATAATTCTTGTTTAAAAAATATTATTTCGCTGGTGATTATTTTGGTTTTGAAATTACATTTTATAGTTTCAATTTTTTGTCTTTACTTTTGTGTTTGATCAAAAAATAAATTACAATATAATAGTGTAAAAATCATACAGCATGATTAAAATATTATATGTCTAACTATACGACTGTTTTTAGTATTATTTTTATCTGTGTGTTTGTTTTATACATACAAATAAATTTGAACCCAATTTAACTTGATGTACTTAACCTATGCAATTGATGATCACTATTTTCCTGACCTACTTATAAAAAAAATATTGCAATATCTTAAAATATAAATACGCAATTATAAAAAATGCACCTTAAATTTTTTATAAAAACTATTTTTAATAATTGTATAACTACCTAAATCATTTTGTTTATACAATAGTTAGATCTCGAGATCTTGCATTCTAACTTAAAAGCTGGTTATAATTGTATGAATAATAATAATATTGTATTTATTGAAGTTTTGGCGACGTTTTACGAATTTAAATTTTGCCAAATATTTTTAGACAAAAAACATCTTCGACTGTACTTAATTGAAATAATAATTGTTTTCAACAGATTTTATTTGTAAATTGTTTTATGATAAAAAGCTACCACCCAACTATGCATAATCGTTTACAATACAATTTCATACATTTTCTACTTTATTTAAATGTCGTATACAGGGTCATTCAAATTATATAAAGTCAGCGAAAGTATGAAGTATTTAAATATTATTGTTCCTCGTTTGAGTTTTAAAATGTATCATTTAAATCACCACTTTACGATTAATACAAAATTCAAAAAATATCAAATTCATTTGGAACATTAGATATGATTTCAAATATTTTTCAACTACCTGTGACATTAAAAAAAGATATATATTTCAAAGTGAAATACTTACATATGTCGCAGTAAATTTGGAACTGTACGCGGACTGTATTATTCAAATTAATATGGAAAAGTATTATTCGGATTGAACCTAATACGGACCAATTGACGCAAACAGGAAAACGCCCAAATTAACTCTCAACCCCGTGAGTAATATATTCTGGTTAACCACCAGTATTTCGAGTTACTGAATATAATTAAGTGCGAAATGAATAATAATAATAATTATTATTATTATTATAGGCATAGTAATATATTTAAAAATATTTTATTATTGCTAATCATTATTATTTATATCATAATTTTCTATTGGACGCAATACATAAACTAAGCTGCAGTCATTAATATACGAATAAATATATAATAATAAGCATACCTCATATACCGTTATTTAAAAGAGACGTTTTTAACAATCGAATTATTATTTATGTATAATTTATCTGAAAAAGTACAAAAATAACCAGAACAAATATCGACGGTTATAGAAGTAGTTATATATTATCTACTTGCACAGCATAATAATTATTATGTAATAAAAATTAAAATACGTTACTAATTGAATAAATCAGTAAAATAATTATAAAAGGGTATAAAAGCCAATTTTTTAATTTTTCGGGAGATCATAAAAAAACGTGATTTGTACATATTTAATTTCAGGAACGGATATATCCCCTCCGTGGCCATCTCTCCTTCAAAAAGTATATATATTTTGAAAAATTGATTTTTCATTGTTAAAAAATTTTAAAAAGTCAGCCTCGTCCCTCTTTCACTATAACAAAATCGTTTTGACATTGTTGATACTGTACAATTTTCAATCACGCTAGTTCCACGTCTCGTGTTAAATGATTTTTATCGTAACTAAATGATATCGATATTTAAGTTGGATTAATCAATTAATAATTACATATTATGTTACGCCATTTACGACAAAAATAAAAATATAATAATCAATACGAAATCACCTTTTATCATGGTAATATAATATAATATAATATAATATGATATGATATAATATCTATTATTCGTAATTCTCAATGAAGTTCAAACCGAAAAGTATACTAAAATTATTAGTGCCAATATTTTAAAAATTTCGTAAGAATACGATGTATTGAAGCAACAAGAAATAAATAAATTATGAAGAACAAATCAGGTCGGCTCATACCGTATGAGTTTATTAAATCCATGTACCATATCTTTGACACATAATGTTTTAATAATTTGTTTTTCTCTGTTTCACACTTATGTAATGTTTGTATTAACTTCTACGTTTTAATAGTTAATAATAGTAAACAAATGTGTTTTAGGTTTATGGTTAATAATATTTTTTTGAGCAAAAACCAAAATGTTATTTTAGAGTAAAAACAATTACGTTAATTATTATTATTATTTTGTAATAAAATAACAAAGTAAAAACAAAATGTTTTATGCTTATTAGAGTTATTATTTATATTCTTGTGACGGGTTCTCGTTGGGAAGGGAGTAGAAGAGTTTATGAAAATCTATTGTTAATTGAATTGAATTTTTTTAACAATTACATTTTATTATGAATTATTTGGTTTAAAATTTGAATTTATGTTTTAACGGACATAGGAAATTTAATGCTCGTCGTTATAATAGCAAATAGCAAAAATTGATTTACAAAGAGTTTGTACTTTTCATCGCTCGGAATTAGCGGATTTACGCGTATCAACTCGAATGATAATGAAATGCGTAATATTATCTGCACCGTCACTGCCGTATAAATCGAAACGCCAAATATTCGATACCTAACTTTTGTGTTTTATTGTATACCCGGTCTTGATATACTTACTCGTAAACCAGACAATAATACCTAACGATCGTAGGACTCTGCAAAAGCAAAATTTCATTGGTATAAACGATTTCTTTCTCTCTCTCTTTCTCACTGAATAAACCACCGTAGTCGGGTTTTTTTTTCGCGTTTTCGTCCAAAACACGATTAGATATAGTATGTTGTAAATATATAAAAATAAAACATTAATGATGATTGTTATTATTATTATCGGTGCTTACTCCTACTCGCGGAATATTTCACTCGAACTTTTTAATGTATCTATAATACATTTAACGCGTTTGTAATACGAAACTTGCCAACAAATTTAAACTATAATAATATAACATATTACTTTCGTGGCGTGCTGACAGATTTTTTAATTTTAATAATATATTAATATCTTCGTGATCGAATACCTACTATGTTGTTGGTTACTTCTGCGTCTCATTTATAAAACAAAGTTTTCAACCGTTTGCAATAGGTATTATCGTTTAGTTTTATAAAAACAAGAATGCTTCTATTATTACGTTCCTTATTGTTTTGTTAATATTCTAAATCCTTTAAATCGAACACTTCACTTTTTCCCGTAGGACATAACCGCCGGCTCGCACTAGCATACATCGCGAGTATTATGCCTAATGCAGTAATCAACGTTCGATTCAATAGTTTGCATCACGGTATCCCACAGATTCTTGATTGTATACTTAAATAATACTATATGTTAGGTATCTAATCAATGGTTTCGGTTTTGTAAACATTTCGCTAACTAAAAATGATTCGAGTATAATACAACGGAACGGCACGACGTTAGGCGGACGAGTAACAGAACGCCGGGGGTCATAATAATAATAATAATAATAATAATAGTAAATAATAATAATTGATAATATCATCACTATTTTACCTGAGCGCGTCGACGTTGCCCATGAACGCGGCCAAATGTATGGCGGTGAAATTTCCACAGTGCGAATAGTGCAAGTTGGCCCCGCAGTCGTACAGCGAGTCCAGGCACTCGGCCGCGGCGCCCACGTATATGGCCCAGCAGAACAGTCTGTCCAGTTCGTTTTGGTTAGGCGGTGGCGACACGCCACCCGGGTCGAACTCGTTGAGCTCGACGTGCTCCATGAGCTGCAGCCGCCCGTTGCACGTCCGCATCGAGTCCATCAGGTCCCGTCTGATGGTGTCCTTCCGTATGATTATAGACAGTTCAATCTCTTGCAGGCCGTCCGGCGCGGCCGCCGCCGCCGCGTTGACGGCCGGCCCGTCGGGCAAGCTCTCTATGAACAGAAACTCTTCGACGTTGGACCGCCGCTGCCGATCGTCGCGGGGCTTATACCGGAAACTGTACCACCGATCCTTGAGTGACGATTGCGGTTGCTGCAGCGACGACGACGCCGACCTGGACGTCCCCGTCCCCGTGCCGCCGTGCCTGTTGTGCACGTTCAGGCTGATCGTCCTGTCCAGTGGCAAGGCCGCCGTCACAGCGGCCACTTCCAAGTGATGTTTGGTGTTCATCGCCACCGTAGGTCAACCGCGGGTTTTTTTTTTTTATGGGTTTCGGATGTATAAAAGAATAGTTTATTCGTCTATATATATTATATTCTAGGTAATGTGAGGATAAGATTACAAAAATATAGCTCTCGCGATTAGGTTATTGGGCTCGTGTCTGCACAGAGTCGACCGGTCGCGTGTTCGGCTCCTTCGGCGATCCGCTCGCCAATGTCCGTCTGTTGTGCGGCTGGCGCGATCGGGGACCTCTCGTTAGTTGACGACGGTGTGATGCCCGAGAGCGTGGCCACTATCGGAACTATGAGCGTATCTCCCTCTCTCCCCCCGTAACCATCACCTATCCCCTGTTCGCTCAAACTCCGTTTTATTTGAATATTATACAGGGTGATTTTTTTTTTTTTTTTTATCATTTTATTATTTACCGAGGTTTTGTGTGCAATTGATTTTGGATTTTGTTTAATGATCTTATGTATAGATTAATATTTTAAAACGTTTTCCTTTATTCCGTATTTTCGTACACACATCAGCATTCGATTTTAAAATAGCGTCCATTGTCCTTTTCAAACCATATTCGAAAAAAGAATGTTATTTTTCTGAAATCAATGATGTGATTGCATAACACTGATATAGGTATTGGATTTATCGTTACGTCGCCGTCATGCTAAACGTGACTCAAACTAATAAATTATGTACGGTCGATTCGCCGAATAATTTTACCACAGTCTTCTCTCGAGTAACAGAAAAAAACGACCGACTGAAAATTTAGAACATATGGGTATATGTTCTAAATTTATAGTTATAGATTTTTATATTTCGACCAAGAGTCAATTGTTCACACGATCGTGAATATCGTTATGTTTACAAGCTAAAGTTAAAATTTCACTTCGACACTTTTTGAGTAGGTAACAGCGTCGGTTTAATAGGTATAACAGTTTAAAATTTAGATCGGGGAAGTATATAAGGAAGGGTTATCGTCCAAAAATCGGTGTGCAGTTTGTTACCTTTCACTACTCCGGTGTACATTTTTCACTGTTATTACACGTAAACGGTGTATCCGGTAATAATAACTCATGTCAACATAATATGTTTAGTTTAGACAAATATCGGTTCTTTTAGAATCCGAGTTGAAAAGACCGGTGGGTTGCTGCTATATGAAAATCAAAAGTAAATATACTCGCATTGAAGGTATATAAGGGGGGATAGGGGATTGAAGACGTATAGGGTTAAAATTTTGAAAACTTCAACAATAATTCTATTTTGGTTAAGGGGGGGGGACTTAGAAATCAAAAATTTACTCAGAACCCTCCTGAAAAATATCGCAGGGTCGCGATAAAACTAATCACCCTGTATACTTAATATTATTATTATTACTATTACGGCGAGGTACATTAATATACCGCGTTGGTCACTAACACGTGGTGTGTTGACCGGTAACGCGCGAATCCACCGTGACTACCGGTGTCTCTCTCTTTCTCATGTTTTTTTTTTCGTATTTTAAAATACCGTACACGTTATTTTTTTTATTATTATTATTATTATTATGCTATTATTAATATTATACACGCGTAATGCCGGAGGTATACGGTTATAGGTAATACGCGACTACGGTTTAAAATGAAAAAAATGAAAAAAAAAAAAAATGTACTCAATAATACCTATATCTACAGAGGTGTAGGTATCACGATATACCTTATTACGATGCCTATGAATTCCGGGCACGTAAACCGTTAGTTTTCCAATCGCATCAAAGTCAAGGTCGACTATTTATTTTTTTTTTAACATGCATCACCGTCATACTTAGAAAATAGGTACAATAATAAATAATCCTCTCTTCGAACAATTTTCTCCGGTTAATATTATAATAACAATAAATATACCATGTATACAATATAACGCGTCACCCGTTTTTTAAACTAATCGACGATAATATACTTTAAAAACCGCGAACTTTTTATTTGTTTTTAATATCTAAACGATTAAAACAAATGCGTTCCTTATTCTAGTCGTATCTGTATGTATTTTATAAATCAAACATAAACGACGTCAAAGCGAGATTAAAAGTAAAATGTATTATTTAAATTTAGAACTGTTTAAAGGGCCAAACATTTCACGAGGATACGTAGGTAATTTTTTTTAATGGACAAAATATTAAAATGGTGAAAAACCAATAATCAAAAGTTGATCACTGAAAACAAATTTGGATGTCTTTTCATTTTAAATTATTGCCAATGTACCTATAAAGCGAATACTTACAAATTAATTATAACAAAAAAAAAAAAAAATTATGTATATTTTTATTGACTCACTGAAATATTTTTTTATATTGGCACTTCTGACATATTTATTTCGGAGCCAATAAAAAAATATTTTCATATATCTTTGACGTTCTCGTGCACAGTTTCATATTACTCGTTTCTTACGACAAAGATATTCTTTGAATTTAATATGCACAAACATCAACATACTATTCGAAAGGCTAACGAAAATAACAATTGATTTTTGAAAGACTTGATTTACGCTACGGCTAAAATCCATTGCGGTTTTTATAAACGCATTGTTTGTATGCCTAAACATAATATTATTGAATTATCTGACAAATGTTTCACTAAAATAGCTGTAAGTGTATCTGTTATTATTAAACTGTCATTATAGATAATGTTATAAAATTTGATTTCATAACAGCCTCGTTTGAATGTATCTATGTTATGTATTATTTTGTTTAAGAAATTATTTTTAAAAAAATTCGCAACTGTCAATTATTACATTTAAAAATATATTAATTTTGAATCTTAAAAGTATTTTAAAATATTCTCTTTAATCTCTATTTTTTTAAATTCGCAAGACATGAAATTCGAAAAATTACTCGTACAGTGCCATCTGTATTCAATTATTTATTTTTACAATTTATAGATGGTACTTTTTTAGAGAAACTAAATACATAATTAAAAAACGAATAGCTCTATTGCTCCGCTCAGAATCCAAGACAAACATATAAAATATTATTTACGTCTTTATAATATACAACTAGACAGTTGAGTTGAGTGAAGACACTTTTTTTAGACTGTTATACTTTGATCACAGAGTCATTAACCCTATTTATATTAACATTATTCTAGTAAAATATATCATATAATTATATATATTTGTTTAGATACTATTTCCATTATTATTCACGGATATGGTCGAAAAAGTCGATATTGAAGCTACTGTCCGAGGAGGCGGAATTTCGGGGAAAGCTGGTGCAATTCGTTTTGGTATTTCTTGGAGTTTGCGTTCATTTGTGGAACCTGAAACTGTAGAACGGATGCGAATTGGTAACTACAATTTTTGTGTTTTGTAAATTTTTTAAATTAATATTACGATATTAAATTTACTTTTAAGCCGGTCTATTGCAAAAAGACTACAGGAGAAGGGAAAGGAAGAAGCCAGGCCAAGCAAGAGCTAGAAGGAAGTTCACTTGGAAGAAACGTTAAATCTTTTATGTTATGCAGTTGTGTAAATATATTATAATAAACTAGATTTTTGTATGTACTTAGTGTATTTAATTTATTGTTTTAAAACAGGGGTTGGCATCCTTTCTGGTGCAAAATGCCAAAAAATAAAAATAAACTTTTTCACAGGCCACTGGTTCTCATCCCCTGCTATAAAGTACAGATTTTATACATTACTATAAAAATAAACTATTATTGTGGGAATTATTAATTTTATCATAAAATAACATTTTATAATTTTAGTTAGTTCAATAAATTATATTAGGTTAAACCAAGTAAGTAAGTAACAATATTATTTATAGTGAATTCAAAATATTCATTAATTTGAATAAAATAAACCCATAATTTAATATGTGCTATTAAATTATAACTAAAAAATAATAATATAAAGTGCATTCTTTACATTGTCTGTGTACCATGATAAAATATTTAATAGTAAAGACTGGAATTTCATAGAATATAAATGAGGTTAATACTTCAAACACAATAGTATAATAATAATATGATACTAATTAATAACATATTAAAATATGTTTAGTGAAATACAGATATTAAATTTAATTTTAGTCTATTTAAAGAAATTTTTCAAAGTATAGGTGAGTAAATTTTGTCCATAAAATAAGAATACAAAAACAGGTTTTCTCGTTACCCATTTTTTTTTTTCAAAAATGTATAAAATTCAATTACCTCACTATATGAGTTTTAATTTATTTAATCGGGGGAAAAAAATGCATACTTGATAGAGTATTATTTTAGGTTTAAAAATTAGATTTTCAACAGAAAGTTTAAAAATTGATGTTGCTGTTGACAAGTTTATGGAGTTAAAACATAATTAGAGTTTAGCATTTTATTGAACAATATGAGGTAGTATTTTATTATGTAGTAAAAATTATTTATTTTAAATTCTTAGTATAAAAAAAGAGCTATTAGTTATACAAAGATTTGTTTTTTTTTCTTGTTATTCAATATCAATGAATATATATTTTCGTCTGAAAAATTTTGTTATACATAGTATCCAAAAAAAAATTTGGAATTTTCGTAAAGTGGTAGATATTTTGTGACACTTTTTTTTAGACATTTTCAACAGTTAACATGCTATTCACCCATTTTTGTTTTTTCTTGTAAAATAAATTTTCAACCAGAAGACTTACTATAAGAAAACAGAGTGATGGTCTTGCGATTTATCGAATGGTCAAGATGCTCGAGTTTCTGTGAAAAAACTCGTTATATTTTATTTTAATTTTGTATGGAATTAATTATGATGGTACCTAAGTGTGGAAATGTGACGACGGCGGTGCCATTTATAAATGTCGTATATCTCTATTTTTATTTTACTCTTAATGAAATGTTTCTAAAGAGATATGTATCCCTCTCAAACAACGAATGCTCCATTATATTTATTAAATTATTAAATTTTTTTAATACAGAATACCAAGTAACAAGTATTTCACGCTGTTATAATAATATAAATAATTCTACATAGGTATGTTTTGTGAGCATAGCATTACATAATCATAATTTTTCAAATACCTATATGTATAAATTTGTTTTTTTCAAACGTTTCATTTACCTAAGTATACCTAGACACCTAATTGTAACTTTCAGAACACATTTAAAAAAAAAAAAAGATTACTCATTGAAATATATAAACTAAAATATTAATTTTACGTTTTAGGTAATTGAAATGTAATAAACAAACATAGGTTAGGTTAAAGATTATAACAGTTCGACAGTTACAATCGATTATAACACACGTATTTGTGACTTACGTTCAGGGTAAAGTTTCCCGTTTTTTGTGCGAGTTGTACCATTATCTTCAACCGGCCATGGTGATTTTTTCAGTTTAGTCGTGAGTTAAGCAGGCGCGGATCCAGAGTAATTATTAGGGGGGAGGCTATTTTATATTGCGGACATTATATAATATATAAAATTCAATAATTATAAATATTATAAGTATTACCATAAATATATCTTAACGTTGTAAAGGAATAAATTTTCAATTAAAAAATTTAAAAAACTAGGTACCTAGGTACATTGAAAAAACTCTCTTTATTTAAGAAATTAGTAAAAGCAATAAAAAAATATTAATTGTAAAGCAAAATCTATTTTTTTTTTTTGATTTTTGAAAACCTGTCAATAATTTAAGTGATGTCTACATCAATATCACGATGGATATCTTAAAGAGCAAGTCCAGTTAATCTGGTCTCTGACATAGTTGATCTCAGCCATGTTTTGAGTCTTAGTAGTGTAGAAAACGTTCTCTCAACACTTACATTGCTTATTGGAAGAGTTATCAAAATGGTCAAAAGACGACTGATTAACAGAAATATTTCTTCGTCACAATTTGCAAGTATTTCCATAACATACATGGAATTTACCGAAATGTTTTTTAAGTTTTTCACGGTTCAAGAGTAGCCAACCATATGAGAGAGACTACAAAGTGAAACAATAATTTCACTGTCACATAATACTGTTAATAGAGATTTAGCTTTTCCAGAAATATTCAAGTCTCTTCATGATTCGAACAATGTAACAATAATTTTATGCATACAACTTATTACTCCTTCATGTCTCTCGATTTATCTCGTTTCGCCAATTAACTGATGCCCAACATATTTTCTTAAAACAACTGTACTTTTAGCTGATGTAGACAAATATGATACAGTTTCTTTAATTACTCCAATAAGATTTCTGATACTTTTGACGCGTGAAGTTTGTGATATAAAATTATTTAGCGAATGATTATAACAAGGACATTTGCGGGCATTAGATGCTACTTTAGTGATTTCATTAACAGCTCCACGAAGTTCTGACACTATTATACTACATCTATTAGTCCTACATCCACACATTTTTTCAAATCAAAACCAATACTATTAAATTGCTTGATAATAATTTTACCTAGTACTTTTCTAGTTATTGAAATTTCTTTTTTTTCTTCGCCATTTTCTCCACTATCTTCGTTATCTTCAGGTTCCTCTAGTAAAGCCGGAACTTCATCAACAGCATCGAAAAACATGACGAAATCTTTTCTAATTGAATGATTATAAATATATTTATATATTTATAACGGTAGGTAGGCCTATAAATGTGGGCGATTACGATATGAGACAACGCCCGGTATCCGTCACGTCGTAAGTCGGCGTAATAAAAAAAATTACTGAATTATAAATAGAACTATCCGCAAAACAATGCCATTTATTATTATTAAATGTACATACGAACTAAAAATAACGGTCCAACCTAAAAAATATTATTTTCGTCATTGCTTGATATATTAATATAACAATTTAATTTTTTTTTTCGTGACATTTTGGGGTGCCATCGCTCCCATAGCCCCTCCTCTTGTATCCGCGCCTGGAGTTAAGCGAACGCGTGATAATTACGACGGCGGTTGTTCCTGTATCACGTCGTCGCATTCGTACATTTGTTACTCTTTATCTGGTTGAACTTTGTATTTTTGATGGTCATTTGAGTTGTTTTATCTAGGTAAAACACGGTCAAGCTTATATACACGAATCTATTATATCAATTAATATGGCATCAAACTGTGCATTGTGCAATTTATTAATTTTATCAATTCAATTTTAATATTTACTAATTTCTTAAAGTGTTCTTTTCAATGTACCTAGGTACCTAGTTTTTTTTTTAATTTTTAGTTAAAAGTTTATTCCTTTACAATGTTCAGAATTATTGAATTTTATATATTATATTATGTCCACAATATAAAATGCCCCCCCCCCTAATAATTACTCTGGTTGTGCGCCTGACTATAAGATAGGCCCTTTTGTAAACAGTATTTATGCATTTAAAAGTTTGAGGTTTAATGTTCAATTATTTTTCAGTACCTATAATTTAAATAAGATATAGCATGTTGAATAATGTTTGAATAATTAAAAATTACTTTGATCACAGGTTCTGCGTAACAATTAATGACAACAATTTATTTATTCATTAACAAAACAAAGTTAAAATAAAATCCATATTTTCATCAATATTATATTATGTTTTCAAAAATCAATACAATTTATAAGTATGTTTTTCTTTTGTAATTATTTTCCTCTAAAGAGTAATTTAGGTAAATCCAGTGCAACTAATGAACAAAATCGAAAAAAAATAAATAAATGTTGAATATGATTTAAGTACTAATACCTACATATAAATTAAATTGTCAATAACTACGTATATCTATAGTACGCAGATTCAATAAAACAAAAATAATATAAATATTTGAATGTTTTTCAAACGCAACTCTACCAATAATTAACAATACAAAATTACAAGTTGCATAATTACATTAAAAAACAATTATATTTTAATCACGCCTGGAACCCGAATGCCTTTTGAAGGTTAAATTGATAATTGTAATCCCCTACAAAAATTGCATCCTGTGTACCTATTACGAATAATTGTGAGTATAATATTATTATATTATAGCATTGATTACAATATATTATTTCAATTGTTACACGGCGGAATAACCGGCAGTTGATATACCTACCTAATAATATTTATAATCATCGACTATTACGTATAACATTATGCTTGTGAATTGTGAATGATGGATGATTCACTCGCCGACTGGATTTTTTTCTACGGTTTCGCTGGTTGTTGCGTCTCCCACCGCAACAGGTAGCGTTACCACGGAGGAGAAGAGGGAGCAAAACTGGTCAATGAAAATGAAGATAGGTATGGTATAATACCTCCTGTGTGAGTTTTAGTGAGTGCTGTTCGGCCGTGAAACGTTGTACATCGACGAGTTCGATGCACTGTGTAAAAATAAAATAATATTTTAATTGTGTACTACCTACGCAAATCCGGCAAATATGAGTGTGAAAAAAGTTACCCGGCGTTTAAGTTTGGACGAGTGCACGCGCGAGTATTTAGAAATGGGAATGGACTTGACGAACAAACAAAAAAGATATTCGAGCGTTCACGAAAAATTCTTTAACCGGATCCGGGAACGGCCGATATCTTTCGAATTGTCATCGAGTATGGATTTAGTGGACGAAACGGATGAACCTACCATTACGTCGGCATCTCAGGATGTCGCTAAAAGTTCCAATCAGTTGAGCGTCAACAACTACATGGAAATGGTAAAAATGTACCTGTTGGACTTGGCGAAAGGGTACACCAACGGTTTTCGATTGCTTCACGACATCGAGTCCGGTGTAGCGAATCTGGAAATGTTGTACAAATGCCCGCAACAATTGAAAAACTTAATACTCCTGTGGGCGTGTTTCGTCAACAAGTGCGATGTCGTGGAATTCATGTTGCTTAAAGCCGGTACGGACATAAATTACAAACTACCGTGCCGAGGCTACGGTGCCATACACATAAGCTCTTTGAACGGTTGTGTTAATTGTTTGAAGTTGTTGTTGGCACACGGATGCGATCCGAATTGTCGGATCGAAGAGACGACGGCGTTACACTTTGCCACTTTCACAGATTCCGTAGACGCCGTCCGTACACTTATCGAACACGGTTGCAAGCTCGAATCTACTGTGATACACAGTGCCGTCAAGTCCAGAGCTTTGGGGTGCGTTAAACTCCTGTTATTCGAGTACAACATGGACGTGAACGTGCTGGACTCGATGGGTTGTGCTCCTATACACATTTGCGCCGACCAAGGTTTCTCGGACTGCTTACAGGTGTTATTGAAATCGGACAAAACTGTAATCGACTTGAAAGATTATCACGAATACACGGCATTGCATTTGGCGTGCGAGTCCGCGCACGTTGAGTGCGTAAAACTGCTGGTCGAATACAAGGCCAACGTACACGCGAAAAACATGAAATCACAAATGCCCGTACACATGGCCGCCAAATCTCAAAGCGTGGACTGCATCGATATGCTGATAAAAGCGGGAGCTGACGTGAACGCCAGAGACATTGACGACCGTACGCCACTGCATTCGGCCATTTCCGTCAAGACCCTAAACATTTGTCAGGCCGTCGACACGTTACTCGGTTACCACGCAAAGGTCAACGTACAAGACCATTATGGGTTCACGCCCCTACACATAGCGGCTCTCAACGAGGCGCCCGAATGCGTGGAGTCGTTGTTGGCCAAAGGCGGCAACGTGGGCATTCAAACTTACGGTGGTATATCGGCACTGAACATGATCGTGAGAAAGGTGCCGGCTTGTGTACCGGCAGTCGCTAAACAGTTAGACAGTGCTGTCACGTCGAACTGGGCGGATGGGTTTAAACGAGGCCCAGAGATACAACTTCGGTTTAAATATTTATTCAATTCCAATACGTTTGGCGAAATCGATTTACTTAAATGTTTCCAAGAAGAATGCCAATACGAATTACTGGAACATCCGCTGTGCCAGGCTTTTTTATTTTTGAAATGGAGAAAAGTACGAAAATATTATTTGATGAGACTGTTGATTTTGGCGTTTTTTATTCTTATTTACTCGGTTTATGTTATAACCGTATTGAGTCACAATTGTTACAACGCGGTTCATGTTTTCAACAGCAGTAATTCAACGTGTCTGCAGCACAACTCCACCTTAGGCCATTACTTGATGGAAAACGATGAAGTAATGGACGTAAGTATTTGCCTATTATATTTTATCAGCGTTATAGAAGGTTTCTTGAAAATATCCGAAATGGCCGTATACATGTATGTCCAACATTATTTTTTCAGTCTGAGTAACTTTTGTGAATGGATATTTTTAATAAGTGTCCCATGTATATCGTTTCATATTCAAGGGCAAACCTACAGCTGGCAAAATCACATCGGTGCACTGTGCGTACTTTGTGCTTGGACGAATTTCATGGTTAAAATGGGCCAATTGCCTTGGTTCGACACTTATGTCGCTATGTACATTAAAGTTCAAAGGGAATTTGCCAAACTTTTAATGGCGTATATATGCCTGCTGATAGGTTTCTCTGTTAGCCTTTGCGTCATGTTTCCTTCTTCTCAGTGGTTCAGTAATCCCATCACAGGTTTTGTTAAAGTTCTCGTGATGATGGCGGGAGAATTGGATATTTCAATGTTAGAAGAACACGTTCCAAATGAGTCACTGGCTGTATTTAAATTCAGCGCTTATATCATTTACGTAGCTCTTTTGATATTTGTATCGATCATACTGATGAACCTTCTTGTCGGAATAGCTGTACACGATATACAAGGGTTAGCAAAAACTGCCGGTTTGTCTAAAGTCAGATGCCAGATCGAACTTATATACTATATAGAACTATTCATGTTGAGAAGTTTTTGGCCGAAAAACATCAAAAGTAGGGCTTTAGTTTATCCTTCTAGAAATCGCGCTCTTATGACCGTTAAACCGTTGAATCAAAAACAAACATTGCCCAGAGATATTATAGAAGCTATACGGAACGTTATTAAACGGAAAAAACTCGATTGTTGTGATGGCAATGATATCCTTAAAATTCAGGAAATTTTAAAAGAAGTAAAAGACTTAAGAACGGTTGTAGAAGAAAATCAAAAAGTCATTAAACATTTGTTAATGAATGCCAATAAAATGTGATAATAATAATAAGTTAGTGTAGGTATTATACACTAAATACTTATTCTTACTGACATTACATGTAGACAACTGATGAGTTTAGGTAGGTCCTTATATTTGAACTTAAATAATTTCCTACTGCGGTTTCGGAATTTTGTTATGTACATAGTGAAAAAATGTTTAATAAAAAATAAATAAATATTTTTATTAACGTAAAAACCATCCTTTTTTTACAAACTTTGAGGCACGTGAAGGGGTTGACTAATTATCATACCTAAAATGTAAGAAAATTATTTTTACAATGTACTTAACAGAATTCTGAGTCCGTGAATTCAAATATTTGATATTTATTTTCAACCTATAAGTAAGGACCACCCTACTGATGATGTATAGAAAGAGTTAATATTAATTTAATCAATACTTAATAGACATAAATCTACAAACGTTTTATGACTGTTTTAGATTTATTCTGAATCTACTTAAGTTTTTTTTGATTATACAACATACCCACGTATAATTTTATATGTATTAAAATATTATCCCTATAACCATGTTTACTATAAACTTGATCCAAAAGACTTATTTTTTAACTTTTATGTGATACGTTCAACACATGCGTTTAACATGTCCAATGAACATAATATTATACTAATGTACATTGTTGTTTATTATGAGTGTTCATATTGTATTCATGATATACCTAGGAGCATATTTTTAAGAACTTTGTTAAATATATTTTATTCTTCATTATAATAATTAAGAAAGGTACCTATTTTTATTATAAATGTTTAATTTCATTGTGTGAAATATAAACGTACCTAAGTACTTATTTGTTTTTATGCACACCTAGGTATTTGATTTATTGTTAATATAATGTAGAAGTAAATACCTGTTAAATATATAGATTTATGTATTTTTAGAATCATTTATAATTAAATATTTATTCGTGCAAACAAATAATATATTAGGTATAATATTTGTATATTTGTTCCTTATTATAATTAATGTATTGCTCAAAATATTTGTAAAAAACCTATGTAAAACCAAGTAATTTATTTTTTTATTATAACTTATAATAAATATTGAAAATCATAACAGTATTTAATATTATATAGGTACCTATCTATCTACGAGTATGAGTATATATATATATATATATATATATGTATACAAGGTGATTAATATACTCATTATCTCAGAAGCATTTAATTTTTTTTGGACAACTTATAATACAAGTAGCCCTAAAATGTAACATTATCTACCATTATTCCCACTATTGATTTTCAAATAGCAAATGCTTCATAGCCAATACTTTCCGAGGTGTTGCATGTCTTATCGAGGATTGATCACACTGTATACAAGGTATGTACCTACACCTAATCTATTGGTAGATAGGTATTAAAAAATAAAATGTATTTTCAAAAGTAGATTGTACCTATTGATTTACTGTGTTTTTTTCTATTGTTTGTTGTTAGGCACCTAAAAAAATAGAATTCATTGGTATATATATATATATATATATGTATTGCATCTGCACAGAGTGTTTCTAATTAGCGATTACTTACATACTGTACCTATTCCACTGTAGGTATACCTATACGTCATATTATAAATGTTGGTAGGCATTTATTTATACAAATACTTAATCCTGTTGTTTTATATTTTCTATAGTATATATTATATACATATTCACGTGAATATATGATATTCTGTTATTGTATTATGTTTAAATATTTCCTGATGAATTTAAACCTTCGAAGTTGTTGTGAAGCCGTGAAGGATAACTAGTTTAAGGTGGTACAGCAATATTATAACTGGTTTATTCACACATATAAATACCATAAACACAATGAGAATAAATGAAGAATAAAATTTAGTTAATTATGTGGGTACTTACTGTAGTATATTGTATATCCAACCGCTGAATCGTTAATAATAATAATAATAAAATATTTCAATATATTACAATATTGTTTTACGCGACCGTCACCGTCGCCAGCATTATTATTGTTACCTAGCTATATGGTATTAATATACCTAAAGCTTTGTTGCTAACTTCAGGATATTCATCTTTAATACTGTTCCAAAATCCTATAAGTGAATATGAAGAAAATTGCATTCGTAGTGAAGAATCGGATGGATAAGATAAGGTAATCGTTTCTATAAAATTGTTATCAGACGCATAATTGATCTAAAAATAACTATATATACAAAATTCTAACGGCGCGCCGCGCCTCCCTTGTTAAATGCTCGCGCCTCTTTTGGATGACGCGCCACACAGTTTGGGAACCGCTGATATAGACAATAAACATAGGTAAGTACTAATATAGTTATTTACAGGGATACACGGTGACACCACAGTCGAACACGATAAATTTTAAGTATCCAAGTTATTTGTTTTTAAAAGTTGTATAGAACTAAAAAAAACGGATTATTTTTATTGTGTGAAAATATAGTGGTTTTAAAAAGAATAGTTTTGGTGGTCTAAAAATTGTTGGCGTTTTACGCGTGACATCATAAAATCACACCGTGATATTTATTTGGAACCATTAAAATAACTGTAAAGTAAAATTGATTAAAGGTATAAGTTATTAAAGTACATTTATAAAAAGGTTATGATGTATTTCTTTATATAATTGTATTTTTCATACTATTAAAATTTGTTTCACGGTAGTTTATAGACACGATTAAAAATTTATAAAATAGCAAAGATAAAATATTATTATACTTTGTTATTTAAAATTTAAACTAATTTGTTATTATAATTAACTATAATGTATGAACTTTAATAAATCTAAAAAAAAACTTCAGAACAATATATTTTAATTCCAACAAAAACTGATTACACAAATTCACTGAATTGCGATTTTTTATATATTTTGAATTTTATAATTAAATTGAATTTAATATAGGTACTATATTATGTCCATAACAAAGTACAATTTTGAGCCTATTTTCGATAACTACAATTACTCAGAATATGAAGAGATAGTAGATTTTAATAAATATAAATTATCTACATAAAATAATGCCTTTGAAATGCATATTATTTTTAAGTACCTTCCAAAGAAAGTATTGAAAACCAGTCATTAGATTCACATAGTACCTATTAATTACAAACAATGTAAAACAACTAGCAAATATAAAATAACTATAAATAGCTCAAAAATTGCCTAAATGCTTATAAAATATTACCACGTTCAGAAAAAGCAAATAAGTTTTTAGTCAAAATTTCTTAGTCTCTACATCTCATTTTTGACTCAATTGACATCAAAAAAAACCAAATTGAAAATAATAAAACAATTATTTCTGTAAATTTACCTGTTCTTTCTATGTTTTTTGTCACTAAAATTATGAAAATTGATTGGAAAATAAAATAAACAAAAATGCTTCAAAATTTAATAAGAAGTTCATTTTAAGTTGTATTTAGTGATTAAAAAGAAAAAGTTGTCGCAATATAGCTGATAGGATTTTTTATACCTAAGAGTTTTGATAAGAAATATTGACGAAAATCATAAAAATTACGGCATTTTAAGACATGTATAGCCAAACTTCACCCAGAATTGTGTTTCATTAGCAATGGTTTATTGTTGCTCACAGATAAAAATAAATAATTTTATGTATCCTCTTTTCCCAACTTCTTACATACGAATCCTACAACAATAGCACACCATTTAACAGTATCAAATTTTTTTTTTTATATTAAAATGTAAAACTTATATCGAAACTTGTGTTCAATTTTCATTTTTATTTAAAATTAATAGTTGGTATAGTTAAATAAAATAAAAAAAATTTTAATTACTGTCATCATAATCTAGAAACTTAATTTGAATGGTATTAAAAATAAATTAATAATATGATAACAAATGTTAATTTTTTCTTCTCATAATAGTTTTACATTAAATTAACTGACCAGAAATAATAAAGAAAATATAAAAAATATATATAAATATGTAATACTATCATTATATTATTATAATGACGTTGATTATACATGTGGCCGGCAATAAATATTAGCGAAGAAAAAGAAAAAAAAAAACATTAATTGTCAATGCATGGTAAATAATGAAATATATACATCTATTTAAAAACCAATTTTGATATAAGTACATTTTTTTTTTTTTTTTTTGGTAGTCCCATAAGCCACTTATATTATTGTAATGTCATTACATGTTCAATATATTGTACTACATAGTATGAACAAACTGAGGATAAACATTGCATTATTTAGTTGTAGTTAGATAATTAGGTACTAAATCATTATAATATGGGTATGTATGATTATATTTAATGTAATTTATTCAATGTATATTATCTAATATGTTTGGGTAAAATTTAAAACACATAACAGACAAATCCTAATCAATTAAAAATTATAAAATGGTCCCTATTTTTTTCTACAACATTGCCTCATAAAGTAAGGAATAGTTTTTGAAGAAACATTAAATACCTATATTTTTAGAATTTATTTACATCTTCAAAATACTACATACTCACTTTTAAGACAACAATCGCTACTTTAAGAAATATTATGTTTATTACATTATACTTAATTATTACAAGACAACAATGGTAACCAAAGAATTCATTAATTATATATTTTTAATTAGATTAAATTAAATTATTCAATTGTATAAATATTTGTCCATGTAATTCAATAAATTCATATTCATGGTTTTAATATAAGTTACAAGAGTTACAACCAAAAGTTTAAATAATAAATCATTATAAAAAATTCAATATTAACATAGGCATCACATTTTGATACATGTGGCACATAATACATTATTATTGTACCTTACTGTGATAGATAAAAATAAATATCACATTTAGCAGATTTAGGGTTTACATTAAAAAAGTTAGATACATGGAATGGTCAGCAAAAAATTGAAAGTTTGTTTACAATAATATAATGTTGTTGACTACATAAGTTACAAATTTCCTATACAGGATTTATTTCTTATATAGAAATTTTATGAAATATTTTTACATAATATATCAGTTAAAATTAATCACAATAATATATGTATGAAAAATAAAGTATAATAAATTCTTTGATAATGAAATGAGTTTAATTCTTATGTTTTAAGCAAAGGGCACAAGTCACATACTCTTTTCTCTTTACATAATAATAATATGTATATATGTAATAAACAGTATACAACATTAAGTGGAAAACAAAAACTGATCTACACCATGTATAAACAAGGAAAAAAGTATTTTGATTAAAAAATAAGAATTTTAGATTGATATAAATTGATTAGATCTGTTATCTTTTTTCTGGTTAAAGTAATTAATTAATATATAATAGTATAATTATGAAAAAAAAAATTACAAAAGTAATGTCAGAAAAACATTTCCAAACAGACCATAATAATGGGCTCTCTGCCTCTGATTATCTACGCATATATTAATATACATAAATATTTTTTATAAATGCACTGCATGATTAATAATTATGAATCAATCTGAATCTTCAAGTGGTTTCAAGTCACTAAGATCTGGCGGAGAACTAAGGAAACCCCTGGCTAGTGCATATTCTATTAGAGCTAAATGACAGAACACATACTGTTCAGGTGTTTGGATAGAATAAGCCCGTTGTGACCTGATTCTTTCTACTGTTCCTTTAATATCAACTGTACTAGTCTCTTCCAAACGATTAATACATATGTCCAATGTACAAAATGTTCCTAAAAAAATACAAATAGAGTAAATATTTAATTTTTTTTTAAAATTGTTTACCTGTCCGTCCAATGCCTGCTGAACAATGAACAACAATTGGTGGTCCCCGTTGGTGTCCAGCCCATTTATCTCCAAGATCTTGTAACATGGATGACTGACATTTTCGAACTTTTCCAAGGAAATCCAACATTGCGACCGCACTGTGAGGAACACCAAAATCTGGCCAAGAGTTAAAACGAAAATGAGAGACTTGCCTAATCTCGTTGGTCTGAAATTATTAATAAACAATACAGATTATTTTATTAATTACTAGTAAATTCAATACATCTAAATAGATGTAAATGTAAAATACTTACATCAGTATTTACTACTTCCAGCCGTGTTACAGCATAATTATCAAACTGACTAATGTTTGTTGTTGATACTTTGAAATTCTGGTAAATTTGATCTTCAGACATTTCTTCAGGTGGCCAATATTGTTCACACTTTATTTTGCCACATTCGAATACTTTAGTTGTCATAACAATGACTAGTACTTGCTGTTCCCAAATCATACGCCAAAAATCTGCGCATGTATGAGGTAGTGGACCCTGAGTGGAAATGAATGCATTCTTTTGTTTATAACCATCAACGAAATTAGCATGTATATAATCAGACATGGGATCTTTTTCTGATTGTGCTAATAACACTCTAGTATGATCGTAACAAAGCACATCAGTATACCGATTTTTTAACAAATTTGGTCGAACTCTATAAATAAAAAATATGAATAATAAATTAATTGTTGTTGAAAAAACCGATAGAAATCAAGTACCTGGCAACATTAAATGTACCGTCAGGTGACCGATTTTTTATTTCTTCATATTCCCTAATGAGGCCAGCTCTTTTCTTTTTCAATACATGTTCAACAAATTGAATAATAGTTAAACTTTGACTAGAATCACAACGCAAACTGTCATCATCTGAAAAACCACTACTAACTGATGATGGTGGCATTGGAGAATTTTCTTCTGTAAATAAAATATTCATATAATATTCTATAAGTTTAGAATATGGGTATAACCTACCCCTTGAATTTGTTGTATTGCATGCCCACCCTGACAAGTTATCTTGAACTATTGCACTTTCTTCACTAACATTATTTTCTTTTAATAAATTATTCACCTAAAAATCAAATAATATATGAAAATGTATTAATATTTTTAAAAAGCCAGTAAATTGTCATAATGGGTATTTTGTACATTAAGTGATAAATCATATTATAAATAAATAAATAACTAATAAAAAATGATTCTGAGCAACGTTTGATTTATTATGTATTAATAATTTTTTATTGAAAATTGTTTTAATTGGTAATTAAAAATAAATTACAATAATCTATATTTTGTCTTCTCTATTCTTTGAAAATTTGTATAGAGCCAAGTCTTATTTACATAAATATTACCTAAATTATGAAATTTTTAAGATTTGTATGTACATTTTAAATTTAAGTACGTGTAAAAAAACCAAGGATTTTTAAATTTATATGGCACCATAAGAACAACTGACGATTAAAATTGCATTAAATTTCCAAACACTTGAGAAACCAACAAAATTGTATCCATATAAAGTCAAATAAAAGCTTTAAAAACTTATTAATTTTGAATAACTCAAAAATTGTCAGAATGTTTTAAAAATTATTCACAAGGCTAATATAAATTTTCAATAGACATTTCAGGTATATATAATTATTTTTAACTGAATTATAACAAAACTGAAATTAATAGAAGCCGCTATTGTGTAAATATCACTATTTTATCCTAATTATTAAAAACAATACAAAGAAAATCTGATGGGCATCTGTCAGAATAATTACAAGAAAAATCAAAAAATGCCTTACACAATAATACATACATTATACCAAAAATATATATTTTATTGAATTAAGATAATTCATAATTTTTTATTTTTAACATACTTTGGTATCTGGCCCAGTGTCTTTTTTTGTGTTATTTGAGTTACATATATGGTCGGACATAGCCGAACTTCCATATTTATCACTGTTCGTCATGTAGTTCAAACAGTGGGCTAACCATTTATTGTGATCAATGTCAACAGTACCACCCAAATGTTTTGGCAATGATTCCTTAGGTATATGTTGAATCAGCTGTAAAAAGGATGTATATTTAGAGTACACTTAACATATTTTATTTGAATCATTTAGTCACAATGAATTCACATACTTGGGGTAAGCTGATGGTAAAGACTCTGTCTCTTAATTTTTCTCTTACAAACAATCTGAGTATTTTAAATGGAGCTTTGAACCATAATGGCGCCGTTACAATTAAAACTTTCTTTAATTTAGCTGGATAACCACCCTGAAAAGAACCAAAAAAAAAAAAAATACAAATTATATAATTATGCCATCAATAGTTTCATAAAATATAACATATGAGCTGGCCAAAATGATTAATACATTTATATTTTACTATGAGTGAATACCAAATATATATTATACCTAATATTTCAGTACACTGTATAAAATAAAAATATGTACAAATAAAAGAATAAATATGTAATGTAACATTTGATAGTCAATCAAAGATGATAGATGTTTCCTTAATAATAGTTTTCCCATTGGCAACTAAATAAAAAAGTTAAAAATTAAAAATAGGTATTCAAATTGATTAATAATAACAATTTATCTTTTCATTGAAGAAATACATTAAAAGTTAAAATAATAATTAAATATCAGACTCAAAGCAATTAGTACAATTAATAGATTTTAAGGTTATCAATTTACTACACCCTTATAAATTTACAATAAATAAAACTAATATAGAATTTTGTTCTTAATTTAAAAATCTCATCATCAAACAATTAAATAAAATATGTTTAAAAACTTTCAAGATTTTAAAATAATTAATATAATTAGAAACAAACTGTATGTATTCAATAGCAGACATTTAAAAGAAATATTCTTAAATAATATGTAAGTACCTACCTTAAACATATTATTATTATTATGAGCTATTTTTTACTTCTCGGGTCGTAAAAATAGTGAGCTATCATTATAAATAGATCAGATGTGATAATAAACTAGGTCGGTACGCGACAATAAAGCAAAACTGTAATGGAAAATGTATTTGAAAATAAATAAATAAAATAAAACCATATTAGCTTTTTTTTTATACATTATTAAATGAAACGAAATAATGCAGTCTCGATTTTGTGGCACTCACTGCTTGGGATTAAACATCCCAAATTAAAGAAACTGAGCGCGTATATTACACTGAAGAGTAATTTACAAGGAGCGGAAAGAATGAAAAAAAAAAAAAAAGGCCGGGCTCTAAATTTAAACAACGGTACAATAATAGAGTGCACTTAACTAACGGATTACTACGCTCTAACAACATGTGCCAATAATTACGTTCTGGTTAGATTCAGACGATGTTCGTAAACTATATCCAAGCAAATTTCAATTGTTCTGTAGGTACACGAGATCATTATTTTATTTTTTTATTATTACGATTCGCGGTTTAATCCTCGTGTTATACGTTATTATTGTTTATTCTTAAACGCAGACATTCGGCAATCGTATTAAATAAAATTAATTAAACAGCTCTTTGTGAGTCATCGTGAAAATGTCAATAAGACGTTAAGAAAAAAAAAAAAAAATGTATTTATGTCGGGCAATAATCGACGATTAATCCCTAAATAATTATAGTAGCCGTTTAAAAATGACCATGTGTGTAAGAATAAACAAGAGAGTCAATTAATAATATGCTACGATTATACGAAGTCAGATAACCCGTATAAAAGTGGATTCGTATTATTACATAGTTAGTATTCAATGTAATTAATAATTGTTTTTATTAGGTATTATAAATAAATACATTTTTCTTCGGCAAATTAACGTTTTTAAATTATTATTATTATTGGTATTAAAGTTTACACAGACAGACAAGCCTATCAATGGCTATCATGGTCATTAAAGAGTTAAACAATATTAAAATTAAAATTTTATATTTTAATTAAAATTAAAATAATTTTAATTTTTAACTTAACTTATTTTTTTCACATTAACTTAATAAATATCGTTAATTTGTAATTGTATAAATTTAATTTGATTTAAATTTTAAGTTTTAACATAATATATTTATACTGTCGTGTAATTAATAACATATATAGGTATATATTCTAAAACTTTGTTTTGTCATAAATTTTTTTTTTTTTACTATGGTTAGGGACAGAAAAGTGAGTTTAATCTATCTCCCCTAGAAACCCCTTGATTTTTTTTCAAAACATCACAAACACAATGTTTAATCATTTTTACTTAAGAAAATATAAATGTTCAAAAAAAATTAAATTAATTTATAAAACAATTAACTTTTAACTTGTAATCAAACTTTTTAAAATTGACTTGCCCAGCCTTGTAGATACGTATATTTACGTTTTTAAGGACATTATTAATATTACACTATTAACTTAAAATCCATAATTAATACCATACAGGTATAATTTAAAACAAAAATATAATTTTCACATACAGTGATCATTTAATCACGAACCAGCGATTTTCTTTGAGGAATTAAATGAATTTGATTTCTGTTTTTCCTAATTATTATCGAATCGTATAAGTTTTATTTTAATACTATTTTCAATTTTTTACATCTACTCCTTAAACCTGATTTGATTATCTGCATTGGATTACTTTGATATAACAAGAAAATTATTCTCTATTTGAATCTATGATTGTAAGGGGAGTTGCTATTTAAAAATCCAAAGTAGGTAATCATTTCAGATGTAAGGAGTAGGGGTAAACAATTGAAAATAATGTTAAAAAAAAAAGGAAGCTTAAACGATTCAATTGTGGTTAAAATTAACTGAATTCAAATTCATTTAATTCTTCCGAGAAAACTGATGATTCGTGATTAAATGATCGTCCTGTATAAGGTAACCTGTAGACTTGGAGGAGCTTTTGTTGTTTGTCGGATATAAATAGTTAATAAAAAGTTAGTTTTGAAAAAAAATGTTGTAAAGCATTTCACCAACACTTATTTAGATGATCGTCTTGGATAGACCTATTTTGAATATAATTGTATAATGTAAATGAATAGTATAATATAATATAGTTCAAGGTCACAGAGCACAGAAATTATTAATCAATAACGGAGTAGCAAATTCAATGTACCATATAATTATCGGAAATATATTTGATATGATATGTGAATGATACGAGTACGTTCAATTTATCATCACATATTATTGGAGTAACAAAATTAAATTTCAACATTTTACGTATTAAAATTACTTTAATCCGCATATTTCGAGGTCTGTATGACATAATATAATATAATACACCTATATAGGTATTTAAATTAAAATATTTTAAATGTCTAAAAATTCGGAATTATTATTTAATATTTTGAACATGCAATGCGAAATGTTAATTACGTTCAAAACATTAATATTTTTTAATTTGCGTTTATTGTAGAAAAAAAAATTAAAATACTAATGATCTTTTTAACGACACGTGTAATTAACTTATTTATAAAAATTAACATATAGGGTACCTATATTACCTACGTGTAGAATTTAGATAATGTAAAATAAGTACATAATTATATCTTCAGTTTTCGATCAAAAGGGGTCGAGCCAAATATTGACTTTTCGAGGTTTCGATGTATTTTTATTCTAATAATTATAATATTAGATCTATTTTTGGGAGGAAAGAGATACGTACAACTTTTTCCTCGTAGGTTAAATATAATACTTCGTATTTTTTTAAATCATGAACTATAGGCAGTCGATAAGGATTAAATCAATGCATGAGAGACAATGTTTTGGATTAATAGAAATAAGTCATAGGTAATCGAGACGGGTTAAGCCGTAGAATCAAAACTATATACAAATTGAGTGATTGAAATCAAATGGTGAGAAAAAAAAATGTTTCGATGTACTCTAGAACTATATGTATATGCTATGTATTAAAAAATTCCTCCTTAGAATGAATTTTGGTTTTTTTTTTTTATTTACTTAACTCGTTTTGTCCTCAGAACATATTATAATATATTATACACATTTACTATAATTTATTATAATTTGCATTTGCCGTTTTTAATATTTAATTAATTTCATAGATATACTAATTATGCAGATGATTCATTTTACAAAAATTAACCGAGAATAAAGAAACCAATCTCGACTTTATTATCTCGTGAAATAATAATAATCATTATCGGCCGCCGAATAATATAACAAATAGAATATCAAAAGAATTAGCGTAATTAATGATAAAAAATTAAATTAGTTACGTTAAGTCGTATAATTAAAACAAGGTTAATTTTATTTGATAATAGATAAAAATGATGGTGGTTACGGCGGTTACCTACCACGTCATAACCGTTCGTCGCGGTGCGTTCACTGAACGCGGTGTGAATATAAAATTAAATAATAATACGTAAGTAATATTTCATTATACTTAATATAATATTATAGTTTCAATAAAATATTATGAGCTACCGCGTTGTTTTTTTTTTTTTTTTATTCTTCCATATGCTAACAATACACACAGCCGTGTATGGTGGAAATAAGCGGGACGATTTGCGGACGCGATTCGATAAACTTGTAAAAAAAACCAAACCAAACCAAACCTAAAACGCGAAATCTTTCGAAACTGAAAATAAAAAACCATATATTTACATTATTAAATCACGATAACTTTTTTTTTTTAAATATACAAGGCATTATAATAGTATTAGGTAACAGTTCATTCTCCAGCGGGTAAAAAAATAATAGTAATTATCACAAAAAAATATAATACCTACTCAATATTATATATTTATAACATTTTCCATGTGGAGAAAAGTGTAGATTTAATAATTAACAACGTTTTATCGAAATAAAATATATTATAGAATAAACGGCGTGTATAGGTAATTTTACAAAACGAATAAATAACCGAACGCATTTTTCAAATAAATAAATAGGTATTACTATATATATACAGAGTGATTATTTTATCGTGATCCATCGGTACCGTAATTATGACGATCAATGCGTATTAACGTTCATTATTCATCCGGTATAAATACGCTAAACTGAACGCTAGAACTATAATTCATAAACGAAAAACCCGATGTTAGTGTCAAACAAATCGAAATTTATAAGATTATTATTATTATTTGTTTTTTTTTTTCGTATCTGTATTGAAAAACCTAGGTAAAAACGTGAAAATAAAGCGTTCAATAAAATACAAAGCACGATTCCACAACGTTTCCGAAATGACCCCGAAATCGAAAATACTTGGAATTGTCAGAGAAAATCGCCGGGTCGTGATAAAATAATTACCCTGTATATTACCATTGTTTACTACCATGTTACTATACGTCAGATTACAGGAAGTTCGAAGTTATAATATACTGCGTTCGGTTTACACATAATATAATAACAAATTAAGAGTAGGTAGTAATAATATCGACTTGGCATATGGATACGATCAGTTCGGACTGATATTATAATACTAACAAAGTTTCGGTACAGTCGATATTATATACACGGCGAACATACCTATTTTTGGATCCGAAATCTGTAAACTCGATATACGAGAAACCGGACATAACATTATAATATTGCAATCTTTGGTGCCAAGGGAGAAAAGGGGCTTAAGTCAATTTTCTATAGTTTACACAAAGAGTACGGGCGAATTTAATTTTTGAAAATCGCTAAATGACATAATGACATAATTGCTTAAATGTAGTTCTAAAACGTTCTAAATGGCTTAAGTGATATAATTACGTGCCAAACAAAAAGTAGGTGTACATTAATGAATCGAGATATTTTAATTTTCGCTATGACATGTGCTTGTGAACAACGTGCACGTCTTCTTTAAGCCGTTTAAACCGAAAAATAAAGGGAATTGAAAATGACAAGGGGACACATACGATTATAGGGAAAAAAAATAATACTACAACTCAAGCCCCGGGACCAAAAGTGTATATTTTTGTATCGTTTAAAAACGAGTGAGTTACATAAGAAAAACAAAAAACCGACGTTTACTAGTGGCGACGACTCGAAAATTAAAAAATCCCGAAATCTCGACTAAACTGTAATACCGCTGTAGCTTCAATCATCTATAATACTAATACTATAAAACTGACAGATTTTCTGTTTTTATTTAATTTCCCCCTCCCCCGAGTTTTATAACAGCTATTACATCGTTTATATTATTATCACGGCCGCATCGTATTGTACACAATATTATCGGAGTACGTAGATACTATAATAATGTATTTTCAACGACCTTTGACGCGTACACATAAATAAGAATACATAATGTGAACGCATTTATTTTATACGCGATAAAAATATTGTCCCGTCTCGTGCGATTAGGTCGTCTTCGTCGTCGAATTTTCACCATGCACACGAATTATTATTACAATATAATAATACTATATCGTATGATAGTCTCCGAGTTTTTTTTTTGTTTTTTTTTTTTACAGTTTTATAAGAACATTATTATTGCCGAGTTGTTGCGTTGTTTCGGTCGAATGCGAGAAGAAAACCGAATTTTCTCTTTTCAGGAGCCACAAACGTATCTATAATATAATATCTATACAGGTATATACCGTCCTGTATATCTATTACCGTCGCCCGTACGCATAAATGACGGTGTAATAATAGTGGAAGAAAAAAAAAAAATCACGACATTATATACCGCGGTTGGCGATCGTCCGTCTCTCGAGGCTATGTCGGAAAATAGCCGAAAAAAAAACCGCCTACCGGAAAAACATCGACGGGAAAAAAAAATCAACCAAATCACGACAGTTTTTTTTTTTTTTTTTTTTTTTTTTACAATTTTACCGGTATACCAAAATATCATCGATGTCAAATAATACGTATCTATTATACGTAATGTACAGTATAGTAATATACAGACAATTTAAAACTATGTACAATAAACAAATAACAAAATAACGCTTTGAAACCCATACCGGATCGATATCGGGACGACTTCGTCCGGGACGGAATAAAATTACACACACGGCGAACACTGGGTATAAAATATATCATATACACACACGACTACGCTCGTGTGGATATCCCGGCGGTCACCACCGGCTCCTTTGTTTGGACGCGTAAATGAATATCCGTACGGTTTTTTTTTTCACCTGAAATCCGTCCACGTTATAACGATATATGCACGCGTATAAATATTTCCCGGACACCGACGCCGCCCGCGGTATAGCCGTCACGGTCGGCAGCAAACGGACGGGACTCGACCGAAACGGATTGACGTTCGGCACAAACGACGCGCGACACCCGTCGGAACACTGCGGAAAACAGACTGAGCCCCCTGTGCTCCGCGCGTATACACAGTCAATACGCGCGCCGGCGGTGCTGCCCGCGCGCTGGTGAAAACGCGAACCCCTCGCCGCCGTCCTCCAGATTCCCATCACTCCCCACCGCCGCCGCCACCATCGCGGGTACGGCCGCGATCGCGTCGCCATCGTCGTCATCGGCGCGACGCGGCCTGCTAGCGACAGCTACCGCCGCCGCGGGCCCGCCGTTCCCGTTACGCTACGCCGGGACTCTCTTTGAATGGAAACGTTTTCCCATTGACTACGCTGCGCCACCGTTCGCAATACGAATTTCTCCCCCCCCGACCCCACTTCTGAACCACCGCCGCCGCAGCCGATTCTCATTTCTCTCTCACTCTCGAGTACACCCGAACGCGCGTTTTTCGTATGCCATAATAATATCGTACACGCCACCGCCGCCGATACGGTACCCATTATATGATAATAGTAGGTATATGTAATTCATAAATTATTATAGCACGTATCGTTTTTTTTTTTTTTCTACTCTTCCCACCCCTTATAAACACACACACATAATACCGTAAACAAGACGCGTGAATTGAATTTTTTTTTTTTTTTTTATTCGCCAACGTACGACGAAACATCAACAAATCCGCCGTATACCACGTCATCACATCGACAGGGACTGCTGGCTGCAGAACGGCTGCCAAATGAGGTAAACACAACTGTCAGTACGCACGTATGTAATACCTATATTTAGACGCTAATTATAATTGTATTATTGTAAGAAGTGCCGTACGGGGCGACGACGTGCTTGCTACATAATACTATATACTGTTTAAACGAAATTCTCTAGTGTTTTGCAGCTCGCGACGAAAAAGGAAAAACGGTTCGATTAATTTCGAGATTGACCCAATTATTAAGTATTATTATATTGTGCGGTAAACAATACGTTATGCGATGTACGTAGCTAATGCGCGATCCCGGTTTGGCGTACGGTTGATCGATACGAAGTTAAAATACTCGTTTTTTAATCGTTTTAGATAAATAATAATATGTTATCAATTACATTTTATTCTTTACACAAACGAACCGAGCTCAATAACATTTTTCAAACCAATAATAAAATTGTTTGAATCTAACGCAGAGAAAAAATAATTACAAGTTATAGTAACAATAACGATATAATAACAACTTCTGAACGAACAGTGCTGAATGAAAAGATCCAATAAAATCAAAATTAAATAAATCAATTTGGACATCGTTAGCTAACTGCATATAGTTTTATATTAACAGGCGATTCTAGAGTATAATTTTTTTTTTTTTTCCTTTGAAATGGGATATAAACAGTTTTTGTATACACCTAGTTAGTTATACATTGAGAGACTTATAAATAGGAAAACAACCAAAAGTTGTACTGTGCATACAGGCGCACTGTTACGTTTACGCACTTGTTACCTAACCGGGTATGTAAAGCTAAATATTTGGGCCGGATGATCTTAGATTTGAATTCCGTTTTCAGGAAGCGATAAATTGTATTTAAATACATACTTTAATATAAATTATATTTTATAAACCTTTTAGTGCGTGCGTACGCAGTACAAATTACTTTTTTTTCCGAATAACAACAGCTACTTTTAACACCAAAATAGTTTAATGATTTTAGGTTAATTTTGATCGAAACATGTTTTGTTAAATCAAAAATTACTTCAGATATAGCCATCTAAATTTGGTTAAAAAATGTCAAATTTATGACTTTAAAGGGAAAAAATTTGACTATTATTTTATGGGAAAAAATTTATTTGGAAAGATAATTATAAAATAATATACACAAAAGATACGTTTTAAACTGTTTGAAAAATCGATATAAAAAAATTATATTTTTTAACCAAATTTGGATGGCTCTATCTCAGATAATTTTTGAGATAAAAAAAAAATTATATTGAACAGAATTGCTTGAAAATAATGGAATAAATTTAAATTTAGAGTCAAAAATAGGTGTTGCATTTCGAAAAAAAAAAATGTGTGTATTGCGCATAAGTGCTCTGAAGTGTATTGTGAATATATTGTATGTATTTAGTGAATGTGTATTACAGTACGTCTTATCCCCTCTTGAAAACAAAATTAAAATCCAAAGTCATCCGGCAAAAATATATAGTTACTTGGAAATTTGAAAAAAAAATGATTTATATTTAACAAAAAAAATAATAATAATAATAATAAAAACAATGGTTTACAATAATTATTTTTTAACGAATCACACCAAGTTTAGGATGTACTTTTAATATACATCTTATATCGATATAATGATTCTGAAACTGATCTAATTAATTACGAGTAGCTAACTTAAACAGCTAGAATAATTAATTAGTTTAATAAAGATATATAAATACTATAATTAGATACAACAGTAGAGGGAATTAACAAATAATTAGATAATCGTATTTATCATAGTATCACCCCCGTCTTAGATAAAAGCATTTTGTATGCTACACTGACCGTTTTCCGAAAGTTTTTCGAATTTAATATAATAATATTATATATATTATACATACACGTTACTATTATTATTGTACACGTTTGCTGTGCACAATATTTATATTGGTGCTGTTTTTACAACTTTCTATATTGTTATATTATCTATAGTTTTATATTTTGTCGGTAGGTGGTATCTAGTCTAAATAAAATATTAATTTTGATGTCATAGGTAGCGATGATATAATATGGTATATTATAGTGTCCGGCTTATAAACGTATAATACATGTTAAATTTGCCTGTATGCTCTATCAAACTTAAAGTTAAAAATATTATCTGTGCTACCGTGTAGGGTTTTTTTTTTTTTTTTGATATTTTAATTTTAAGGCCAAATAGGAGTATGTGAAATATTACAATTTATAAATGCTTATATCTCGTTTGAAAATTACAATTTTGGATAAAACTTACATAATAGCATAGATAACGGTCACGTTTTTAAGTTGGATAATACGTCAATTCACTCTAATATTAAAAATAACAGCACAAAAGTTATCTCCGCTGAACGCAAATTGATTATGATTACGAGATAGCTAGGACATGGAGATAGTCGTCGTGCAGGTATCACGTCCTCTTAATAGAATTTGTGGTAGGAAGAAGTACGGGTAATTTAAAACGGTTTAGAATTTAGGATTAAACAAATACATACAATTTAAAAAAAACAAAATAATAATCGTGATATATAAAATTCAATATACTATAAATATATCGTATATGCAGTATACTAATAAAAGTACAGTACCCATAACGCGCCATATTTATTATAATGTGGTAATATTTATTATTTATTTTCCCGAGTAAACAATAATCTATAAACTTTAATAAAATCTTTTTTATTAGGTATAAGTATAGCACCATTAATACATTTATCTACAACCAGTGCTCGAATTGGTGAAGGGGGGGGGATGGCGCACAGAGAGACAAAGTTCCTCTAGTTTTAATATTTAGCATTCCCTTACTAGTTATTTTTATTGGGACCGAGGGACGGTATGTCTATTTTACATAAAATTATCATTGAATAAAGTAAATACTAAATTATTATCATGTTTGTATTGTGTTTTAGCCAGGCTAAATCAGCCTATATGATAATGTATCAGTAATTTAACCGAAATCTATACATTAATATTGGATATTTTACGAAAATTGTATGAAATTAAAAAAAATAAAAAAATAATAAAAAAAAATAAATAAACAAATATAACTTATAGTCAGTATTATTGTTAATTTTTGTTTTTGTAAATTATTAATTATTATTGAATGATGTTTTTAGATTTATTTCAATCATTGCAAGGGACACTCATTGTTTTTTAAATCGCATAGTCCCTCTTTTAATTTTCCGATTCGAGCAACTCCCGAACATCGATAAAAAATTTAAGTATTAATTTAGCATTGTCATTTTGGCATAATATTATTTCAGTATAGTATACAGGCAAGTCTTAATTTCGGTTTGCGGTCTAATCGGAAACATGACTAATCAGGATAATTTTTTCTCGCCTATTATACGATTCGTTCCGTTTAGAGCGCGGTAGCTTCTTTTCAACGGATTTCCTTATTTTTTTTTTTAACATCCGGCCTCATGAATTGTCATTTTTTTTCTCTCTAATTTAATTAGTAATTTCACGAAAATATATTAGAAGAGACATCGAACGAACAAAAAGCAAAATTCGATAGAACTATATATTACCTACGTATAATATAATATTATTACGTAGTAATACTGCAGCCATCGACAGGTTGAAAAACGAAATGAATACGACAAACATGCAGTAATGCGCCTCTATACTAGAATACTGTTGCGTAGAATATATATAGGAACGTCGTTTTCGTCGTCCACAAATCTATTATTGGAAATTTAAGACTAGTTCTAGGCAAAACAAGCTAATATAATATCGGTAATCGTCGATTTAGTGCACGTATGCCATTATTATACGTGTTCAAAACTGTTATTGTGTGCGTGTGCTGTGCGGTTGGCTAACAGCAGCAGTCTAGTGAAGAAATTATATCACGTGTCAGGAAGTACTTCCTCTCTCTGTTATATTATGCCGATTTCATCTCCACCCTAAATACCTCTATGTACACAAATGAACGCGGTACGTACTACGGAATGCGCAGGTTTGAAAACTACAAATAAGACTACCGCATATATTATTATTATTATTAGGTAGTAGGTACATACCTAATATTATTATATTAACGCTCGTCTTGTGTTCCTATAGATGCTAGACTCGGCAAATTTAAGAATTGTAATATAAACGTAGCTAGGTATACTGCAACGGACACTATAAAATGTAAAAAAATACGGCATAATAATAATTCATCACGACACGTCGTCGTCATCGTCGTCCAGTCGACACTACTACAATTTTAATTATATTTTAATCTAAGTTTTTGCCGGTTTACAGACCATCAACTAACATAACCGTTAAATAAGCAGTTATAAAACGAATAAAATATTTTTTATATATACATATATAACTTCTACGTGATACGCCAATAATGCAATTACATAAATGTATATATATATACACATTTTAATTACGAGTAAAACAAAATGAAAATAAAATCACCATATCTTTGGTTCCCATATAGAAAAAAAGTTTAAATCAAATTTTGGTATTTTTTTTCTAATATAATTTTGTTCTCTTTACCTTTTGGTATAAATAAAATTGCAAATTGTTAATATTTTTAAAACTCAATTTGTACGTAATAAAAACTTTACAAAATTGACCTAAGCCCTATTTTCGTGGGCCTAAAGATATATAACACCTAGTAACTAAAAATTTTAAATTCTGAGCGTAGTTGCGAATGCGTCGGTTTTACTATAATGTGTGCTTTTTATTTTTTTCCTGTCTGTAATAAGTTTCCAATCAGAAATCTTGTCTCTTCATGAGTGATTTCTGAAAGCAATTTTTGACTAGTTGGTGCACTGATGGGGAGGTTATTTTATGATTTCCTTGTAGTTTTCTTGATGATTAGAAAAAACGTAAGGAAAACGAAAATATTTACGGCTTTTGTTGTTTTTTTTTTTAAATATATATAATGTAGTTGAACATCTTTTAAACACACAATTTGTATAGTATACTTCTAATAGGATTTTCTAGATGATTCCAGCGTTTTATTAAGTTATTTATTGCTATATTTTTTGAATTTTTGTTTTCAAAAATTGAGATGAAAAAACACGAATATGTGTTATTCATTTTGTAGTTACAAATTGATATAATTTTCAATTTAAGTTTATGGAAATATGTTTAACCGAATTTTGTTAGCAATGATTTAACCGTGTACAGAAATTAATTTACCATTGAGTAAATGTCTATCCACCTACAACAGTGGCATACCCATGTTGCGAAGTATGTAATTAAAAAAAATAAAAATGTATTATATAATATCACGATAATCGATAATTTATAGAAAAACGATTAATTGTTTCTTAAAAAAATTACGTCCTTTACGATATTTTATCATCGTGACGTTAATTCAGACCAACAAAATACCTACAGGTATGTAACACCAGAAGAGAACTATAGGAGGTATTTTTAAGATATTTTCTTTTTTCTACCAACTCTAAACAAAGCTTTTTTAACTTTTAATACATGATTCATATTATTTTATTCTATAGTAAAAATGTAGATACATAAATTTATTCTGCTTTGTTTAAAATATTTTCGGATTTCATAATTTTTTTAAATTTATATCCTGTTATTCAAATACCTATAATACATTACCATTATAATAGTAACAACAAATTATTTTACAAACGATTTATACATGCTTTATTTTAAACGCTTTTTTTTATAATACACCTATATTAATTATTATATTATGACGTTTGTACTTTAAAATCCACACACCACAAATATAATATCTATTTATATAAGTAAGTATAACGCAGGCGTCGTATTTTGTTAATTTTGTATTCAGAAAAAATAAATTGTAAAAACTATCTTGTGTCACGATTATCATATTGCAAAAGAGTACGAGATCTAAATATTTTTTTTTTGTTAAGGTTTAGTTGGGGTTGTGGCTAAATACAGCTGGGCCGGACCCTACGTTATATCATCGCCCTAACTGGAAGGAAACAAAGGGGGCTTCCCCTGCAATACCGGAATATGCGCATGTGTTTTCACACGCGTTCTGTACTCCTCTTGGCATTATCGATCGCAAGCGCAACTACGCGTAGGTACTCTCTGTTTGGTTTCTTTCATTCATCCGTTCGCAGATTGTTTATGACGACGGTCGAATATTATTTTACGAATTCCACAAGAGTTTATGCATTGATGCAAATATAATCGCCGAAATTTTAATATTATAATACAATGTTAATACTAACGCCCCAGAATTCGGATTCCATCATCAATCAAACAACCGCGTGTACATAGAATTATAATAATACAACGATAAAGAAATGGAAAATAGTATACAGCGGCGGTGAAGTCGGCCTGGTTTAATACAAAATTATTTATAAACGATAGACGACCGAGTTTATAATCGTCAAGATATCAAATCATTGTAAAATATTAACATAATTTATAGTGTATATTACAGAAGTTATTTTTTTATTGAAAAAAAAAAATACATATTCCTCGTAGATTATATGTAGCAGGAATCACTCCCTTCAAAAAATAAATAAATCACTCAGAAATTGAACAGTATAATTGAAAAAGATTTCGTCACAACATTATAATACATAGTATACTTTTTAAAATCAATATGTCTAGTAATTTTGTATATTTACCAATGTTTTTCAAATTCAATCAGAAAAATTCATAAAAGTACCCACTTGAAAATCATAGTAGGTACATACATACAAATTATTCAGTGGCGGCAATAGGTTTTTATGGGGCCTTGGACAATGCATTAGTACAGTGGTGACTTTAGTGGAACTGATGATTGTATACTTATATAATAATAAATCGCGCAGCCTATTAAAACCAAAACAAGCGTGGGGTCCTGGACATAATATTATGTCCCATTTGTCCTCCCCTAGCACCAGAACTGAAATTATTATAAATTTACCATTTTAATTTCGTGTAAAATTTTATTTAATCTAGAAAACGGTCATTGAAGTAGCATTACATTTACTTATACACAGATACAACTGCATTATCACTTATTATTAAAATCGGTGATTTAAAACAAGGAACTAATTATAAGCCCACAATTATTAATTATTGTGATATTTAAAAATGTTTATTTTGCTACAATATTATAGTTTCAGACAATCAACCAAAATAATAATTAAAACTGTTAATTATTTAATAATGGATGTAATAATAATATGTTCTCTGCATTATCATTATTTTAGTTGTACAATAAAAACGTATTATGTGTATAATTTATTAAATACATTTTTTTTTTAAAATTTCAACTTTCAAATGTTAATAAAGAAAATATTCAAAATTAATTATAATATAATATCAAAAAGTATAATAAATAAATATATAAATAAAAAAATCTATATATAAAAATAAAAAATTAATTAATTAATAAATGTGTCACCTGGAATATTATGATAAGTGTATTATACGACCGATTAGGTTTGAGTAGTGTTTTACATTTTGACAGAGATATACCTGCTGATGAATTTTTAATTTGAAACCGGTCGTACAATACAATTATCATAATACTCCAGGTGACACATTTATTAATTTATTAATTTTTTATTTATTTATTTATTTACTAGTATTAACCATTTTGATAATTTTGTTTTACTTTATTATTTTATTATATAATAAATAATTAACATTTAAATTAAGTATATACAAATCTTGATTTAGTAGAATTAAATTATTTTTATTTTTATTAATTTATTATTAATATCATCATATTTTACTATGCAAGAAACTAATAAAGAATTAAAATAAAGTTATAGTGATTAATTTAAACCTAAATGATAAATTAGCACTCATTTAGAAAATTGAGCTAACGTAACATTTAATTGATTAAGTTTAGTCAATTAGTTTGAACTATGAGAGTGGATACTTTTATTGGGGTTGTATGTACACCTAATATAAAATTATTATACCCTCATAATTGAAACTATTTACAAATTTATTATTTTTTTATAAAATTCCAATATGTTGAAACTTTATTTTAAAATATATTAAAAAAAAATATAGACATACTTCGCGCGGTGGGGTACAATAGTGGTATTGTAGGTCAGAAGTTGGTAAGGTAGGATATAAAGGGGAATTTAATGTTTATCTGTGTGCAAGAATTAATCATTGCTAAAGAAAAATGATTCTGAGCGGAGTTTGTTAATGCATATTTTGAAAAGCTGTAATATAATAATAATTTTCATAAAAATTTGATTTTAAAATCCTTATAAAAAAAAAAAAAAAATACTTCATTAAACTCAACTATATTTTTTGGCCACTAAGAATAACTTAAAATGAACCTCCTGTTAAATTTTCAAATATTTCTGTTTTATCTAACAATTTTATCCACAGATTACCTACTGAATAAAAATTATGTAAAACATCCGCAAAATTTAAATGTCTATCAATAGCTAAAAAATTTCTCAAATGTTTTGAAAATTTTACCACATCTAGAAAAGACAAATATAAGATTTTTGTCAGTTTCAAGTACAAACATCTTTAACTAAATAACAACATAATAACAAAATTGACAAAATGTTTGTACATTTTCCAGTTTTTTTTACAATTATTAAGAAAACTGCTTGGGAAATCAAAATATGACCTTCTCTAAGTATCAACTAGATAAAATTTCCTATTAGAAAAGATGCTACATTTGATACATTGGAGCAAGATTTCTGATAAAATTCCCGTACACAGTATATAAAAAATAATAATAATAAAATAAACATCATTGTAAAACCAAAACATTCATCGCTACACTCAAAATCTAAAACAATAATTAACATTATTTTTTTTTTTTAAATATCAGAAATATATATTTTTTCCTATTATTTATTATGTAGATTAGGTTGAATTAGTAATTCTATAAATGGTGTTTTATTAAAAAAATGCATATTGCACATCATTTTTTTTTTTAAGTGATATTTTTAAATTTATGACTTAACACTTTTTAATTCATATCCTGAAATATCTTATTATTTCTATAGTTTATAATTTGATTATATATTTCTATATTAGTATTAATACTAAAAATTTAAATAATTTTAGATAGGAGGTGGTGAAGAAGCAAGGAATAGTTAAAACTTGTTTTAATTTTACATGGATGACTGTTCTACTAACTATAAATGCTCATAAATATTTAGAAAATTATTTTATTTTAAATTATTAAATATAAAATACCTAAATCAACAAATATTTATATATATATTTTCAAACTCAAGAACTCAAGGAAATACATTTAAAAAATATGCAGAGATACTATATCAAATACTATGATGTAGTAAATATGTTATATTACCAACTAAAATGTTTTATAAATTAAATAGAGTAACCTATAGTTAAATATTTTTTTAAACATAAACTATATTACTCATATAACGAGATAGGTAAACTGGTAGGCGCCTCAAATAAATGTTATAAATATCAACTGTTGCCAAAGTATAAAAGCCTCAAACTACTTATGCTATACTAAAATAACATTATCTTTTCTACCAAACAAAGCATCCTTGAAATTCCTAAATACATTAGGTATATATATGTGTCTTACAGTATAAATAAAAAACAAAAAATTGTTATCCTTACATTGGTATTATATTGGACTTTAGTAATACAAATAAAACCTACTTTAAATAATTATTTAAAATATTTTATGATGGCAACTATGACTGAACTATTAATAATCAATAATATGTTTATCTTATTTATTAAGGGAAAATATATACTCATTAGTAAATATTTAATTTCATACAAAAATCAAAGTCAAAATTAAAGATAATGAACTTATGATAAAAATATAAAATATGCAAAATTTGTCTTCAACATAAGAAAGTATATTGTGAAATATATTCGGTATAAAATTATAGTCTGTTATTGTTGACATTGAAATTAAAATCCTTAAAATATTTTAGTATTATAATAATTAGACTGCAGGTATGAATATAGATTCTGAGTGAATTATTTTATATGGCTATTTCTTATTCAGGGGTCTAATTTGTACAAACAATTTAATTCACTATTTGAATGTTATTAGATTTAAATAAATTTCAATCAATAGATAGACATGTAATATTTAAGATCATTAGTTTTGGTAGATTCTTAATTTGTAATAAGTATATGTTGTTGTATATTTGGTGTTATATACATAATATTTAACTTTTATACAAGTATATACACTCTGGAACATGTATATTCTAAAACAAAGTGATTAGTGTAGAAATTAATATACTTTTGAAATATGCATTACTAAGTCAAGCAAAAATAATAATTTGAATCACATTTCAGCAAAGACTCAACATATTATGATGAAATAACATTCTACCTATATAATATTAAAATAATAAAAACTCAACAAGTTGGCTAAACATCAAAAATTTAGTAAATTATTTAATTAAGTTATTTCATATATTTTCTTGTCCCAGGTTACATACTTGTAAACAAAGTAAAATTTTAGACAAAAATAAATATTATTCTTTTTATTTAAAAAAGTTACTCTATAGTTATTAAAGACAACTGTATCTCAATTAATTAAATGTTTCGAGTATGCTATATTTAAACTTATTATTATTTTTATTTTAAACACTTTTATATGGCACATTGATATTAATTTTAACATGATGTATATAAAGTAAAATTATCAATATAAACACGTATATGTACTTCTAAAGTCTATATATTAGATTATATAAAACAAAATATTAATAATTGTTTATTCAATAATATTAAAACATTCAAATTCTTCATTATATTTTAAATATTGTTCTTCGATAAGCAGTTATTGTCTAGTTTATGTATTTACAGTATTACAAACTATGAATCAACACATAATTAAACAAGACTCAACATAAGGAATTGATATCAGTATATTATACACAAGCATTAAACTTATAAGACGAATATTAGTATATTACTGCTATCTGTTAGATTTGTTTAATTTGTTAGATAAATAAAATATTCAATCAACTTACTTTAAGTAATGTAAGGATTTTCTGACTCAAATCATAATCAAAATTTGAGTACTTAGAATCAGACATGTCATAGATAAAAACCAATCCGCATCTTTGAGTATTAACATTCTCCAAAGCTATATCCAATTGGTAAACAATGCCCTGTTTTAAAATAATAAATAGGTAAATACACTATATCATTTGAATGTTAGATAGAGAAAATACCTGCAATGTAGTTTGATGAGAAGAAAATTGTGGTATATGATAACGTGCTGTAAAAACAGCTATAGCAGCACCAGTCAAATCTCGAGATGGCTATAAAAAAAAATACATATTCATGTAAATGAAACATATAATAAATATATAAATTTGGATACTTTAAAAATGATCAATTATTCATTTTTACCAAAATTGTAAATTTCTGGGTTCGCAATTCAGATTTCAAAGGTTCAACAGCACAATTGAAGCCAAACAAACCCTCACGTTGTCTGGTTTCTTCGTGCTGCTCATGTAGCACTACGGCTCTGGCAACATCAAATTTTCTTGCCCATAAAAATTTTACAGCGGACAACCGTGATATTGCTGATTTGTTTTGTAATTTGCGCATATGATTGACTACATCAATAAATTGGTCCACGGCCTATAAAGAGTTCAACAAATGATCTTAAGTAGAGCAACAGGCATAGGTAGGTGTATGTTTGTATATATATATGTAGTAAACATAATACAATTTTATCAGTAAATCTAGGCACATAAAATCTGCGTGTACTGTCTACAAGACATAAAATCGTTATCTAAATCTTAGGTACAACACTCACTTGTTCTTGTTCAGGCGTAAGATCACCGATTTCCATTTTAAACGGATTACTATCAACAACTAAAGAATTCCTATTGGTTACCCGAGCGGCTCATTCGCATTGACGTGCCGAAAATTGTTCGTATTTACGGTATTTACACACGCCACTCTAAGACGGCGACGACAAAAGGTTGATTGTTTGGCACATATTTTAATATTATTAATACTTTTTATTTAACAGGAAAATTGTATTAAAGAATCACAGAGAATTATATTGTTGTCCGTATTCGACGTTTGTTTAATGTTTTGTTAGCATTTTTTTTTTGTTTTTTATCAGTTTTATGTACATGTAACGTGACCTAGTGGAGTTTGACCGTACTACTGACGACACGACGACGTACTGTGATTGCGTTTGTGCACGCGGAGTTGCGGACACGATAGAAATTAGACGTGATAATGACGGACGGCCGCGAGAGCTGGTGACTAGGCGATACATTTTGATTTTGGCGTGCATGTCGTTGTACACAAATGGAAATGGTAATATTTTAACAAATGGGGTCCAAGTGTTTCGGCTCAGTGACGAGTCTGAGATTCACGATGACGTGTTATCGGGTGTACAGTAATACCTAACTAATAGGTACATGTATTATAATATATTATCCATTAGAGGTACCTACCTATAACCACACCTAATAGGTATATAATACTCTAATACATATACATGCCCGGCTAGTAAGTTGCTGGAATTAATATTATTACAAAAATGCTGAACAAATTATACTTAGTATGAAAAAAAATATCTGTACCTAGAAACGGACAGGGGCGTTCTTAAAAATCATGGTGGAGGGGGATGTAATCTTTAAATTTGCTGTCTAGAATTTAAAACGTTTAATTTTTGTTAATAAAAATAGTAACTAATTGTTATAAAACCATATTTTGCAAAATTTAAAAACTATCACAATAGTTGCGTCAATTTTTAAATTCTGAGCGAACGAATGTATCGATTTGACAATGATATTTATTATTATTATTTTTAGATTCTGAGTGGAGCGAAGAAGCTTATAGTTTTACAAAGAGGTTTTTTTTTCTGTGGACTACTTTTGTACCAGAGGACTTGCTCCGATTTTTACGTGTAGTAACTTTTTTGAAAGGAAATCGGTATGTGGAGCTACTTAGAGAAGTTATTTTTCAATTTTTTCTATAAACGTAAAAAACCGAAAAAAAAAACGGGAAAATGTACAAAATGTAGGTTTTAGCTAAAAATATTATGGCCTTCTTTTTTCCTGTGGACAATTTTTCTACCAGCAATTTTGCTCTAAAATTTAATGATAGTAAAGTTTCTGAAAGGAAATTTCACTGAGAAGGTACTTTAGAGAATTCGTTTATCGATTTTCTTCGGAATTTTCTCTGTAAAAAACTGGGAAAAAACACAAGAAAACCAGGAAAACCGGGGAAATCGATACAACATCAAACAAATATTATTAAAGAAAATATGTAGAGCTTACTTAATTATTTTACTATAATATGGCATATATATTGTTGATAAAGTATCACTATCCACTGAATTTCGCTCAGAATTGTTTTTTCGCTAGCAATGATTTATCGTTACTTACAGGTATCCATTAAATTACATATAATAGTGGCTGCACACGTCTCCATTATTTCAGAATGTCTTTTTTTTGTTTATAATGTAAACAGTTTCTACCAGAAATCTTGCTGAAATTTTCAAGTATAGCACCTTTTTTGAAAGGAAATTTTATCTAGTTGGTGCTTTAAAGAGGTCGTTTAATTTTCCGATCATTTTTTATAATAATTGGGAAAACCGGAAAATTTACGAAAATAATGTTTTTATTATTTTTAATTTTGTTTTTTTATTATAACTGATTTTAAAATATTCGTTTAGACTTGAAATTTAGACAGAAAACTTATATTTGCATTTTCTAGACATGATACAATTTTCAAAATATTTATGTTTATAAATTACAGCCATTTATAAGCATTTTAATTTTACGAAATTTTTTACGTAATTTTTATTTGGTTGGTCATATAAGTCGTACTTATTTTAGGGGGTAAAAATACTACCAATTTTTAGTCTTTAAATAGCAACTTGTATTAAAAATACACAAATAAAGGAAATTTTAGTTTAAATCATTTTGGTGTTGACATTTTCAATTTCCGTCAATCCGTGACGATATATTCCACTTATAAGTTTGAGCTAGAGATTATTTGTGTGGCGTGTGGCGTTTGAATAATGATCCACTATTCTACTACTTACAAAACGGCAAACTTAAAATTGAAATGCCTTGTTAATGGCTCGATGGAAATTAAAAATTTCAACATTCTAAAAATAGAAAAATTCTAGTTGCTTTTTGTCTTCTTAAAAAAATTAAAAATGTGTACAGTGCCCTTCATACATTTGGCGATCCAACGATATCCTTAAAACTAGAAACAATTACAAGAGAAAAAAACGAAAAATATTAGGTGTTCAACAATTTGTTCAGTTGTTCATAGTTGCTTGTAGCTATAAGAACTTACCGTTCTGGGAAATTAAAACAAATTACAACTCTAAATACCGAATCGCATCAGCTGTGTTAACTTGTCGGTTTATACACAATATAAGTTGCTGCGAGGACATTTTTTTAACGTGTTGGCTGCAGCCCTACATAAATATTAACCGATAAAAAAACATCTTTGTGTAAGTACCAGGTAATTTAGCTATTTCGCTCCGGCGCGTGGCGCTTTAATCAAAATAATAAATTACAGTGGCGCATGGATTGTAAACGGCACGTCGCATCGTAAGTAGTTATCATTTATAATATATTATATTATACTGCATTAATCCATTCTACCCGTAGACATATAAATACATACATACAGGGTGATTTTTTTTATTATAAACCAGTAACAATCTCGGAGGATTTTAAGTGAATTTGATTTCTGTTTTTTATAATCATGGAATCGTTTAAGCTTTATTTTAAAATCATATGTAATTTTTAACCCTACTCCATATACCTTAAATAAGTGCATACTTTTGATTTTTATATAGGAACCCCCTCCTTTTGAACACAGAGTTAAATAGAGAACATTTTTTTAGAAATTTCGAAATTAGTGTTATGCATATCAAACTTTCTGAAAAAAATTTTCTCTATTCAATTCTGTGTTCAAAAGGGGAGGGGGTTTCTATTTGAAAATCAAAAGTATGCACTTATTTAAGGTATATGGAGTAGGGGTAAAAATTACAAATGATTTTAAAATAAAGCTTAAACGATTCCATAATGATCAGGAAAAATAGAAACCAAATTCAATTAATTTCCTCCGAGATAATTATTGGTTAACGATAAAAAAAAGAAAGGTAAGATAATGGGGACGGGTCCAGCCACTGATGTAGCTGGAAAGTCGGGAAGGTGTTATATAGACGGGAATTTATTGTATATCTGTAAGCAACGATAAACCATTGCTTACGAAAAAACGATTCTAAGTGGAGTTCAGTTAATATTGATATTTTGTGAACAATATATGTCATTTCATGATAAAAAAAATAATTAAATAGGCTTTATATATTTTCTTTAATAAAATTGTTTTAATGTTGTACCGATATTCCGCATTTTTCCTACGTTTTTCCCTGTTTCCCGTGTTTTATCCCAGTTTTTCGTATTTGATTAGAAAACTCTTGAGAAAATCGAAAAATGACCTTCTTAAAGTACCTTTCCAGTGAAATTTCCTTTCAGAAAAAGTGCTACACGTTGAAATCCGAGCAAGTTTTTTGGTAGAAAAGTTGCGCACAGATAAAAAAAAAAAATTGAACATCTTTGTAAAACCATAAACTTCTTTGCTCCACTTAGAATCTAAAAGTCACTCTGTATATATTATACGTCTATGATTTTATAACTAATACATTTTAAATTACTTTGCGTTTTACGGCTGAGAAACGATATACCCAAACAGTTACCGATAAAGAAGAAAAAACTATTTGTGTGTAAATAAATATAATGGTACAATAATACGGTTCTGTGATTTATTGTATTATTTTAAACATAAATCGTGTGGTTTGTAATTATAACATGCGTTTAAGCTAAATTAGTAGTGCTACTTAACGCCCGTCTGAAATTTATTAAAATTCTATTTATTCTACCTACGCTTTTTATTTTCTGGGTATACCTATACTCATTACATATGTAATATAATGAATACATTAAATTTAAGACCATGCGAAATTTATTATATCGTTGGGCTATTAAAAACATCTTTAGGGAGAGAGGCATAATATGTATAAGCTCATAATCGCTCACGTAGGTGTACTTTGGCCATATACCGAATATACAGAGTGTCTATAAAAGTAAACATTCGACAATAAATCATTGAAACCAGGTGTCGATTTTAGAGAGGAATTTAGTTAAACATCCTTTGGAAATTTAAGTTGTAAATTTTAACTAATTTGTAACTACAAAATAAACTGCGATAAATTGTTTTACACAAATTTTATCATAAATTTATTTATCTATAAATAACTTAAATAACGATATAATATCTTTGAAATTGTACCAAATCAAAAGAATAGGTACTAATATAAGTAAAAAGCACTAGGTATTCTAATGTACCGATTGGGCAAAATTGTGTACCAAAAATCGCTATTGTGTGTTGATAATTGGAGTAAGTTTCTGATTGAAAATTTGATAAAAATTAATTTATTATTTATGTTTTTATTATTAATTTATTGTTGAAAAAAGCTCTTTGGAAAGGGGGTGATTTCCCCTATCGTTCCCCTTTAATGTTCCACTACCTCTCTGACATCTGTATCCTTCTGCAGAAAGGTTTTGAGCAAAGGTTGCAGTTATAATATAATTTTCATGGAAACAGTGAAAAAAGACAAATAAAAAAAGGCACAGAAAAAAAAGACAATAAAAGATAATTGACTTTAAAAAAAAAAATGGTTTAATTAATTAAAATGGTTAAAAGTTAATATTTTGACAAATTGATAAATTAGTAAATTAGTACTTATAAATTATTATTAAAAAAAAAAAATTAAATTAAATTAAAGATTTAATTTAAATCAAAATCGAATATTATATGAAACTGCATTTAAAACATTTTCAATTGACCGGTTTCCTTCTTTAAAATTTGTACAAATTGAATACAGTGATATTTGAATTTTCTATGTAATATTAAATACCTATATAGGTAGGTAATATTATGTAAGTCGGAAAATACTAAGAGGTAAGTACATAATATTAATAATTTTAGTTTTCTATATTTTTAAATAGATTTTAAATTATTAAACCTATTAAAACTTTTAAAAGTATTAATTGAAAACAAATGTGTTTTCTATATTATTTTTGTTTTTTTTTCCTATGTCTTTTTTGATTGTCTTTTTTCTGTTCTTTCAGCAGTGGAAGAAACATCTGGAAACGTAGCTAACACTTAAATTATAACAAATAAGTATATATATATATGGACAATTGGGGAAGACCTATAGTCTCCCCTCCATTGTCTATATCACGGTCAATGTTTATAATGATATAAATATGAGGGTAAGAGTTTGTATGTACGCTTGCTAGTATTTTATAAAACTATTGAGTCTTATAGGACAGCGTGACGTGTAGACAAACAAATGGTTTTATAATGCTAATTAGTAATACGGTTGCATTCGTAGAAACAATTTTCGATTGATTAATTAAAATTATTAGCATTGAACATAAGTTATCATTTTCCCCTCTTTGACCCGAGACTATTAGTATTTATCTCTACTATTCTAATAAAAGACATAAATTTATGTGTTATTCTGTATAAACTATAGAAATATAAATGACCAATAATGTCGCGTGTTATTGGTAAATTTGAAATTTATCCGTGACAAAACGTTTTTACGGCAGTTCGGCACCTATTACGTTCAGTATATTATGTAATTTTGTTTTATATTAATTAATAAATAAACATGTTTAAAATGATTTATCTCTGCAGTTATAATGAATAAAGTTAAACTTAAAAATTGATTAAGCTATAGAATGCAACTATATATGACGTACCATAAAAATAATGAAATAAAATAAGACAATTTTTAATATAGAAACCGTATAATCAAATAAATTGTATAATCGTTTAAAAAAAAAACATACATTTTCATAATTTTTTTCTTTTATTTTTTTCTTTAAAACAATAATTCATAATTTTTTATTAACTATTTATTGACTTAATAAAAAATTATACTAGAACTAGCGGCGTAGCGATAGGGCGCAATGAGCCACGGGCATTAAAAGTTCTAGTTACATCACTTACTCGAACAGATGAACAGTATTATATTATTGTATACTTACGTTATTTACTGTGTATATACACATTTTTTTCTCTATAATTTTAACTCAAACGTAATAATTTAAATTAACGAACGCGCGTAGGTACGTAATTGATATTTTGTGCCTAATAAATATTAGTTATATTATAAAATGCTCAGTTATTTATTATTATATTATAATATATTTTTAATTCATCAGTTATCTGTCTCCTTAATATTAGAAAATAGTTGTTTGAGATTAAATCCTATACACTGATACGGATATGGTAAAAGGTTAATATTTTATAGTTTTCATGTCCGGCGAAATTATATTAATTTACTATAATCGTGCTGATAGACAAATTAAATTTAAACAAATGTACAATACATATTGTATTTTAATCGACCAATTTTCATTTCAAAATACACAAACTGTGTTATTATAATAATATGTTGGTTTTTTCAATTATATATGACTCATTATGCATATTATTTATTAATTAGTCTTTTTATAGCAATTTTATGGGATATTATTAGTGTTCCTTTGATTTTTATTTTTAAATAAAACAGTTAATTATAAAGTATATATTTTAATATATTATACTAGCTGTATATTATGCTTAATTCATAATTTTTAATGAACAATTTAATTACATGCTATAAGTATTGAGTAAAGTATACCTATTTAAATTATGTATAATTAAATAAAATAATTTAAATTATCATACAATTTCAAATATATTATAAATATATAATATATATATATATATATATATATATATATATATATATATCTACATTGAAAACAATTTCTTTTTTTAAATACCAAGCATATTATATTATAACAAATATTATAGATTAATATATTTAACCTACACAATGTAAAATTTTTATAAGTACCAATAGGATTTTTATAGAATTTACAATTTAATTATTTTTGACATTCTCATATCAATCTTCATTTAACTATTTGAATATAATAGGTATAAATTATCGTTATGATTTGAATATTCATTAAACGACGAGACATACTCACGTAAATACAATTCATTATTCACTTTTTAAACGATGTATACCTATTTATGTATTTATATTTATTAATTCTTAAATTATTGTTTAAAAAATCCGTTATTATACGTATAGATTTGTAAAAAATAGTTACTTATTAAAATATTTTTGTAAATCGAATAACATTTTCTACTAAAACATTTTCCAGTATATCAATATAGGAATAGGTACAAATATTCAAGACGAAAATATGTACGATTAGTGATACAAAATAAAAATCGTATAATTTGAAATTAATATTAAAATGAACCAAACTCGTCTATCCATGACTGATACTTTTCGATATCTTGACCGGTAACAGTTTTTCGACATCTTTCTATGGCTTCGTTAAAATCTTGTACTGTCACTGGTAAATCGATATCAGCACGTTTTATATTTTTGATCTGGTCCGGAGTCTGTCCTACAATTTTGCGTCTCATACCCATCATAGCCGCGTCCCTACAAACGTTTGCTATGTCTGATCCCGTGTAACCTCTAAGTTTATTAGCTACGTATCGAAAATCAAACGAATCGTCGAGATTCACTCCTTCTAAACACAATTTTAGTAACGTTATCCGCGACTCGTCTAAAAATAAATTAATATGCACGCATTTTGCTAAACAGAGATCGAGAGATTGTCATATCTTCTATATTAATACTTACCGTTGGGCAATGGCAAATATATTCTCTTTTCGAAACGTCTCCTAAAAGCATCATCGATATCCCACGGATGGTTAGTGGCCGCCAATACCATGATAGACGGACTATTTTCTTCGTTACTATAAGATTATAATGATTTTTATTTTAAAATATCGATTGTTATAATATTAACATCTAGGTATATTTTTTACCTAGCAGAGTTTAAACCGTCCATGTGAATTAAAAGTTCCGCTTTAAACCTTCTGGAAGCTTCGTGTTCACCTTCTGAACCTCGTAAAGAACACAGGGAATCCACTTCGTCTATAAATATCGTAGAAGGGGAATGTAGTTTTGCCATTTCAAACAGTAGCCTGACTAATTTTTCGGATTCTCCTCGATATTTGGATGTCATGGTTGACGATGAAACATTAAAAAACGTCGTCCCGCATTCAGTAGCCACTGCCTTAGCCAACATTGTCTTTCCGGTACCCGGAGGACCGACCATTAGCACACCTTTCCAAGGTCTTCGGATGCCCTAAAAACCCATTTACTATTAATGTTGTTAAATTAGATGGATACATGTAGATATAAAACAACCATGTACTGTTTTTTCACAATAAAATAATAATTATTCGGAATTAATATGTAAAATATGTATTAACTTTGTATAATTTTATTTTTGGAAGTTATATTATACACAGGAACATACAAATTAAATAATATGAACATTTATTATAACAATAGTAAATCATATATAAAATATAATTAGAAATTAAAAAAACAGATTAGATACAGAAATAAATATATGTTCTACTATAGAAATAGTTATATACTCATATTATTATCTATTATTTCCACAGTAAAAGGAAAATGTAATATTTAAATAGGTATCAAGAAAAATCAAACGTTATTTTATTTTATTTTCACAATTTAGTATTTTATTATTTTTTTTAGATTATGAGTAGAATAAATAAACTTTTATTTTTACAAATATGTTTTTTTTTTTTTTTGGAAAACGCTTTTATATAATGCGGATTATTGGCTTGATGGCGCTATATTTGAACAATTTATCGATATTTTCAGCTGTCCACCCCTATATCAGGTCCCTTTTTTTATACTTGAATTTTGTTGAACTATGAGTTACCTTACCAAGAAGAAGAAAAAATGAATAATATTACTCCACTTAGAATAGTTTTTAATTTGCAATGATATTTGCTAAATGATAATTATTTTATCGTTGCATATTGTACAATATAAACAATATATTATTCTGTTACTTTTTCAACTACACACCTACATTGTTTGCCCGTGAACACCGAACAGTATAAACTTTTTTATTTCTAATATCGGTAAATAATTTGTAGACAAAATTTACTTTTTGTGGTATCTTTTACCTATAACTATAAATCATCATATTGTAACATTGATTAGGTTTTTAAACCCCTTATATAGAGACGATACAATTTTACGTTCCTTTTAACATATCGTGACCACGATAACTGTACTATAATTATTATTGTGAGTGCGACTGTATGGGTACGTATAGAAAAAGCAAACTATACTATATATATTATTTATATTAGTATATTATAATGTGTCATAGATGTTTTAATAAGGATTAGTGTACAATTATGTATACGTATTTCGTATTTACTTTATTTAGTCATTGAATGAGTCAGTCTCTGTGTACAGAATGAATAACGATAATGTGATATATAATTTAATATTATATATTTAATATACCTACATAATATATAATGTGTATTCTTAATATTCCAACCTTGATCAGTTTCAAAACTAATAATTCAACAACGGTGAAAACATATGATTCTTGCATAATGGACCTACTATAGTCTATAATAAATCTATCTCGCCTGCTCTGCTATCAAATGTTTGCTTATTTTAACGTAAAACCTTTTTGTTTGCATATTAGTATATTGTAATAATACTGACATTATTTTTCATTTCATTTATATTATTATACAATTAACTGTTAATAAATAATTATGTATTCTCTGTATAGAGTAGAATAAATAAATACATAATTTATAGAATTATTACTTTACAGTTTATGTTTTACTATATAAGGTCAATAAAATTCACCTATGGTTTTTTTTTTGTAAAATTGTAATCTTACATGTTTTGTTATATAATCTAATAGGTATTTGACAACTTATTATTCTTAGTACATAACTTTTTGAACGCTTAGTTTTAAGTTTTTATAGTATAAATCTGCAGTCCAGGGTTTGGCTATCAAATAATGCCTATGTATAGTTGTATTTATATTATATTAAATGTATTAAGATGGCAAAAAAAAAAATAATAAATAATAATAATAAAAATAGTTATCATATACGAATACTTTAAAAAAATCTGGCATCAACATTGGTAGAACCATAGCTTCTTGTAATAAAGTTTTCGCATGCTTCAGTCCAGCTATTCGATCCCACTGGACATTAGGGTTTCTTTGTAAAATATCTTTTTCGATAATGTCCACTAAATGTGATTCATAACCAAGAATCGCTTTGGTTCTCTGCGATTGTTTTTTTTGGTCTGCAGGTCGAGCTGTTGCCGGGGTTTGGTGGATTAAAGGCGGAATAACAGGTTTTGTTCTATATCCACCAGGATGTGAACAACATCTTACAACAAATGAATACAAATATGAATTTCCAAAAACTTGTCATGCTAAGTATCAAAAACTGGATTTACCTGTCTCTTTTTGTATGTATAGCAGGTAATAATTCTGGATCTCTTTTTCTTAAAGAAGCAGCCCATTTTTCTGCTGGACCGTTTGGTTTATGTTGTTGCTGATTATGATTATTAGATCGATTATCTAAACACAACATATAAAACAATAATTTTGGGTGTACATTACAAATTTCTTATTAAGTAAAAGTATTTAAAATTAATATATATATTATATCGATAAGATATAATATATATTATTTATATATATATATATAGAATGATAAAATGATTTTGTGTTTAAAGATTTTAAACTTTTTACCATTATTTGCACGATTGAGGTTAGACCCTACATTTGGATTCGGTGTCTGTGTTTGTTGTGACGAGGATCTGTACAGATGCGATCGTTTCGAGGATTGATTCGTTCGTCGTACAGGCTTGGAAAACGAAGCAAATGACGAAAATGGATCTAGCAATGAATCCATCATACGGGCTACTTCTTGTTGAACTATCCATCCTGTCGGTCTATTATTAGACAGTCTATAATTTTAAAATATTAATAACAATTAACAATATGTAAAATATATAAACAAAATGGTAAAATTGACTACGTGTACAACAATATTTATAACCAAGAAAAAGACGCAAACAACCTGAGCGTTTGATTTAAAATTTGTATTATACTATTTTATATTTATAGTTTTTAATACATTTTTGGTAATAATTTTAAATATTAGGTGGGTTTCTAATGCCTACTATGCTTACTATGTCTCAGATTACAAAATATTATTTATAGTTAAATATGTTATATAATTCGGTTTATTTTACAATGAATTTAAGATCATTCTAGGAAGGTAGGTAGGTACATAAAAACTTGTGATGTTTCCAATAAAAATTCTAAAAATATAAGTGTCAACGTCAAAACTGACAGTTCGCTTAAAAAAACTATTCCTATTAATAAAGATTGTTTGTAATGAAATATTGTTTTGGTTTATAAGCAAATAGAGAGCGATGCTAAATATAAAATAGTTATAAATAATATAAAAGCGAAATTCAATACATAAAATGTATTATTTATTTTTCGTTGTCAGTCTTTCAAAGAATTTGACTAAACGTTTCTACGACATAAGTTGAAAATTAACCCGTCATTAAACTTTTAATTATAAGTATCAGTATATTATAATATATTTTATGCTTAATATTAAACCTGAACATTTAAAAATACAAATAAACTAACATTTTCCGTAAGTATAAAAGCCTATATCATATTAAATATTATCCCTATAATTTAATAAAAAATATGATTTAATAATACATTTTTTAAATTTTATTTTGTAAGACCTAATTAGCATACGTTGACAATAAAATATAAATCGATTAAAAGATATGGCATTACAAAAAAAAATTCAACATACAGGACAAAATAAAACTTTAAATGGGTACATAGATTGTTTGGTAAAAAATAAAAAAATAAATAATGATAAGTAAGTTATATTATATTATAATATCTGAGTCTACAAGTCATTAAATAGCATCCGTTTTAACTTTATTGAGTTCTATTAGTCATCTTGGGAATGATCAGATAGTACATGCTCAACAATATATTATTGTGATAACTAAGAAACAAAAACTCCAATATTGGGGCAAACGCAAATTATATTATAGGTACATATATTATTATAATTTATTGGTTTATATTTTATAAATAGTATAAAAATGTAAAATCGAAAAATATACATTGTAATACGCGAATGGGATAGTTTTAATAATGAGCGTAAACAGTGGTGGATTTTCAACATCTTTCTGGGAGAAGTCCTAAAAAATCATATATATTTTAAATATATCTATTAATATGGATGCCTCTTTTTTAGATGACATTTTATTGCTATTATATAGATATCTGGGGATCCAGACCACTGGATATCCTCCCCCCCCCCCGTAAATCCGTAAATCATTTGGGCAAAACCACTCAAAATATTGTCTGTTTGAGCGCTTAGTTTTATACCGTTTGGGAAAATATAACGTATGAAAACGTAAATTAATTTATACATTTTACATTAATGCAGGCACTTTGTTAATTGCAAAAATAAACTCACATGCAATATATATATATAATTTATAATAAATAATAAACTTTAAAAAAAGACATTGGTAGTAAAGAGGTAGTAATATTGTAGTTTAGTAATGTAGAGTAAACAAATAATAAATAAAATTATACATAATAATAAACTATTAATCATTTTAAAAGTAACTTATTGGTCTAGTATATTAAATTTAGGCGCTTAATATTATATTATAATTGGTCAATATCAAATCCTTTGTATTCATCCCAAGTTTCTTGCACAAACTCTGTTTTTACTGTGTTTTCAATTTGAAGAAAGTTAGGGATATTTTTTCAAATGGAATTGTTTTTAATTACATTTTCGGTTTGGATTTTTAATAATACTATGATAACTCTATGAACATGAGGATGTATTGAGTAAAACTGATTATTAAAGTCGAAATAGAATGACTCTGGTCCATTTGTGATCCTGCAATCGTCAAATATTGGTGCTGATGCCACAATTTATGGAGAACTCTGAGTTTTCGTTTGTATCTAAGACAAAATCGGCAAAGTGTACTTGTTCATTTTCGGTTGGTGTAATTGATAACAACCCAGTAAGTGCATTTCCTACTCCGGTTTATGATAAAAATGATAGACCGAAAAAATATTTGATTACTTGTTTTTTATAACTGTGATTAAAAATAATTATAGAAACGGTATCGTCCGCGATATAGTCACTAGGTTTTTACCTCACTCAGTTAAAAAAAATCCACTCACTCAAACGGAATAAATGATAGTCGTCTAAACGGCTGTTTATTTTTTAGTCAAATGATTATTACGTTCACCCAAACAATCATTGCCCTAAATAGTTATTATATAGGTATACTTACTGAAAAAACGGATCATTAAAAAATCGATTATTATTCATCCACGACATTGTAACATCGAAAATATGATGTTATAATATAGTCAAATAGTATAGATTAAAAAAAAAAAAAACAAAAACTATCTAGCAACAAATTATTGGATTTATAACACTACATGCACTATTACGTCTGCGGGTATGTTGGCGAAAGTAACAAACCATGTAACCATGGTAATAAAACATTGATATGGATTACGAGTTAAAGGTATAATAAAACATATGCGAATATCTATAGTATTATAGATACTCGTGTTACAGTATTGAAACAGTTAAAATAAAACAAAATCGTTAGATTGACATAACATACAATTTATAGTTTTTATGGGGAGAAACATATAAGCTCATTTGTATAATTTATTTTTTTTTTTTTTTTAGTAAAACTAGGTATAAACTGAACAGATCCCGTATTCTATAATTTGTTAGGTAAAATATATTATATTATATATACTGATATGTATTCACTTTGTATCCGGTGAGTGACATTACACAATAATAACAAGATAAAAATATAATTTTCAGTAAAAATATGAACTTAAATTGTAAAATATAGCGTTTCGTTTGTGATTATAGACTAAATAGGTTAACTTTACTATCTTGCCACAGCGAAGTTGAGGTTAAAACAGATGAAGTTTTCAATCAGTTGTGTATAAAAACAGAAAACTTAAATTTGTTTTTAATAAAACAGAATATCAAAATAAAAATATTATTATGTTCATTGTAAATTAAATCTCTATCCGGAAGAAACTAAAGTCAAAAGCTTGCAAAATCTAAACTCAATTGTTATGAAACATTATTTTTAAATGTGAATGTGTAATAAGAATATTCAGAGCATTTACACATTTTTGGAGGACTGTTATTAGGTTTTGGAGTACCGTTCAGCCTCTTAATACTCAATACTTCAAAAGTCTACGATGTTTTAGGTACAAAATTATACTCTATGAATATCATTTCATAGTATGAAATAATATTGAAGAGAAAATATCCCCCTCCGCAAGAAAATTTTATATACGCCTCTTATTACTAGTAAAGAACCTAAAGAATCATAATACGTTTAAAAATTAAAATCCGCCTAACGGCATTTCTACAGTTTTGTCTGACTATTCGGTCAATAACGTCATTTCGTCCGTATAAACAGCCGTATCCCTTCCTTTGAAATGGACATCGAGCAGTAGATAAATGGAAAAGTCTTATCATTAAGGAAGTCATTAAAATGTAATCTTGTTTTTCAAATTTAATAAAATTGGAGACAATTTCAAAAATCATCAACAATTCCATTGAAAATAATATTCGGATGATCTTAAACCGTCTTTCGTTATAAAAACAAGATATTTAAAAGAAAAAAAAAACATTGTGTGTGTTATTTTCTATATAGGTAGTATTAATATTGCTATACAGCCATGACCCGTTTTTTTTTTTTCATTTTAAACATAACCTAATTTCTACCCCTTTTAAATATTTAATTGTATCTTTGGGATAATACACAGACAATAACAAAAATGAATGGGTCAAAAAACACTTGTCACGCAATCCTTAAAAAGAAAAAAAAGTAACCATATGCCATATTTTAATATTATAAAATATAAATAAATCAGCTAAAAAGGAAACGTAAAAATGCATGCGTGTCTGTAATTTCATTGACCCCCGCCGACCTCAACTCCGATCGATAAGCTGTACATTTTTCTTTGTGGACAAATATAACCGACACTTTATTTGCCGGGCTATAAATATAAATAATATGCGACTTGAAAAATATAATCCGATAAAACTTCTAATAATTGTTAATAATAACATCTACGTATAATAGTATTGTGTATACATTGTTCGCATAATAATAGGTATACGTTAATATTTAAATATCTCGTTTAATCGTGTAAAATGTTTTTGATTTGTACGCATTTCGGCTGGATGCATATAGTACGTAGGCATTAACGTTGTCATGTTATAATACGGTATAAAATAACATTTAAACGGACTATTTAACTTGAACCTACACTGTAAAATATAGTATGAATAATATTAGGGGAAAAAAAATGAATAACTATACTAACTTAGCCAAGTTAATCTTTAGGTTTTTTTTTTTTCTACAAGTAACTTATATAGTAGGATAGTAACATAACAGCAAGTTGTTATTCTCCATATCGTTTACGGAATACGTAACGTTATCGTAACGATCGGAGATACCAGTTAAACTGGAAGTAAAGCGAAACGTATGAAACCGGCCGGCGCACGGTATAGGCAATTTAGCTACGCGCACGAATGGTAACCGTCGGGTTTGGAATATTCGCGGCATTGTAACGTAACAACGACAACGAAAACGACGGTCGGTGAAATCAGGTCGGGTGCCGCGAAAATTCGCCGGGTGTTTACGACGTGGTGGGAAAATAGACGGTCCCGCCATTCGGTCAGTCCGTATCGTATCTACGGAATCTCGCGGCGGCTATTAATTGTAAAACGCGATTTTCAAGAAATTCGCGTACAGGCACCAGCGTACAACACGATCGACACGACCGCCGCGTGTTGCGCGGATCGACGGTACGCTCACCGCGATTTTCGTTCGGTAGACCGTTTTTAATCGCGTAACACCCGTAACACAGTCGGTTGTGGAAACACCCGATCACGATTCCGGTACGATTGACGGCTCGCGAACGCGCCGTGTTAACGTTATACCGTGTGCCGCGCGCGTTGTTTACATGGTTATTATTAAATACAACATGGGCGAATCGCACAGACGAACGCGCACCAATGCGCATCGGCGGGGTGTGCAATAAAAACGACAGAACAAAATAGTATACGCTACCCGGGAGGAAGTTTGTACAGGTGCCTGGTGGTGACCGGCACGGTCATTTGTATCTCGAACTCGACGTTACGGCCACCTTCGGACATGGCGTTGTTGTGGCGACTACTGAACGGTACTGTTGTTACCGGTACGGCAGCGCGGCGAATTGACGCGTGACCGCGCGGACATTGCCGTGTCCGGCTCTGACGTATGGCGGGCCGCCGCCGGACGGCGGGTCAGATTTGGCGGGACGTTGCCCTCGTGCGGCGCGAACACGCCGCCCGCGCCAATTACGTTTTACGTTATCAATAACGATACGAGTACTTACGGCGGCGTGCTGCGTACACTCGCGGAAGCGGGGTCGCAAACGCTTCGCGAAACGACATTTCGGCGGGTGTGTTATTATTGAGCCGGAACCGTTTATCGCGCGTTCAGATCTCGCGCGGGGGTCGACGGTACGACCTACGGCGATTTTCCAACAACCGACGACACCCCCGTCCCCGATTTCGTAGGGGTAGTTGCGCGAACCGCGGACGGAACGCCGCCAAAACGAGTTCATTGTGCGGATAATATTCTAATAACTATAATGTATAGGCAGGTATAATTGTATTTTTTTTTTTATTTTATTCCTAACGGCCCGCGTGAAACGAAACCACCGCGCGGTGATTCACCCCGGTATTAACTCTATAGTATAGCACACCTACCGCGATTGCGGTATTTTTGTATACGCGTATTTTCGATTTAATAATATTAATAAAATATTAAATTAATACGCAAAATTGCGTAAACATATCGGCATAATATTTTTTATTTTTTTTTTTTTTTTTTTGGGGGGGGGGGGGGTGTCGGTGATGGTTAATGATTAACGGAGATAGCCTGTGTATACATTTATATAGTAATAAACAATTTACAATTTTGTTTAAATTTTAACTAAAATGTGTCAACGCTGTATAGAATAATATGTTACTCATTTTAGCCGTATTCTGAATATTTAGTATGAAATAGTATTTTTTTTTTTATGAATCAGGAGTTACGGGGCAAATGTAAAAGATACGTGCATAAATAAATGACACACATAGATTTTTCTCTTTAAATAACAATTTATTAAACATAATATCAGTCGAAAACTCTGCCAAAAGTCAAAATAATTGAATAAACAAATTAAATAATAACAATATGGTAACGACGTAGTAATGTATTTATACACGACTGGTTATCTTATATTGTGTTGTTCCATTACTCTGCTATCTCAATGGCTCTTGTTTACAGATTTTAGGTCTGCGATATTTCATCTGATTGGACAATTGTTGCAGATTGTCAGGTGTCGCATCTCCAATGGTTTGAATCTCTCCACATTTATAATTCATGTCTTTCTACTCGTCGATTATTCCATAATTGTTCACGTTTTCTCTCGTTCGTCTAACTTTTTCGGCAATTTAAAGTACTTCAGGCCGTCTATGCTCCGGGGGTAATTTTTCTTCAACTTGTTTGCTCTCTTGCGGCGATTTTCAACATGTACGCGTACTACTAGTAGTACTCGGATAGTTCATAGGTGGTACATGAAGACATTTTTTGAAAAACAAATTTATTAGTTATAATGGAGTTTATAATTCTATAAATATTAATAAAAATAATAATCACACATATTTAATTTTACTATTTTGTATAAAATGGTTGTATAATTATGAAGATTTAATAATATAAAGCTCCATACATGTAAAATAACGTACACATTTTATTTTTTGATGAGTAAAAAAAAAGTTGAATAATCGTATCAAGTGGTAAATGAAAAATGTCAAAATGTGTTTCGTACGTGGATTTGAAAAGGTTGAGAATCGCTGAGCTAAAGGTATATATAATTACATATACTTAGTTCACTAAAATTGATAAATATGTGCACATATGAAAGAGTAGGGAGGAAAGGGGGTTCAGTGGAATCATCCGACCATTAAATACTTTTTATTTTTTTTGCTGAATGTTTTGCAGCATCGGATAAAAGTATAAAATTATGCTACTTCGGAACTACTATAAATATTATTAGGTATATCGCTTTTATATTTTAGTTTCTTATAAATTTTAACCAAATGAAGGACTCATCAAAGAGATTAATCAGAATCTCGCTTCCTAATCACCTGCTGAATCAGGCTGACATTTCACGTGACAACGTGAGTACTGACCTAGGTATAAATTTAATTAAATAACTGGCACTTGGATATTTGTGTTACCTGTATCGCTCAATCGAAGGAAGAATTAACTCAGTAGGCCCGTCAGTGGCGATCGTTATCGCATGAGGATGGTTTTTGACGGTAAACACTTTACGCCTTTGATCGGCATTCATCGGTTCTTCAGCAACCATGTCGAGTGTCGATCAACACTAAATTATTTTTGTAGACGTTCAGCGCACATAAAAAAATACATCCAAGTACAACCGGAAGGGAAAAATAACTTCGGTGTTCGCGGGTAAGTACGTTGAACTCGCCGTCGGAAAATGTGAAACGGAAGGGAAAAAGAAGGGTAAGTATAGGTAGGTAGGTTCCTACCTGTGAATACTAGTGAATTATTAATTCGTCGGCTATAACAACACACACTAAAAAGGACATTGGGACGACGACCTACTTAATAAAACTGACACAATCATGTTTTTATTAGATATAGGTACCTATAAATACCTAATACTCAATTATACGGTCGATAAACTGTACACCTATCTAATGAAAAAGAATAAAAAAACATTAAGAATTTTAACAAAAGACCAAGTATACATGTATATGTATATTAAGGTGTTCCTTAATCCATAGATGTTAAAAAATATGTGAAATAAATATCAAGTATTTAAATTCAATGCTCGGAATTCTGTTGTAAAAACAATTTTTGAACATTTTGGGTATAAGTCAACCCCTTCACGTGTCTCAAAGAGTTAGTTTTTAAGTTATTTTTTTTTAAATTTTGAATATACAAAAAAATATATCAACAATTTTGTTATAGTAAAAAAGATTTCCGATATAATAGCTCTTTTTAACATTTCAATGAGCTGTTTCATAAAAAATCTTTTTTAAAATAATAAAGGTCTGGTACATTTTTTGTGAGTTAACTAAAAAAAATAAACTTATACAAATCCAAAAACATCCCCTTTTACTAACTTTAACCCTTTTGAGGCACGTAAAGGGTTTGATTTATCACAACTAAAATTTACAAAAATTATATTTACAATGTACCTAACAAATTTTCAAGCCTGGCGCACAAAATTATTAAAGTTCAAAAATAAAGTCTACCTAATATATATATAGTATATAGTATAAAGACAAAGAGAGAAATAAATAGATGGATATCTTGGTAAATTGGTACTAATTAAATATGCATGCACAAAATCTGCTTGTCGCTTGAAGAATACTTGTATATTATTTTTTATAACAATTATGTTTACCGTTTATGAAGAATTTTTGATCCAATATTGTATTAAAATATTACACAAACTATATGAAATCTTTTGGAAACACATTGTAAATAACGATTGTTATATTTAAACTTGAAATATTATTTAATATTCACTTCGCTATCTCTGTAATAGATCTTGAATACAGGATATATTTTACACACTTTTAAACAATTTATCTCTATAATTTAGATTGGGTAAAGTTGAAAACAAATTATAAATAGATAACAATGTAACTACTTAATAAACCTGATAATAAGATAATCATTTTAAAATATTATTTTTATTTTTTTTTATTTTTAATAGTTAAAACAACTCATGTGTTTTATATAAGCGTACAATTTAAAATAAGTTAATAGTGTAAAATTAAGTACACAAAAAAATATTAGGAAAAATTTGTTTTACTCAAATAACTTACAAGTGACTTTTTCTTTTTACAATATGAAATTTAGGGTTATATAATAAATTATTATACATAAATCACATTAAGGCTTTAATAATAACTAAGTAATCGATGATAGGATTCTGGAAAGTTAACATTACAAATTAAAGAAGTGCAAATAAAATGATCTTGAAAAACAAATATAGGTTTAAGGTTGAAGAGATTAAATTAAATATAACTATTTTACTATTATTTTGATTCTACACAAAATGGCAAGATTTCATTTATTTTGTCTTTAGTTTTGCTTTACTTTTTTTTTAAATAATTAATTTAAATAAATTATTTTATACTGGACACAAAAAAAAAAAACTTATAAAATATTAGTTTTGTTTGTTTTTTTTTAAACTATTTTAAGTGTGTTTCGTTGTGAGCATTTAAAGTTCAAGGCAACACAGCCATAAACAATTAAAATATAAAGTAAATAATTTCTAATCAATCTATTTCTGTACATAAAAAAAAAAAAAAAAAGATCTGTACACAAAGATAAATTAGCAGTTATACAGTTCATTAGCTGCAACAGTTATGATGAGCCAAATTCACTCATCCACTTTTCATATTTTGTCAAATCATCAGATGAAACACTTTTGTTGCATTTTGTTATTGCTTCATTAAAATCTTGAAAGGATACAGGTAAATCTACTTCCTCTTTAGCCAATTGCCGAATCTGATCTGGTTTAAGTCCAGCTATTTTACGTCGCATGGACATCATAGATGCATCTCTAAATAATTTTTAAATTAGCATTTTAATTTTAGGTAAAATAGTACATACAATAAATATATTTCATATCCAAATTACCTGCAAACGTTAGTGATATCAGCACCAGAGTAGCCTTTTAATTTAGTAGCTATTTCTGTTAAGTTTACATTAGGTTCTACTTTAACATCTCTAAGGTTTATTCTCAGTAGTGCTTCTCGGCCAGCACCTATAAATAAGTACTTTCATATTAAAAATTAAAATATATATATAAAAATAAAAATAATACACATGCAAAAATGTAATTATTCCAACAATGTCTAATTAATTTGTATTGACTAAAGATATATTGAATATTTACACATATTTAATTTTACTGAACACTTAAGTCAGTAATATGATTGATGACTACAAAATAAATATAATTATAATTTATTAAATAGTAAAGATCACAGTATATTAAAAATTATTTAGTTGAACTTCACTTAGAATTGTATTTCATTATCAATGATTTATCGTTACATAAAGATATAAATTAAATAACTTTATATATCCTACCTTCTTAACTTCCCATCAATAATATTGGCACACCAATCAGCTGTAGCAGCTTTTTTTTAAATATAATCATATTACTTAAATATAAATACTATAAGCTACAGTTACAACTTTTCCATCAATAAGAAAAAAAACAAAATGTATTGATGATGGAGTTGTATATTACTATCTAGTGTCTATAATTCAAGAGTATGAGTAACTTATATTCACTGAATAAATGGCTTATAATGCTATAAATATTTTACTGTATGTTATAAATTTTAAAATTATTTATTTTATACTAAGATTATAAACTTATTACAGTTTATGGTAAATACTAACTATTGGGTAGAGGTATATATATACGTTTCTCCAGTCTACGCCTGAGTGCTTCATCTATATCCCAAGGAAAATTGGTAGCAGCCAACACCATCACAATTCGGCTAGTACCAGATTCTTCTTCAGCACTCGTATCACTTAGACCATCCATTTGGACTAGGAGTTCAGATTTAACTCTTCTGGATGCTTCATGTTCAGACTCTGAACCTCTCCGAGAACAAAGTGAATCTATTTCATCAATGAATATTGTTGATGGGGCATGAAATCTTGCCTAAAAAATTGTATCAAAATTAAAATTTAATATCATTATAATATAAACACAAAAAATAGAAAAAAATAACTTGCAATTTAGTTAATTTGGATAACTAATATTTTTCTATTTTAGTTTTTATTGATAATTATTAAAAACTAAGTATAATACAACTATTTGTGTGTATTATTAAACATTATACCAATTAGATAGGTATTTAAATTACATTGATTCAATCTTTACAATAATTTCATATTATAGTATCATAGTAAACATTACGATTAGTAATTAAGACCCGATTAGAAATGTAGAAATATTAGAATAAAATTGAAGTATATCCACTATACAATTACTACTTGTACAACAGCAATACTGACACTAATTTATAATCAATATTTTATTCTACACTTTTTGTTTATAACATAATCAAATCAGATTCCTTGATTATACAATTAACAAGAACTTACCATTTCAAATAGAAGCCTGACAAGTTTCTCAGATTCTCCTCTATATTTAGAAGTAAGTGTTGATGAGGATACATTAAAAAAGGTAGTTCTACACTCTGTAGCAACAGCTTTTGCAAGCATAGTTTTCCCTGTTCCAGGTGGGCCGACCATTAACACTCCTTTCCAAGGCCGTCGAATCCCCTTTAAAAATATACACATTTAAATTTACAACAATTTTATAAGTGTAAAAACCATTTACCTTAAAAAAATCAGGCATCCACATAGGCAGCACTACTGCTTCTTCTAAAAGGCGTTTAGCTTCATCTAATTCGGCAATATCAGCCCACCTTATATTAGGATTTTTCTGTACAATATCCCTTTCTATAAAGTTAAATTGTTAATATTGTAATGATTAAAACATAATATTGTGTCTATTGTTATTACCTAACATATCAACAAGGTCCTGATCGTAAGAGGAACAATCAAATCGTTTTTCATCCGGTTTCAAAACTTCTTTTTCATCTTTATCTTTTTCATTTTTATCACTCTAATATTATAGATATATATAATTATTATAACATAAAAAATATAAATATTCTATACCCTATAAGTAGGTACTTACTGTTCCATTTGTATTTGTATTATGACTATTTGTATCTTTTTTTGGACCTTTTTTAACAACTTCATCATTTTTCTTTGTTATCTGAGATCTAGAGGCACTATTTCGTGTACTATTTGGTCCAACTTTTTGGTTTCTACTAGGGACACGCGAAGAATCATTACGTCGAGAAGTTTTTTGTGGCCTAACCTGAGGTACAGGTTTATGTTCAATGGGTGATGGTGGAGGCCAAACATCTGGATCATTATTATTTGGAGGCCACTCTAGGGAGCCACTACCATTCACTTGTTGACGAGTGGTTCCAAACCATGATACCCCATCAGGGGGTGATATATCTTCATTTTTATTATTTCTATTTACTAAAAAAAAATAATAAAAAGGGTACTTAATTATACAATTATTTATATTGATTTTGGATAAATAGGTATAAATCATAATACAATTTAAAATTGAAAACTTATACTTTTGTACCTATCTATTATGTTATAAGAAAATATTTAAACACTTACATGCTGGACTAGATGCACTTAATGGCCTCTCATTCCTTTCGAAATCATTGGTTTTAAAATTTTTTAATTTATTTAATGTGTTTGAATAAAGTTTTATCTGTTCACATTCATCAGTAATCTCTCGCTGAATCTAAACAAGACAAAATCATTTAATATTCATTAAATGATAACTTAAGAGTTTTAAAGGAGACTATTACTAACAGCTCGCCAAGATTCTCGCTGTGTTTGGTTGTCTAAAGTAGATAAGAAGCGTCCCAGTTGTAATATAGCTCCTTCATAATATACTATTGATGAATCATAATTGCCATGCTGTGCCATTTGACGTGCAATGGTAATACTTTCATCTAGTTCATCAATCGATACTGCCATAACGGTCATCACAGCTGTAAATATATCCCAAAATGTTAAAAAATAATTTAAAGTACTTGATATTTCCATGTAAGTAAATTATAATTCACCTCCAATTTAATGAATTTGAGCCTGGAAATAAATAGCTTGATTTGACTTTTCTATGTAAAAGGTATTTTATAGGTATCCATTGTTAGTAAATAGGAACCTGGCATAAAACAGAAACATGATTCTAAAATGAAAAAAAAAAAACATTTTTTAAAAATAATACACAAAAAAAAAATGTACCTACATACAAAAATATATATTATTTTTTCTTATAAATGAATTTACCATTAAAACGTATCGACCAAACGGTCGACGTTATTGTATATTATACATTTGTCTACTGAAAAAAATTATTTATTTAATTCTTTCAAATTTATAATATAACAAAATGAAAAAAAAAAAATCACCATTTAAACGAACATTGTGATTTTGTATTTGTTTTAATTTTTGAAGGAAACATATTATCAACTAAAAATATTGAGGTACGCTCTCTTGTTTAAAATCCAATGATGTTATAAAATGTTATCTATTAGGTAACTAAGCGTCTTTGACATTGAATGAAAACAGCGGCAAAATAAAAATCGTTCAAATTAAATGTTAATTTATTATTGCAATATATTTTATTTATTATTATTACAGTATATTTTGTACTGGAATCAGTTATTAAAAAAAATATTTATTAATCCAATAATATTTAATATTTTTATTAACTTAAAACGTATTCATGATATTCAAAATGACCAAACTGAAAACAGTTGACATCAAACTTTTGTCTCAAATAATTTGACTCTAAAAGATGTTTATGACTTCAATAAAAATACATTTTCATATAAATATAGAAATTTAAAAATACGATACTGTTAATGTTCCGTGGTTTTAGGTAGGAAGTTAGGAAGGTATACCGTCTTATATGATCTTACAAAAAAAAAAAAATAAAAATTCATATAAGGCACACATTTATGTTGAAAATCAAAACTAAGAGTAAACTGTGGATCAAACCGTGGAGGGTAATCGTCATCGTTGCCCCCCCCCCATGGAACCACTACTGTCCGGTTGTTTTCAGATATAATTTCGATGTAAATAAGTCAATATATATAATGATTCTAAATTCTAATGTTCTATTTAACAAAAATGATTGTTCACAGCTCACAGGCAACTTGAGTGTTGGATTTAAGCATTGAGTAATACAGATCAAAATATTATTATAGATGTTTTAAATTATACTTTTTAGTGATGAAATATTAATACTTGTTAGTATGTTTTACCGTTTTAGGTATTGACAATGATAAATGCTACTACTGTGATTCACGTGACCTATTCATTTTAAAAGATAGGTATGTACATATTAATTTATAATAATTATTAAAGAACGTTCTCTTTTATACATAGTGATGATATTTCAAAAATTGGTTTCTTCTTATGATTACCGCACACCGAATGGGATCGGAATCGAAATTCAAAATGTAAATTAATTTTGTCCTCATATTGGATCAGAACAAATTGGAATTCCATGGTTTTATACTGGGCAATTGACGCAAATGGGAGGCTTTGGGAGATTATAATTCAGCCGGTTCCCCAATTAAATCATTAAATAAGTACTTAATATATATATACATTATTTAGTTAGTATTATGGGGGGGCTTAAGTCCCTCCAAAATTGTCGGGCTATGCATTTTGTTCTCATCACCTTTGGCCGTTTATCGTAAACGTGTTGTCTTATTTTTATTAGTTTTGACATTTTAATTGTTTATTGATAATAAGTAATGACCAAAAGTATGTGTATTTACTATTTTGTGTGCGAATAAACAAGTACCCACGTTTGGAATCCGCCAAAATATTCTTGTCAATCCGAACCAGTGTGCGGCAACTTTTATAGGGACAGTACATAATAATTAGGAATGTATAATTATGATTGGATATACGGACAGTGAAGTACCCGTCTCTCTGTAGTCAGTATATAAAATCAAAAATTTTATCAGAGGCATTATATTTATTCATATTTTGTACATAATATATTATTTTTGAAATTATAATGTTACTCTAAAAGTTTGGACGTTTAAACTAGAACATATTATATTTGTATCCTTCCAACAGAAATACAAGTACACAAATATATTGTTATAGGTGATAATAATAGTCATAATAATAACTTATTGAACATTGGCAACAGAATATTATTTTTCGATTTTATTCTATCTACATTTCTTACAAAAGACAGATTTTTTTTTGGCACCGTTTCCGATACTTCATAAATAAATTTATAATACAAATGTCCTATACCTATTCTGTCGAAATCGTGAATTATAAATTCATTGCATGGTCATGATACACATTTAGATCTACATAAAATAGAATTTAAATATAATAATAATTAAAAAAAAAAATGATTATAATAATAACAAGTAGCTAGGTATAATACGAATAAATAACACGATTTATAAAATATATTGAATAGGCATAATACCTACTTACATGTATAACGATTAAACGTTCAGAACTTCAATTTGGACCTGTGGGAAGTATCAAGTAGTATTAAAGTACGTAAACTTAACGGATCAATAATTAATTGACGTGCCTACTTCTACTAGAACATTATATATTGTATTTGTATATATTATTTAGAACAATAAGATCTCGAGAAGATACTAAAGATCCACAAAATAAGAAATGTTTGAAAAATATCTATAAAGTGAATAATATCACCCGAAAATTGACGTTCTGCTTTATATATTATTATATTTAACCTAAAGCACAAACATAAATTCGCGAAAAATCAAATTTCTAATGTTTTTATTTTGTTTGTTGTAGAAAAACAAAAGTGAATAACATAATATTATAATAAACGTAAAGCATTCAAGCCCGGATGTCTGCACCGCACCTTTTTGGTTCCACGCACGATAGTTATATATACCTACACTCGTATATCTGTTAGCCATTCAATAATATGTTGATTATTGTTCGTTTTAATAATGTACCTACCTATCTACCTACCTACCTACCTACCTATAATTGTACAATACCACCACGATTTGTTATTAATAATATAAATTATTATATATGCCTCTCAAAACACTTAACTTCTTTATTGCCACGAGTTCTGGCCCCAGCGTTTTACTTTGACGTTTGACATACAGCTAATTTAATATAAATATATAATAATACAGGTACAGGTAATCACTGTAAGCAAAACAGTTTATCGTGTGTTATATTATCATCACCTATATTTATTATAAATATTATTGTTTATTCATTATTTACAGACGTGTACCAACGCGTATACCTAGGTATACGCGTCTGTTCTTGACATAATTGTCTAACTTAACCGTGATAGTAATATTATGTTTTACCTACCTAATGCGATAAACGCCCAAGAAAAAAAAAATTAACATGGTTACTATTATAGTTGTAAATTATAGGTCAACGAATATTTATGAATCAAACAGAAGGCTGTAATACGCGTATATGTGTACGGTCAAAGTAATACCTATAATCTATAATCTATACAATATCCATATTAATAAAATGTTATTAGTTTATCACACAACAATATTATATACTACATACAGGTAATTAGAAAAAAAAATCAATATTTTAACGGAGGAACATTTAGGTTTACGAAGACGTTATTTTGTTTGTCTCAAAACTATTTCGGTTATTGAAAATGCTTAGATTTGTTCACATTTGAAAGATGCGGAATTCTCGCCCGGTGGTATGTTATTTGACAGATTCTCGGCCGTTTTTGTATAAATTTAAAAAAAAAAAAAAAACATCTGACAACGAATGACGATACATCGGTTTTAGTTTTCGTTTATTTCTGGGTCACGAAGGAATAGCGACTAATACTACAACTTTACCGGTTTAACAAACGTGGCTCGTTGCTATCCAAACTAAATTACCTACCCTAAACCCCATATAAGTAACTTTCCAACTGCCAACCAGCTATGGTACGAAATATGTCTAGGGCACGGATGTGTACAATAAACTAGATCGTTTATTGTATAGGAATCGTCCATAACTTAAGTTAAATGTGTAGGTACATATTATTATTATCACACATAGACAAAAAAAACAGCACACATCATCTATATAAATATGTTACCTACACACATAGCACTCGAGAACTCGAGCGGATAAGATGGCTGGCACCGGGTAGTGTATATATTCGGCTTTCGTATATTATTTACGGCATGAAGAACGATAAAGTTTGTTCAAGTTCGTTTAAAGTTTGAAATAATAATTGTTTATGAATCTACAACATAACAAACAATAAATTGTACGGTACGGCACAACTACAGTTAGTTATACTATTATATTGTAATAAAATGTATGTAGTCGAATAAATAACATTAAAACATTATTATATCGAATGAGTATTTAGCCGTGACAATGTACGCACAGACGTAATATTTACAATACACAATATCACAATAACGCGATGACTTTTGAGCATGTATTGACGTAAAACACAAAAGTCTATTATTTATATAATACATCATATATTTCATATGCAACGCTAACCCGCTGCATATATTATATAAAATATTATAGTGGTCTATAAAATTCTCTAGTTATCGATTGTCCCCGAGGAATGTTTTATTCTTTCCGACCGGGTAAAAATAATGTTTCACCGCGTGAATTTCACCAGTTCCCGGTATATAATGTCTTTAATAAACTCGGTCGCCCCTAATGCATTTTTTTTTTTTTTTAACTACATTACAACAATAATAAATTGTACTAATTTGAATACCTACCGAATAAATGAACGCATACTTCCCAGTTTTAACGAGGTGCAACTGATGTGTAAGTATAGAATATTATCGGAGCAATTTTGAGAAATTATAAACTAAGTACCTTTATTATTATATATATAATAGTTATTTAGTACAATAATTTTAACGGAATAAAATTAAAACATAATTTATTAAAAGTAGAGTAGTTATATGGAATAAATTAATAATAATACGAATATACGATGCTCGAGTGCACAGCACACAAATAAATAATATTATGTAGGTGGGTCTATAAAATACACACGTGTTGGCATTTAAAGTTAAGGTAGAACTGTTTTTGTGTGTAGAACACACATTTAAAAAAATAATAATAAAGACGTATTAGAATAAGTATAAAAATAATAATAATTTTAATATGTAATCATAATTCCATTTTAAGTAAACATCAAATCATCAAAATATCTAAACATCAAATTATTTAATGTATTATGATTTCCAAATTCGAAATCCGAAATCCACAAAACGTATTATTTCCAAAATAAAAACTTTTGTCTGACAAAATTTAATTTTTAGTAAAATATATAGGTACCTATAAATAATTTATTAAATTGTATTTGTAAAGAGTTTCAAAATCGTGCAGCACAACTCTGATTATTGACTATAGTATATTATAACTAAATATAAGTACCTATTTGATAGACGATTGTACTTTCCAAACTTACTAAAATATAACGTTGATAATTTTTATTGTCATCCAGTGCATATTTATCATAAATTCATAACAATCGCTGGAAAGTTAAAATCTATACAATAAAGAACGATGAGACAACATTCCCGCATTGTTTTCATATTTTTCACTTGAAAATCTTCACACCATAAATAAACTGGTTCAGCCCGATTTTGTCAAACACATTTTGAGTAGGTAGGTTATAACTTTCTATTTTTTCTATGATAAAATGGCTAATTGATGATTTGGAATTAATATATAATACGGACACCAGCCACTGGTCGTTTGGATAACATTAATGCAAAGATATAAGTAAACATAATAGTTATTATGACGTTGACAATAGACCGATATTACACGGATATAGCCGTATATAGGTATTAAATATTGTACGCGATAAAAACGGATATAATTTATATTTTGTACAGTAATGCCATGAAATAATAACTTATGAAGTAATAAAAATAAAAATAACTCTCGCGTATCTGTGAGTCAAAAGTAAAATTGTTGGTAACTAACAATTTTGTTATTTTATGCGGCTCCAACTTATTAACTGTAATTCAAATTTCAACACAAATAATCAAAAATCATACGGAAACAATATCAACAAATACGTAGCTATAGTATAATGTTTAACATTGTATAAACGAGCAGAATATTAAATAGATAACTGTCATGATATTGTTTTGATAGTTACTGTATAGGTAAATTAAAATATATGTGCATTATTATCGTTCATTTTTTTTTTAAACGTTATTTCAACCTATTAAAACACGGAAACGAACATAATATTTTGTGTTATTATATATTTATATGCACAAGGCCGTAACTGGAGTGAGGTCCAGGGGTCCGGACAATCCCCCCTCCCGAAATTGTTTAAAAGTAGAAAAATTTTAGTATTGAATATAGTTTATTTGTATACAATTTTTTTTATATTTTCGTTCAAGCAATAACGGTTTATGATTTTAATAACGATAATAAAGAGGTTTTATGTTTTTAACGTAAAAATGATGAGTGTTTGTATCTATTTAAAAAATGAATGTTGGAACCCCCTTTCCGAAATTTGTTTTCAGTTACGGCCTTGTATATGAATAATGTATATTATATACGATGATTTTATTTCTAATCGTCTATCCATATACATCGGCATTTGTTGTTTTGACACAGAGAACAACAAACATAACATTCGTCGCAGGCGGCAAGTTTAACATATGTGTGTACAACGACAATTATAGCGAGTTGCCATAAACGAACATCAAAAACTTACTATTAAATATTAATGTATAATAATATACACATATAAAGGTAACATTATGTTTACACCTCCACTACCTATAAAAATTATAGAACCTTGTGGCTTGTGATGCACATATTATATTGTTGAACTATATTATAACTGCACCTAAATTATTACAAGTTAGTTTTAAAGTATAGGTATGTTGAAAAATTGGCCTTATTAGAGGCTGTCACAGTTGTATTTGCCGTCTCTGTCTTTCTATAAGTATGGGACGATATAGCGTAACAAAAATGACGTGTTCAAATAAACCATACGAAAAAGCCTTTAAAATCAGATTAGTGATACAAATTTATAAGTACAGATCCGAAGATTTGAAGAGAACCTCATTGGCAACGTTCAGCATTTTTTGAATATTATTTATTAAAATAATTACCGCTTTTAAAAATAAATAAATTTTAATTCCATTTTTTGAACCTACCTTTTGATAATGAGTGTAATTTTTAGAGAATTTTAAACTCCGACAAGAATATCTTTAAAAATATTGTTGTCTACAAATTATATTCTATGCGTTTTATCTCTAAAATCGATTGTAAAGGCTTTTTCGTTTGTTTTACGTGAAATGTGTGCACAATATTTTCTCTCATTTGAAAGACATGTCTGCAGATGGTAAATGCAACTGCGACGATGGCCTTGACGGCGAAGTTATTTTATAAAATAATAGGTACCAAATTTTTGAGTGTATTATGTTTGTTATTATTATTATTTTTTTAAATATTAATAATATAACCATATACGTGTATTTTAGGTACCTAGTATTCGTGTTATACAAAACACGAAGTACGACTACGTTGTCAGTAAATATTATTTTTTCGTATTTCTATTATATGGTAGGTAGGTACTTAAAAATTAATTGTTCAATTTAAAACACGTATATAACCTTAAATTGTATTCTACGATAGTTAAAATAATACTATTGTACCTACGCGTGGATAATATATTATATAATTAGCAAGCAATAGTGCCTATAAGAAAAAAAACAATTAATAAACAATTATAATAACCTTTGTGAAAACAAACCTAGCTATACATCATGATGGAAGATTGTAAAAAAAAACTTTCGGGTTGACATTTTGGGTAGGTTTAAAATATAAAACAATAGGCGCCTAATCGTTTTTCGGCGACATTTTAAAAATGAGATTGCGACCTATCCTATAGATACATTATGTATTATTTCGTTTTTCTATTACTAGAATACACATATATAACTGCATAGGTGTTTCAAAACAAGAGTTGGTGGTTTATAACAGAATATTATGTTCTATGATGGGCAAAATGTCACGTATAGCTGGTACAGGTAGTTAAAACACGTGCTATTATATATGATGTAAAAGCAACTTTTCAATATACCTCCTATGCTATAAGTATTACATTTGTTGAACGATATAAAGATATAGATATAACAGGCAACTATATATTGTTGTATTTTTATGTTCGAATTTTATATAATGGCATTTATCATACGGAAGAAAAGAAAATACACATTAGATAAGTACTATAAGTACTGCTTATAAAGCAGTGGCAAAGGCATGTAGGGGCACGGGGCGCCCGAAATTGTAATTGCAATTTGGTTCATATTTATTATAGGTATTGTATTTTTAGGTATAATATAACATGTATTTTGTATTTAAAACTGGGAATTTTGAGTTTATTTTAAATCTCAATGATTTGCATTATAAGAATAATTTAAAATAAATATATTCTAGGGAAAAATCTACTATAAATGCAGCTAAGGCGTAAAACCTGAACTTGTTTCAGGGTTCTTAATTTTCCAGCTATACGCTACTACCTACATATAGCTTAGCTACGTTTCTCGGGATATAAAGCGATGTATTAATTAATTAATACAAGAAGGCTCAAGTATGTGAATTATGTATTAGGAAATCCCGGCGGTCACGACGTCAATAATGATATTGTATTGTATAAACCTATAGCCATTGTTTTATAATGAATTAGGTTGATCACATTTTTTTTGTTTGTTCTTTTGAACTGTAAGCAAAAAAAAAAATTATCATAAATTTGAATTTAGTAAGCATAAAATAATACTGGAATTCGGTTATGTATGCATTCATGCACATGACCACACATGACACACGAAAAATAATGAAATATTTTTAATAACATTGAATTGAGCAATATGAATAATAATAGTAACATTATTGATCTGCGGTAATACACTGGCAAAAAAAAAAATGTTACTCAACGAAGTAATAATACAACACAAAATTAACCTGATAACACGATAAAAAAAAATGTTTTCACAGCAATAATAATATAAGCCTATAAAATGTTTATATATTACACATATACAAAAAGTAGCGTAAAAAACTTATATTAATGTATAAAACATTAATATACAATTTGTTTGTATTTAATCACATACGATTTAAATACTTGAAAAATATACTATTATTATAATGATTAAAATTTTTGTATCAATTTGTTATTTTGTTTTGGATAATAATAAAATGTAAATATTAATTTATGTACTTTTGATTTTCAATTGTATTTTTCTTGCTATCAAACCAGAAATAGGTAATGTATTTATATTATGTATCAAGTAAAAGAAAAACGTTTAAAATAAATAAGCATCTAAGTAAATTGTTTAATCGAAAATAGATATAGGTATAAAACTATAAAATATTTGCACTAAATACCTCTACCGTGTTTTATGTTAATATTCTATGTTAACCTGAATAAAAACAGGACATACAAGAAGCGTGATAACAAATACAAATATTAATACTATTATAATAGTAGACATTATAGGTACCTAAACAAGTGTTATACATATGTATAAAATGCATGAAATGTATTAAATTAAGGGTTAGATACGTAGGTACATAATATACTGTATAGTATATATTTTATACTATATACTATACCTTATTGGTATACTATACGTTATAACCTTTGTTTTTAGATATCATTACAAAAAAAGTGTATTATGGTTTAAAAGTAAAAAAAAAATCATTTGGATTATATAGTACATATTACAATAGTATTATTTTAAATGTGTTTATTTGAAATAAAAATGAAACCATTAGGCTTATGATTATAATATTGTATAGCCAAACGGATTATAGTATGTTATCTAAGTGAAAAATTATACGGATTTGATAAACATTGACATTATAAACAGTAAACACATCACGAGTATTATAAACTAAAACAAACATTCTGTTTGTATTATCGTAATCACAATACTCATAATGTAACAGAGTATAATAAAAATAATGTATAAAATGGATAAAAAATAACCTCATGTTATTGAGTTGTGTAATATATATACGGGCAAATCGTTTGGAACGAAATATAAAGCAGTAATAATATAGCATTGAAGATTTATTCGAATTAATTCGTTGCAGTATTTACTAATGTAAAGAAATTATAATAGCTTATTATAGGTATTGTACGATCAGTAGAAGAAATTCAATAGATTCGAGGAAATTATTATTTATATTTATTGTTATACGTAATTATATTGAAATAATATTATATTCTTATAAAGAAATATCTAAAAATACATATATTTTTTTTTTTAATTTTTGAATTTCAAGTTGTTATTATTATTATATAAAAAAAAAAAAAATCAAGATCATTGTATTTTATAAAGTATATGATATTCGGATAGTATTTTAAGGCCATATTATAAATATCATATCTATGGTATCAAGAAAGAAGGGCCAAATTTAATTTTTGGCATTTATTATATAATTTTGTAAAATGTAATTTGCTTTTATTCTACTTGAAATATTTATATTAATCTTACTGAAAATTATACAAAATTGACTTAAGCATTTTTTCCCTGGGACCAATGATATGTTATTACTGTAAACATTTGGTTTTTTGATTCAATATGCCATTATACTCAACTTTTAATAAATTTAATGAAATTAATTGAATCGTATGTGTATAAAAGTTACACGTTTACAGTTTACTATATTACTATTATAGTTATACATCGTTGAGAAGGTAGCCATATTTTATGTAAAAGCTAATGTTGGAGTTTAAATTATTTTAATTTGAAATTCCCAATAATAATATTACACATTATGGAATATATAGTATTTTTTTTTTTTTAAACAAGTGTCCACCTACATACAACCAAGTAGGTTTTACAATATTTAAATGTAAAATAATATATTAGTACCTATATAATATATTTCTTTATTGATATTTCATAGTCGTAACCAACCAAATTAATATTTGTATTATAATAATAATTATTAATGAAAAAAGTTATTATTATGATTTATTAAGTGTTATAATAATGTGTGATTTCTATTCTTCCCACAGAAATATCTCATTTAGCCTATAGATACATCAATTCATATAGGCACGCGTGTATATACAGTGGGTGGAAACTGGAAATATGGAATGCTAATACTTTTCTTAGTTGTATATATTATAAACAACTTTTTCACGTTCATCGTATTATTATATTGAAAAATGTCACTAAATTACGTTCTTCCATAAACCTTTGGTACCTACCTTCATTACGAAATATTTCATAATGCGTTTTCCTTATTACAAAAAAATGTAAGGTATAGTAATGGAGCTAAAACATAATATTAAAACTATACAATATTATTATACTGTTTAAATATTGTGTAATAAATATTTTAAAAATATATAGAAAATAATTTAACTTATGGTTTTTGTAACCTTTTTCTTTTATAGATTCTTAAAGCGTAACAAGAAATGTATTAGTTTTAGTGATTTTACTATGATGTGTATTTTTTTTTTGTCTTTAAACAGCTCTTTCCCCCTAACCCCGCGCATAATTTTTTTTCGACCATCAAGTGTAGCACTATTTTAAAGAAAAGAAACTTGTATCTAGTTGGTATACACCGGGAGGTCATTTTTAATTTTCTTTGCAATTTTCTTAATGATTAGGTGACAATGTATGCAATAACGATTTCTGTTATTTCCGATTTGGTTTTTTTGTTGTTATTCAGTTAAAAATAATCTCAGAGACTCGAAATTTGTTCTAACATGTTCTAAATACTTATATTAGCCTTTTCAAACGAGGTCAAATTTTCAAAATATTTTGACTATTTTTGTGCTACTTACAGTTATCTGTAAATATTTGAGGTTTTTTTAAATTTGTATTTGGTTTCGCGTGTATACAATTGTTTTAGCTCGCCAAAATGGTCGAACATTTAATACGATATTTATCATTAGGTTTACATAGTGGTAAAAAAAATTTAGTACATAGTAATATTTTTTTTTATTAGAGTTTTTAAGTTCAAATTTCGATGAAATCGAAACTATCACAGTATTTCAAAAAATGTTTAACCGAACTCCACTCAGAATCGTTTTTCATGAGCAATTATTGTGTAGGTATATAGATATAAATTAAATAACCCTATATAATTTATATCCTATGCCTTCCCAACTTTGCACCTACAACAATGGCACACCCATCAGCTCTTTTTTATTTTCTTTCTTCGATCCATTAATATGTAAGGTGAATTTGTATTATGCTGTTTTTATTTTACATTTATTTTTATTTTGACTATACCAGTTATACAGGTGCAGTATTTGATTTAACCTACCTATATTAGTGCCCACCTAAACAATTTTTGTAATTTTGTGAGTGGAAATGGTATTGTAGTCATGAGCGATCAATCATTGAAAAAAAAATACAAAAACGTTCACGTTCGAAACATTTTAATAATTATATTCTTATGAATGGTTTTAAAATATTAATACAAATTAAATAGTTCGTTCCGCCCATAATGAATATTTATATATTAATCAGGTGTATCGTGTACATATGGATATATACCGACGATGGCAAAAATAAAAGAACTTATCGGATTAACACAAAATATATAAATTCATTTTTACAACACACCCATATAATCGTACATTAATCCCCGTTAAGCTACTTTATTGGTACATATATCCTTAATGACAATCCGATATACTTTTGACGAACAGTGGCTGCGCTCAAGGCAATTACTATCCATTAGCATAATAGAGTACAATAATATTAACATAAGAGTATTTTAAACACACGTTTTTATAAAAATATATACATATATGTGTAAAACGTATAAATAATTCTAGAGCCCAGATTTATAATAAATGTCCTAAAAAACTATTGAAAAATGTTATAGAAAAAACATAGTAATTAATAGTCTTTTAAAAGCGAGAATGTCATACAAAAATTGCCTAAACATCAAAAACGATGAAAAACGCAAAACGTATAAAATATTTCAATTTTGAAGTATTTCTACAGTTATACATACACTGAATTACTTAAATATGTACTTGGAATACTTTATTATCATATTAGAGGGAGTACGCCATATGCTAAACATACACACGAAAAATGCACTTTTCATTTAAATTCGGCCCATGGATTATATTTATAATGAAATACTCGATCGTAATGGAAAAATAGACTTAATCGTTATTTATTTTGCTACAAATATAAATGTAAATTTATTGTTTTATATCGAGTTTTATGCACATAGGAGAGAAGTGGCGGTTATAATTTCTCCTATTCGGCATTGTCCTAAAGCCACAATAACTAAGAGTGTTTATTTAGTACTTATAATCTTGAAATGTATACATTTCAGTTAAGTTATACCAGGTGATTCATTTAAGTGGGTACACTCATTATCTCGGAAAGTAATAACTTTTTCGGGAATTTGTTTTCTAGAACGTTAAAGAAACAAGTTGCACTACAATTTTATATTTATGTTATTTTTTGTCACCCTTATTTTTGGGAGTAAAACCACTACCTACTTTTGATTTTCAAAGGTCAGCGTATATTAAAAATTCCATAAATTGATGGGATATTTAAAATAAATGATAGACTATCATTAGTTTGGCGGTACGGAAAGCGGTGTGTAATAATGCACCACTATTCTCCCTCAATCTAAAATTAAAAGTGGTATATCTCGTCAACGGCTTGACAGAAATCAAAAATACCAACACTAAATTTGTTTTAACTAATAATCCATATATTTAGGGAATTTTTAATATAGGTTGCCCTATGAAAATCAAAAGTAAGCAATGATTTTACACCCGAAAATAAGGATGACCAAAAATAACATAAATATAAAATTGTAGTGCAGCTTGTTTCTTAAATGTTCTAGAAAACAAATTCCGGAAAAAGTTAATACGTTCTGACATAATGCGTGTACTTAAATGGATTACTCGGTACAAGGAAAAACTCGATTTATTGATTGAAAATTGACTTTTTGGGTTCCGTTTTTTAAATTCCCACAGTCGAGTCGGGTATAAAGAAGACGGCTCTACGATTTATTCGTGATTATTATATTAGCTACATCCCCCGCCCGTCGAAAATTCCCGGGCACATCAGTGCGACGGTAAAACATCGTAAGTCAAAAGCGTGTGCGTATTTTTTTGTTTTACGAACAACGCTGTTGGAGGTTTTTATGTCCCCCGCGGTGGACAAATTCTAGATACGCCATTGTCGCGCATGTAGATTATATTTAAGTAGGCATACAATTATAATGCATAATGCGTATGGCTAACTATTTCGTCGGAATGAATATTATAATACAGGTGTATCGTATACACATATAATTAGGTATCGGGTATTACACGCCTATGCGTGTATATATATATATATATATATATTATATCTAAACGGGATAACTGAACGGGATACAATATTATGTACATCATACCCATCAAAGTGCATGACGGCGGAATGATTTTTCGTATACTCGCAGTATACACTTATATTATAAGTAAATTATTTACGTAATGTCTAGCAAAAACTAACGGCATTATAACCGTACCTAGTCTGCCGTAATTCGATAATGTCCGTGAGGTATATAAATCCGCGTCGTCCGCACGGCCCAACGACTATCCGAACTATCGGAATGCGAAAATAATATTCTCGTCTATAATGCGTATACCATGGTTATGTATAAAAATAAAACCATTGGCGGTATAAACCTACGATGATCGTACGCGGTCCTCGTCGTTATTAAGGGGTACCGCGGTGTCGGTGAGTTTTTTTTTTATTTTTATTTTTCGTTAAAAAGCATGATGATTCTTACGGAGAAAATTCTCACTGTATCTCGTATATAGTGCAAACGGTCCGATTTCGACGATTATTATTATTATTATTTTTTTTTTTTTCGGATATAGAAGAAGAATACTTTTCCCTATATGCTAACCGTATTGTATACCGTTTTTCGATATATTTGCATCTCAAACTTTATAATCAGTATTTGTTTTTTGCCAAATGTTGACAATTACCAACAGAACCCTACTTACAGGGGGGCTACAGCCCCTGGTCGTGACATCATAAGGGGCCCCCATATATATTAATTTGGTTTTAAAATTACTTTTGTTTAAATTTGTTAAAGTCCAAAATATTGACTAAAATTATCAGTTGTGACAGAATTCTAAATCTTCATTTAATCAGTAATCGATAAAATTATTATACATTAAGATAAAGTTGGGAAATCATGAATTTTGAAAAAAAACCAAACGAATATTATCAACAAACATTTTATTTTATACTAATGATAAGAAAAAACGAATAAGAAAAAATAATTCCCGGATGATACAGTTGAAAATAATTCAAATATTTGTAAAATAAAAAAGGACATCGTCCCGTTGTTGTACGTGAGAATTTGGGAAGGTAAAGGGGAAATTGAATGCATATTTGTACTCAACAATTAGTTGTTGCTAACGAAACGGAACTGGATAAGAGAAAAAACTGATTTTATAATTTAATTTAAAGGCACCATTAAAAAATTAGCCCCAGGCCCCAATAGGGCTGTGCCTCTCAATATTTAAAAATCAGAGTTTAATACGGTCTGTTAAGGTATATTGTTGTTAATCAATTAAAAAAAAAAAACTTTATACACGGTAGGAAAATATTTTGTTGATAATGAGTTATCACGGGTATTTTGGAAGTAGATTAGTGGGAAAGTATTATATTTTAAACGATCACGAAAAAATATTTACAAAATTGAAGAAAATTTGAAAAACCGGCACCGCAGACCCCTCCAGTATAATAATATTAACCAGGTCAACGACCTGATCGCAATTACGTGTAATAGTGTAACGATCGTCCCAGGCGACGGACCGATAAAATAGCTGCAGGTCTCATATTTATAGACTGTATAACCTATAATACTTATTTCATTATAGGTAGGTACGCGTACGTAATACGTTATTTTATGATGGCAAATTCGGTTTTCAAAATGTAACTGTAAGTAAGGGTGGCCAACTGTTCAGGTGGTCTGTTGTCAAATCAATCGTAAAGAGTTTTTGATTAATAATAATAATAATCAATATAGAAAGTTGAGGAAAAATGAATTAAAATAATTTCGATTGAAAAGCGTTTTCTATTGATTTGAGAACAGTCCTCCTGATCTCCCACAGGCCAGCCATTTGTCCAAGATTTTCAGGTGCATGTTCAGCGGCCTGTAGTACATCTTTCGACCGGGCGTCAAATGTCCTGAATGTTTCATATAACTTATTATTTTATGAGGCGCCGTCTGAAAACGGCCACACTCCCTCGGACAAAATGCGGTTATTTCTTGTTTCGTTTGATCGAACCGATAGTGTAGACGACCGGACGATTCTGTCCATCCGACTGCCGATTACTATACATCATTATAACCTGCAGCTAAATAGTACACATTTTGTAAATTCTAATTGTAATTATCAATTATATGCCATACAGGAATCTGAATTGTCGTAGCTTTGTTCATCTTATACTTTTACCTTTATTTTTTAAGAGAAAAAAAATTGTAGGACGTAAATTAAAAAGTATAAAAAGCTCGTTGTGTTCAGTTTTCGAAATTGTGATAGAAAGTATTTTGGGCACCATGGCGACAAAGGGCGTTTTTAAATAATATTTTGGTGGAATGTATTAGTATTTTAAATCGTTAGTTTAAGCGGTGCCAAGAAAATTAAGCGTTTATACAACTATTGTAATTCCGCGGTGGAACGTGATAAATTAGAGAGAAAAAAAATTCAGCAAGTCAAAAGTGGTCTTAATAAAAACACCTACTGCAACAATACAAATTCAGAATACGTTACGTGTTACGTCCGTTTCCGAAATCGCGCGTTGTTGTTGCTATATTTTTTCGAAATTTGAATTTTCAAACGAGATACACGTACAGATACAACTATGATACTTCATTCACACACTCATATCTCTCTTAATAATTAGAATATCGAAAAAATAGCGCCAACGTTGCAGACATAACATTATTATATTTAAGTTTGATAGTAGGTCAATGCACTCTAATATTAAAACTAACAGCGCAAAGTTGTCCCTGCAGACAAACGTAAATATGATAAGTCGCGGTACACGTGTGTGGAAGAGTGACGGCACGTGTTGGACAATTGCCGGGTGTCACGTATTACGCATTTGCAAGAGTGAATCGCATTTATCGCCGAATCGTATTACTTATTACAAAGAAGAAAAAACCCGACGCATACGCGGGGTGGGCGTCGCACGCGTTGTGAAATTTTTTTTTGAACAAACAAAAACTATACCTGCCGCTGGAGGACGGTAATGTTGTGGCGACAACGGCGACGAAGACGTAGGAGTGACACTCCCGTCGAAGGAGTCTATAATATTATTATCATGATATTAAATCCGAGAGCGAAAGAAATGCAAAACTGAAGAAAAAAAAAAACCCGCGCGACGGAACCGGTTCGACGCACAGCCGGTGCTTTTCGTGCGCACTGCACTTACGACCACGCGTGACGAAAACGACTACGACGAAGACGGCGGCGACGACGGTCCGCTGTCCGTGAAACTCGATAGGCTATTGCAGCAGGCGAGAGTAGCACGCGGTTCGGATGCTGCGTCGAACCGGCGGCGGCGTGAAAACTCTCCCACGACGGTTATTACGAAAACAACAACAACAAACGGCTATCGCGATAATATTTATAATAATGGTATATCCCATCTGTTATGTTATTATTAATGTACCGTTTGTACGCGGAGACAGACGGACGTCGGACGAAACAAAAAAAGAACCCCCCCGAACAGAACGTTCCAAATACCGTACGCCTTACGTTCGCCCCCCCCCCCTCGCCAGTCCGCACGATTTTTTTCTTATTTTTATTATTAACGCACCGTGATGATAATAATAATAATAATAATAGATAAGCAATATAATTTTAGTGTCGCACTCACTAGAACGCGCGCGGTACTGTCGTACGTGTTATTATTGTGACAACGATTTCGGTTCGGCGCGACAGTCGTCCTGGCGGGCCGCATGTTACGACCGCGATGATGGTTGCAGCAGACGGTCGCCGTTAACGTCATAACACGCGTGCGCCTGTTCGTGGCCGAGCTGTTGTCCGGTGATTGCGAAACGGCGTGTGCCCGCACTGTGTCACAGCGGACGCGGACTAATTTTTAATTTTTCAACGTACTGCTGCGGTATCGTTTAAAAACGTACCGGCACACACGCGCTCGGCGTGCCTTTCCCATACCATAATAGGACGTTTCGAGTCGCCCGGATCGCGGGCCGCGTGTGCGGCGGCAAGGCTGAACGCTTATTCTGGTGTACGCGTCGTACAGCCGCCGGTCGACTTCAATGACGCGACGACCGCCGCCGACCGCGTGTGCCGTTTGTTTCGTATGCCGCGTATGCCCGACGCGAATAACGACGATAATTTCGCGCGGAGATGACGGCTGAGACGTAACAACAATACCGTAATAATATGCTATCGCGTATTTTTCGATTTGTACGGCCGCGGGGCGGGGCGAGCTGGGCATACGGGCATACGAGCGCGACGATAACGATAATAATATTATCGGAGGCCGCGGCGACGCGATCGGTACGCGTATATTAACGCCGCGACGGAAACCGCAAACGTAATGAAATCGAAACCGGTGCGCGCGCGACACTCAGCGAGTAGGTACGACAATAATATTCTACACGGCGGCGGCGGCGGCGACGACGTCGTAACCAAAGTGCGCGCGTTGCGGTGTACCCGTATAAGCGAGTGAAGGTCGCCGGCGCGGCGGCGGCGAAGGAGTTTCAAATCGCGTGTGAGGTTAAATAACAATACGCTACGACATCGCGACGGGATTTACGACACACGATGAGCCCGACGACACCGCGTCGCACGACATAATTGCGATTCTATGTGATATACGTTATACGTTTTTATTTTCTGTCCTATTTAAACGCGACGGCGATGCGCCCGAGAGGGACGCAAACGAAATATAAAATCAATAAATCCATACGTATATATATAAATCGCACACCTTCTTACCTGTATTAGGCGACGGGCAGGCCCGGACTGTACCGGCGGGTTACCGAGAGAATATCCGCGAGCCGCGTGAAATTTCGCATATGCGTCTTGTTCGTAATATTAAAGGTGTACGGTCTATTGTTCAAAACGCGGAACCCGGACACTTTGTACTAATATATATAGTACATATACAATATGCATAGTATATGTAGAATAAATAAAAAAAAAAATACATAGCTACATAAAAAGAGCTAATGGGGTGAGTCGTGAGTGGGAAGTTTGGAAGGAGCCAACTAGTATTGATAGTAACACCCGGTTACTTTCTATCTTACTGCGGTAATACTTTTATTTGAAGCTGATGGTAGTTCATTTTGATCGGAGGAAATATTTGTAAAAGTTTAGAAAATTATTATCGATAATAATCCACGTAAAATTCTATATACAAGTATAAACGGCATAGTTTTTACTCTTTTAACACGTTTTCTCGTACTAACTCGCTCAAATGTATCAAATTTAGCATCGTTTCTGAAAGGTAATTTTCGCGGAAAGGTACTTTAAAGAGATAATTTTTTGATTGTGAAAAGTGATGAAGTGGAAAAAACGTACGATTTCACGATTTTATTATTTTAAATGATTACGGACGACGTTTTCTACCAAAAATATTGCTCCAATTGAAAAATAACAAAAGACCTTTTTTATTGAATTTTGAATATAGTTTCTTACGGTCTAAGTTTCGAAAAATTTTAGGTGTTTTTGAGCTATTTATAGACATTTCAATTTTAAAAGTTTTTTTTATTGTTTTTCGATTAAAAACAGTCGTAAAGACTTTAAGATTAGAATGTATACTTATATTGGCCTTTCCTAGATGTGATAAAATTTTCGAAAAATTTGAGCTATTTATAAAGTGATATAAATATATAATTTTTGATAGGAACCTACTATGCGGATAAAACTTTTGGATTGATCATAATTAACCCATCCTCAGTATCAATCATCCCATATTCAGGCTTTTTATTTATTCTATATATACTATATATATTATGTATATAATAGTACAAAGTGTCCGCGTTTCGTGCTTATATCCTCCGAAATTGCGTTTAAACGTTCTGTATACATTTGAAACGAGCGACAGACGCAAATGGAGGAATCCTCTGGTTGGTCGGTCATCGTTATTCGTTTTAAGTGGCCCATTTACTTACAACGTATCGTATAGGTCTACAGGAGTTCTTATGACGACTCAATGGATTCAATTTTGCTCAATCTAAATCTGTAGTGGTTTTTCATCAACTAGGTAGTACAGATTTTAAGTTCACACTTAAAAGGGCGCCAACTTTCTTGGAGCAGTATCAGGTTTGGGACGTAGACTTTATAAGTACTCATTGATATACTCATCAATATACTCATGTTATCGATATCACAACATTGCTGATAAGCAATCAAAGTGCCTATCAGAAGATTTCATTGAGTCTGTGTGACTCTATATTCAAGCATAGGGTCATAGGGATATGCACACGAGTACGTACTTATCCGATTAGCCGAATACCGATCACGCGACAGAATTAAGTATTAAATAATTGAAAACATCGCGCGCGCGCGCGCACATGGACGTTCGCCAAAACACGAGGTAATGTCTAAACACACGCCGCAGTCACGAGAAATCGCGTTTTTAAAATGCGTGCCTATTGTGCTAAAATAACGACGTGTTACAATCATTATTTTTATCTGTACTACAAACACCGGTGACAGATTTAAATTGTTCATCAAACACGATTACCGACAACTCCTTTGATGTACGTACTCCTTAAAGATTTAATCATATTGCGTAGGTACTTATTCTAGCCATATGAGGATACTGTTACACCGTAATAAAATAATTAATTCATGGGCGAAACTAGACTACTAGAGGAGAATTGAAGAGGCAACTAAGTCGTAGGATACCAAAAGGCAGGTAAGCCAAATTGACTTAGCAAAAAAAAATATTTACAAAAATTAACGAATAAAATAAAAAGAATTCTAAGGAATCGATTTACGAGTAGATCAGCTAAATGGACTTGTTATCCTAAACAATCGTCTTCTAAACTAAATCGTTTAAGTACCTATCTGATTATTTGCACTTTAGGTAAATTAATAATATATTAATACAGTGATATAGCCAGAAGGCACGGGGGTCATGTTTCCTTCCACCTAATTGGTCTTATTTTTAAAATACTTTTATCATACTCGTTTCATGTTTATGTCACTTTACGGTGTATGTGGTTTATATTCATATTTCATAGATCGAGTATAAATATTATGTTTTTTATATTTAATTAATAAAATTAACGTTTATTACGTGTAAATTTGTAATTTTGACTTTAGTTTTATTTTGCTCCTTTTCTCGTTGTAAATTCTTGGCTATGTCACTGATTTATATGTGTACTGTATAATCTTATCGAGTAGGTACTGCAGATGATTGAAAATTGGTATCAAGAGTATATTGATAATCTTATCGAATGCATAATTCGATAAGATTAACCACTTACGATATCTTGTTTCGATCTTATATTTTATTTATTATAATAATTTATAGCTTAAATACGAATTGCTGTAAACAAATTACTAATTGCAAAAAATAAAAGCGAAATATACCTAATAATTATGTAGCAAAAGAGAAACGGGTTTACAAGGTGTAGTTTTTATCGCGAGATTCAGCATGCCGTATATTATATATTATAACTTAGAAGTCCAGTTTAACACTATATAATTAGAAATTATAGTGAATTTTTTTAGCATTTAATTTCTATATTGGTAAAATTGGTCGTTTGGAAAATTTCAAAATACTTTTATCTTTAAAATCATAATTTAGTCTATTAACAAAACAGGCTTGTCTCGAAATCTCTTTATTATATTATAAATATTATAACATGACTAACCCGTCACCCGTGTAATTATACTTTTATAAAATCTCAATCAGCTATTTAGTGAAATTCTATACATTTATCCAAAGGTTTTACGATAAATAAAATAGATGAGTACCTGCATTCAGTAGTATAGACTATAGATAGTCTATATTTAAATCTCATATAAAATAATCAAAATACCCAAAATAATTTGTTTCGGATACATATTATACATAATCCCTTTGAAAAATGATCAAACAATTGAAAAAAAAGTTTCACTTTTGAAGGACTACCTATCGACTATTTGTTAAATGATTGAATTAATTTTTCGAATATTCAAATAATTGTCAAATATGCAAAATGTTCATTTACTATTCCGTAGTATGCAAATTATTTTAGAACTATTGTGCAATGCCTCATAAATGGTTGTAATGTTGGTATAATTTAATAAATATGGATATTATATAAATATAATTATAGTTTTATAATGTTTAGAAATTTTAGAATGGAGAATACGAATTTTATAACAAATGATCTGTAAGTACCTCCATAATGGAGGTTGAATTTTATATAATAGTAATTGCAGTTTTGTCACTATAACATTTTAATTAAAAAAAAAAAAATGAATGCATATTGTTATTTGGATAAGAACAATTTTAAAAATCTTACACATCGAAATTTTACGGAAAACCAAAATGTGATTGTTACATTTTAAAGAACAAAACAAATGAACGAATCGAAAATGACTAATACTTTTATTATTATATTTTACCAGTTTTTATTTAATATTGCACAATCACGTCTACATAGTATACATAGTCGTTGAACTTGTTATGAAGTATATATTATTTATGTAGGTACTCGTGTATGAGTTATATATGACTCATATTATTAATTATGTTGTATATATAATTTTGGGCAAGGCTGGGCAAGTTAACAATTTGTATTAATTCGGTAAGTTAATACAGAAATAATTAAATTAAATTAAGTTAATAGTTAACTTATTTTTCCAGTTTTGTTAAGTTAATTTCTAAATAAAATAAATCAAGCATTATTAACTTAGTTAATTTCATATTTTTATTGGCAATCAAAATATCTTTTTAGAAAAAAAGTAGTAACTTATTACAACATTTAATTTTGAATTTAATTAATATACAACTTGGCAGGATTGTTTAAAAAAAGATAGGCTAGGTCGGAGTCCATTGAGTTAGATAAATACATTCTATACAGATAGTTAGCTCAAAGTTTTATACGAGACTAACATAAACTATATTATGTACATGCATAAAATTAAATTAAATATTAACATTTTACAGAAAATATATTAATTAGTATAAACCAAAATTTCAATAATTTTACTTATTTGATACATTTCTGTAACTCTATTATTTTATATTATTAGAGCTAATTTTATAAATAAATAATCATGCATAAACTAATTAGTTATTAATATTTTATATATGTATAGAAACTCAAGCACGTTGAAAATCATATTTTTCGAAAACTATCATATACTAAAAGCAGCAATTAATATTACACGGTATTTTACTATAATTATAAATTTATAAAAAAAGAAATAAAATACAGAATTATTACGCAAATTATTGTCTTCGACCAAAGTTCAACTTAACTTAAAATACACAAGAGTTACTTGAAGTCAACACGTTAAGCACATAAATATAAATCAACTTATTAAGTTAAAATTTAATTATGTAAAAAAGTAACTCGTTAATCAACTCGATTAATATTATCTTAACTTTTTAATTAAATTAAAATTTTTCACGCGTTAACACCCTGCATCCTTGGTTTTGAGAATGAAACACCTGTAGTGAAACATCATTGCATTCTCTTACTTTTAGTAATATCTATTGGAATATAATATTTTCTCACTGTCTTAAAAATATTTTTTTAAAAATTTGCAATTTGTAATTGTATCATTAAAATAATATAGAACGAGATATATAATATACATAGGTATACTCACGACCTGCGTGTATTCACTGTATTCACATATGTACAATTTTCATTAAATAAACATACGAATTATTGTAATTTTTTGGAATAAAAGAGAACGGACAACGATAATTATACACGACTGTATTTTATTGGTTTTATGAGAATCTTATTACGCAACACACATATAGGTATAACACGATGATATTGTATAGGTGTAATGTAATTGTATATAGCTGGTTCTGGCATTCAAGTAAACTACACTTACATACACCTACTGTACTGTATGTAGGAATCGTTTGCGCATTATATTTTTTTTTGTTTAGTACCTAATGTCTTTTTTTTAAATTTGTAAAAATATAAATAATGCAAATGTTATGTATACTACTTTCCTACCTATATATACACATATACTAAAGATACCTAACCTACTTGATTATACAAAATAATCGAAAAATGCGGTTTTTCGAATTTTATGCATACATTTCAAATAGTATCCAATATTACCTAAACTCGATTAATAATAAAAAAAATAATACACGTTTTCTACTGCAGTTATATAAAAATTAAAAAAACCACGGAATCGTTGACGGTTTGTGAGGCTTTTACATTTTGTATTTAATTAGAATTTAACCATTTTAAAAATTAAATTTGAATAATTGGATAATATATTTCATGTAACCATATTAAATAGTGCAGTAATTCATAATATTAAGTAAATACCTACTTTAAGTACTTTAATAGTAAATATAAACATTGTGTTTGCAAAAGAATAATTTTTTTTTTAATATTTAAGTAAATACCGATATATGATTATAAGTTATAGTATAGATGAAAAATTAAAAAAATAATATAAGCACATACAAAGCAAATTATAATATACACAAACATATAGGTAGAGATACTGACATTAGTTTATCAACTAATCAAACATACATGTATATGTGAAAAAAAAAATGTACGACTGCGTAGAGATGTAGAAAACATTATATCATCATACATTTAAAAGTAAATGTTTAAACAAATAATAATCTCATCAGTTAATATATTATTATTATATACTATATTATGCATCTCTAATAATTCGTATATATAATTGGTTAGTAATCATTATACAATGTGTCCCTCCAGTGAGCGATCGGCCAGCGATAAATAAATCTAAAATTATTAAAAAAACTACTTTAAAGACGTCTACCTCCCTCTATTTCCTCTAACCTCCCCCCTCTTATAACGAGTCTGATTATGGTTGTTAATATCGAATTCAAAAAGAAAAAACAAAGTAGTAAATATGATGTTATTTGGAATTAAAAAATGTAAATATTTTTTATTCAATAAAAATCGTTTTGTAAAATGTTTGATTTAAGTATGCATATGCTATTTGATAGCACAATAGAATAGTTTTAAAATAATTAAAAAAACAAATAAATTTAAAAGTTGAATAGTTTTGAAGATGCGTTGTTAGTATAGTTTTATTGAAAAAGAAAATTGAATTGTCCATAAATAAAAATAAAAGAGCTTTAGATGAACCGAGATAGAGATAGAGAGATGGACCACCATCTATAAAGGAGGTAGAATTTTTGGTTTAAATGACGTTGGCCGATCAGTTCCGTCTGGGACGTGTATATTATATTATAAGAGTTGAAAAGTGTATGATAGTTTTAAAAAAAAAAAAACTCAAATAGCTAATTATTTAAATGTGTAATATATAATTTTTAATAATATTATGTTACCTGCTATTTGCGTTTCGTTTATTCAGCGATCCCGATCCTCGCCGTTATATCCTCGCACATATCCTAGATTCATATTCCGAATACTAAATCATACACGTATTATATTTTTTGTCGAAAAATAACACGTGTAGTAGTAGTGGTCTTACGACGAAATTTAAATTTCCGGAACACTTCGCGGGAAATAAACGCGTCGGGAAACGAGAATTGAAAAACGAATTCGATCGAGCTACGCCCGAGGAGTAGCGTAGTAGACTTTTCGCCGAGTCGCAGTCGTTTGAGCATTATTTATAATATAATATAATAATGGCCACGTGGAAACGATATTTTAATAATAATTATAATAATAACGCATGACAATTAATGTATTTTAATTGATACCATTTAAAAAAAAAAAAATTGTTTATTCGACAGCTGCAGTAATATTATAATATAAATTGTAAAACGTTCGTCCGTCGTCGATTGCTAGAAATAACATTGTCCGCACGCATTTATTAATTATTGAACGCGAGAGTGGTATTTGATTAGATTAGGACACCTACAGGTATATATATATATATTTGCCACTATGTATTGTGTAAGCTCGTCGACGATTTTTCGTTTTAAAAAATAACATACCGCAATATTTATATGAAATAAGCAGGACCTGATTTGAAAAGAGGTCTTGTGCACCACTTATTATGGGACCCTATTTGAATTAAAAAAGAAATCTTTAAAAATTAAAAACAATACAAAGTATATATATTTAAGTGGTGGATTATGTTAAATACCTTAAATTGTATCAAATGTATATCCGTTAATAAAAATTCTTTGTTTAAAACTTAATTTCTATAAGAATTTTTTTCTTGTAATTTTTTTTGCAAATTCAGCAATGTTTTCAAACGATTGATTGCCGGTAACGATAAATCATTTATTCAGTTTTCCTTTAGTTAACGAAAAACGTATTCGAGTTTTTATACGTTTAAGTGTAAAATATAATAGATATAACATACAATAACATAATTAAATTTAAAAATGTTAACATTCGGATACATAATAATTACTTATTAAACGTATATCTACCAAAAATTTAGAGTATACTATAAAATATAAAAGTGTACTATTTTTTTTTTATAGAATGGGAAGGGGGTCCTCGGAATCTAGAGGCCAAGTACTTGTGCACCGCGTTCACATGCGTAAATCAGGATTTGGATATAAGTATTCGATATCAGCTGTATAGATTTTTCACCACCTGTAATCGGTGGTGACGTAAATTTTTTTTTCTAGGAATTAATTTTAGTGAAATATAGCGTTAAACTTCATGCGTCCCAAGACCACAAGAATTTGGAACCGTACTTATAGAAGACTACTATACGTTCCTGGATGTACTTAATCTTTTTCGTTAACGTACACCTAACGCAGGAATGGTCCTTGTATAGCTCCAAGGAGGAAAATTAAAATATTTTGTTTTTTATATACATACATCTTACTTTTCCCCACCATCCCGTTTTTAAGGATATGAGTATCAGTTCGATGTAGTACTACAATTATCGCAAACTATAACGCGTAAGTATATAGGTATTATGGTTTATACTATTGATTTTATAATAGTCTATTAAAAAAAATCATCTTTTATAATAAATATTTTCAATCGTAAAATATACTCGTTAGTAAAAAAAAGAAGCTAGATACTCGTCTATCGTTTTTTTTTCCTTATCGCCCGGAGAAATGGTAATATAGAATTCATCATGGGACTACTTATTAGAGTGAATACATAAATACAAACAAAGGGGGAGGGCGATCTACTTATCTTCCCCCCCTGGGGCCGTCAATGACCGATATAGTGCCATACATACGAGTACATAAACCTATAGTTCGGTCATGTATAGCAACTGCTTTATAGAATACCCGTTCACGACGCCACTGCAGCTCGCAGTCGTATAGGTATAATATCATACAAATGAAAGAATAAGTAATAATATTCGTTGTACGAACTACATTTTTGTTTTGTTTTTTTTTTCATTCACCTTATGTACGCTTCCGCCAAACTCATCGGCCTGTCCCGATCTATCACATTTTCCATTTTGATTGACTCGTCGACATCCGAGATATTATCATCTTTTCTTAATTTTACATATCCAACCGGATAGTTGGTAATAATTGCCACAAAAAAATGGCCAAACAAATAAATCTTTTTCCGTGGAAATTTTTGTATTTGACCATTTATTACCTAGATTCATCCAATCGTCACCGTTGATACAACAATACAACATAATATATTAACTTTTTACTAAATTATATAATATTAGGTATAAAATCGTATAGTTTATTATTTTCATACACTAGAAAACATTTGATACGGTTATTATAATATAATAAATTATGTCGCGGTCAAACGCAATGTAAAAATAACGAACTGTAAAATTATTACAATAATAAATGTTCCTCAAGTACACGTCAGTATAGAACGTCCGAAGTAATTCGACCGTAGAATCGTTTGAAATTATACGATGTAAATATAACACATTATTATTATTTTTTAACTATACGATGAACATAATAAATCAAATAACTATATTATGTTTAACTAACTGCGCAATATTATTGTACGTCGAGTAAATTAGTAAATATGATTTATTTAAAACATATTCCAACGATGACGGGAAATTATTTTTCCGTTTTAGCTCTCGTGGAAATTCAAAAGTCAGGATAAATATGATAATTAAATATACTCGTAACTATACATTATGTATAGGTAAATATTTATATAGTAGAAAATTATCGGCGATTAATGCGAAATTCATAAGGGAGCGGCTTTTTATAGCAATTTCGTCCCGGGTGAAAAAATTATACATTAATTACGTCCCGGGTAAAAAAGCGTGAATACCAATTCCGTCCCTAATAAAAACAAGGTTAACTAAAATATTAAAATATTGTTATATCAGTACAATAAAAATAATAAATCCAGACACGCAGATGCATAAATAATGACTGGCAAGTTTAAAAACTAAAAAATAGTATTATCTTTATTTCTAACTAATACAGTTTCATTAAATTAGATTATTTAGTGCGATAACTGAAAGCAATGTTATCTATATTTCTAAATAATATAAAACTGCTATTGTAGTCGTCATTTATTATAGTAGAAATGTTAATATAGTGTAGACTGTAAAAAATGTAAAAAGGGCCTAAAAACTTATGTAACTAAATAAATTACGTGGGACGGAACTAGTATATCCTTAAATTCAAATTTTACGTTTGGGACCGAACTCGGATGCAATAATTATCTATAAATGCAAAATGTTGCAAATTAAAATGTTGGAAAGTTTGTATTTTATCACGATACTTTCGATATTCGTGAGTCGATTTATTAGTCACCGAATCCGATCTGAGACGCCGATTTCGTCAATAATTATTGCAAGACGTCTCGTATTATGTAGCCGAAACGTGATGGTCTTTGAGAAAAACCGACGGCAGCGGTTTTCGAAGAAAAGGCGCTCAGAAAAAAATATACGAGGCGTTTATTTTGACGTGCTCTCGCTCGTTATAACGGAAGAAACTCGGGAGACTATAAACAACTGAAAAATTCGATACGGATAGAAAAAAAAAAATGGTGAATAGGGAAGAACCCTGTTGAAGAAGTTCTCATCTGCGAAGACCCGCGCGGTCTGGGTGAGAGGATCGACGAGTGGAGGATTGCGTTAAAAGAATCGCGGAAAACTATGCACAGTGGAACCAAACAATATACGCAGGGGCTGCAAAGGCTGGATGACAATAAGGGGATACCTATGTTACGGTTTTAAGGAGAAGAAGAATAAATGAAGCAAAGGCTCTAATCGAGCGCAGAATGATATTTTCTCAAACTAAACCGAATTTGTGTACAATAAAGCGTGGATCTTTTTTTTTTCGCTTATTTACCGCACAGTCGTACAATGCGCGTCATTACTTCGTGTACGGCACATAAAATTATTATTATTAGAATAATTATTATTGTATAGGTATATTATTATTATTATTATTATTATTATTCCAGTGATGGATATGGAGTAGACACGCGACACGCACGATATACGTATAGCAGCGCACCACGGCGCCGTCGCCGCGGCGTGATAAATGAGCGCATCCTTTTAGGCGCGTTTCGATTCGACGGCCACACAACTACGACGTTTACGTTCACGTATACATCCTATCCGGCGTGCCTATACCGCCCCTCGCAGTTTTCGCGTCTATTTATAGAGCGGTGCCGCGTTGTTGTATACGCGAGCAATAATATTATTACACAGTACAATACAATACATTTCTAATGTTATAATACAATATATCTATACACGATAAATACATAAATACATATTGTGCGTATATATATATACACATAATAATATACGGCGTGTTCGTTTCGTATCGGCGCGGTGACGGCGGCGTACCAGAAAAAAAAAAAAAAAACAAAACAAAACGTGCACTACGGCCGCGGCGGCGTACAAAAAAGCGTGCACTTCGGCGGCGGCGACGGCGGAAGCGAAGTCGACGACGACGGCGACGTCGAGACGTGCATCGACACACACAACGTCTTTAACGGCTAATCGTGTGCGGCGTGTTGTCGTGCGCGTGTGTGCGTGTGGGGTGCTTTCGTACAGTACGCGGGTGCATACTTGCGGCCGGCGGCGCGCGGCGGCAGGTACGCTGCGATATTTCTACAATAATAGTATTACGAAAAGTCGGTCACCGTATATGCCCGGCAAGCGCGACAAAACATCAACGACACGACAACAACATTTTTAATTGTTTACATATTATTGTATCAGACACCGCGTACCTATATCATCGTCCGTGTTATTTTTCTAGGCGAATCCGGGCCCGACGCGGCGATATCGATTGGCCGCAACGCGCTGGCCGCCGTTTTCGGCGTCATCGCCGTCGTCGTCGTCGTCCTCCCACGTGGCCGCCGCGTATACCCAAGTGCGCGTCACTACTACGCCGACGACCGCGGCCGAGGTAATACGCGGACTACGGAGCCACAGGACACGTCCGGGTAACCGCGAGGTGAGTATAGACGTCTTTTGATAATAATTGGTATTACGTGTCGGCGCGTATTGGTTACCGTCGTTACGGTAAACGTTAAATTATTAATTTCGTATTAATGAGCGTTCGAGCATAATATAAGGGCCGGAGACGCGCCGGTGAGGTGAGTCGGTCAAGTATCGACATTTGGCCGACACGGAGGGAATGCGAGTTGAGAACTATGCCGACGCCGAGCAATCGCGTTCTGCAGTAATCTCTTCGAAAATAACGTTTATTTTTCATTTCATATTTTTAGCACGGGAAGTAGTATTTTTCTAAAAAAAAGAGTTAAAGTCTTAAACGTCAAAAATGGACTTGGGCAATACGCTTGAACGGTTCCTTATTAATTAAAACGATATTTTTTCACAACGGATTGTGGCGTGTAAACAAATAAATGGATACCTTGTGTATCGTGCCGTGAGGTACTCAGTCGTGATCCGATGAATAACGCCATTTTCGTGCAGATATATTATTAAGTACCGCAGGTGACACTTATTATTGGTTTGACGTACATATATGGTATGTAAGACGACGAACAATGCGGTTTTTTCTTGCGTGGAGACCTTTTCAATCCACACAATAAACTGCCGATTGTTCATAAAAATAATTGAATTACAAATGAGCATTAGCAATATTGGGCGATTTTTTTTTTTTCTGTTCAACAACTGATTACCCCGCAGTACTGCTGTATAACTTTAATGTATAAAACGAAAATATAGAGCTTTGTAAAATAATCCGTACGGCATGTTATCTATATGAAGGAAAAAAAACAAACGTATATATTGGCTGTAGTGCGGAGGAATGTCTCGAAAAAAAAAAAAAAAAACCGAAAAAGATTGATGGACGTATAGACTTTTGATTTCGTGACGCGAGTACATTAACCCCTAGTCGCCGCGCGCTTGGAAACGGCCGGTTATATTAAAGTTGTATAATATCGGTTTTTTTTATTTTTTTTTTTATTTGGGTTATTTGGGTCGCAAGTATATAACAGTGTAATACACATACGTATATGCACGTGCAGCGGTATTCGATATTTCTAAATCTCCGGGTGTATACACGGACATATTAAAAAAATACCGCTTTCTATAATATATCCACCGCGACGGCCTTTGTCGCGACCACCGTCAAACCGCGCACCGCGCGTGCGTCTGTAACGTACGCTGTTGACTATCCAATGTCGGGAGAAATTTGATGCCGTTTAACGATATCAATACGAGCGCACCGCGGAGTGCCTGCTGCCCCACGCGTGGGCCGTAGAGACGCGAATGTTTGAGGAACCCGCTCGATGACCTCGTGCGGCAGGAAACGCGTAATAAAAAAAAAAAAAAAAATGACCGTAACGCACGACGACCGCGCGCACGACCGTCATTATGCACGGGGTTAAAAACGATATGGGTCAATCAATGGGGTTCCCTTAAGTCTTAATAAATTATTATGATTGTATACACGCGCGCGCGTCATAAATACAGCCGAATTTCCACGCGTGTATACAGAACCGTGAGGCGCGGACCCGAAGACGGTCGCGGCATATTATTCGGTACAAAATATTATCGCTTATTGTCGTGGATTCCCCGCCGACCGACGCGTGCGTAAACTCCCCGTCCGCGTTTTTATAAATATACACGCCGTTGTTTTTTCAAGCACATCTGGAACGCGCGCACATAGGTACCGTGCAGGAGTTCGGTCCCGGAACATCATCACGTATACACACAAAATAACAATGTACATACAACGGCGCCGATACAGAAAACCGATTTAAGAAAACAAAACAACGTTAAAAAAAAAAATATATATATATATATATACATATGTATGCATAATAATAAATACGTAACGCTCGTTAAAACAACAGACGTATAGTCTTATGCACATAGAAGACGTGGTCTTGCTGCATCTATGGAATAAAAATAAGATACCGCTGCAGTGTGGTATATATATATATATAGTATATAGTGATTGTGACGTGCCTATTTAATATTGTGTTTATTCGTTTCCGGAGTTGATATGAATGTGACGCTGCGTCCCCTTTGCTAAACATACGTCGTCCTATACGGAAGTGTTTAACTTTATTTTTAGTGCACAGCATGGACGTGTTTTCGAAGAGCGGCAGTCTGCAGTTTCCGAAAAAACACCATCGATGCATATCGTTGGAAAGGTAAAAATAAAAAAAACCCCCGGAGCGCACGTCGTGTTATAATACGACGACGATAATATGGGATTCACTCTAGAGCTTTTAGAGTCGTTTGGGTTACGTGTATAAAAACGATGAGCTCTGAAATGTAACGTTGTAAATTATGGCGTTGACCAATCAAAGGCGAAATCGGAGATAAAAAAAAAAAAACGTAATAAATACCCATATTACGTTCTGGAACGATTAGGAAAAATCAATTTAAATTTAAACATAAAAAAAAAAATGGGTCAATATATTTCATAAACAAACACAATATCTGTGTGGCGATTTGTGTGTTTAAACGCTCAAATCGAATAATTTCAGTTTGAATACCGTCTATACTTGAAATTGCTATTCTCGCCTCGCGGATTGGTTGACATCAAAAACGCCTAAAGACTCTAATGTGAATCACCTTCATTAAAACCGATCATACATTAATATAAAATCGCGTTGTCTTTATTTTGTCTGCAGCGGTGAAACGCTGTCGAAAAAATCCTATCCGAAAACGACCAATTTGGATATGCCGAGATTCTTTCCCCGGCGGTATTCGACGCCAGAGCTGGCGATGAGAAAACACGCGCTCAAACATCACGACGACGGAGGCGTTATTAACGTACACCCGATATCGAACAAATCGTGTCAGACAGACATTTTGGGCCTGGACAAGTATTTACAAAGGCCGCGGCCGCCGGGAGCAGCGGCGGCGAGCCGGCAGACCTCGGCTGCGGTGGCGTTGCAGCAGCAGAGGACGGCGTACAAGAAATCGTCGTCGAGAAAACCCAAAGTCCGGTCGGTCGGGGTACACTGTGAACGGCGGCGGTTAACGTTCGCAGCGTTCAAAGGCTGTCAAAAGTTCAAGCACGTGTATAAGCGCAAAATCTCATTGCCGCAACCGCGATCGCGGTCTCCGACGACCACCGCGTCAGACGACAGCGGCCGGCGGGATAGCGGCGTTCTGCCGAAACTGTGGCCAGATCGAGTGGCAGCAGAAGCCGAGAAACCCGTGGCCGCTGCAAAAGCTGCAGGCCCGACCGTCAAGTTACCCAGGATACCGATGACGAAGGACGCGAAACTCGAATCGGATCGCACAGATGACGGCGCAAGAGGCGGTACGAGATTGGCCAGACTGACCAGGCCACAGTCGACGGGCAGCGGTAGCAGTGCAGACACCGCAGACAGAAAATTGGCGTATTTTCGGGCCAGTTCGGCTCCAAAAATCGATTCACGGTATAACACTACGCTATGTTTTATCGCCAGCAGTGCACCCGCGCCTGCGGCACAGCCGACGGAACGCGAACTGCAGTCGACGACACCGGGCTCCAGCGATACGGCCGACACCACGCTAAACATGTCGTACGTAGTCCAACATCAACCGGAGTCCGCGGAAAACGATGTCGTGATGGACGGGGAAACGGAAGCGGAGGTGGAGGCAACTGCCACCGTAGCGACGACTGGTGCCATGGGCTCCTGTACCACGAGGACCGTGTCCACGTCCACCTGCAGCACGTTTGCCGCGGAGCCCATTTTCCCGATAGTGTTCAGTTGCGAGAGCGTTCTCCGGCACCCGTTGGACGCCGGCGGTTACGTATCGCACACCGAGAGCCACCGGTTTAGCGTACACTACGTGCCGGTCGAAGAGCCCCAGGCGGCCACTAACGACGACGACGACGATGGATCGCGGTCTTCGTCGTTGGTTTTCGCGTCGTCCGGTAGACCGTGTCAAAATAACGAACGGCGTTTGACCGGCGACTCGATATCCATCACGCCGTCCACCACGCCTATGTCATCGAACACAGTGGGCGAACGGCGTTTAGTCATCGAACGCATGAACACCGACGTACAATTCAGAAACGTAGTGACGTCCGAAGTTCCCAACGAAACGCCGTCGGTCGAAGACGACAGTCAGCAGCGATCGTTAACGGTTGAAGATCCGCGGTCGGAGGAGGGTTACCGCTTCAGTGCCGCGGTAGTGGATGATAATCGGGCGGACGTTAAAACACCCAAAAATATCGCCGAACAAAATATCGAAGACGTCATAATAGTACAAAACGAGAATTCAGTACCGGTGCGAAATAATATGTCGGCCAATAAAATTATTGATCATTTTGGCAATGGCGGTGAGGGAGACGAGGCCACTAAGCTTACAGCGCACGCACATTGCACGGACATGCCATTACAACAATCCGACAACGAACAAAATTATGAGCGGTTGACACAAAACCATCAAAATACATTTGATTCCGACCGTACCGTTTCGAATCAGTCCCCGAAATTCGACGGCACGGAAACGCAAATAGAACGACAAAGCGTTTTAAAACCGGATACGCACGCAATTGCGGCTGACGAATTGGACGTGCAGTTACATTCGAGTTTAGTGCCTAAAACCGACGAGATCGATGGCCATCGCCGCGATGACGAGCCAAGACAACAGCAAATCGATAACAATAATCATTATTCTACCGAAGTTTTAGAAGTTATCGGCCATCATCCGGACGAAAAGCCGGCCGAAGAAGTAGACGAAAATACTGAAGTTATGGCATCGCGTCGGTGTCGCAAACAATACGACGGCGAGACGACCGCGAGAAAACCCGGAGTCGAAAACAGCAATCACGCGACCACTGGCGAAAACAGTTACAAACCGGCAATACAATACCCTGCAAATGATCGTCGAAGTTCTGAACACAACAACGACTACGGCGATAAACTTCACGTTCCGAATCGACTTTACGGTAACATTTCGAACGGAAAACGAACCACTGATGGCGGCCGAGACGTCAATGGAGACGTCGCCCGAAACTCGCATCACACGCGTCACTCGGATAACAATAATATGATGAATCACGAATCGATGAACCGCGACGGATACGTTTTAGATGATATAACCGTCGACAGACATACGCCACCGAATAATATGGCGGGGGCTGCTAAAAATGTACCGAATAATCAATACTACGGATTGTTTGCGGGAAAACGATCGAACGACTTATTATCGGACGATGTCGGTGAACAGGACGATGCGAATAATATCGCTGAGCGCCGCAAGTACGACACGAATTGGTATGGAACGATGGGCGCGATGGAACCACGCGTCGATTCGCATCACGTTCGCGTCGACAAAGACGTGGATACGAACGCGTGCCATAGATGCACGCGCAAAAATAACGACGCGGATGTCTCGGCCGAATCCAGAAATTACGGTTACAGAAACTTGTACGGCGGTAGTCACGGAAAACACGCGCAGCAATATCATCCGATGTCGAAACATAGGCTGGAGTCCGTAGACGAGACCGCGGAGAGTACTAAGCAGTCGAACTATATCGGCGGTTTTTTGTTCGGCGACGCTTTCTACAACAGGAAACAGCCGCAAAAATACGAAACCGACGACCCGCACGATCGCCACGGTAATAACCACGTATACCATTCCAATAAGTACGAGTATTACGACGATTCGAAAAAAGTCAATTTCTCGTTGAGATCCAACGACCGGTACGACTATTATCAGGATTACGTGCCGAACAACCGGCACAGCCCGCGGGACGAGGATTGTACAGTGTTCGCGGACGTGAAGTCACCGCGCAAGTCCAAGGGTCGCGGCGGCGTTGAACTCGATCCGCGGTGTCCGTTGACTGCAGCAGCGGCGGCGCAAACTTCGTCGTACTACTCGCAACTGCAGGCCGACCAACAGGCGTCGTACGGCGACGATTGCAGCAAGAACACGGACAGCGACGAAAGTCTAACCGACAGCTTGGAGGACGGCAGCAAGTTCGAGGGCGCGGCCGTTTCGTATTTCCTGGCGCTGGACGGCCAAAAATCGGCCGTCACGTTCACGTTGAAGATGCCCGACACGCTGGAGAGCCGTCTAAATCGGCGGCACAGCCTGCTCAAGAAGCACCTGCACGTGACGACGACCGTAAGGAAGGTGGCGTCGACCACGCGCGTCCGGACCCGGCACAAGGGCTGCCAGACACTGTGGACCGAAGAAAAAGGAGTGCAGGTACAGCGGGGATCCACGGCCACCGCCCGGAAACCTGCCGTCGACGATCACAAAGTACTGGAAACCTTGTTGGCGGGCCTGGAACGTAACCGCGTGTCGGAAAACCAAATACGAGTGGTCAGCGGCCAGAAAATGGTGTCCGAGGGCAACCAGACGGAACTGCAACCTCCTTCTGACCGACAGACCCAGACCACCAGGGACGCGGCCGCCGGACCGGAAACTCCGGAAAAAAACGCGATCACTGAAGCGGCGACTGGGCAAGGACACCATCACAAGTCGCACACGGTGAAAAAGTTTTCCTCGGACAACGCTTTGATGGTAGGCGTTGTGAGACAAAACAAATACAAAGGGAAAGAAGCAGTGGACGGTGCTAAGAACGATCAGCTTCTCACTTTGTCCAAGGGTTGGATCAATTTTTACACACTTAGGGCTGACAGCGCAGATGCCGCGGAAGCACAAGGTAATTTTTTTTTTTTGTCACCTACCTATTTCCATGTAACATTCCGAGAAACTGATAAGAATCCTAGAAAAAATAATTCAAATAAAGTTCTGCCGCGCAGATGCCGGACGGGAAATTTGCACCGTTTAAAGTTCCTGAGACGTGAAAGAATTTAGAGGACTTTTATATTTCCGGTTTTCCCCGATTATTATAAGCCCCTTGGAAAATCAAAAGATGGCGTTTTTAATGCACCAACTAAATCCAAAATTTAAAAAAAAAAAAAAAGGTACATTTTTATATTTTTGATTATTATTACAGACAGAAAAACAAAAATAATAAACCACACATTATAGTAAAACCAATAGATCCCTCGTTACGCTAAGTATCTAAAACCCACAGAATTTTAAAACGATAGAATTGTATACCTACAAACACGGCCGTGTTTATGATTGTTGGCATAATTATAGAACTGAACGATAACGACGACGAAGAGATTAAAACCGAGGACGACGGCCAACAATACACGGTACACGTCCAAGCCATTCCCGAACCAGTCGTGTTGCCCGTTCTCCATGTTCCGAACCGAAACGTTTCGCAAGTACCGAAAACGTGTTCGACTACAAAGCATTTGCCAAGACTAGTGCAAACAGAAACCAACAATAATAATAACACTCACCAACAACATTTCTCGTCACATTTGGGTAGGGGCCGTTTAATTAAATATAATATTATATTAGCCTATTGGGTACCTACCTAATTACGTGTATTATTCATAATGGTTCAAGGTCCAGGGTCGGTTTTAAGGTAAAAACTCAGAGGAGTGTGTCCAAAAAATTGTCTACTCTATGTGGTGGCAAGAATAGAGTTGTGGGGAGTAATTAGTCGACTAACATTTGCTATATGCTAACTATTGAGTAAAATTAGTGTTAAAATCTAAAAATAAAATAGATTATTTGAAAGCCAACAAAATTTCAAATGTCGAAGGTAAAATATTAGATATAAGATTTATACATAGGTGATAAATAATAATGTGTGTTTAAATTGACTGTTTTACGACTAGTGTTTTTATTCTTTTTTTTTTTTTTCGTGAGATTAAATTATACAAACAAATATACGTGCAGTAACAGAAGCGTAGGTACCTATAGATTTTGAATATGAGTGGTTCAAAAGTTCAATTACCTAAGTACTAAAAGTATTGATCTTTTGATAAAATAATTTAAATGCTGATATAGGTTTTAGTTGTAGTTATGTAGTCCTTATTAATGCTTTTAAAATTCACATTAAAAATAATGCAGGGATTAAATTGAAAAAAACAGACATAATTCGCACATGGATGAGCCACTGTTGTAGGTGAGAAGTTGGGAAGGTGGAGGGAAAATTTAATTTTATATATTATGTACGCAAAATATTAGTCATTGCTAACGAAAAATGATTCTGAGCGGAATTCGGTTTATAACAGGGACGTGCTCACGGGGGCGGGGGCTGAGGGTGTCATATACCCCCATGAACTTTTTTTTTACGCATTGTTTAAAGTTCCTTGGTAGTTTCAGTTTTCTCGGAAAAAAAAGGTACTAAAAAGGTTAATTGTTATCACACATATAAAATATGTTTAGTAGATACTGTAGTAATAGTAATCATCTATAGATAATGCATAATTAATATTATAAATAAAAAAAAAAGGTACCAATGGACTGTCATAATAAATTATTTCAGTCCATTATATTCCGATATCTATGTCATAAACGCGACCATCGACATATTAATATATTATCAATAGTATTTATAGTTATGCAGTTTTTAGCTATGCCATAATAAAACTTTTATATTAATGCACACGCCTAATTCCTTAAATATTTTTAATGATTTCATATTTTAGATTCCGAGCGTAGCGAAGGAGTTATTGGGTTTACAATGCTGTTTCTTTGTTCTTTGTTCTAGTCTGTGGACACGTTTTTTCCTAGTAAACTTGCTCCGATGTATAAATGTAGCGGTTTTTCTGAACGCTTAAGCTGTTTAGAATGTACTTTAAAGAGGTCATTTTTTGATTTTCAATGTCAATTTTTAAATAAATGCACTTAAGTGAGAAAAAACATAAGAAAACGTAGAACCAAGTAGTTTTAGTAGATTCCGAACTATCGGAACGTAGAAAACCTGACCTAGCCTTACATCTGCTGGAAAAGTTTTCCACATAAAAAAAATAATAATAATAATAAAAAATAAACATATTTATAAAACCATAAGCTTCTTCGCTCCACTCAGAATCTAAAATACAAGTATATACATGTTAACATTGTAGTTTGTACCCAACTACCTACTCCTAAAATATCAATGTTTTACACCAATAAGTATTCATTTTGTAAATTTGTATGTATGACCACCAACAAAACAAAATACAGTTCATCCCTCCCCATAGGAAAAAGTTGAGCACGCCACTGGTTTATAATGTTGCTTTTTCAACAATATACATTTGATATTATGTGTGATAAAATAATTACATATGCATTATTTTCTATAATAATATTTGGTTAATATTTTATCTATTTTCTCATTTTTCTTACGGGTTTTTCCGGTTTTGCCCGTTTATTGGGAAAAATCAACAAATGATCTCTCTAAAGTACTATCCCAGTCAAATATTCTTTCAGGAAAAGTGCTGCACTTGAACATTTCTGGAAGTCGTTCATAAAAAAAATAAAAATAATAATAAAAATAAACATCATTGTAAAACCAATACACTTCTCGCTCCATTTAGAATCTAAAATACTTAATAGAAAAGAAAGAGAAAAAACCATACATCATAGTGAAACCATATACAATACTAAAGGTTAAAAAACCAAAGACCTTTAAAATCTGTTATCATAAATAATTTTCAAAACGACAGAATTGTATACCTACACCGCCGTGTTTATGTAGGTACACATCGGCATGAAAAGCTGCCCGTGCCAAATTTAATAATTACTAATTTACAACAAAAAATAATTTATGAATTTTTTTTTATGTATTTTATTCTTATAAAATACCGATGATATTATAATATATGGATCAAATAAGGGTACCCGCAGAAATATAAACCGGGGGGGGGGCAGTCAAAAGTATAAGCTTTTTTTTACAACTCACAAGTAATCATGGCTTTAATATTTAAGCCATGCAAGCAATAAAACAGTTAATATTTAATGTTAACTAAAATAGCGGGGGAGGGGACATGGGTTTTTGGGCGCCCTTCGGGTTAAACAATTTACTTTACTTACATAACATATATGTGTACTCGTTTTGAGACTTCGGACGGACTGCTCGGGTACTCGGATTGCCTGGTAAAATGTTTTATTTTAATCGTTTTACCACCGTGTACTGGCTTTTCGTTTCTCGATTTATAATCACGGCTAAAAATAATTCCACAATTGAAGGGTGGGGCGGGAATAACGTGCTGTGTAACGTTTGTTCGGATTTCGTGTTTTAGCGGAATAACGTGCCATGAAGCAATCTCGATCTATTCGTGTAATCGTAAAATTCCCAAAATGTCTTTATCGTACACAATCATCGTATGCAAACGTAGAAATTTGTCGACTATTAAAACGTGCTATGTGCGTTACCTGGTCTCCACTGTTCGCAGTCAGTTGACGCGACGCGCGACGTTCGGATATTGCGGTCATAAAGCTAACGAAAAAAATTCGGCCACGGGAGCGAAACGGCGTTAATAATTTAAATATGATACAATCGAATGTGGTTTTAATATAATACATTTAGCTAAAATCTATAATAGTACACATACAACGAACAAAAAAAAAAAACGGCATTTACTTTACACTTTCACAGTTTAGTGATGGTTACCTAATGGTAACAGTATCTACCAGATAATCTTGAACCTCCGTTAAGCGGGTATACCTTGGTATACTAAATATTAATAGGTAGGTAATGAACGGTTGTGGCATAGAGTATAGACTCTAGAATGTGTTACTCTTTGGGCCGGAGCATATCAATACGTAATGCGAGTGTGAAAAACTCAAGGTGGATATAATGTATCCACTATTTTTATTCCTAATCACAAAATATCATATCAATAAAATCCCTGTGGTTAAGTACACATTTATAACTGTTCGGTGCAAAGTGGGTTAATTTTTCCATCGATTGATTAATAATTATTTTGAATATTTACCATTTATTTTTAAAATAATCATAAAATGAATACACCTTGGTTCGAAGAAACTATTCAAAATGGGGAATGGTAGACAGTAAACGGCCCAGACGTGACAATAATAGGTATTAACATTTCTATTTCGATCATAATCTAAAAACAGCATAATAATACAAATTTATACAACTAGTCGGTTTTAATTAGGTAGAGGTAGGTACTTATTACCATAAATTATTAATTAATTTCATAAAATTTGAGTTTGAATTTCCAACTTACGATTAGAGGTATGTAACAGTGGTGCACACCGGGGAGGTCTGGGGTATCGACTTCCACCTTTCAACAAATCGATGGGTGCCTAGTGAGTTTAGATGTTATTTTTATGTATATTGGTTTAATATTAATAGTATTTATTTGTAATTTAGTTTTATTATGTCTAAACTCGTATTTGACTGGTGGAGTGGTTAGGTACCCTGATATTAATATTTTCGACACCCTTGTGAAAAATGTGCTATGCGCCACGTAGAACAAATATGAATGTGACACCCTATATCCTGAAATATCCTTAGTCACATTTTAGAAATAATTTTTAAACGTTGAAAAAAAAAATCACTTAAATTATAGGTATGTATCTTATGACTAATGTTTCTTTGTTGTAATTGAGTTTAAACATTTTATTTTAATTATATATGATTTATTTTGTTTGAAAATACTATTACCACCAATATTTTTTTAAATTAAAAACTAGGTACCAATAATTTTTAATGACTTGCTTGAAATAAAAATAAATAAAGCCACTGTTACAATAAGTACCCATACTAGTAAAAACTATTAGGTACAGTTTTAAATATCTAGGTATTACTAAATTATAAGTAGGTACTTGTAAAATTAAAATTAAATTGTTATTTTAATCAAATACATTTTAACATTCTATAATCTATATGTTAGAATAAAAAAAAAATATATATAAATAAATATATATTTACTAAAGATATTCGTTTTAAATATTTTACCCAGGAAATTTTATTGTTTTTTGTTTAGTAATAAATAAATATTCTTATTCTATACAATTTAATTAAATGGCATGGTTAATTCATACAGCGACAGAAAATGGTTGGTGTGTCAGTGTGGATGGTCCAAACAATATGCATATGAAGGTATCATTACTACCAGACAAGTCAGACGTTAAATCGTCCGAACATTTCGACCTCAACGGTAAATGCAATTATTGTAAAAGAGTATCATAATGTTTTTGTTGAGTGTATACAAATGTTTAGAAGAAAACAAACTAGAAGCGAGGAGGCTAGCTTTGCAAAGAAAAAACAATTATATGCGCAAGCCTTATCGAAACATTAAAAGAACACAATCAACGGTACCTATCTAATTTTATCTATTATGATAATTAAAAATAGTTAGTATTCATAGATTTTGTTTAGCCAAGAGACATGTTCTCTGCTGATGTTTCCAGAACTGAGTCCGCATTATCAGCTGAAAGTAAATACATTGAAACAATTGACACACAATTATTAATCCATAAGGCTCGAAGGTATAAATGGTTTAAGATACATCCATTATTTAATACGGATACAAATTAAAATATTGTTTTATTTATTTGATATAGACGTTTAAGTCAAGAGTGGGACACCAGAATTCAGAATAGAGGTGTTACAGAATCAGTACAGTTGGTCGTTACAGGAGATTCGGTTTCCAGTAGAACACAGCATTACGCGACCAGAGGGCATCAACATTGCTCATTCAGACGACAATCAAGAAGAATTTAAAATTAAAATTTTTAACATAATATTATTATTACAATAATAATTACTATTTTTTACAAGTAGGCAAATAATAATAATTTTAGTTACTAAATAGAAAAACTATAATTATTATTCACAATTACACATATTATTTACATTAATCAAACAATAATTGTCATAAGAGTTGATGTTTTGTTATCATAAAACATTATTATATTGTTATTAATTTAGACTGAATCTGTTTCACATAGAAGCAATAATTACAATTTTATTATAGTGTTTCAAATGTGTGTGTTTAAATTTACTGCCATATTAGAATCCTTGTCATAAACAAATTCAAGTTATTCTTTTTTGGGTTGACCAATTGCAAATTTAATTTTCTTTTCTTCTGGTTCATCTTCTGACTTTTCAAGGACGTTTTTTGGTTGTGTTTTAGCATAAGCCGGGGTAATCCAATATGGATTTTCAGCTGCATCTTTAGCATATTTCAAAATAGCTTCTCTTGGATCTTGGTCATCTTCTACCCGTTTACTTAGTCCCAAATTACGAATAACATACGAACTAAGAGTGCTACCGGATGCAGCGACACGACCACCCTGACCAGATTTGATTGGTAAATCTGGCCTCTTTGATTTGACTGGATCCAATCTGTCTTTTTCAATACGTTTCTTGAATGATTTATTCCTATCTTGTCTAAACATTGGTAAAGCGTGTGGTGTTATAATTTGTTGTGTTGGTACCATTTCCATTTGTTTGGTTTTGGTATGAAGTTTTGAAGCACACAACATTGCACCTCTATGACTGTTGACCTTATCATAGAACACCTTAACAGTTCCGTCGCCACAACCTGCAAATAATTGTTTAAGCTTTGGATGCCAATATACTTTGATGGAGTGTGTATCGGAAACTTTGACTTTTTCAAGAAGTTCAAACGAGTTTGTATTGTAAAACATTAAATGACCTCCTAATTCTTTCTTTGGTTGTACCGAATGACCAGTTACTACTATTGAATCATCTGGACTAAAACAACAATCTGTAGTAGAATATCTGTAAAAATTTAAGTTATTTTTAAATAATTGTATTGAGTACCATTAATTACTAAAATAATCAAAAAACCATACCTTGAATATAGCCCATCAACAACATGAATAGGTTTCTTGAATGCTCTTATATCCCAAAGTTTTAATGTTTCATCAATACCTTCACCACGTGTACACAATAAAGTATCTCTATAAGAAAATACAATAGAAGAAGTATCAGAATTATTTAAATGCCCATCTCTTAAGGTTAACGTAGCGTTAACAAAACTCGGTTTTCTGGTATCCCAAACAAGGATGGATCCATCTCTGCAAGCACAAGCAACTAGTTTCCCATCGTTGCTATAATTGCAAGTGGTTGGTATGGTTCTTAAACCATTTTTGGCTCTACACTTGATAATACTTTTATGTTTATCTTTTGTGGTCATATCCCAAATACGACATGTTCCATCTTCTGAACTAGTTAAAAATTCTTCTTTATTTTTTGGATGCCATGAACCGCAAGTTAATGGAGATGTATGTCCTTTAGTACGAACCTAAACAAAACAATAAAAATATTCAATTATTAAATTGAATCAAATAATACTAAACTTATTTATTACAGTTATATTGTCCTATATTTTCCCCGGCTCCACACTGGTTCTCTTAGTAAGGCCCAGTATTCATTATTTAAAATTCAAATAAAATATCAATATATGCAATCAATTTCATTAATATTTTTACAAGTATAAGTAAAATTAATATATTTGATGGAACCCAATATCTACAAAGTATTAAATAAATAGGATTTTTTTTTTAATATGTTATACAATTTTTCCTATGGAAAAAATGTAGTTTCCTCAATGTATTACCATATTTTTATGTATCTAAAAAATTAAATAAGTTTAACAAGAAAATAATAGGTGGTTGGTTGCCATAAATAGAATAATATTGTATTTTTAATACACCATCTATTGCAGTACAATTAATTTAAATAGTTAATGCTTTTGTCCACTACACTCTAGTTAATTAACTTAAAATATTAACTCTATAATATGTTCTATATTATTAACTCAAAACATTGGTTTTTATATTGGAATACTAATGTTCTGATGCTGAGGAATTATGGTACATATTAGTTTTTATTTAAGTTTAAACAAATAGTATTATAAATAAGTTACCATATCTGATATGTACTGGTCACCTTTAACACACTCCCATAGCTCGTGACCATCTCTATTCAATACTTTGGCTTGAGACATACCGGAGATCACTAAAAGGCGGTCTCCAGTTGGTGAATATTTCAGACACTTTATTGGATGATTACCACAAGGATTCAGAGTACGGAAACTTTTTAATGTTTGATCCATACCGGCAAAATCCCAAAGTCTAACTTCATAATCCACAGATCCACTAGCCAATCTCACTCCAGGAGGATCGACACAAAGTGCAGTGACGGCTTTGATACCATGGTTCAAAGATACTTGACTTTCTATAGGAATTACTGTCTTTTTTGAGTCATTGTCATCATTACTTTCATCGGCGGCGTCATCACTTTCATCGCTGGCGTCATCACTTTCATTGTCATTTGAACGAGTTAATTTTTCAACTTGTTCATTCTCCATTTTTAATCCTTCAGGTATTGGTGGTCCAATGAAATCTTCTTCGTCACTGACAGACATTTTATCTTTTTAAACTATAACCATAGACATATTTACTAGTATTACATATTAAATAGTAACTATAGATCATATTATATTATATACATGTCTTCATACACAAATATATGTATAATATCTATGTCTACATATGAGTATAATATGGTCTATGACTCTAACCAAAATATAATACAAATTAAAATTAAATCATTTAACATTATTTTCTTGAAATGTATAATAACTATGTGTAAATATTAATTCAAAATCATAATTATCTACAATAATACTTAATTTAGAAATTATTACAGATACCTACCAAATATAGTGTAAAAATAATACTATTTTGTATACAATTATTTTTAATTTTAATTTTAAATCATGGTTTTTCTATCTTGTCTATCTTAAATCGTGCTTTAAATGAAAGTTGTTTATAAAAATATTATTTTTTTAAATTATATTGTTTCCTTTTTATCCATAATCACAATATTTAACCAACAATTAGATACCAAGGTATAAAGAATTTATTGTCAGCTGTGAATCTGTGATATAAATTAACCACAATATTTTATCAATTTGAAATATTGTAGATACTACCTATATTCGCTACAAAAAAAAAAAAAAATAGTTCCTTAAAAACCTATAAACCTATAAAAACCTTAAAATATTTTTAATCCCTTAAATGTAATTAATTTTATTATAACATATGAAAAATTAATAGTTTTGAATTTTTCATTTTAATAATCGCTAACTTATATATTATTCTTATCATAAAAATGATGTCAGTAACAATTTACGAAACTTAACCTTAAAATGATTCATGAAAAAGTATAAGTAATTGCCGATTCTCTTGAATTGTTGAAAAAAAGTTAAAATCCAGAAGTGAATATTAATAAAAGTTATATTCTGTTATTGAGTTTCTGTGTATCCATTTGTTCTATCAATATTCGTGTTACTTATTAAATTGGCCAAGACTCGTAAGTATAAACATTTATTACGAAACGAAAAACTTATCGGCAATATGAAAACTGTACCTTCATGATTTTTTTCTCACAGACTGAAAAAAGCTGAACACTGACATATTTTTCATTCTTATACATTTTCTTCGCTCATAACATTATCTATAATAACATTTATTTATTTAGGTAGATATTAATACAATTTTTAGTAAAATTTGTTTTAAGATTACTAAATGAAAATGTTTAAAAATTTAATAACCTCATATGGAATATATTAATGGTCAAATATCAGTATGTACTTATTATGCAGTCTTAAAAATAAATTGAAAATGACATTGAAATATAAAACTACAATTAAGTATTTAGGTACTCTGTGAAAAATAGGTGTATTAAAAATGAAGATATTTATATTGATAGTATTGGATATACTATGTACCTGCAAATTACAATTTTACACGTATGCTCTATAATATTATAGATTATAATAAATTAGGGTATTTACTTTCTTTGGTTTACAACACAATGTAAATGATTATTAGAGTAAAAATTGTAAAATAGTACATCTTTATCTAAAAATTATTTTCGTTATTGATTTTTATTACTATTAACTGTTTTATATTGGTACCTTAAAACAATATTATACAGGTAGAAACAAAATAAAACTTTAATGTAGGTTACAATTCAAACGGTAGTTAGTAGCATGTCAAACTAATACCTACTGAATTTTATTTCATAATATTTTATACCAATATGACATATATTATAGAACTAATAATGCTGCCTTGTTTTTAATTCTAGGATAGGGTTGCTAGATTTTTAAATCCCTGAACTAGAGGAAGACTAATTTACTGACCCAGATTTTACTGATCAAACTAAACTGCCCCGACCTAGTTCCTCGTTCTCCGACACCTGAAATTTTGAACAATCATTCATAAGTGCGTGGTCGACCTTTTATCCGAAAATCAGCTTTTCAATACCATTGGTTGTTTTATATTAATTATATACACTAATAATAGACTTCGAACAATATGTATTATCTCATAATACAAACAGATTTACGTAAAATTACTATTAGCACAACAAATTAATGAGTATAAGAGTATAGCTCTCAAACTCATAAATATTTAACACAATTTATTACACGTGACTTATGATTCCTGGGCTATTTTATGGCTAATTTGTTCTAAATAGGTACAACAGTATCTAAGTGTCTAAATGTTTCCAACATATTTTAACTATAATTTTAAACCAGTGCGGAGTTACAAAATAAAGATCAATTAATCATATGGTATTATGACATGTTGCGATTAGAGTAATATTTCTAGTAGAAAATATAACATAATAAAAACAATGAAAACAATAACATTGTGGCGCGCTGTGAATATTTGCTGTTTTACTTATAATTTTCTTTAGAGTTTTTCCCAATTACAGGGAAGAATGTGTTCAATGGTTGAGTAACGAAAATTTACAATTAAATGACTAAAAACTGAATTCCATACAGAAATAAGTGGCTTACATTGACAAAAAATACGCTTATTTAACATCAATAGTAGTAGATAGGTAAAAATCATAACATTATGATAGGGAAATAAACAGGCTCTATTAAAGAATTAAGTGATTTAAAGATAAATAATAACTTTAATTATAACTAAAACAATTGTTTAAAAATATGCCAATCTTTGGTAGTGTTAGGTTAAACCCATTTAAAAACTTTCAATTTCTTTTTTATCACATAGCAAATTATAACAATATTAATAAAATGGCAAAAATAAAAATTTACATTACCAAAATATACACAAATAATATCAAAATCAAGCTTCATAATATTATTGCAATGAAAACAATTTGACCACAAAACAGATAGAATTGACACTAATCAATTTTTTTATCACCAATGATCACAGATAATGGTTCCAAATTTCAGTTTGGTTAGAGAACGAGGAGCCTATGTCGAGGCAGTTTAGTCTGGTCAGTAAATTACTAAGCCCCCCTAAACTGGTTAACTTGGACTTGATATTATATTGAATGACTTTAATTTACTGTATTTTCACTAGTTTTACCTTAGTCATCCAACCAAATGTTATTCATAAGTTTACTCTTACCTTCTATTAATCAGAATAAACTAAATGACTGGCCAGTAAACTAGGGCATTCCGTTAAAACTGGACTGTCCTAGTCGAATGGCAAACCAAGGAACATTTATTACTAAAAAATTGCCTGTAAAACAAATTTATCAAACGATAATAATTATTTTCAAAATTATTTATTCATAGAATAAAGAATATACATCATATATTTTAAACCTCAACAATTATTTAGGTATTGATTACAAATTTATTTTTTTTCCTTGAATTTTTTAGTGAGTTAAATTAATTCTCATATTTTGTATATTATTAAAATAGATACAAACCTCATAAGTCATAATTTATTACATTTTGTAACAATTTTTATTTGTACAATCAATTATTATCAATCTTGATTTATATAATTAAATATAGTTACATTATCTTTGCTTATGTAAATGTAATATTAACACAAAAGTAACTATATTATTGTCAAGTCCTACCGAACTTAGTAAATTAGTTAAAAAAAATATATATGTTATAATAATGATATTTATTTATGTACCTACACATTTTTTTTTATTTTAAAAGCTGATCTTAATATATATTGTACCTGTTTTTATAATGTAGTATTATTTTTTTTTTATTAATTATTCATCTATTTCTGTTTAGAAATCTGTGACTATGGCTGCTCAACTGTTTAATCGTATTGGTCAATTGGGTCTTGGTCTAGCGATAGCTGGCAGTGTTGCGAATACAGCATTGTATAATGTAGACGGTGGTCATCGAGCCGTTATCTTTGACAGATTCACCGGAATAAAAAATACAGTAGTTGGAGAAGGAACACATTTCTTAATTCCGTGGGTACAAAAGCCCATTATTTTTGATGTTCGTTCTCGTCCCAGAAACGTTCCCGTTATCACCGGTAGCAAAGATTTGCAAAATGTGAACATCACCCTTAGAATACTATTTAGACCGTTACCAGAACAATTGCCAAAAATATACACTATTTTGGGTGTAGATTATGATGAACGTGTCTTACCTTCAATAACTACCGAAGTTTTAAAAGCTGTAGTTGCACAGTTTGATGCTGGTGAACTGATTACCCAAAGAGAAAATGTTTCTCACAAAGTAAGTAAAAATAATTGTAAAATAAAGTTTTCAACACTGTATTATTACATTAACTAATGTATATATTATTTATAGGTTAGTGAGACACTTATAGAACGAGCTGGCCAGTTCGGGGTTGTGTTGGATGATATTTCAATTACACATTTAACGTTTGGTAAAGAGTTCACTCAAGCAGTTGAGCTGAAACAAGTGGCCCAACAAGATGCGGAAAGAGCTAGATTCTTGGTCGAAAAAGCTGAACAACAAAAGCAGGCTTCAATTATATCAGCTCAAGGAGATTCAGAAGCAGCATCTATGTTGGCAAAATCATTCGGAGATGCTGGGGAGGGTCTGGTCGAATTAAGAAGAATTGAAGCTGCTGAAGATATCGCCTACCAATTATCAAGATCTAGACAAGTATCGTACATGCCTCCTGGACAAAATATTCTTCTTAACTTGCCCGTACAATAATTCCAATTGATGTATTTAGAAACTATTAGATAGTTATGTTTTTTTATTATTTTTTTTTCCATCACATTGTACTATAAAATCCAGTTATAAATTATATCAGTGGCTTTTTTTTGTAATATTACCTAAATTAAAATACAAGTATATGAATATTATGATATCATTACAATAAAACCATACTTTTATAGGAATGGGAATAGTTTTAAAACTAATTGTTACTAATTATTTTAGAAACATCAAAACAACTGCTTAAAGAGTCTAAATATTTTGTTTATTTGTCTCAAAGCGTAAGGCTAAAAATATTTTGTTAGTGAAACACAAGGTTTATTTTGTGTCATAAAATCGTCAGAGTTGTCATCTTATATTTCATTTTTTAAATTAAATAAATACACAAAAAAAAGTACAGTTTTTTCTTTTTATATAAAATAAAAAATATTACACACGTGTCTTATTAAAAGTTATTAAAATTTGTTCTTTTTTAAATATATATATATATAATAATAATAATAATAATAATAATAATAATAATAATATAATAATATAATTTATAATACAACTCTTAGAAATTAAAAACAAACAATTAAATAAGTTTTATAAAACAAAAATTAAAAACAAAATCTTACATCTATTTAATAAATTAGAAAAATTCATCTAGGGAAAGTAAACATATTTCTTCGATATTATATTTTGTATATATTAATATGTAATGCTGTTGCTTTCTCTGAATAGACTAGAATAGGTTTTTTTGACAGCCAATGTCTGGTTTATAAATAAATAAACAAAAATAAATAGAATATATGCAAAGGGATAGTACATATACCGTATTTCATTATTATATAATTTATTTCTTCCCCAAAAACTCGACCATCTGGTTGTATTGAGTCTC